GTAGTAGATCCAGGTGTAGTAGATCCAGGTGTAGTAGATCCAGGTGTAGTAGATCCAGGTGTAGTAGATCCAGGTGTAGTAGATCCAGGTGTGGACGAACCAGGTGTAAATGAAGGTGTAGATGTTCCAGGTGTGGATGTCCCAGGTGTAGAAGACCCAGGCGTAGAAGATCCAGGTGTAGATGTCTCCAGGGTCGAGGAACCAGCCGAGGAAGATTCAGTAGTAGACGGACTTGGGGTAGAGCTGCTTCCAGGGCTCAAGCTCCCTGAGGATGAACCCCCAACAGAAGATTGAGTGGAAGGTCTAGTTGTGGGAGAACCGGAGGGTGTAGTACTGGGATTTCCAGTAGGAATAATTGGCGTCGAGGTCTCAATTCCAGAAGAAGACCCAGCAGTGTCTGATGAAGCACCAGATGACGGTGTACCCGACGGGGTTCGACTAGGAGTACCTGAAGTCTCAATCGAGCTTGTCGGCTCAACTGAAGCAGAACTCGAAGAGATGACAGGCGCATTAGTCGAAGAGTGAGCCTCCGAGCAAGAGCCAGATCCTGTACATTGAGTTGATATCAAGCTCCTGGAAGATGGAATGCCTTGAGGAATGGCAGTGACTTCAAGGAGAAGCAAGCCGAAGACGAAAGTCCTCATGTTCTTCATTGTGAATTGCAGCGAGGTAAGAGCCTGGCAGACTCAGGACTGCAGGAGCTGGCTCCTTTTCTGTTAAATTGGGTGGTTCCTGCTCTCCATCATTCTTTAGCCCCCAATGCATCGGCAAATGAGCTGTTAACGTGCGACATCCCGACCAGAACGGGCTGCTCCACTGCTGAACAGCCTCCACCGATGTAAGAATCCAGTACCCACTGTTTCCAATGGCAAAGGTCCTTGGTCTATCACAAAATCGTCAGCGAATATCTTCCGTAGGCTCGGGGAAATTAGTTCTGCAGGGCGTGAAGATTCCAAAACAGAAATGATGGGCGTCTGACACATTGGTGACTGTCGATCAATAGCCCCCACTACCTGATCTAGACGCTATTTCGCTCTATGTTCTCTTCGCCCCTGTCAGATTGTGGCCTATACCGTTAGACTAGCTGATCCTGCACAATTTAGATTCGGCTGCATGTAACGGCCCCCACTGTCCGAGTCCTTGGCAGGGGAAAGTCTTGATATCAGGCCCCCCGCAGTAAGCTTCGCCCTGCAGACTTGTGGTGCTTTTTTCGACCTAGTAGAATGTTTAGAGCTGGACTCTAGACTCGTGATTGGTTTGCTCGGGTTTTGCGGGGCCTAGAGAGCAGAAATGCAGACAATATTGGCCCCCAAGTAAGCCAGTTCAAACGTCCCGCTCTCCACTTCTTGAGAAGTTTCAGCCGCATGGCCCCCAAAAGAGACGGAATAGCATGTTGTAGTGGCAAAAAAGAAAAGGCCTCATTGCGCAGTGCAAGTGGATCTGCAGCGGGCTATGCGGCCCTTATTCTATACCCGTAGCAGCTAGAAAGCATAAGCACGGGACAATATCCAAGCACATACAATTCGAGTCTCTGAAATAACAGAAGAACTCCAAATTTCCCTTTTCCCTGTCGATTTTGTTCCGCCATAGTCTTTGTTGGGTCTGAAGTTGATTTTCCTTTGGAAACCATGAAGCCTTTCTCGGTAGCTCTCCTTGTCGGAGCAGCCTCTCAGTCTTTCGCATACAACATCCACAGCAGCTGTGACTGTGGTGATCATCGCGATGCCATCAAAAGCGCAATGGAAGAAGCAAAGGCCGTTCTCAGCTGGACTAGTCTTACAGGAACCGCATGTGCAATGTGGGAGAGAAGACATGAGACAGGCGATGAACCACAATCGATGTATGACACATGCAAGGACCAAGGACGACGCAGCATTCTAGATGACTTCCTTGGAGACCACGGTGCCACGGCGTACGAGGCTATCACCAGTAGGTTCTTCATTGGCGTCCTGCATCATGATGTCCAGGCTAACAGGTGGCACCAGATGCTCTCGGACCAGCATCCAAGGTTCCAGGGGATTATTCTGAATCAGTGGATGGGCTCACCATTGTCTGTGGAGACAGTCACTTAAAGAAAATCACCACAGGCGTGTATCGAGATCAAGATAGGGGGTATGCAGATGTGCGATATAACCCTGCGCCAGGGCCGAATCAAAGTCCTTGCGACGTTGTTCAGGCTACTGCGTACCAAGCCCAGGGCAAGGATGTCATCATGCTCTGTAACAGAGACAAGACTGGAGTCAACCAGCCGGCAACTTTCAGTCAGTTGAACAAGGGTAATGTCGTGGGCCAGAGTGTGGATATCCTATCGAGAACAATCAGCTCTATTTTCACTCATGAGTTGATCCACACGGGAAATTTCGATCAATGTGAGTATTGGATGAGAGACTGATTATCAATGCTGACATGTTGGATTAGTCCCACGATCCCTGGGCGATGGAACAAGTGAACAGTATGAGTATGCAGGATGCAAAGGGCTCGCGAACTCGGACTTGAAATGGAAGAACTGCGACACATTTGCTATCATTGCACGAGGCGAGTCACTCTCAGATTGAAATTCGTTGCTTTGCATTCTGACCAGGCGTACTGAATAGTGTTCTACCTCAACAATTACTTCTCCAAAGACGGCGTACTCAAAGTGTTGCCAACCGTCAGACGGCCCACGAATCCGAATGGACCCCCGGAGTGATTTGTGTGTTTATTATCACCGGCCATATGCAGGGAAATGTATTTTAATAGCTCCTGTCCCATTGATCGTATCGGGAAAATAGCGAATCGCTGGCACAAGCTGCCCTCTAGGTTAAAAGCTGGCTAGTCTTGTGTGTACGCACCGATCTTCATTTCAAGAACCACGGGATGAGTTGTGATATGCTCGTAATCTGTTTGCTTTGCAAGTGATTCAACTTCAAATAATCATAGAGTCGCATTCACATTATTTCAAACGTTCCTATTTCGACTTCTTGACAATATCTTCCCACACAGCGAGGTCACCGGAAGGAATGCGAAGGCCTGTAACAGTCGAGGCAGCTTCACCCTCGGCGGGAGGATGAGCACCAGGTAGATCCAAGATAGCCTCACCATCCCGAGCAAAGGCAATCAAATTCTCCTCTGCACCCCATTCACCCATAGCCATCACTCCGATAGGAACGCCGCTATCAACAGCGTATCCTCCGGGACAGCTAATGGCAGGGCATCCGGTAAAGTTGGCCAGCCAAACATACTCCATGTTTCGAACGGAGGCCTTGCCATCAGACAAACCACGGGATAGATCTGCCTCTCCGCCATGAATGTGCCACCCAGGAATAGGAGTGGTAGGTGTGACGATCAAGAGCCCAGGGTGAGTTTTGAAAAGATGAGCCAGATGTGTCATGAGAAGATTTCGCAGTCGTTGGGCAGCGAGCAAGTCTTGTGCGGAAATCTGCCACATGCCCAGGGAAACAAGCACCTTGTTTGGTGCTGTAAGTTGGTTGATCTTACTCGCGTCAACACCAGATGCAATCTCTGCCATGATAGTCAGGACGTGGGCGCGCTGGCCTTCAGTGAGGTATGGGATTGTGATATTGATGACGTTGTAGCCTTCCCCGCGGTAGTAATCGAGAGCTCTATCCAATGCAGCACGAACCGGGGCTTCAGCTCGATCGATCCAGTCGCGAACGATACCAATTGTCTTGGCTCTCTTCGTGCCCGCAGGAGGGGCCTGGGGGCAAGGGAATTGCGATGAAATGGGATCTTCTGACGCCGGTGCCGGGGTAGCCATGGTACGATATGCCAAGGCGAGATCATCAATACTCGAAGCCATTGGCCCAAGGACACCGACAGTGGGCGCTAAACTCTGGGATGGAGCGCCGGACACACGACCATGGGAAGGTTTCAGCCCCCAGATACCACAGAAAGACGATGGAATTCGAATGGAACCTCCACCATCTGCTCCAAGAGCAAAAGGCACGAGACCCGCCCCGACCGCATATCCAGATCCGCCGGAAGAACCGCCACAGTAATAGTCCTTATTATGAGGGTTTCTAGGTGTGCCATAGTTCGGGTTGTTGTTGTTCGTGTCCAACCCCAGCTCGTGCATACTAGTCTTTCCAATGATTATAGCCCCAGCATCGACCCACTGCTTCACACACCATGATGTTCCATCGGACCCATGCTTGAAGTCCAGCTTCGTTCCTAGTGTGCGTTTGTAGCCCGTGAGATGCACCTCGTCCTTCACTGCGACTGGCACACCGTCCAAAGGTCCCAACGGGTTACCCTCCTTATATCGGTCGGTCGAAGCTTGCGCTGCGGCGTGAATCGCCTCGGCCTGGGACTCGAGGAAGGCGGTTGAATGTTTTCCGGGAGACTGGGAGTCACGGCGGATCATAGGCAACAATGTCTCGATGACGGCGGTCGGGGTCAATTCCCCAGACGAGTAGAGCGCATGGTAGTCTGCAGATGTGTAGTAACCGTTACTGCCATTCCTGCGCGACGGGACGGCAGGCGTTGTCTTTGCTGCTGATTCGGTTTTGGTGTTCTCGACGGGTATCACGGTTGGATCGTAACGACCGGCATATTGACTGAGTTCGGGGATATCATGTATGACCCCGAAGCCGGCATTGCGCCAGAAGTAACTCTGAATGAAATTTATATTATGTATTCTGTGGTCAACCCGCGGTATTAGCATCGATTGATAGTCTGACATTCCAGCTGAGGCTGCTTACAGTGTCGCACCGATCGCCAACGGTCTTCCGCGGAAGACCGGGATAACTTGGTCTTCATGCTTGTATGGGACAGACGGCCCTTCGCGAGGTACGGGGTAATTAAGAAAAGTGTGCTCGCTCATGGTTCGAATGCTGGCTTGATGATGTGCAGATGCACGAAACGAAGCAACACGGAGAAAATTCCCCGATCGCCGATGATATCATGCCGCGGCTCAACTTTAAATCAGCTGTCTGATCTAGTATAGACATTCCAATTTACTACTTAAGTATATGGCTCTCCAATTCTCAATGTAGTTCATTGCAGATGGGTATATAGATGCATCGTTTTGAATAAAATAGTCTAAATTTTATATTTACAAGCTCAACTTGATGTTGAACTTGTCCATTGCCAAGGCAGCACCGGTCAGGACCGCCGCATAGACAATGAGAATGCCCATGGCCTGGGGTGTGTTCATATCCAGTGTTGGGACACTCAGATTGACTGCTCCAGTCAGGAGGTTTGCAATCAAGAAGAGGGCAAGTCCTCCACGGTTGAAGGCGTGCAGAATCGGACTGGTCGCGAATTTTGCTTGCTCCGCCTCACTTTCCTTGGTTGTTGCGCGATGAACTGCTGGGAAGAAGACAGTCTCGGTCAAGCAAAACAAGAAGAGTTGGACACTGTTGAATGCGGATACCCACAAAACGTATGGCATGTTGGCGAGCCGACGCGACACGGGGATGTTAGCACCGTGGCCAAATGCGTAAGTGGAGTTGAAGAAGAAGATAGTCGACCAGAACAATCCCTGAAGAACCAAGCTCTGCAAAACGGATCTCCGCGCTTGCTGTGGCGACTTCGTCGCCGAAGTGCCTCGGGGAATGATGCGAATCCCAACACCACGCCCCGCGAGGAAGATGGCAAAATACCCGATGAAAGAGAAGATCCCCTCGCGGTTCTTGGACAGCAGATCGGGTCCACGGGGCGCCACGAGAATGTACCGCTTGAGTTCAGTTGACTCTAGAACGACTTGGTAAAAGACCGCAGTCAAAAGCGCAAGCACCTCGTATGACGGGATCAACGTCGTCAGTGAGTCGAACAGCTCCACAAACGGAGGCAAAAAGCCAAGTGTGAAGAAGAAGTTCCAATGCACTCCATATTCCGTAACATGCTCTGCATAGTCCAGTCCCTTCACACTCCACAGCCGGATGAGCCCCAGGACAAGCAGAGGAATGGAGTGTCGAGCGGAACCAATCAATCTCTTATGTAAGGCGACCTTCGGGGCCTTTGAGTTGCGGCCCTTCAGCACTGCGCGCGCCGAGACGACTCCAGCAGAGAACACGAAGGAACCCACGCCTAGGTCCATTAGAGACGTTCCCCAGTTCTCGACCTTAGCGAAGCGACGTGGGAATGCGCGGAAGTCAACCGCCAGAATTGCCACACAGGTGACGATCATCATGGCGGCGCGATATGTTGTCAAGAACGGGTGGACGGGCAATGCCAGCTGGTCTTCGGGGGACTCATCTTTGGCCTTTGATTTGCGGGGTGGTTTCGCTTTTTGAGGAGTACGCTGACTGTGTCGAGTAAGGAATAGCAGTACGGCGGGGGAAATGAGGAAGATGTTGAGGAGGAGGGGTGCGGACGAGTATGCGGTCGTTGCGAACAGGATGGCTAGTACGTTGAGGATAAAGTCGGCCGCGATTCCGGCGGGGCCGTACGGCGTGAAGAATGACAGCCGAGACTGGAGCGCGGACCAGAGGATAACGGAGGTCTGAAAGAGTCTTGAGTCAGAAACTGAATTGATTGCAATCGAGAGGATCAGGGCATCTTACTGAAGCAACTAGAGTGACGCTGTTGATTTCGAATATCGTGCTTCCGACAAGGTTGGATACAAATGCCTCCTTACGGGCTTTATAGCTTGGATCCATGTTGAGCAAGAGTCTGTACAGACAGTCTCGAGAGCTGAATGTGAGAGAATGACTTGGAAACTGGAGAAGCTCCGGAGGTTTCGATTTAGCCGCAATCACCTGACCAGTTCAACACTCGAACAACTGTCAAGATCAATAATGACACTCTGGCAATTACTTCAGGTTTATTGTGATCAAGTGAGCTGTGTAGCTGAAAGCGTCATATCAAAATAGGATGTGCATCAAATTTTTGTTGTCATTAATGATGGGTAATGAACCGTTCGTAAATCTATGAGCTCTATGAAAACAATGCAGCGTGCCATGCTCCTTTTGCCCCCCAGGGTATCTCAACAAAGTGCCTTAAGATCTCGGCTTTCCACGGCCACCTCCACGGCCACCACGGCCTCGTCCGCCTCCGCGCTTCTTCTCGACACCACCTCGGTCAGCGCGACCAGCTCCAGGGCTGAGCGCATCGCGGCTCTTGTTTCTACCCCGACCGCTCTGAGAACGGCTGCGTTGGCCACCAGCCCGTCGGTCGGAGTCGTTGGGGTCGGCGTAGGTGAATCCCGGGATGCCTTTCAAGCCCATCTTTCCAATGACCTTCTTGTCCATTGGGGGTGGCTCGGGGCAGCCCATACCCTTAACAGCCATTTCGTTGGCAAGTTGAACCAAACCGGCCTTGTCGAGGCGGAGTTGTCGGAGGAGACCGGACCCAGCAAAGAAACCAATGAAGGATGAGTATGCGCGCTGCTTGGATTCTTCCTCGATGGTGTACATGGCCTCCAGAACAGCCTTAGAGCAAGCCGGAGCGGCCGCATTGATGGCCTCGGAATCGGGGTGGGTCTTGATGGGAAGGTGACGGTTATTCTTCATGAAGAAAGACTCGGCTTCGGTTAAAAGAATGATGGCACGACCGTCGGCACCAGCGCGAGCAGTACGGCCAACACGGTGAACGTATTGCTCGCCGTTGGAAGGCAGACCGACTTGAATAACCAGATCGACGTTGGGGAAGTCCATTCCACGACCGATAACATCTGACGCGAACAGGATTCCGGAATCTGCCTCCTTGAATTGGTTGGTGGTTCTTGTGCGAGCACCTTGGTTGAGTCTGGAGTGGATCTCAAACACCTTCAAATGAACCATGCCCTTGCAGTAAACTCCTGCGAGAAGAGCCACCATGTGTGCAGTGACTCCGAAAACGATGATTTTCTTGGAGTTCTTCTTGATCTCGTGCTTGAGGAGGGCGGCAAGTGTGGTAAAGGTATCCTTGACTGAGGGCATCAGCACGGAGTACTGTGGCACTCTCTCGTGTGTGGGTGCTTCATTCTGGTCGATGGTAGAAATGCTAGTGTAGTCCTTTCTAAGCACAACGTTGACCACATCCTTCACCTTGGGAGGAACAGTGGCCGAGAAGCACATTCCTTGCCAGCCGGTGCTCTTTTGAGGAATCAGCTGGAGAATCCGCTTGACATCAGCAATGAAGCCGCTCTCAAGCATGGTGTCAGCTTCGTCCAGAACCAGAGTCTGGATGTTGGAAAGCTTCTTGGCAGTTGGAGTTTCAGAGAGGTAGTCGGTCAGTCGTCCCGGGGTGGCCACAAGGATGGAAGGCGAGCCCTTCATGAAAGCAGTGTGAGCAGAGGCTCGAGCAGTTCCGCCCACAGCGATGTGGCATTCAAGACGCGCTTCCAGCTGCGATGTTAGTTGGTCACATGACTTGGCAATTTGTTGTGCAAGCTCTCGAGTAGGTGTGATGATCAGAATGCCGACTTTGCCCTTAGGGGGTGTGTTTCCGTTGAGCAGGCAGTGCAGTGCAGGGAGAAGGAAAGCAAGTGTTTTTCCTGTACCAGTCTTCGCCTGAACAAGGCAATCACTGCGCCAGGTGGGGAGCTCAGTCAGAACACGGTGTTGGACGGGCGTCATGTCATTGAAGCCCATGACGTTGAGGGCCTTGAGAAGTCTAGGATCCAGCTTTCCAGTCATGCTCGAGTAAGGCTGAGCAGCCTCGGTTGTTTGGATACCTTCCATCATGATGGGTGGATTGAATATCAAAGAAAGATCGATTCAAAAGCAAAAGCAAAGTGAGTGGTAGATTGGCAAGAAGCCAGGAGATGAATGAGAGGAAAAAGCAACTCAATTTACTACAATTGTCATGAATTGATGCAAATACCAAATATCAGGGTTGATGGTCGCCGTCAACAATGCAGAGATTTGTTGCCAAGCATCAAAGTTGAGTTTGCGCTAAACGTAAGCATCGCCTGATTGGCTGCAGTCTCTCCACACTGGAGTACCCACGTGATCTCGCCATAGAAGTGTATCCGAGTTGGCGATCCTAGAGTTGAAGGGTTGACTGGAAGTCGTATAGAATATAGTTATGTGACTCTAGAAATTCTAGAGAGATAAATTCATCACTAATTTGCCACAATTTTAAAGGAATTCACGCTGCACACGTATATGTGGTTGACCTGGCTTCTGAAGGAGAAATTGAGTTGTTTTTCCCCCCATAATATTTTGTATCAAATGAGCTAATACAGGCCTATTCAAAACTAAGGAAAGTGTTTCTGATGGAAGCTTTAGTTTTGGGCTAAGGGACTAAAGTTTCATCTAAAACTCGAGCCTCAAGAGCTTGATAAACTAAACTCATACTTAAGTAGTAGGCACACAACCTTGGAAAGCACTATGCATATATCCATCACGCCTTGCAAGTCGGCGACAGCTTTGTCAATGAGCCTTACTTAAGTAAGGATCCTGAGAGCAGAGCTTAGAGGACCCAAGATTTTAGGTTCTTTGGAATATAGGAAAGAATCCCCTGAAGTTCCGGGGAAATCGACACTGCCGCTGGTATAAACCGGAAAATGTAATCCATAGCTTCCAGAGACCCAACATCACTAGCCATATTATGAAACATAGACGTTGCTATGGCAAAAACAATTTAGATCGAAGTGGATGATGCGTGTTCACCATCAGACGTTAGACGTCGAGATAGGCGTGATATTGGGATTTTTTAAAGCTTATTGTGATGACACTGACAGCAGAGTCTTAATCCAACTAAGCCAGAAAGTGTGCGCGAGTCGATCATACCCAAAGGCTCTTCAAGGCTGTGATGCCGAAAGGCCAAGAAAGCTAGATTTATGGATTATGTATGTTGAAGAGGGTGTATAATCATGTTCAGAGTTCTGTGAGTAGGATGTGCCTCCAGGCCTTCTACGAGTACTTAAGTATGACAGTTGCCTAAATCAACAGAATATGGACTCAGCCTTCCGAACTTTAGAAGCAGGGGTTCACCGTTTAATTCCATTCCTGGTCAGGCTATCGACTCCAACCCAAGTACGGAGCACCTAATCTTAATATAGAAATTTTCTATTTGCTGGCACCAATGCGAGAAGAGTACGAAGTATGCGAGATGTAATCTATGCATTGTCCTCAGTGTGTCTCAGCGTATGTGTCTTTGGTTGTCTCGTCATAGCCCGCCGATACCATTGTCCAATCCGGTTAGCAAGTGGATAGGGTATACATATCCGCCGCGGCTACCCAATCCACATCGAGAGGCCCCTGGGCAATCCACACCTAAGTATTAGGCTAGATTTTCGTAAAACTTCCTAACAGACGTTTGTGTCAACTTAATTTCGGTATCCTTAACCCGGTATTACATCCGAAGGGATCGGCCGGGGAGCCCGGACCAACTGTGTCTAGAACGTAAAGTGGAGAGATTCGCGAGCGCCAAGGAGTCGTTTGTACTCCTTTAGTAATAATGAGGGACCGTGTTTAAAACGGCGATGGTATAGGACTCCTTGATGATACGTGACATTGCGTCGGGAAAGCATTGCCTTTCAAAGAGGATTAGCTTTAGAATTCCAAATCAATAATCGATTGAGGGGGGTTTTAGCCTCAACAAGTGATGTCGTTTATATTACTTCGCAGGCAGGGCTACTCGTATATTCCTTCTTCCGCCGCAAGCAAATTAAACTTGATCAAAATAGAAACTTGCGGCGTTCTATGGTGCCAACAAAGCCCCAGCCACTGTATTCGCGACAGGGTGTTGAGATGGAGACCGGTTAGATCGTTCGATCTGCTCGATCTGATGCGCCAAAATCAATTTGATCCACTGCAGCTGTGATGTACAAAAAAGGCACATGCTACGGCTCGGCTACTCGTACATACACGAGGGGCTTTTGTAACGAGAACAAAAGAGGTTTTTTTTTTTGTTTCGGGGACCTTCGCGGGATTCATAATCTGGGGGCCGAAACGTTCCTCTGTTCGCCCCAAATCGTGCCACGGACCAGGGGGCGGACACAGACGTTGGAAGATAATTGAGGCCCATGGTCAACGATATTGGGGAGGATTCGGAGACCAAGCCGCGAGGCTGTCGAATTAGTGCTTTTTTGACCCCACCAGATGGGGTCAACGCCTGCTGCACGACTGAGCCCAACATATGAGATCGAGGATGATATGAGTCAAGATGAGCATCAAATCGGACCAGGCATTTTCTAAAAAGCGTTAATGTGACACTGTCACATCGGGAGCTCGGCTCTCAGACGCTCGCATAAATCCAAATAAAAAAGCGGATCTCGCGATGGGGGCCGCACACCGTAGTGGCTGGAGGAGAGACGCTATAGCCATAGCTTGTCCCTACCCACACGGTTCGTCTATTTACCAACCATCATTGGTTAGTTGCGAATCCCGTTCAAAGTTCCTTTTTTCGCCGCATCATCGGGAGATTAGCCTGGCGCGCTGATCCGGAGACGGTGACATAGGCCCATATTTCTTTTTTTCTTTTCTCTCAAAATCGATTTTCCGGATGAAAGAATACTGTCCTTTTCGTACACATCTTGCTGAACGGTGTCTCGTTTACCCAGGCTAACGCAGCCTTGGATTCGCACGGCCTGCCGCCTTTTGCCTTAATCCCTGCTCGGCTCCGAATAGTCTGGAGCCACCCACTTTCGGTTGCAAATCATTGATCATTTCTCCTCCATGTGAAATCATCTTCGGCGTTGAGTGTTGAGGTTCATGGTTGTTCAAGGAGGGTCCTTTGTGCAAGAATATCAGCTAGTGGAGGATAAGCGTCACCAAAGCTCACCGGGAGATCAGCCTCAAAGAAAACTGCTAAAAAGGCGGTAGCTATGAGTTCTCAAGAGCCACCCAAGAGGCGTGAGTCACGCTCAGGCACTAGAAAGGTATCAACACTATCCACGGAGCAACTCGAACGAAAGCGTGCCAACGACCGAGAAGCCCAACGGTCTATTCGCCAACGCACGAAAGAACATATAGAACAACTTGAGGCTCAAGTGACTACCTTCCAGTCACAGATCGAGGAAATGCGGCTCCGAACCGAGCGATTCGATGAAGTGATGCGACGAAACGCCATCTTGGAAGATGAAATGAATCGTCTGAAGCAACAAATAGCTTCTCTCTCGGGGCGACCGGAATATGTAGCAGATAATGAGCAGATGGGTCTTTTTCGAAGTGGATGGTCCATCGAAGGCTCCCAGAACAGCGCTTCTTCCGATATCCCCACAACGGGCACTTTGCTCTCCCCAAATTATACCCCATCCTCGAATCCCCGAACTCCCTCTGCTCTTTCGGCATCGAGTCGAGCCTCTCATCAACATGAATGGCAGCAATACCCTTCCACAAGGTCGCCGTCTCTGGGCGCATCTTCCAACCCAGAGTACCCCAGTCGCATGGATTCATATGTGATAGACGGCCAGCTCCATCAAGGACAACGCATCTGTCCACCCTCGATGCCAGTTTCAGGTCCCCATATCAGCTTTGGAGGTGCTCCAGAATCGACACAGCAGCAGTTTGATTCTTCCTTCTCCCAATTTCCCTACGGCAGTCGGTCGCTGTCTATGCCGAACGCAAGCTCGACGTCTCAGCAGACTCCCTCGGAAGTCTACCAACCCATAGTCTCGGCGTATCCTCAGCAAATGCCACAACAACCGCCACAACAGGAAGAGGCATATGAATATAAATGGACGTCTCAGCCTTGAATCTCAGGCCGTCAATATAGGAATCTCGTGCATAAGAGTGGGCGTGCATGCAGCAACCGTCAACCCCCCTTACAGGGTCTCGTGGCAAGCTGGCTCAATTTCGACATACCCACAGACACCGAGGTTGGTATAGACAGATCTCAGTTGTCTCAATCATGCCTCGAGGAGTCCATGATGTTACGTCGGGGCGAGGACAATACGGAAATGATATCCGCGTCGAATCGACCATCCTGTCGGACAGGTTCCGGTCCCACTCTTGATCTACGTGCCCGTCAGCTGTTGCAATTCCAACATGAGGTTAGCAACCAACTGTACGAGTGAATTTCCGTTGGGGTTGAATTGTAGATTGATTTGGCGGGCGAAGTCCCTGCTGATCCTATCTTATATATACACTGGCATCTACACAGCGCGGGATTCAAGCCAGCCCAAGGCATCAACTGAATGCCCTGCGTGTCCTGAGGACAATAGATTCACCGTCCAAAAAAAGAAAAAAAAAAAAAAAAAGGCGCGCCCAATGGCGCGTTCAAAACAATTTAAAAGCTGGGCTAAATATCATGACGCTGGGTCTATTGTGTGTATTGCTTCTGAAGAAGCTTGGCGATAGTCTGCAGCTGGATGTTGCTGGTGCCTTCGTAGATAGCACCGATCTTGCTGTCTCGGAACATCTTCTCGGCAATGCCCTCACGGACAAAGCCCATGCCACCCATCCACTCAACAGCAGAGCTAGAAACACGACCAGCGACCTGGGAAGCGTAAAGCTTGGCCATGGCGGCGTCTTGGACAAAGTCTTGGCCAGCCTCCTTCTTGCGGGCGGCATTGTACACAAGAGCTCGTGCGGCTGCGATCTCAGTGTATGCCTGGGCAATCTGGTGCTGCATGCCTTGGAAGTTACCGATAAGCTCGCCGAATTGGCGACGGTCATTCCACACGTATCTGTGTTCGTTAGCTACCCGAGTTTAATTTTGTACCCAAGTATGAGATGACCTACCGAGCGGCGTTCTCCCATGCGCCAAGAGCAAGTCCAGTCATCTGGGCAGCAATACCAATGCGACCCTCGTTCAGCACACTAATAGCGTACTTGTAACCTTGGCCCTCCTCACCGAGCAGATTGCTCTTGGGGATGACGCAGTCATCAAAGTTCAGCACACAAGTGCTGCTGGCACGAATGCCAAGCTTCTTCTCCTTCTTCGCAATAGAGAAACCGGGAGTATCCTTCTCAACAATGAAGGCAGTGATGCCCTTGTAACCCTTGCTAGGGTCAATATTGGCAAAGACGATGAAGATACCCGCCTCCATTGAGTTGGTGATCCACATCTTAGATCCATTGATCTTGTAACCATCAGCAGTCTTCTCAGCCTTTGTCTGGAGCGCAAAGGCATCAGAGCCAGACGCAGGCTCGGAAAGGCAGAACGAGCCGACAGTGCCGGTGGTGAGCTTGGGGAGCCATGTGCGCTGAGCCTGGGCATCACCGTACTTCATGATCGCAGTGTTGACCAGAGTGTTGTGCACATCCGCCAACACACTGACACTGGGGTCGACGCGGGCAAGCTCCTCGATCGCGACAATCGCTGCGGTGAAGTTCATGCCCGCACCGCCGAATTCTTCAGGCACCTCGATACCCATGATTCCCTGCTCGAAGAGCTGTTCCACAATCTTGGGGTCCATGGTCTCGGCCTCGTCCATATCCCGAACCTTTGGGCCAATCTGCTCCTGTGCGAACTTCGAGACCATCTCGGACATCATAGCTTCCGTGTCGGACAAAAGGGTGATCGGGGTGGGTGTGAGTTCGGAGTCGTCCCATCGACGCGGGGTGGTAGAGAAAGCATATGCACTGAAATCAAAAGAAGATGGGTTAGCGGAATTTGTTCTTGCGTAGCATTCTCAAATGGGGGAATTTCGACACGGTACCTCTGGATAGGTCGGCCGGGAGCTAGTCGCTTGCCCGCCAAACGGACTGTAGGGGTACGCGACAAAGGTCGCAGGGCGCGAAGAATAGAAGCCATGATTGAATTGTAAGGTGACGTTTGGGAAAGTGAGAGAAAGAGAGAGGAAAGGAAGGTGTCTTAATCACAAGGGTCGCGGTGAGCCTCGGTTACCAGCGGCGCTGGGGATTCGCGGGGAGCACAAAGTGGGGCCTCCGCTTGCGCCGAGGTTTCGATACCTCGATACCGCTCGGGTTATTTTCGTTTCTCGTGTTGGAACATTAGGTATTATTGCAATTACTGTAGAGTCAGAATTGAAACAGATGCCAATGAAGCCCGGGTAGACAGTCTTGAAGGTTCAGTTATGATGGCTGCGAAGTACTCCGCACGAGCACAAGCAGCAGACTGACCAGATAGTACTCCGTAGTATACGCATATGACAGCACATATTCCGGAAAAAAGGAGATATCGTAATTCTAACATATACATACATTTTACAAACAACCACCAAGAGTGATTCAGAACTGTACTCGTATGTAGAAAGTGGCGAAAGCAATGTATATGACCCAATCACATGGCGCATAGAGTGACAGGCAAAGCGACAGTTTTCCCCCGGTATTGTCATCTGTAATTCTTTACAAAAGCAACAGCACAGAAATGCACAGTGAGCAAATTCAATACAATACTCATACATGATTACACGATTTTTCGGTTGTCCGGACTGTGTTCCTTACTCAAGTCCTCCCTAAACGCACTGTCATCGCTAGATGATGGTCCAGCATGGTTCTCCACATCCTCAAACCGAGTTTCAATGTCGGTGGTAATGACCACCTCTTTGGACCCAGTAACAATATGCTCCTTACTTCCATTCGGTCCCTCGGCCGCGGTCAGCTCCATCCAGCCCGGATCCTCGTCTCCATCAAGCGTCCTCCCTCGGTAGGCATTGGATTTGAAGTTGGAGTGGCTGACCGGATTCGATCGATTCGTGCCATATGCTGCGTATCCGCTCGCGTTGCGGTATTGGTAGGGTGTTGGGGTCTTTTTGGAAGTGAGGCCGAAGCGTTGGAGTATTCGGTCCATGAGAGGTCGGATGGGGGGTACACAGCCCACCACGATGACAATCCAGGCTTCTGTTGATGCCCATATGATAAGTGAAGATTGAGCCCCTGGTGAGAGATGGAATGTTAGCAACGATTTCAAGAATGACATGGTCCCAATCATACAGGTGATATCCGTTGTTTCGGTCAGTGCCTTGAGCTCATATGTTTTCACCGCAGAGCAAACTGCAGCTCTATATCCGGATTTGTGTCAGCGCTGGGGAATTCGAATGCTATGCCCGGTGAATCTTACATCCAACCCAACCCCATGAGGATCGACAAAGCCACCTTGATCCGCAATTTCATTTGAAGTTTCCAGAAGAGATGAACTGGGTAAATTGCCAACACCGCATCGGTAAACGAATTGAAACCTGGACAGTAAGCAAATGATCATACCGGGAATATCCTGTGGGATTACTCACTAGCTTGGAAAAACGAATAGTTCTGGTTGATTTTGCGCCCTGGGTCGCAAGTCCCCTCTATAGAGTCATCCCACAGCTTTTGCATTGGCTGACATTGACCGAGGATTGTTCCAAGAACAGTTATGTTGACTGCTCCGATGAGAATTCCCAAAACAATCAACAGCCACGGTTTCTTCTCATGGCGACCACGGATCTGTACCAGGAATGCAAGAATCGCAAGCTTTCCCAGCATACTGGCAGCGATTGCCAGCAACTGGAAAACCCAGGACCATTTCAGGGCCAGAACCAAGCTTTTGTCAGAAAGAGCGCTCATATGTTGGCCCATGCCGGCATTGACTGAAAGCTGCAGGAATACCTGAGCAGTGGTCTCAGTCACCTATTCTGCATATCAGCATGCAGTCAGATTGAACGCGTTGCGCCCCAGGCCTAAACATTCCGGCTCGTGATACTCAGCACTTACCACCGTCAGACCTGCGATAGCAAAGTCCCATCGAAATCGGCCTACAAACTTCCAGTTACTCACGAATCGAAGGGCAAAAAAGAAAAGCCCAACGCAGGTTTCTGTCCAAGAGACTGCGAGAATGAGGGCAGCATTATTGCCAGCCATCTCTGGCTTCAAGGAGAGCGTCTCCCCACGCAAGATCAGGATGCACAATAATACTGGAGGAAATAGAAATGGCCCAGTGAGAAAATCTGGGAAATTAACATTATATTATCCGCGCACATTGCATATTCGAAAGTGCTCCGCAAGCCCAAGCCTCACGGTGTGCAAGGGTCATCCCTTGTTTGCCTCGTGGAAGACAGTCATACCGCAGAGACATCACACTTTGAGTCATCTAGCCAATGAGAATACTATGTTTCCTCAGAGAAACAATTGTCGCGTGTCCATAATTATCATTGATCAAAGTTAATTAGTTCGCACTTGTTCCGAAGCCGATCCTTAAACTAAAAGAAATCTCTCAGTGTTCTCGAACCAATCCCTGTCACGATAATATGCGGTTTGCTTCCTTCGACATGGATATGGGTATTGTGGGCCTTTTATTGGCGTTTGACCAAACAGAAAAAAAAAACTTGCTTTGGAGCCAGCCGTGGTGCTGCATGAAGTGGTGTGTTGACTGGGGTCTGCGGAGAAGAAAATAGATGGGAATTGGTCGCCTGCTTCACATGCCAGTGGCCGAAAATCTAGCCCAGGAAAGAATAGTACATAATTTATACAAAGTGCTAACGGGAGCGAAATGAAGCCTCTGGTGATATTGTCGGCGTTTGGTCAACATCGAGGATAGTGTTCATTTTAAGTGCCAAGAACCCATGGACAAGGGTATAAGTATTTTGTACGAATGTGGATTCTGTGGACTCGATGGAGTGAAATGAAATGATCTGGGCCCGTCTTGAAAACTCACATATACGATGCGACGATCGAATTGCAAATCTAAAATGCAAATCTATAATGCATTGGGATAGGAGGACAAACCACGATCGGCAAGTGGTCTTGCGCCCTGGGGAATTTTCTAAAAACACAAGGCGTTCCACGGCTGCATGACAAGGATATTTAATGAAGAAACCATGTATGCCAAGTCAAACAGTCTATATGAGAAACGCATGTGCACACCTGGACATTGAAGGCAAGACTATGCCATTGTAGCCATTGTAGCCACGGCGTCCACGGCGTCCACGACACTCTTAAAGCACGGCCCACGAGTGCCCCACTGATTAGCGCTCTCTAGCCGAGTTAGCCCCCGCCACTAGCGATGGGCCAAGAGCAGAACTTATGATCCGGGCTCACACCTGGACGCTTGTAGATTTAGCGGACGGAAAGTAGATTAAAACCACGCACGAGTAATTATGTCTGCCTGTCATGGTTATTACTCCATTTGTGGTACATTCATATTCGTGTACCTGTAAGTAGTGAGCGTAACCTACAATTGCAGATGGGTTGGGAACTTAGTTTTTAACTCTTTTGAACCATCCATGGGTAGCAAGACCAGGGAATGAAAACTACGCTAAGAAATGTCAATTCTACCTGGGCCCTGAGGGGAGAAACATGCTCAAAAGCTTTTTTAGATTCTAGTACGAGTAGGTACACTGTGTAAGGTCCCATCGCGCCAATTGGCCCCTAGAGAAGACCAGCAGCCCGAAGCAAATCCTTTCGGTGCAACCAAACCCGAATCTCCTTGCCCTTGAGATAGAAAGGGATATAGACCAAGTAAACGGCCACATTGATTGCTGCCACAGTCATAAAGACACTGAGCACTCCGCTGGCAGTAATGAAGTCATTGATGACCCAAGTCCAGATCCACGCTATGCAGCTCTTCAAGGCGGCAATCGTCACCATAATCTCCACAGAAAGCTGTAAATCGAAGGAAAATATTAGCCTGCGTTCTTCAAGACAAACGAATTTCCATACCTCTTTGTGACAATCCAGGGCGTAGTTCATTCCAAGGGTCGTTCCCATTTGACTTCCCACCGAAAGTATGCCTGCCCCCACAATGGGCATAGCCCAATGCATTTGGTGCTCATATGAAAGTCCGAACCAAAGTGCTCCGAAGAAAGTAAAAAATGCCGCCAGCAGACAAGTGGGTAGTCGCATTTCCGGTTCGCGGATTCCATTGTTGCGTTTGGTGAAGAAGGTGGCTATCCAATCACCTCCCGGCCCAGAGAAAAAGACACCAAAAAGAGATCCAATGAACGGAGATAAGAAGAAAAGACCCTGTCCGTTGGAATTAAATCCATACGGAGGTGGTGCAAATAGCTGTGCCACCGAGGCACCGAGGATGACATTCCAGCTCAGAGCCATTCCGTAAATAAAGCATGACCAGAGAACAGTGGGGTATGCCAATAGAACAAATGGACGAAGAAAGACATGAAGAAGATTGACATTCGGGTCTCCGCTGCTCCAGAACTTAAGCTCTTCCACGAAAGTTCTTTTGCGAACAGGGCTTGATTCTTGAACCAAAACTTGTTCTTTCGAGTCAGACTCTTCCCCTGCTCGGATTGATTGGAACGGGTCAGGGCGAGGTCCTGTAAATTTGGTTTCGGGCATCCAGAAAAACATGCAGATGATGTTAGCACCAATGAACATGGTCACGATCCAGAATGCCCAGCCCATCCCGAGTGCCTGCACAATGAATCCCGAGAACATGGGTCCTAGCTCATTGCCGCCCAGCACAGCCAGTCCATAGATGGCCACTAGCTCGCCCCGGTTATGCAAGAAAAACATGTCAGTGACCGTGGATGGAACAATCGACTCAATAGGGGCTTGGAACGCCCCTAGGAAAGCACGCCCGACCAAGAATACCGTGTAGGTCTTGTCGGATGCGACGGCCAGCCAGATACAAGCGATAGCCATGAGAAGGTTGGAGAACAGATAAACCGGCCTGCGGCCATATTTCACGGCGAAAGGCATCCAGACCAGGTTCCAAACGCCTTGGTTAATCAGACAGGCACCGTTCGCGTACGTTAACTCCTGCAGGCTCTTTCCGAAGGTAACAGAGAGTTGAGTCATGCCTATATTACAAGTCAGAATCACAGCTCTGGATATACTAGGAAGGATTCTAGAAGCATACCTGCAGCCATAATAGGTCCAGTAATCGCACCCATGAATGCAAACCAGCAGCCATTAAACAAAGTCAGACTCTTTTTCATAGTTGACCAGCTTAGAGGATCATTCGGATCATTGATGGAAGGCTGTGGAACAAGAAGCATGTGCCCATCTCCGTGCGGGCGATGCTTCAGCTGGTGAAGTCTGTCGGAGATACTTCCATGATCGCTGTTGTCAAAGAGAATCTCAGTTCCAGGTGCTGCATGGAATCTCTCATCGGCATGCTTCTCGGGCTGGCGAGTTGAAGCTTCAGGCATGGACATGATGTTCGTGCAAACCCACCAGAAAGACTGGAAATTGTAATAGGAACGAGCGTGATGAACAAGAAACAAAAGGAACGACTTTGAGCACTTGGCAAATCAAAGCGAAGATCGGCTCGTTATTATACCTAGATCTGTTAGTATAAAATTGGCTGTCCCTATTAAGTCCCAGCGCAATTCAAGGTCGGGAAATCCGGCGAGTCTCGTCTTTTCTTCTCTTTTTTCCATTTGACCTTGTGCATATATCCCTGTATTCTTGGCAGCCAATCATGGTTCAATCTAAATCACCACTTTATCCAGGGCTGCGCTGTCGGCGTCGTAATAAAGGGTATTGTGCGTGCTCAAACCGACTAGCCCCCCCTCGTTTAGCCTCTCATTTTGGCCCCGCAAACACTGTACTTCGTGCTACTTCTGGCGTTGGCGTGGCCCTTGGAGATATTTTGTACCGCACGGAGTATGTAGTCGTGCCCACAGTGGCCCCGGTGTTCCCTAGTGCAATGGTTCCACTTAAGCAGAAACACCCTTAAGCCCAGCCTAATCTCGTTAGTGAATACGGAGTCTTCTTTGCGAGTTTAGTCTCGAGACGGAGTAAATAATTTGGTGCTCTGGCCAATTTAAAGGCCTAGTGCATTATCGACTCGGAAATTCCGTCACTTATCGCGCTTGTCTGGCGGGGGTTAGACATCAGTCAACGCAGCTGGAAAAAAAAAAAAAAAAAATACTCGACAGGCAATATTCAAATCAAGTTGAAGTCAAATTGAAGTGATTTGAACAACTTACAGATCACAATGGCACCCTCCAGGGATTTCGCTTCTTGCCAGCTCGGCGACTCTCACGGTCTACCAAGCTTTGTCCCAGTACTAATTGTCGGCGGAGGTCCGACGGGTCTCTTGCAGGCACTTCTGCTCTCTCGGCTGGGAGGTAAAATATCCCCAGCAAATAATTGATCATAATATACTAACAGCCTCATGCAGTTCGCTCATTGATCATTGAACGGTATCCGGAGCGTCTGGCGGCACCCAAGGCCCACGCGATCAACCCCCGCACTTTGGAGATCTTGCGACAATATGAACTGGGTGAGAAGCGTATCCGTGAGCTGGGAACTTCGCGCGACGATGGCTCGTGGGTTAACTTCCTCACGGATCTCTCTGGAGATTTGATCGGGAGAATTCCATACGAACGGATGGACCCTGGGGTCTTGGATCATACGCCGGAGGTAAGCCGAATCAGGCGAGACATATTTTGAATACCATGCTTATCAGTGACAAGATGATACACAATATTCCTCAGCCAGTGCTGGAACAGGAGTTCACAAATCATATCAGCAAGGACCCTAACATCTTGTTGGTCAAAGGATTTAGCATCCATGCCGTAGAACAGGTGAGTACTGCGACCCACGCATTGAATCCATGTTGATGGGCGGGAATAATTGACTCACAATCCCAATTAGACTAAGAGTGAGGTTCTTGCGACAATCGAGGACCGTACAACTGGAAACCTGCATCAGATCAAGTCACGTCACCTCATAGCCTGCGACGGTCGCAAAAGCAAGGTGCGCGAACTGCTCGGTATTGAGTCTGAGAGCGAGGACTCTGATCAGACCATGATGACTATCCACTTCAACGCCAATCTGAGACCAGTGGTTGGCGATCGAGTCGGTATGCTGTATTGGATCATGGATCCAATAGCTGCAGGCTTCATCATCGGATATGACCTTGATGGAACTCAAGTACACATTAGCCAAGTCGATGTGAAGCAACACCCAGTCGAATCATGGACCGAGGAGTTGTGTCGGGCCAAGATCCGCGGGGCCATTGGGAAGGAAGACGTTCCATTTGATATTCTCAGTTTCAGACCTTGGGTGTTTCGAAGACAGGTTGCGCACACATTCCAAGAAGGAAATATCTTCCTGTAAGTGTTTCTCACAAGGCATGTGGTCAGAACTCACTCTTATACTCTTTGAATTAGAGCTGGTGATGCTGCACACTCATTCCCACCAACTGGTGGACTTGGTCTGAATTGTGGTCTTGCGGATGTCCACAATCTGGCGTATAAAATCGCTTTGGTTCACCGTGAAGTAGCGAGCCCGACAATACTCTCGACATACACATCGGAACGACGCGGCGTCGCAGATTCTTATTCTAAACAGAGTGTCAAGAATGGCAAAGAAATATTCGCCCTTTTGCAAACTCTGAGAACGGCGGGCGTCGAAGACGTCGCGCAAGCACGCAAAAACATGGCAGATGCGTTGGCGGATTCGGTCCAACATGCCAATGTCAAAAGAGGCATCGAGGGACAGAGAGAGCACTTCGATAATGTAAGTTGCGCCGGTCTTAATACCACGCCTGTTTTCAAAGGTCTAACATCTCCACTCAAGCTCGAGCTTCACATTGGATATGTGTATGGTGCCCTCAAACCACCTTCTCACGCATCGCATTACTCGCCAAAGTTTGTAACCGGAGCTCGTTTGCCTCACGCGTGGATCAAAATTCTTGATCAGCCCACCTCAGCAGTGAATACGGCCAAGTATAAAGCTCTTCCACAAGCACCTGTTGATGTTTCCTATGCTCGAGAGCTTGAGAAGACGGAGATAGAATCTCGTCAATGGAGTACATTGGATCTCTGTGGCCCCGACTCCTGGACTCTCATGCTTGGGCGTAGTGAGCCAACATTGCAGGTTTCGGCCCTTGAGAAACACTGCAACTCCATTGGTGTTGACCTCAATACCTGGCGGCTTGGCAGTGAGTTTGATCTGGAAAGAAACCATGAGTTCGAGGATGAGTTGCTCAAAGGAGGAGGGATACTGGTGCGCCCGGACCAGCACATATTGACTCGGGTCCCTCCTGGTGCAACGGGAGACGAGATTCTCATTGAGCTGAAAGGGCACTTGGGAGTTTGATAGATTTTAGTAGAATTACCGTATAGACACTTTTAGTTCTCAGTTCAATCTCAAAATTTACTCGACTAATGAGGTGATGTAGGTTCTCATTCTAGTCGCTTTCTATACAATTGAATCAGGGCCACCATTTCTCCGGTGAATAAAAGATAAGATATTCCATCTAATTGCGGTCCAAATTGCGTTCAATAGGTCAAAATCCAAGAAGAGCCTCATCGGCATGATCAGTCTCAAAGTCAAACCGAACAAGGTCCTCCTTGTACGGGATGAAGTACGTGCTTGTCACCCTAGAATAACACCCAACCATTAGTTTCCAGGTCACTAGTGAATTCAGATCTCAAATTCTTATGCCTCACCTTTCGTGTTCACTGCTGGCTTGATACTCGGCCAATGCAGCGCGATCCTCATGATAACTCACGAGTGCGTATTGGAAGCCCTTGCTCTTCTCGATTGGAGTTGTGATGGAAGGTCCCCCAACCACCAGTCTTTGACTTTTCACACAGGGTAGAGACTTTAGAGTCTTGATTTGAGTCAGGAATTCCTGTCGCACTGCGTCTGCGACATCTGCACGGAACTTGAAGAGTACTATTCCGCACAAGATTGTTAGTTGAGAACGGTATCATCCGAGCTTAGCCATACCGATGTGAACGAGAGTCATATTTGCGAATTAAATTGAATGGCAACGCGGAATCATAATGGCGTATAGAGTTCCTTTTAAATGTCGTAGCCGACGGATGCCTTCCGTCCGCCAAGCATCGATGAATCTGTTACGTTTTTCAGTAGAATTATCCCAAGGTGATTCTCAGCTTTGATGACATTTTCAAGCCATGAAGCTAAATCAGCTGCGATCACCACACCACTTGAATAGCTTTGAAAAAGCATGATCGTAGTGGAAAATATTGTGCAAAATGCTGTTGTTCGGTATTCCAGTGGCGGAAGCTACCCGTCTTTACCGAACCCGACTTCATCTCTGCACCTTCACTCTTCGCGACTTCATAGGGATTTTCCAACCTATCATTGAGAGATCTTTGTTTACCTACACGTACTTGGGGCCGTGCTTTTGCGGTTTCACGCCTTCTCAATGGACTCTCCACGACGGTCCCGGAACCGCGCTGCGTGTCGGAGGTGTCAGAGACGGAAGATCCGCTGCGATGGGGATCTGCCCCGCTGTGCATCTTGCAAAAAGGCTAGTGTCGCTTGTGTCACTGATGGCAAGCAAGAGGTCAGCCGGACGTAAGTAATCTCACTGGATGATTAATCTCGCTTCCTTTCGCCCAGACAATCGATTCCCATTGTGCGTTTCTTCGTCTAATGGCAACGGCGTCTTAGGTATATCGCAAATCTTCAAAAAAGGGTGCAATGGTTGGAGTCTTTGATCAAGGAACAGGACTCTACAGTTCGTCTAGAAGATGGCCCGCAAGTTGACTTGTCGGACATTTCACTCCTAGAGCCCACAGAGGGGGGAACACAGCTTGAGCCGGCCACATCAGAAGATAACCGAGCCCAGCGACCAAATACACCCCATCACGAACAATCAGAGCATGCACAGCATGCAGACCAGCTGCTACCCCGTACTCAATCAAGACCTGCTCATGAAATTGGACTTGTCTCTCTTTCTTCCGGGGGCGAGCCAAGATACATCGGTCCCTCGAGCGGGTATTTTCTAGCTAATCTCGTGTTCTCGAACGCTGGTCGTCGCGCGGGATCATCTAGGGATAATGTTCAAAGCAGCACCGAGGGCTCGAATCGGCCCATGTCTCTCTCGTCAGATTTCTTCAACACCCCGGCTCAACTTCCGAACCGCAAAGAAGACGCCATGGAGCTTACCTCAAAGTTCTTCGCCTCAGTGCATTTAATATACCCATTTCTACACGAGCCCTCCCACATGGCCAGGCTGGAAAGAATGTACGCTTCAACCAGTCACGACCCGGTTGATGTCTTCCACGTCTATATGGTACTCGCCATAGCAGCTTCGGACCTTGCAAGGAGGTTTAGAATCCCCCTTCCAGCCGAAGGGTATTACACAGCAGCAACAGAGCACTTTGAACTTGCATGTGCCGAGGGTTCTCTTCAGGGAATCCAAAGTCTTTTGCTACTGATGGTCTATGGCCTCCACAATCCGTCATGCGATATCAATGTGTGGAGCGTAAACTATCAATGCCTGAGCGCGTTGATCGATCTGGGCCTTCAAAGAGACGTTCGCACGTCACCAGCATTTCCTATATCATATTTGGAGCAGGAGATGCGGACTCGCATTTTTTGGGTCGTGTACAGCTTCGATCGCACGCTGGGAACGATGATGGGACGACCAATCGGCATAAGAGACGAAGCTTGCGAACTGCGTGTAGGTGATTCTCTCAGGATTTTTATTAAAGAATTGACTGACGAAGATAAGCTTCCCTCCCATGCATCCGACCATGATCTTCTTGGGCCGACGGCCACGGTCGGATCTTTGGATACCCCGACGTCTCATATGACGTTTTCGATTCATCTCTTCAAGTTGGCACAAATAAATTCGGAGATAAAATATGTCATGCACAGCATCTGTAGGGACACACCGCGATATGCCTACCCCCCAGTGGCAGACATCCACTTATGGCAGAAGGAGATGATCGATCGCTTGCAGACATGGCTTGCAGAGATACCTTCCGCGCCTTCAACCGACACAATTGTGAAGATTTGCGAATGCAAGTACCACGAAATGATGATCTTGATTCTCCGACCGAGTCCCGGGATTCCAGACCCGTCAGAAGAAATGCTTGGCCAGTGCTTCCAGCATGCTGTGCATCTTCTTCGTGGTTTCGGGGCGCTTTACCGACAGGAAGCTCTGGTATACAGCCGACTAGTCGTGCACTCAATCTTTTTGAGCACTCTCATCATGCTCCATTGTCTATGGAGACTTCCCCGCGTCGCCTCCGACGTCCAAATAGACGAATTGACAGCTGACACGAGCATCAGTCTGAACATCCTGAGCAGCATTGGAGAGTATTGGACTGAAGCCAAACGGGCCAGAGACTGCATACACGAGCTATCTGGAGCAACCGTCCAAAGACTCATCAAGATGAGAAGTCTTGAATCCTCTTCGAATCCGGCTCGACCTGGCACCAGTCAATTGAGCTCCAGCGGAAGAGTCTCAAGAACACATACCGCGAATCAAGTTGAACTGCTTCCAGCGCCTCGGCCTGATTCGGGTGTCGAGAATGTGTCAGAGAACCCATTCATGGATGAATACGATCCCGCCCTTGATTCTATGAGCTGGCTGCATGATACTATGCCAGGGGGCTTTATGGACTTTGGAGGCGCTCCGGATTTTGATACTTTGATGTGGGAAGTTTTCAATTCCAACTCGCGCTAGGTGTTTTGCCCCGAGTGGTCAGTTATGTACATTGGCGTATTCGATGTTTGATATTACCAGGTAGAGAAAAGTCAACTTGGACTCATGTGAAACAACAAAAAAATCGTTATAGCCTCATATATCACAGACTCTTAGCCTCGAACTTGACCTGCAGAGAAGACTTGACATCAATCTCCTGCGGGGTGAGATCCAGCGGAGGCGAATCATCATTGAAACCGCCTCGGGCAGTACTCATGTATCTCATCGCAACAGGCGCAGAATGATAGTCCGTGTCAGATACCTCCACAGCCACAACATCGCGGCCCAGAACCTCCGACAGATCATCCGCCTGCTGGATGGCGTGACGCAATGCGCCCTTGCGCGCATCCGAAGAAAGTCGCTTGCTCGTTTCATCGGTGAGACTCCAATTCATCGAATCAATTTCCACTTCCGGATAAGCTAGCAGTGCACTAACGACCTTGCCCATCGCAACAAAGTCTTGGAAAATTGCCGTAAAATTGATCTTGGCGTAGTGTGGGTTTTCCACTGGCTGGTCTCGGTCATCTCTTGATTTTTTCCAGGCTGTGATGTTTGATGTTGAGAATCTTGTCACGGGTTGTTCGGTGAGGGCTGATGCCTCGGGTGTGTGGAATTGTTTGAACCAATCTTGGAGAACGTTGGCTGCTTTGGTTACATTTTCTGCCACTTTTTCTTGTTGTGATCCGTTTGTTTTGATGCAGAATATGAGGGTGCATCGCTCTGGTGCGTAGCTGACGGATGATGTGCCCGTTACATTGATGACGAGGGGGTTGGCCATGATGGAGGATATGCAGTCAGGTCAGGCTCAAAGGGGTTGAAAAGGATTGAAAGGATGTACGGAGTATGACTGGCACTTATAGCGAGGTCCACTGTGTAGATCTTAGGCAGAACATCGCCACTTTCAGCTGAAGCGAACCATTTAAATTGCAAGTGATTCACAAGCTTGGCTTTGGCTGTATTAATTTGAGCGTCCAAGAGCAGAATCTATTATTAACCTCTATTTAATTAACTTAACCATGTATTCTGAAGGATCAAATTTATTAATTTCATCCAGCGCTGTCTTCAAAATCTAGGTGGGATGTCAGGTCCTCTCTATTGTTTACGGAGTATACAGTCACTAAATACTAACTACTACTGACTACCGACTACTACTAACTACCACTAACCACTAACCACTAACCACTAACCACTAACGACTAACGACCAAATGCGAATATTTCAGCTGAGGCTGTGCGATGACGTCATTATCGGCTAAACAGTCGGGACTCGGCAAACACTGTCTCCCGACATCACCATGGCGAGAACCCAAGAGCGTCGAGCTCGTGCGGTATGCGTCCGATGCCACAGCAGAAAAGTAAGTCTCACAACTCACATCAATACATGCGACTAACTTGGTAGAAAGGTGAAATGCGATCTGGAGGCGCGACCGGGGGGGATCTGCAGTCGGTGTCAACATGAAAACCACCAATGTCAACCTCATATTGGTCCACGCAAACAAAGGGCCATCCGCTCTTCACTGGCCAGGGCTAGGACTGACACTTCATCCCCAGATCGACCAGTGGTGGCTGCAGAAGCTGCAGAAGCAGAGATAACCCCACAAGAAGCAGCGTCATCGTTTAGTGTTCTAGGGAATCAACCACCAAACTGCTCAATTCCAGTCAACGGAGCTGATGTCTCGCGACTGCCAAACTTCATAGAAGGGAGCTCCGCCATTTTAGACGCAAGCCAGGCATGTCGGCTCCCACCACCTGTCATTGCCCAGGCGTTGTCCGACTTTTACTTCCGTGAGCTCTTCTGTCTCGTGCCGGTCCTTGACCGCGGGCAACCCGAAACAACAACTTCGGTGTTGTTGCAGCAGGCACTATACTTTGCCGGAAGTACCATGCGTCAAGCGGCGCAACCCTCGGCGGAATGGTCTGCATTTCGGATATACGGACGAATCAAAACATTGTTGTTTCTTCATCACGACCCAAGCCCCTTCCATATGCTTGCCGCCCTGTGTATCCTCGGGACTTGGCTTCCATACTCCCCCGATGCCATTACGCTCGACAACCCGTGGCAATGGACCAGTATGGGAATCCGACTTGGGATACAGCTGCACTTGCACGAGGACGGGGCATATCGTTCCTTCACGCGTCCCGGAAGGATGAGAAGAATCTGGTGGTACCTTTTCATTAACGACACCCTTCAGATGTCATGCTGTGGCCGCCCTGGGATGTTCCCATTGAAAGAAACCACTGTACGCTTGCCTGAGGCAACTGATTTCGAGGATCCCCACGATCTCGGAGCTGCATCATTCTGTGCACTGGCTTCACTTTGCACGCATTTGAGAAAGGCCATAGACCTCGGACGATATCAAAACACCCCACAAGATCAGGTGTATTCCGGTCTTGAAGATCTGATCATGTGGAGAGAACGCTTGCCGGTCGGATTAAACTTGTTTGATATGGAAACAAGAAAACCTTACCATCGCCCTACTGTTGAGCTCTACGTATTCTATTTGGTGACTGTCATCTTAACCTGTTCGCTTGGTCGGAGAGACAACTCACCATGTCTGAAATACGTCTCGATGGTTGCCTCGTCCTGCATATCTCGGCTGTACGAGGAGGTCTTATATCATGAGGATGTACAATATCTCCTCCCTATTCACTCCTGGGCAAATCTTGTCGCTGCGATCCCGCGAGCATTCAGTGACAGCGATATTCTAAACCCTAACCGGATACATGAACTCGAAATTTGTCAACAGGTACTAGAAAAGATGAGCGAGAAGCATACCTCTGCTTCTATGATTCGCGGCAAGATTGATACCCTTGGCAATCTCGGTGTTAGCATGTTTCCCCAGGCGGATGATTTGAGCCCTATCCCCGATCAAAGGAAAAGGGATATGGCAAGGCTCTTCCCTTTTCCTATGGAATTTTGTCCCATGCTTGATTTACTGCATTGGGGCAAGGATGGAGGCCAGGGCCTCGATGACCTTCCCGCCCTGTCTATGAACAGCATGGATGGCCAAGATTGGCCGGTAGACTGGTCCTTGTTTCTGTTTGATGCACCTATGAACTTTTAACTTGCTGGGACAATTGTTGAAGACTTGAAGTACATTTCAACCGTGGGGCAACTATGTCGCGTTGGGTATCAGAACTTGCTACCCGTTTGGGTGGCTGCCAGTGACCCCCTTCGATCCTGGTTATGCACCCTTAACCATTACGTCTGGCAAAAATTTCGAAACACTGATCTCAGGCCTTGAAGTTCGACTCGGATGTCTTGATTACCCCTAAATTATTGTGGAGCCAAATTGGTGCTCTCTTTTCCCGAATACCGACGCTCTACCTGGTGACCAACACGATATCTTTTCATTCGCAATGGTTGAACTGTACACCTAGCTATGACTTTTTGAAAGCTCTAGATCAGAATTATCAATTCATATTGAGTTGATATGCACCGGGCGATTAATTCCTCCGACGGAGGAATTGCCTCTCGGCTCTCACGATTTGAAACTTCGGCTATCGAATGACAGCCGAAGAACTATCGAGTTTAGGGAATTTTCGCGTCAATATTAATCATAAAGTACCTCCTATAGGATCATAACTCTCCTCAATCTCACTCTATTATCACTGCAGCTAATACCACAAATTTACAACATGTCTAATTCAAATAGAGAAGTGAAGTTGGAGTTCATGACGACCGGAACCGTCCGCATCCGTCCCTCCATGCGGTCACAGCCAGCCAGCAAATTCGGCATTACTCGACGTATCCGATCACTCCTCGACAGAGAATGGACAGAGCCTCTTCCAGTGGGAGCTTTTCTTATTCGACACCCCGAGGGTCTATTTCTCATGGATACTGGACAATCACCCTGCTGCAACGACACAGGCTACTACCCAAGACTTGCCTTTTTCAATGGATTCTTAAGTCAATTCGCCATCGAGCATCAAGATGGAGTCCTTGAGCAGCTCCATCAACGCGGTATCAAGGCCACAGACCTCAAAGCTGTTATCTTGAGTCACCTCCACAATGACCACGCGGGTGGTTTGGAAGATCTCATTGCGGAAGCACCAGATCTACCCATCTATGTTAGCCGCGAACATTGGAAAGCTTTTGGAGAACATCCTCTATTCGCGAGTATGGAAGGCGCCACTCCGAATCATTGGCCTGAAGACTTTTCACCCAAGGTCTTTGACCTTCAGGACAAACCCCTGGGACCCTGGAAGCAATCTTACCCTGTGACAGAAGATAGGAGGATTCAAATTGTGGATACATCAGGTCATGTTCCCGGCCATGTCAGTCTGGTGGTGTATGGTGACGATGGACCGGGAGGGAGCGAGGTCACATACTTTCTCCCTGGAGATGCAACCTATGGATTGGATCTTCTGGATAAGGAGCAGCCTGATGGAATCAATGATGACCCATTGCGTGCGCTTGAGACCTTGAAGACTATCAAGGAGTTCTCTAAACAGACTGATGTGGTGATTTTGCCTAGCCATGATGTTAACACCCCTCGTTTGCTGGCTGAACAGGTGGTTTATCGAGCAGGTGACGCACATGACAGGCAGTGAGCCTTGGAATATCTGATCTTTTTAATCTTCGCTTTGTACTTATAATTCTAGAAATATTCATATTCAACTATCTGCTGTTCCACAACTCTAGTCTTATTTCATTCAATCTTCTCCGTCTTTAAAGATATTGCATGTTATCCACAGGTAAAAGATTCACAGGGAAACGCAAGTCTCATCATCTTTCATGCCAGTCCACTGCCAACAAGCTTTCCAAAGAGCCTCGCATTTCTCATCATCCTCACTAGCACGGGCGGGCGACTGGACTGTCCGGCCGTTGAAGTAACCTCTCTTCGAATCAAACTCCTGGTCCAAAGCCAAAGCAACAAGGTCCTTTGCCGAATTCGCATTCGAACGAAGCTTGTCAGTAAACAAATTTATGATGGGCAGCAAAAATGCAAACAACCTGAAAAGGATTCTGTTGATTGTCCGCTGAGCATCATGAGCGCGAGAGTCAACGAGGCCGCCTGGGTCCATTGCTGTTACGGTGATTTTGCTGAACTCCAAAGTCTAAGCATGAAATTAGCAATCTTTTGCTATAGATGATGGCGCCCACATTAATACCTTCAAAAGTCGCTCATTCAGACTCCTCATGAACATGACATTGGCCAATTTGCTGTTGGCATATCTGCGCCAACCCATGTCATGTTCTGATCCATTCTTGTCCGGACCCGGCTTGATCAAAGGATCAAGATTATCATCGCCAGGCAGCTGTGCGCCTAGCTTTGAAATAGGATTGACAATTTCAGGGTCGTGAACTTCAGAGCCGAGCAGAATTATGCGTCCTGTTTCGCGATCCATGCTCTGCACAAGTTTCAGGGTCAACAGGAAATGCGCAAGATGGTTGACCTGAAATGTTGACTCCAAGCGATCACTTGAAAATTTTTGGCCATTCAAAGACCATGTAAATGCGTTGCATATGATAGCTCTGATTGGAGGGATCTTTTTGGATTCCACCAAGCCGGCGATCTCGTCTGCAAATTCACGGACTTCGTTGATCGAGTTGAGATCAACATTCTTGATTGAAATTTTGTTCGGATATTGTGATATCAGTTGTTCCAGTCGAAGCAAATGAGGGCTTTTCGGCGATGCTTTACTGTCTCTGACAGTTCCGATGATGGTCACTGAAGGGTACGATGAGAGGATCTGCTGTATCGCTTCGATGGCAAGGGATCCGGTTGCACCGGTGATCACTATTGTTTCTGACATATCTCAAAATTGAGTCGAATCTTATCTTTGAAACTTAGAAAGGGGTTGAATATGCGTTTTCTCCCACTCAGAACGAGAAAGCAAGCGTTATAAGCTAAATTGTTGATTGCCGAGCCCCCTTGGGATAGCCGAGCAATCAGAACATTGCCGATTCTAGACAAAAGTCCTTTACGGCTACTAATGCAGCGTTAATAATTTGACCCGAAAGTAATTGAGCGCTGTTCAGGCCTATGAGCTTGCAGTCTTGTTGGGTGTTGGAGAAAAATCCAAGTTTTCGCTACTTGTTTGACAAGTTATGACCCACTACTCTACCCTCGTATCTCTAATTCACTTCCGAAGCTCAAGGAATTCTTTCTCCGAATTTCCATTGATGTACATTTAATAGTGATAATAACCCTGTCTGTAGATACTCAATACAAAAAGGAACAAAAACACACAAGCCAAATACAGTAACTCATTTCACAGCAACCATAAACAGCCGCGGGTACTTCAACAAAACCCTCCCATCAACAGAAACAGGATAAACCCCCTTCAATCTCTTCAGATACTCTCTCAAGAAACCCTTCTTCTCCTCCTCATCCAGCGGATCCACAAACGGCCTCAACCCAGTTCCCTTAACCCACTCAATAACAGCCTCATGACTTTCAAGCGAGTGATAATAACTCGTCTCAAAAATATCAACCACAGAAGCAAAAGGCTTAACAGCATCATACAATTCCTGAGGCGACTGGAACCCATCCCTCTGAACACCAGCCAGCTTCTCCTTCCACGGGCCCGCCGCAGCAGCTTCACCCATAAGCACATGGGAGGGCTCACTCAGATTATTCGGAACCTGGAAAGCGAAAACAGTGCCCTTTTCCTGGGATTCGAGGAGTCGTTTGATGACAGCAATGCGGTCTGGTCCTTTCAGCCATTGGAAGACGGCATTTGAGAAGAATAAGTCTACTTTTTCTTCTGTTTGCCAGGTGTTCAAATCAGCGACGTGGAAGTCGACTTCTGGTAAAATGGTTTTGGCCTTGTTGATCATGTCTGGGGATGAGTCTAGGCCTGTTACTTTGGCATTGGGGTAGCGGGCTGTTAGGACGGTGGTGGAGTTGGCGGGACCGCAGCCTAGGTCGATTATGCGGTTTGGTGAGGATAGGGGTACACGCGCGAGGAGATCGCGGGCTGGTTGGGTGCGTTCATTTTCGAACTTGAGGTATTGAGATGCGCTCCAGTCTTTGGATGACATTTCGGTGGTTGTGAATTGTCTTGTGAATTGTCGTGGGTTTGTCGGTCTAGAGGGTTTGGTGCAAAGTTTGAGAAGTTGTGCTGATTGGATTTGAGTGCGCATGCTGATTTGATATACTCAATTATGTATGGTGTGGTTGTCTGTACTCTTTAATACTTGGAGGTGATGTTCGATGAGGTTGGGGAAATATGCCGGTTTTCGGAGGTTGGCTACTTCTTCCGAATTTCGCCACTTGAGTTACATTTGATGGAGTGCTCTATAGATGTTAAACCCAACATTTTATTACCGATATGTCTAACTATTAAAATATAGATATATCCAAAGCTAGATTCGGAGGTTTCTTCGCAACACTTTGCAATGGGCCGATTTTGCACCCGTTTTGAAAGTGAGCTTAGTTGTTGCCAACCAGGTTGCCGACAAGAGCCTCGATCCAAGACAGAACGTCTTGGGCGCTGTCAGTGGGGAAAGGCAGAGCAGCACCGGCAGCGCTAGCAGTAGCAGCGGCGGTAGCAGCGGCAGTGGCGGTGGATTGACGGACACTGGTGGCGAAGGTGGACTGCGCAGCGGGGACAGCAGAAGGAGTCTGGACGGCAACAGGGACGGAAGTGGCAGCGACCTCGGAGGAAGAGGTGGAGGAGGGCTCGGAGGCAGCAATGCTGGAGCTGGTAGCAACGCTGGCAGCGGAGCTGACGGCAGAGCTGGAGGCGCTGGAGCTGCCAGAGCTGCCAGAGCTAGATCCAGATCCACTGAGGGAGAAATCGACACAAGACTCGTAGGTCTGGTCAATGGACTCGGCGTACCAGTACCACTGGAGCACACAGTCACCGGCGGTGTCACACTGGCTGCCGAGGTCGTCGGGGATGGTGACCTTGAAGCTGGTCTCGTCGGAGGTGACACCGGTGGCGGTGGAGGCATAGACATCCCAAGAGATCAAGGGCTTGCCAATGACACTGTTGGAGGAGGTATCGACCACGGAGACGTTGGCAACACCAGTGTGGGGGGCACGGATGTCGACCTTGAAGTCGACAGTCTGGCCGGCAGTGTAGGACTGGATGTTGTCCTTGTTGTCGGCGAACTTGTAACCCTTGCAAAGCCAGATATCACACTCATCGGCGTTGTAGTCGCTCTGGCTAGAGGCGACCTGCAGCTCGCCCTGAATGTTACCGTAGTTGTCGGACTCCTGGTTGACCTTGACTTGCTCTCCGCAGGCAGCCTTCATGGCGCTACCGGGCATACGGGGCTCGGGGCTGGTGACGAAGCCATGGGCGTTGACCAGGGAGATAATGCTGGCAAAAGCCAGAGCGGGGGTGAATTGCTTCATTTTTGTTGGAAATTGGTGAGAGAGAGAATGGAATTGATCGATAAACCGGTACCGACGAAGGATTGTATAGTGAATGAATGGAGCTCTGCACGGTTTCAAACCGGAGAAGTAAAAAATGAATGTAGAATAAGAATAAAATTCAAAAAGGACTGGCCAGCATGCTCAACCGGTCTTGTGTAGCAGCATGCCGCTTATATAGCCAACCTGATGGGAAAGGACAGGAGCTAGCTGGCTTGCAGCATTAATCAACCGTAAACAGTCAATAGACCCTCATCAGAGACACCGAGGGTCTTTGGGTCCAGCTAGTGAGGCCGAATGAACGTATCAAGTCCCCTGAAACACGCGGGATATATCAAAGGGACTGTCATCCTCCACCGGGAAGCGGCTAGTGAGGCTGGCGTTAAGGCTAGATCCCCTCTCTGTGTAGAAAGGGCTCGGTCGCTGAATCTTGATTTAGGCCGATTTTTTCTTTGCTCCCGAGACAAGGCCGGCGTTCCTGGGGCTAAGGCTGCCAAGCATGGCTCCACGCGCCGAACAGGGAGTCTCCGAGTTTCAGGTTGATGGACCCAGGGGATGACAGGTAAAAAGGTGATAATTTGATTGATGGATTCCTGAGCTTGGGTAATTAAAAAAGAGATCATAAGAGGATGCACTGGACATGACGTCGGAGATTTAGCCCAAATGATTGAATGATCGCGCGTATCACCGTTTGTCAATCCGACTAAATCTCATGAAACGGGCTAGTACTTCACGAGAATTTAGGGTTTCACATAGAAGTCTGCATGTTGGCCCGTTGGCATTTGTGATGAGCTTATAACGATGAAGAATTCTGTCCAAGAAAACGTCAAATCCTGACTCTTGCTTTACTAGGCAAGACTCTCCAGACCTTTAATTGTGGGACATACCAGTAAGAGTAGACGGAGTCTGCCAAGACCTCTATAGTACTCCGTACATCCGCCGTTATTGATAAAGTGCACTATAGACACTATTGATCTTGGAATCTTCCCAGAGATTTCATTTCCAACTGTACCTACTTTCGTGTTCTCGTTCCCCTGGATACAAGTTGCAATGAATATAGCCGTTTGGACTAGCCACGTGCGGATGCCTTGAAGCTGATCGACAGATCTACATGTCACTGGAAGGCATACGAGTACGGAGCACGGAAGTTTTCAAGGTCGGATAATAGTACAGCTGGGGAGTACACATATGAGACTAAGTAGAGATATTTGACCTAACAAGTCTCATCTGTGGAGAAACATTTAAAAACTTCCAAGGTTGCGATGCAGAGTGGATTTGCAGTGCATACGGAGTACTATAATGCACAATAGACAGGGGCTATATTCCCCAGCCTCCTAGTTCAATTCCAGATCGAAAACAATCTTCCCCTTTGCATGGCCTGTATCCAGCCTCCTGAATGCCTCCTCATACTGCTCAAGAGGCCAAACACTATCGACCATCCCACGACAAGTCCCCCCTTCAATCAACTTCGTGATCTCCTCCAACTGGCGACCAACCGGTTGCATAACGAAGAAATGATCTTTCACATTCTCTCCCTCAAATTCTTCCGGCTTCATCATCAAAGGGGGCTGGAAGATACTCAACACAACTCCCCCATCCTGAACAGTCCACCATGCATCCCGTAAAGACTTCCCCCCAACACAGTCCACAACCACATCCACCTTCTCCTTTCTGGCCCACTCTTTAAGATCCGTAGTTCGATAGTCCAGCACCTCTGCCCCAAGTTCTTTCACAATCCCCTTATTAACCCCCGCAGTCCCAATCACCTCTGCTCCAAGTAATTTCGCCAACTGCACAACCCACATCCCAACACCCCCGGATGCAGCAGTGACAAGAACTCTCTTCCCATTCCAGATCTTCTGAGCACCCTCCCAATCCAGTTCCCCAAACGTCTGGACAAGTAAAATCTGCCACGCCGTCTGCGCAGAAACAGGCACCGTGACAGCCTGTACAAAGCTCAAAGCCTGGGGCATATGCGCCAGCTCATCTGTTGGAATGACAGCATAATCGCAGGCATTTCCAGGCCGAATGTAATTGGTGCGTGCATAGACCGAGTCACCCGGTTTAAAGGGTGAGCCTGCTGGTGCCGATATCACTATTCCCGCCACGTCAGGGCATGGAACGAGAGTGCGTGGATTTGGGGGTGGGAAGTTGGCTGGCCAGAGTAGCTCGCCTGCACAGGGACTACAGGCTTTCACATGGATCAGGTGTTCATCTCCGGCTGGGGTTGGGCGGGGTGTGTTTGTTAGAGTGAGTGTTTTAGAGGTGGCGGTTTGCTGAATCAGGGTGCGCATTTCAGTCATTTTTGGTATTTGGATCAGGTTTGGTATTTGAATTTTATGATGCCTTTCTGTGGAATATTGTTTGGGGGTTATATACCTCGAGATCTCCGGTCCACTTAGGCTATTTCATAGGCTATCTCCCATCTCACTCTTGAGCTCTCGTATCCGGGAATGTGTTGGCCAATTGCATTGCGCGCCCAGTCGGATCTGACTGTTGTTACGGCCAGAAGGGTCTTTGCACATATCCTCGACTTTAGATCACATTTCCAACAAATACTTGTCGAGGACTTTCCATTTTGAGCTCCCGCCGCTTTTACTTAAGTACATGTTCACAAAAACAGCCAGAGGCTGATCCTAATCTAGAACCAGGCCAAGATGGGAAATTCGGTAGGTTCGATATCGCACTGTGTCAAAGAGCAATTAAAAGCTGTTTTAAGGTGACTGGTAAGGCTTCTTCCATTTGCCTGCAGTTCCGGAGGCCTGCAACTCTAGAATACTGTCTTAGTACTGAGGTACTACTTAAGTATCTCTATGAAGGCCTTTATACTCCGTGCAATCTTGTAAGAAACAGCAATTCATCCACAAAATTCATTCTAAAGTATATGACTCTTTTCCCTGTAATTGTCTCTTCTTGCCCTTTTAATTCATTTTCCGTTTTCTGGTTGCATCTGGTATGAAAATCACTCCTGAAGTCTTCCAACATGCGAATCAAGCATATATCTTGGAAGGAGATATTGAAGATATAGATGAGCAGTAACTATACCAAGGTAGCTATAGCATCATCGATTGTGAATTATCATCGGCGACATTAGGATAATTCACACCTATGACGTATCATGCATTTCTACCCTCGACTCCAGGATGTGCCAGGAATGTGCAGACAGTACGGAGTACTTTATAAGACAATATTCAATGCCTTTTTCTTCCAATTGTGATCGGATACTGAGAGGAACCAAGATCTAAGGGGAAAGACACTTTGCAGCCTAAGGCAACAAATGGCATGATCAGTCAAATCGCCAACCGCCATTTTATTTCCGTTTACTATTGGTTGGGCTTCACCTACATGACAAGGATTAAAAGATCTGCATGCTGATATTCAGCCTTTTCTTGGCTGAATCCTTTTTCAATTCTCATACTCTGTACTCTGTACTCCGTACTCGATGTTCATAACAGAGTGGGGGGCACAGGGCTGAAGAATGCACATCCGTTGAAAATGGTCCCAGAGCCATGGTGCCAGGAAGCAAAAGCCCAATCCCAAGCACAGCAATGCCGGAGAATATCTCCTGGGTTCCACTCACCTATCAATAGCCAAACCATATACCCAAGGAGGTTGGCGACATGAGACCTATTCCTTTTTCTCCCTCGGCGGCGGGGGGGCACACCGATTCGCGGCTCGTCTCCTCCAATCCGAATAGCGCCTCCCGACAGATCTGCGGGCACACCCGCTTATAATTCTTTGACCCCCTCCCTGCTTCGCTTTAAACTCGGAAATCAACTCCGTCATGGCTGACTATGTTGAAACGGATGGCAAGATTGCGATCGTAAGTGTTTTGAGTGTTTCCCGGATCGCGGACTGACGAGGAAGGACCCTAATATCTATCTCACCACCGTCTATGGCGATGATTGGCAATCGTAAGCACCGGTGCGAAGCAGATGTGCAGCTCTGACGGATGCTCTGACCAACGCAGGGAAACAACGTCTATCAAATCCTCCATCTATCGCGGATTGGAGGAGAATGGTCGTCGGTATGTTTTTGTCATCTTCGCGGTCGCGGTCATGGCTAACAGCCACAGCTATCAAACGTTAAGTCATAAGGAATACATGTACGGAGTTTCTTTCTCTATCTTCCTCAACTTACTAACCACTGATCAGCGTCCCTTCGGACGAAAAACAATTCGAAACATACGAAGCTGGGTATGTGCAATTGCACAATTGCCCACTGTCATTATTGACCCTTCCAGCCACCTACTAGCCCTGGTCATGGACTCAGACAGAGACAATCCCCTCTTCTACTCGCCCATCGGCGACAACCCCACAAACATCCTCGACCTCGGAACAGGTCAAGGAAACTGGGCCATGTATGCACCATATCTCAGAACATCAATCCAAACTAATCCATTCCCAGTGATGTCGCCGACATGTTCCCATCCGGTAATACATCCCTCAATCCAATCCAATATCCCAAACTAACCCAAGCAGCCAACGTCCGCGGCGTCGATCTCTTCCCACCACCCGTAACCTGGATGCCACCAAACTGCATCCTGGAAGTCGACAACATTGCCGAACCCTGGACCTGGAACGAAGCCCAAGACCTAATCCACATCCGAATCATGATCGGGTCCTTCGATCCCTCAGAATGGGAACGAGTATACGATCAATGCTACAAGTAAGTTTCGCAGTCGTACTTGGAACACAGCTCACAAATCCAGCAACCTCCGCCCAGGTGGCTGGATGGAACAACTCGAAGCAAAACCATTCCTTGAATGCGACGACGATAGCCTCCCAGCTGATAATATCCTCCGAACTTGGGGTCCTAATTTATTAGGCTGTGGTGAGCGTGCTGGACGACCACTTGATACCATGGAGAGGATGAAAGAGCGATTCGTGAATGCGGGATTTGTCGATATCCATGAAAAAGATTATAAGTGGCCTATTGGGCCATGGGCGAAGAATCAAAAATACAAGGAGGCTGGCGTGGTGAATTATCATCATTGGATGTCTGGGATGGAAGGGTGGTCGATGTGGTTGTTGACGAAGTTTGGGGCGCCGAAGCCATGGTCTCATGATGAGGTGATTGTTTATATTGCCAGGTTGAGGGCTGAGTTGAAGAAGCCCCAGTATCATGTTTATGAGCGAGCGTGAGTTGAGTATTCACTTGGACTGGGATGTTTGCTGACTTTGTTAGACGACGGGTTTGGGCTCGTAAACCATTTCCTGGGGAGGTTTCTCGGGCACCAAGGGGTGTTTTTATCAAAACTGAACGATAGTAACTGGGAACGAAAAAGTTATCTTGTTTCTGTATGTGCTTTAGTTCAGTGAGACGTCTTGTATGTTATGATCTGGGTATACATCATCTCGTCAGATGAATGTGGAGTGTATTTTTTTGCAGAATTGGGCTTGTGCTGGATATCTACGCGTGTAGATACCCAAGGCACGTATATACATGTCGCAGGTCTGCCAGACAATGGTGAAGGTAAAGTAAATAAGACGCGCGAGGTATCATGGGAAAAACAACGAAGGAAAGCCATGCGCTTGGAAAAACACCACCACAAAAGGGTATAGTCACCAGTACTAACGGCCCTGCTCAGCAGGTTGGAAGCGTACCCGGTCAGTATGGGGATCCTGCGGCCTGGTCGACTGGGACTCAGTTTCATAGTCATCTGCGAAAGGATTCCGCACTTGGAACTCCTCGGCATTATACTCATACCGACTGGTGCCGCCCGGCAAACGACCACCCGTCATGACCGTGTTTGGAAGCTCCACGACCGCAGGGTCAGGACGTGTACTGGGTGGTGGAGGGGCAGGGGCAACAGCAGCGGGAACAGGGGCAGGAGCAGAAAGAGCGGGCGCAGGTGAATTGGCACCAGATGCAGCCATCGGTGAAGGGCTATTAACATTCGAGCTTGGCGACGCAGATCCCGCGAGTTTACGAGCTTTCAGCATTGCGCGCTGCTGACGCGAAATTGCCACTGATATCTCATCGTTCGTCTCAATGAGTGTAAGCAATGTATCCTCGTCGGGTGGGGGGTTGTTCGCGTGGATGAAGCCTTGAATTAGACGTGCACCTGTCTGACAGCGATCAAGGAACTCTTTCACTAGATCGTTGCCCTCCAACTCGGCCGGCGGGGTGGATTGCACGAACTGCGTGAGCAGTTTCGCGCTGTTGCGGGCTTCTTCGATGCGCGCAGCCAATTCCTCTGGACTGGGTAGCGCGTTCCTCTGTGGTCGAGATACTGATGCAGGCATATTATAGGATCTGGGTGGAATGGGTGGGGATTTGTTCTACAGCTGTTAGTTCCTGTCCAGCGCAGATGTGCTTTTTCTCCTCACCAATCCCCGAGATGTCTTTGTTTTCTCCTTCGCCCACATGGCGAGTAGCAATTTGAGGTTCTCATCCCATGAGTGCTGCTGCTCGAGGATATCGAGGTACTGGCGTATATAACCCTGGACATGCAGGTCGCGACCTGTGCGCAGGAGCGATTTGATTGTCGAGACGAATTTCGCATCGAAGTTGCGCGTGAATGTGGCGCCCGGGTTGTCGGCCAGGATGCGCATGAGCATGATGGCATTGTACTGGGCGGAGTTCGAGGTGCCAGCTGGATCGGCGAGGTATTTTCGAATTCGCAAGGCTGCCTCTTTGGCAGCTTCCGGGCTGGATTCGGCGGCATCGACAATCTTAGGGAGGTGGACGACTTCGGCTCCTTGCTGGACAGCTTGTCAGTGGTTTGCCCTTCGGGTGTGTTGTGACAAACATACCGATGCGCCATTCGCGCTCGACTCGCAGAAAGCTTCCTGTAGGGATTGTGAGTGGTGTTCTCATTGATCTCAATGCTGGCACAAACCAATTCTGCCCTGATCATGGCTTCGGGGGAGTCTTCGCGGTGTTCGGTGCCGCTGTCGCTGGAGCCTGTCGGGATTAATTAGCCATATTGCGGGGACGGGGAGATTCGGCCAAGTACTGGAGCGTGCAGTCCATGTTCTCACGAAGCGCTTCATTTTGACCGGGTGAGAGGGAATCGCAAGTTTCAGGGGGAAAAACTAGGAAGCGCGAGCACTGGGATTATTTTGCCGGTCAAACGGGGGCGAACTCGTCTCACAGCAGCCTCGCTTAGGCGGGTATATATATCCAAACGTGTAGTACGTACGCCACCTGTAGCGCTTGGCCATTAATGTCCTCAAGTAGCAAGTTCTTTGGCAAATCCTCACCCGTACGCAATTTTATCGCCAAGCCACTCCAGGCAGATGTTTATAGATGTATACCCAGCAGAAGTAGCGGGTACCTTGGTTTGCTTGTTGGGACCACACTTCCAGAAGTAACTGATACCTCAGTCTACAGGGTCCTGTATACAATCTATTTAACATTTATCCATGACTACTTAAATACTAAGGCCGAATATTGTCAATTCAATGTAACTGAAAGGCGCTACAGGGTTTGGCTTCCAAGGTTACTCTGTATCTAGGGAGTCGTCTGGTGGCACATCTAGGGATATTCACATCTACCTCTGGAAGCCCACCTGGGCAAGGCCCACTACTTGTTGGCATGGGCCTGGGAGAGTAGTGTGCTCACTACCGAGTACAGAGGGTTCTGTGTGTTTACACCCCGCATGCAGATCATGAAGAATCTTGGCAATGTACAGGATATGGCATATGGCGAAGAGATCATTAAAGACATACTTAAGTAGCCTAGACTCACGTCTTAGACTATGTCCATCAGATAAGACCGCATACCTAGGCAGTAGACAAGCCCTACAATATCCAGTCGAATAGAACATCACAAGGAGATCATATTGACGAAGCAGTCAAGACCGAAGGAACAAGCTCAAGTCTCAAACGGTGGAAAAAAAGAGAAACCCTCATTAGACGGAGAAAGAACCACGTTTGTATCATGATTGGATCGGGAAGAGTACAGAATCCTATTTCCATCCAGGGCCAGATCGTTTAAACTTTTTATTTGGTTCTCCTCCGAGTATTGGCGTCATGACCTTAAATCTGGTATGATCCGGTATCGATTCCGTTCCACATACACAGCTGATGCACAGAACTCCGATCATTCCCGTCGCAAAAATCTTTTCACATCGTCCCCTCACACCTTCTTATGGCGATCCGTTTATGCCTCGATGAGAGCACGGCGGATCTGGGTACCACGCTGGCGGGAAGAGAGACGGACCTGGGCGTCGGAAGGACCCTTCTTGACCTCCTCATCGGCCTCGGTGAGGATGAGCTCGATGTGGCAGGGGTTGGTCATGTAGGGGTTGATCTGTAGAGCAAAAAAAGAATTAGTGGATGCGCTTGGAGAGGACCATTTTCAATGATGAAACGTACACGACCGTGAGCACGGTAAGTGCGGCGGCGACCCTTGGGAGCCTGGTTGACCTGGATGCGCTTGACAATCAGGGCGTTGGTGTCGAGACCCTTGCCGTCAGCGTTGGCCTCGGCGTTCTTGAGCAGATCGATGATGTGCTCAGCGGACTTGACGGGCCAGCGGGCCTTGGAGACACCGAACTGCTTGCCTGGAAACCAGAAAGGTCAGTCCAAATTCCTGCAAAGTTTCTTCCCGATCGATATCCACAGCATCACCAATAAACCACCAATCAGCCAAGTAAATGCTTCTCTTCGTCGTCGGTTTCCTTATAAGATTCCTCACAAGATTCCTTCACATGGCTGCCGTTGGGTTGGTGATGCTCCCTTTTCCACAAATTTTCCATATCGATCGATCCGAATTTTTTTTTTCTTCTCAGGGAAACTCACCCTGGGCGGTGCGACCGGTGGAGCCGGCGTAACGGCGCATGGGAACGGCCATGGTCTTGGTGGTGACGTTCTCAAGGAAGGTGAGGGCCTTGGACAGCTTCATGCCGTTGATGGCCTGGGCGGTCTCACGGGTGTTCTTGAAGCTGACACGCAGGTAAGAGCCGCGCGCGCGGGCGCTCTTGGCCTGTGAGATCTCCTGTGCGGCGTAACGGACCTGTAGAGAGCATTGCTCGTTAGCAATGGTCCAGATGATCGAGTTGGTGATTTGACGATTTGACGGTGACAGCGAAAGTCGTAGAAGAGGTGTCACACGGGGATTCCGTAGAGAATGGGGTTCTGAATGTTCATTGTCGATAACAGGGACGGGCAGCACTCACCATCTTGAAGGAGTTGGCGACGGGGTGTGATGGACCTCGGTGGTGTGTTGATGTCGCTTTTCGTCGTCGTCCGGCGCTCGCTTGCGCCAGTGGATCTGTGGGTTTTTTTTCTCGCAAGCGAGGACCCACCGCCTAGTCACGTTCTGCCATACTTAGGGCTGCTGTCACCTGACCCAACACGTGACCGAGTCCCTCCCCGCTCTAAAGTTCTGGGACACCCAGTAGTAACGCGACTACTTTAGATCTATAACATCGTGGATTCCCCACAGCTTCGTTGGGGCTTTTATCTTGCTATGAGAGTCATTGGGGATACTATGGCCTCAGAGCTCCTTTCATCGCCAACATGAAGATCAAACTACCCCAGGAACTGGCTTATAAGCAAAACTGCCCGCAAAAAGTACGTTGCAATTATACTACTCCCGCGAAGAGTGCTCGTTTAAAACCTTGGCCATCTTATTGCTGGCCAAAATTATTAGAAGGTAGAGCTGCTCCCACTGCCAAGTTCCAAATGCCTGCTCAAGTAGATATTTAGTTCACCGGTGCCATTCACCTGGCCCCCTGGGACTTTCAAATCACAGTCGAGTTTCCTCTCAGCCAAATAACAAAGACGACAGGGCGCATAATTTGTGTTACAAAGTGAATGTACACAACGCTAAGAAAAATAGCTGCAGATGATCGATCCATGGATGTCTTGTTGTAGATGTGCCTGGCTCCCATCATTTCTGTTGAAGTCACCGAAAGCGACCCATTCACGATCTACACTAGAAAGTTTCTAAAGTTCAGCTTTTCCTTTAAAAAAAATCAAGGTAAGAAATCATTTCCTAAAATCAAAAGTTCCTTTCGTATCCTCATACTCCCAAGTTTAGTCCACGGCCCGACGCATGATACCACATAGGTTCTTGACCACCTGCTCTCTGCCACTTCTAGAGCTGAGATCAAACCACGGCGTTGAATCAACATACAGGAAAGAAGAAGGCGCATGTGATTCAAAATCCTGGACATATTCGTCGCTGATCTCAAAATCAAGGAAGCATATATAGTGCTGTGTAGCATGTATAACCAGTACTCTGTTCTATGTTGTTAGTATATGGTAAACTGGAATGTAATTAAACAGCCGAGAAGTACCTGTTGGATTTTGACCTCTCAGACATACCAGCCAATTTGGCAACCAAAGCCTCGCAAGTCATTTGTGCAAAGCAATCGTCCGAAATGATCGGCTGGCCATTTTCTAGGCACTGGAATTGCCTTTTGGCTTCCAAAACAGCCACACGGCTGTTAGAAACTTGAAATGTACCATTCGATTCTTGTCGTAAACACAGGCCTCCGTCGTCGATGGCTATAATTTTTCGCTTCAAGTTAGGAGTGCGGGCAGAAAGTCTTGTTTTGGCGTCTCGGAACTCGACAACGACGGGTAAATCCGCGGAATCTTGTGGCGATGCAAAATATAATATATGCCGAATAACACAAGATATAAGTCGTAAGGTTTCATCCTCCGGGGATGCTAGAAGTTTGTGGGATTCGGCGTCAATGAACTCCACCGAAGATGTCCCCTGGGACTCGGAGCTATCGGCTTCTGGGCTGCTAGATCCAACTTTCATTTCCCCCGAGTCGACATAGCATATCGGCGCAATGCGCTCGGTGCGCAGTCGGGGACGCTTTGGAGGTGGCTCAGCTTCACCGTCACTTTCCCCTGGAATAACTCTCGAGGCGTCCCTTCCCCGTCGCTTCTCGCTGCCTTTGAACATTGCCATTGCCCCCCAAATTTGACCAAGAGAGACACCACAAGTAGGGTCACGCACGAGACGGTGTTCACTTAGGGCCATATGGACAATATCTGGGCCATTCAGAAATTTGACGATCTCAGGGGATGAGTTCAGGTCTGAGGGAAGATGATGTGGCGACAGAGTTGGGAGAACACTGTGTTGAGCATGCCGCCGAATCACACGACAAGCAAACAAGTGATCACGTCCCCAATCACTGGCCCCGACATCACGAAGTTGAGAGAAAAGCTTCCTATTTTCGGCGAGAAAACGAGTCCTGAAGGATGATTTTGAGGTGACAGTATTGAAGTATGGATTGCTAGTCATGCTTTATAAAAGAGGGCTGAATTCTGATATTTTACTAGGGATCATGAGGACCTTTGGTCCCCAGATAGCGCCTTTGCGGAGCGTAGTGCACCTTCCTTTTCTTTCCTTATGTGTTTTGGGGCATACGAGGGGAAAGTGCGGCTGAATGTAAAGAGTCAGATAGGTGAGACTGGTGCTGATCAAAGGCCCCATAGGGATTGTTATCTTCATCGTTCCACATAGTGAGGGTATGAAAGCTTGACCAAGTCGACCGACGCCGTAAACTAAGGTTGGAGAAGCTGTGCCTGGGGATCTGCGGGGGGAAGTCGTGGTGTGGCTGGTGCAGGGCGGTGTTGTCGATTACGTCATGAACGAGGCTTGACTCTATACAACTTGGAGGTCGATGGGAGTGAGGTAAGTATATGACTCTACACTTGATTATAGGCTCATTTTATTTACTCTGAATTGGATCTTTGAAATTGTCTATGCTCTGAGTACAATAACCTTCTAGGGCGATACTAATCATAATGAGTAGTGCATCATCCAAGCTGATAGCAGCTATGGATGTTTAATTTTCTCAGTTGATTTCTTAAGCAAACGTTTCTCACTCGATAAATACCAGGTTTCCCTGAAGATAAGTATACTTTAGGCGCTTACGAGTTGGGTAGCCCATGTTGTATAAAGCATATCGTGAGAAGTTTCCATCACTTATCCCCTATGATGTACTAGACTTCCGCACCGACCCAGACAGCCCGGGCCCAACCCGGGCCCAACCTGCAGATTGGGCGGGCTCTGGGTCCGAGTATTGACCCAATGCTGGGCGTTGGGTCCAGTATAACCGCCCAATTGGGTTTACTGGGACCCAATTGGGCTTACAAACAGTGCAAACACTCAAAAACTCGGGATCTTGGCAGATGTATAAAAAAATGCAGATTTTTCTGGTACCAGGGACCTGGCGTCCCCCGGACCCCCAGCCTAGTGGTGGCGGAACGCAGTGCTCAGTCTGTTGTCTGCTCAATAGAGCTTGTTGACAGCGTCATCGCTGCCACTAGGCTGGGGTCCGGCGGACGCAGTGGCACCACAAAATATAATGGTAAAGGGGGATACACTACAAAGGTCGATTTTTGGGGAATGATTCGAGGATTTGCTGCGTTTGCAATGTTTGCAATGTTTGGGTAAATGTTAGCCAATCATAAAGTAGCGAGTGGGTCTGGCGGACCAATCATAACGCGCAAAGGATGGGGTGGGTCTTTTTGACCAATCATAGTGCGCATATCACTCTCGTCGACCAATCATAATGCGTAAAAATGCGGACAAGTGGGTCTGTCATTCGTCAAAAATCGACCTTCGTAGTATATCCCCCTTTACCATTACATTTTGTGGCTCCACTGCGTTCCGCCAATGATTGGCCAGAATGTGGATTGTGGCCGAATCGGGACTAGTGAGGCCACAATATTATTCTGCCGCGAGTTACAGAGCTACATCTCAAAAGCTGTTTTTCCTATTACTATTTGGGACCCAATACATATCTAGATCACGTGATCAAGGGGAACTGTGAAATAATTGCTCCGCTACGCTCCGCAATTACCTATATACCTACCCAAGTATTCACAACGCTGTATGGAGGAGTAACTAGTATGTATCTCAGGAGTCAGGATCCTTTGTCTATGAATCTTACCTAGGTACCTGGGGAGTGCGGGGAATCGGGTCCGGACTAAGTCAAGGTCCGAACCAGTTCTTCCCACGTCATGTGCTCAAAGCGGTCAACATGGACTGGGCAGAAAGAGCTTATCAAGGATCCGCGAACTTGTCAACTAGTAAACCTTGAACATGTCGGGCATCCTGACAAACAACTCTACACGATATGGAACCCAGTGTGAAGCCTCAACCACTTGCCTACATAATGCGCTATCATAGAGAGCTTTTGGTGGACCCAATGTTTTGGACATCCCGTCACCTGGATCTGATAGGATGTCGCTTCCAGTCGTGCAAGTCGACGGAGTACACCCAAAACAACGATGTGCGTCAAGCTCAAAGCAACGACAATGCGCTTGAGAGGTCTGATGTCGACCATGGACCCCCTAATCATTCAACATGGTCTCGTCCATCAGACCCTAAGCGACTGGCAGAAGGCTCCACGCCCCTCACTAGGCTCTTCTCCCTGATCCGCATTCTTGAGTATGAGGGAAGCACTTTTGAACAGCGTCGGTAAGCAATGTCATCTGTCTACAGGTAACCGCACCAAGGATTATGACTAACGATATTTATGAATAGCCCAAGGGAGCGGGCACCTAAATTCTACTTCGCAGGACGATCGATTCATCGGCCAGACTTTACTGTATTCGGTCGTCGCAAAGAAGCCAACTCACTACCTGATGATGCTTTCCAATGCTTAATAGGCTACTTTGACTACACATCTGCCTCTTGCGGCCGCCAAAATAAATTCCAGGCCAGATGCCATCCCGGTGGTGGCGATAACGCGCCAGTCGGGCGTCTCCATAACAAACGACTGGCCAAAATAACCCCAGCCAATTGGGAGGAGGACCCTTATTTCCTCTGTCTCTTGCTGGCTCTTGCCCAACTGCAAAAGAAATCCCTCCAAACCAAAGGGCAAAAAACATACACGGTACGTCTCTTTAAACACCAAAATACTCATTCTGCGAAACTCACAGCCTAACATTGATCATAGTCGCGTCTTCTCGTGTCGAAATGGCAAGAGCCTGAGTTCATCCATCTCTACGAGGCCCAATTCACCTCCGATCTTCTGGAAGCGATAGAAAACCCGAAAGATGCTACAGCCTATCTAGATTGGCCGACCATTTCACGGAAAAAGATCCCCTTTAAACCCTATGACACTTTCCGGGCACGTCTTGTCGCCGAGTTATCACTTCCAGAAAATCGCCACTGTCACAACGCCTCGGATACCAAAGATGCTACGGATGTTGTGAAAGGGGCACCGAAACGACAGTCCGAAGAAGAAGACGTGACGCGCACAGTGAGACGCAAGGTTGACATGACCTGTTGAAATGAGGACTAGCAATCCATCGATTGGTTCATCAGCCATTCTTCTTTGCTCTGCGTCAAATGCGTCAGACTCATCACACTGCCCCATTGTATTAAATGCCAGTACAGCCATTTCCCCCTCTGTTCGCAGCGTGCGTGTCTGAGATACCAGTTGGAACACAAGATCGCGACCTCATATCATTCCTGGCGTCTTGAAATCAGTTTCATTGGTGATATATCCATTCGGCTCTTCAGTTTAACTAGCTTGTTAGCTTGTCAACCTAGTTGAGCCTAGGTTGGGCTCACAGCGACGAGATCACTGATAAAAAGAACTCAGACTTCGTGGGATAATTTACAAATACGGATCCCTCGACTCGAGCGCCAATGAAACTCTAACGACAAACAAAACTCATCAGCGAGCTGAGATTGAGCGATCTCTCAAAGCTGCCGAAGGCTACATGATTTGAATGGCCTACTTAATACCCAGGGCTTGGTGGCGGATTCTACAAGGTTTATCAACCCACTGCTCACATAATTCAGTTCTGCAACGATGGAATCCCCTTTGAAAAAAAGCAAAACCAAAAAAACAAAGAGAAATTAACACATCAATTGAAACCCTGATACTCTGTATGTTGATCTCAAATGTGCAGTTTTAATGACTAAATCGGACTCAATAAAGCTATATCCAAGGCCAATCCCTGGGATATCTATAACTATTAATTAATATCTACTTCTTTTGCTCAGGAACCTGCGTAATCAGCTCTCCCTTCTCAACAGCCGATCGCAAGTTATCCAAAACCAGGATCTCCATATCCTTCTGTGTCTCATAGGTAGCAGTACCGATATGAGGCAGAAGCATCACATTAGGGTTGCTAACCAAGCCGGGCTCGATTTGGGGCTCGCATTCATACACATCCAAGCCAGCAGAGCGGACCTGTGAGAAAGTCATCAGTCTACTGCTTCATATCGCTTGATTTTTTCCAACATACCTTTCCAGATTCAAGCGCAGCAACCAACGCCTTCTCATCGATGAGTGCACCTCGTGCTGTGTTAACAACCACCACACCATCCTTCATCTTAGCGAACTCTTTCGCGCCAATGATGTGGCGTGTTGATGCGTTCAAGGCAAGATTCAGACTCAGCACGTCTGCATTTGCCAGTAGCTCATCGAAGGAGACATATGTCGCACCGGCTTCCAAGTCCGCCGGGAGACGGGATCGGTTGTGGTATTGAATCTTCATTCCGAAGGCCTTGGCTCGGATAGCCATTTCCTAGTGAGTGTTAGTTGAGTCGTGGAGATCAAGACTCTGGTATGCTTACCCGGCCAATACCTCCCATACCCAAAATTCCCAGGACCTTGTTCTTGGGATCGTGGCCCAAGGAGGTTCGGTATTCCCGTCCGGCAGCGGTGATCGGGCCTTGCCACTTTCCTATTGGCATGTTAGTTTCGAGTTTCTGTATCTCGTGTGCTTGAATTGATCACCACTTACCTTCGCGGAGTGCAGTGATCGGGACGTGAGCTTGGCGCAGAGCTCCAATCATTAGGAAAATACCCACGTCGGCTGTCGCATCATTGACTGCAACGGGGGTGCTGGATACGGCAATGTTTCTCTCGGAGCAAGCTGCGACATCGATGTTATCGTACCCTGCACCATTGTGACAGATATACTTCAAAGACTTGGGCAAAACAGCAACCATCTCTGCATTGAAGGAGCCGGTGAACTGGGACTGTCAGCAAAATTCACCCTCAATTGGATATTCTAGATCCTGACCTTGGTGGAATTGTTGGACCGGTAGAGAGCCACCACATCATCATACTGTCCGGCCTTGCAGTTCGCAATGAACTCCTCTCTGGTCCCGCTGGGGAATTCCTGCGCTCCTGTCAGCGACTGTCCATCATCCACGTCGCAATGCGCAATGCGATTTACCTTCAAGCTCAGAAGGGAAGAGATGCTCTCCCATTCTTTGCGCGCGTGTGTAATTTCTCCGATGAGGAGAGCGGATTGCGACATTTTCTCTGATTTGTATAAGTTCACAGTGACAGGTGTAAAGGAAAGAGAAAAGAGAAGAGAGAAAGAAAAAGTAATTGGAGATCCCCGCTATCGCGACATGGGGGTCATTCTCCACTTGCTGTTCTTGTTGTATAGTTACCTACGAGTAGTTAACTATGCAGTTCTACTTACAGGTATACCTCGACACCATTGCATTCTACACTCTCTCTATACTCTTTGCTCCTTACTCTGATCTATACAATATACTCTTATTCAATGCATTGACAAGCATCAAGTATCGAGTATCGAGTATCGAGTGTCCAAATGAGAGCCCCCACGTCGGGGAATGAAATTACCCGATTGTCAATAGCCGCCAGCGGAGCACCTCCGGAGGGGAAATGACGGAGTTGCAGAGGCCGTCAGGACACAACTTCCGAACTACTTGAACTTCCTTCGAGTTCCTCTCTTTTTCCTTTTTCCTTACAGCAATCCAAAGCTTCAATTCAATCATGACCGAAACAACCACTACAGCGCTTGTCCTGCACGGCGCAAAGGACCTTCGCCTGGTAAATCCCCCCACCCCCCAAAGTCTATAGAAATCCTAACAAAATCCAGGAACAACGCACAATCTCCAACCCAGCCGACACAGAAGTCCAAGTCTCTGTCCGTGCAACAGGTCTCTGCGGCTCAGACCTGCACTACTACAGCCACGGACGCAATGGCGACTTCGTAGTCCGCAGCCCAATGTGTCTAGGCCACGAATCCGCCGGCACAGTAACAGCCACCGGCAACTCCGTAACAAACCTCAAAGTAGGCGACCGTGTCGCCCTGGAAGTCGGTCTCCCCTGCCGAACCTGCGCCCTCTGCAAACAAGGCCGCTACAACATCTGCAAAGCAATGCAATTCCGCAGCTCCGCAAAGCAATTCCCCCACTTAGACGGCACCCTCATGGAACGCACAAACCATCCAGCCGACATGTGCCATTCCCTACCGGATAGTGTATCCGATGCTGGTGGTGCCTTGGTCGAACCTCTAGCTGTGACTCTGCATGCTGTCCGTCGCTCCCGCCCACCCAGCAAGGACGAAGTAGCCGCGAACCGAGCCGCAGGCGAAGAAACCGCGGCACTGGTCTTTGGCGCGGGTGCAATCGGGCTCCTTCTTGCGGGTGCTCTGGCTACCAGTGAGAATTTCTCCAAGATCATTGTTGCGGACATCGATGCCCGCAGACTTGAAATTGCTCAGTCTATGGGATTGGGCTTGAAGACCATTCTGATTCCAAGGGCTGAGACACCCCCTCCATCTAAGGAGGCGCCTCATGCTGAGCAGACTGCTTATGCGCTGGAGAATGCGCAGCGTGTTGCGGCTGTGTTGACTGAGGCTGCGGGTGATGATGGTCTGATCATTCCGGGCTTTAGTCGTGTTTATGACTGTACGGGTGTGCCGGCTTGTGTGCAGGCGGGTATTTATGCTAGTGCGCCTGGTGGTGTGTTGGTGCAGATTGGAATGGGAAATCCTATCCAGACGCTGCCGGTTGGTGCGGCGGCATTGAGGGAGGTGGATATCATTGGTGTCTTTAGGTATGATGGGTTTGCGTACCCTGCCGCTATTGCGTTGTTGGCTAGTGGGAAGATGAGGAGTGTGGAGGAGAAGGTTGTTACGCATAGACTGAAGCTTGAGGAGGGAGAGCGGGCATTTACACTTGCTGGAAAGGGAGTTGATGAGGAGGGAAACCCTGTTGTTAAGGTTATTATTGAGAACAGACGGGGTTCAAACGGGTCTCTGTGAGACTGTGTGAGTCTTTGAAGGGGCGTTGATGTGTTGTGATGATTGAAAATACCCGATGTGAAAATAGAGCAAGTGATGGTGATGAATTTGAATTTCTTTAGATTGGATCATTGAGAATGATATGTGATGTGTTCAATTTAATATGTCATAATAGGCTGTAGACTACGAGCTGAGAAGCTCTTGGTCAACTGCATCGCAGATATAAATGAATCCTCATTTTAACCCTCCTGCCAGTAGAAGACTCTGACCAGTCATATATCCAGTTTTGGCAAGCATGGTGACAACATTGGCTGTCTCCTCTGGCGTTCCAAGACGCCCGATAGGTATACCAGCCGCCACTTCAGGGATAGCTGCGGCATTAGGGATCATGCCTGTCTCACCGATCATAGCAGGAGCCACATCATTGACACTAATATTGAACTCAGCAAGCCGAGTAGAAAGATTCTTCATCATTCCAGTCAATCCACCCTTGGAAGCGGCGTAGTCTAGAAGAGAGTTAGCTACTCAGTCTAAAGAATAAAGGATCTCAATCACATACGGCACCCATTGATACCTCCGCCTTGAGCAGCAATCGAGGACATGAATATAATGCGACCCCAGTTCTGGCTCTTCATACGCTCTACAACACCCTTGACCAGGATGAAAGATGCGCGCAAGTTGACCTGGAGTGTATAGTCGAATTCCTCGAGTGTGCAATCCCAAATGTTTGATACCCGTTTTCCGTAACCGGCGTTCGAGATCAGGATGTCGGGTCGGTGCCCGTGCTCTTTGTCGATTTCTTGGAACATTGTCTCGATGTTATCGGCAGATCCGACATCTACTTTGTGGATTGAGATGCGAAGCTCCTTGTCGGCGTATTTGCTCTGCAGGTCAGCCACCAGTGCGTTCATGGCGGTCAAGTTAGTCGCGTATGTCAACGCAAGATTGACTCCATGTTGAGCAAGTTGATTTGCGCACGCTGCGCCAATACTAAATAAACAAACGTCAGTACTTTCCGTGCGTTGAAGACCGGGAACGTACCCTCCCGAAGCACCAGTGATAAGAGCAAGTCGGCCCTGGATCTCGTTGAGTGACATGATGCGATGATAGTAAAGCTGAAAGACAAGTTATCCAGAGTCAGACCCCAAAGCCCGCAAGCTCAAGTGATAACAATTGATCCTCGGCTACCCCTCGGCGCGATCTCCGAGGGTGCACCCCCTCAGCCCCGCATCAATTGCCGCTGGCGTGGGGGCCGCGAATCACAAAACTCGCCGAACTCCCTAGAATAGGAGACTGCTGCTCATATCCCCCATCCAAGCAGAAGGCTGCCAGCTTTGCGACCGTTCCTGTCCTTGGTACACGTCCGATGTGTTCTGGAATGCATCTAGCCCTGACAACCCGCCCGAAATCTGATCGCCGGAGACATAGTCGCCCACAGCCTCCAGATCCAGCCATGAGAAGTCGTTGGCCGGGCTGAAATGCATGTAGCCTGGGTCTGTGACGGGGTTTGGAAGGGCTGTTTGCATTGGGAACTCAGTGGTCTGTTCTGCAGATGAAGCCGGTTTAGGCTTCCACAGAAGCTCTAGGAGACGGGCATAGCGTGACCCGACATCGTCGGTGCCAGCGCTTGCTTGTTTGAGCACTTCGGTTGTTCGGCTCACTAGGCCTTGGACCTTGGCTTCTTCAGAGGGAACCATCATGCCGAAAGAACGGGCCTGTGTCGCGGTCAGACAGTCACGAGAAGAGAACTTTTTGAATAGTGTCTTACCTTGTAGAGGAAAACCGCAGAGTAAATCCCGTATAAGTAGAAGCGGAGAGGCATGAAATGCAAGTGCTTCTCGGGATCTACCAAATCGACAAGAATAGTCAGGTAAGACTTGGCTGCATCAACGGACTCATAGATGAATCGTGAATCTTGCATAGATGCAACATTCTTGAACGTCGATCGAAGCTGCTCTCTGTGTCCTTGTGCATCACTCTTCGGCTTGGCCAGAGATTGAGAGATAGCTGCCTGGAATGCAAAAGCAGTCGTATATAAACGCAAATACTCGTAAGACAACTGCAGAGTTGCCCTCATCGGTCGTGAGCCTGCGACGTTAGCACAAAGACCGCGGCATTGAAAGCAAATCACTCACAATCCAAGGATCCCCAAAGCGACTTCCATCTCAGTATCGCAAGCCGGAAATCATCCACATATTTAACATAATCGCCCATCAGCATCATCTGATTACTCGTCCGCATCCCCGAATACAACACCTCATGGACATTTCCATAAAGCTGTGTCAGATCAAGCATAGCCTGAAAGATCTTCGCATAGTCTTCCTCCCCTTCCTTCGCAGGCTGCAGGGAAGGGAAATCTTGACTAACGAGACCAGTCATGGGCCCAGGCCCACGGGACCAAAATGCTCTGCCAATGCGCACAGAAATCAACCGATCAGAGACATAGCAACTAGCCCAGGCTAGTCGTCGTCTCGCCTCACCCTCTTGATCCCCAAACGGATCACCTCGGAAAGAGGTCCTGTCCATGCCGATGAAATAGCCCGACCGAAGCGCCAGACCCACGTGCATCCACGCAGCGCGGTCTTCCTCTCCTCGACCCACACGCTCGATCCGAGGTCGCAGACCCTGCGGCTCCCACTCCGCAAGAAGGAGGAGCGCCTCGACGGCTTCCACGTCGCATTCTGCACCGGCTGCAATCCCGGAAATCAACTCGTGCATGTACTTTGAGCAGTACTCATGGATTTCTGGCTGATCGACCAGATCCTTCGATGCAATGGTGAGCACCGCGGTCAATAGGTGTTTCTCCGTAGCGAAGGCGTCCAGCGCAGCGCGGGCGAAATACTTCCTCGGCACGAGGGGCAGGTAAGGGTGAAAATTCTCCGCATATCGGGAGATCAGCTGCCAGACAGTTTCGGGGTCTAGCGAGCGCGACTGAACGAGTCTGTAGGCTCGGATCCCGGCCGGGTTACTAAATTCGGAGATGACACTGTTGCGAATGTTGTATGTTGGGAAAGATGACTCTGGACGCGGCTCGCGTGGTTCTGGAGCCTGCGCTATACCTGTTAGACATTGCCAGGCGTCTGATGGATTTCGTGGGACGGAGCCTATGGAGGCGTCATCCTCTTCTACTGATGTTGGGGCGGGTGGCGGGTTGGGTGGTAGGAAAACCACCGGGCCCGGGTAAGAGACAGATTGACGATTTTCGGAATGAGTCGGGCTTGACACGTCTGAATCTTTGCTGGAGGGATTGGTTGGTGTGAAATTTTTGATTTTGTTCTTGCGGATTCGACGTCCGCCGCGATTTGAGCCGCCGAGCACGCATTCGCGGTTTTCGCGGACGCAGCGCTGGCACGGCGGTTTGCCAGTGCCGTTGCTATCTCTGCGCACGGTCAGCATCCTCCGTGCTAGGGGTGGTATTGGGATCATCCAGGACGGAATCCAGTATCAGTCACGTACAGGTCACATCGCGACTTGCGTTGTCGGCAATGCAGGCAGGCTCGGGACACCCGTTTGGCGATATCGCGCCGGCCACTTTCCGTTGGGGATTCGTCCTCCATGACTTAGAGTGTGATGAGGCATTGGAGAGCAAGCAGATGCAGATGGAGGCGTCCCCACAAAAACAGCCTTACTCATCTGGAGGAGCTCAGGCTGTGGGGGAAAGTTGCGCTAATGGCAAAACGCTCCTCCTCCCGGACTCGTCACTGTATACTGTACACTGTACGCACTCTACTTGACTACAATGTATTTAGTGAGACTGTATTTAGTACACTTAAGCTGTACGGAATACTGTACAGATATTGAATTTGATTACTTTAATATACCAATATAAACCTGGCTCAATGTATGTCTACAGGTACAAAGAGCATGTAGCAGTTCAATCGCCGACCGGCTATTGAGCGGCTATTGACCCCCCACGGACCCCGCGTAGGTCATTTCGACTCTTATTTAGTCACTGACGACCTCAATTGCATTCACACGCAAAACATACACAAAATATACACAATGACAGACGTATTCAGCCTGTTCTCCCTCAGCGGAACCACCGCCCTCGTCACTGGCGGAACCCGAGGCATTGGCCAAGCCATGGCCTTCGCCCTGGCCGAAGCCGGCGCCGACATTATTCTGGTCCAGGTACGATAAACCCCTCAGGAGACCGACAGGCGACTCATGCCGAGCAGAGAGATACCACCAACACCGCCACCAAAGATGAAATCACCAACCGCCTCGGTCGCAAGGCATGGATTCACGTCGCCGAATTGGGGGATCGGCAAGCCGTCAAAGGCATCATCCCCGCATTAACCAGTCAAGGCCTGCAGCCGCAGATTCTCGTGAACTGCGCCGGTATCCAGCGTCGACACCCAAGCGAACAATTCCCCGACGAAGACTGGGACGAGGTATGTAAATATCCATCCAAATATAGATCGCAATCTATTAGTGCCCCTGACCCATATCTAATTTGCGGAAAAAAACTCCCAGGTCCTCGAAGTGAACCTTTCCTCCGTCTTTGCCTTATGCCGAGAATTCGGGGCCTATCTGCTAGCGCGTGATGCGTCCGAATTCCCCTCCGGACGCCGAGGCTCGATTATTAACGTTGCATCGCTCCTCACCTTCCAGGGTGGAATCACCGTCCCCGCCTATGCGGCGTCCAAGGGAGGAATCGGACAGCTCACCAAGGCGCTGTCGAACGAGTGGATCTCCAAGGGAATTAATGTGAATGCCATTGCGCCGGGATATATTGCCACGGACATGAACACGGCGTTGATTAATGATGCGAACCGCAACACGGCGATTATGGCACGCATTCCGGCTGGGCGATGGGGCTCACCAGAAGACTTCAAGGGCGCTGTGGTGTATCTTGCCAGTCGGGCTAGTGGGTATGTGTCTGGCGAGATCCTCACAGTGGATGGTGGATGGATGGGTCGGTAAAGACCAGTGTTTGAGAATGGATCTAGCGTGTACATAAACATAAAGACTATGAACGGAGAATGACTCCATACAAGTACATATTATGCTATTCTTGGGAAAACCGAACCGAGTCAGACTCCTCATCCATAAGTACTAGTTAAGTCGAACTAACTACTTGGTATTCTGTGTATGTACATGTACCTCACAGGCCATACTACCTAGTAGTAAATAGTAAGTAGCAGTACAAGACAGACTACTCGTATTTGGTCTGTGCGACCGAGGTGAAACAACTTCAACGCCAAAAACACATGGTGGATGGAGCCTGACAGCCACTGTGGAAAAAACTCTGCAAATAAATTAACCTGGCAGGTATCTTGACAGTTCGAAATGATCCAGGGCCCTCCAGAGCCCTCTCGTCCAAGCATTGGCGTGACGCCTGTCGGACTGGAGCTGCAGGGGTTGTGAACAGCGAATCACATCGACAGGCGACAGGGGCCCTGAGCATTTCAGAAACACTGGCGGGCTTGGAATTCACCACTGGAGTCCTCCCGATAGGTTCATGCAATCTAAACGCCTTGAACATTCGCTCATCAGCCCATATAGGGGGGAACTCTGGACATGTCAATCCCAGCAGTTTAAAACTCCAGCCGCCGAACCTGAAGTCAGAGCGTTCTTCGATTTTGATCGACATCCTTTCTTTTTTCTTTCCTTTTTCTCTTGGCTGAGCGTTGATCGCAACTTCTCGGGAAGATCGTGGTGACCATCCCTTGTTGGCATTCTTCACCTCCCAAGTCCCCCAGGCGCTGGTCTTCTTTGGGATTCGAGATCTGTTGATCTGTTTTGGTCGCCTTGGATCTATTTAGATCTGCTTTGTCTCATTGTGGTCTTATTGTTCCTATTGTGGACTCCTGACACTCATTGTTCATTGTTTGATACAATGTCCCTATTCTGACACACTCTTTGTCCTGCAACAAAGGGCTTCTCCATATACCCTCGCTACTGCCCTGCTGGCACTCAATTTTTTATTTCATCTGGTCTTCGAACTTCGACTTCTACACACCGTTCACCGCTGCTGAGCAGCTATCCACGACACATCTGTCGCATTTGATCCAATTCACACACATTCGATGGCAACCCCTCCAGATATTGCGGGACGAGGCTTTGGATCCGACGCCACATACATATATGAATATTCTAGGGGCCTGGGGGGAGTGGATGTTCCTCGCGATGTGATCATCACCCGGATCATCTACTCTTCGCTCGTCATTCTAGCCCTCGTGCTGTTCTGTGGCCGAATAGCCCAAATCAGCCATGCATACCTCCGCCAAATCACCGCCTCCAGCGCAAACAAGAAACAGCAGACCTTCTGGGCCCAGGAGGTCTCATCATGGTGGCCCGCTATCAAAAAGCACTTCCTCTACGCCCCACTGGGCAATAAGAGACACAATAGAGAACTGCAGCTTTCCTCTGTTGTGAGTGTTGGCACTCTGCCCTCCCGACTGCAGACTATCCTGGTCTTCCTCTATTTCTCCAGTCAAGTCGCATACTGTGTCTTCCTGGACTATAAGGTCAACCACAAGGCAGCGCTCCTAGCAGAGCTCCGCGGACGATCAGGGACGCTGGCCGTCCTTAACATGGTGCCTCTATTCATTCTCGCCGGCCGAAATAATCCATTGATCTCAATCTTGCACATCAGCTTCGACACATACAACCTCCTCCACCGCTGGCTAGGTCGTATGGTGGTGATTGAATCAGTGGTCCACACAGCTGCATGGGCCGTCAACGCCGTGGACGAGCAAGACTTTGCGCACATGCTCGACCGACTTCAAACAACACCCTTCTTCACCTGGGGCCTAGTGGGAACCGTCGCAATGATATTCCTTTTCTTGCACTCTCCCTCCCCAGTCCGACACGCCTTCTACGAGACATTCCTTCACCTGCATCAATTAGCAGCCTTGCTAGCATACCTAGGCGTCCTCCTCCACCTGAAGCTGGACAACCTCCCGCAAGTAAGCTGGGCAATCGCCATTGCAGCAATCTGGTTCCTCGACCGCATAACCCGTCTCATCCGCCTCCTCCACCTCAACGTCTCAACAGGAGGCACAACAACAATGACCGTGCAAGCCCTCCCAGGCGAAGCCTGCCGCGTAACCTTCCACCTCCCAAAACGCATCCCCATCCAACCAGGCTGCCACGTCTTCGTCTACATCCCCAAAATCTCCTGGTGGATGTCCCACCCCTTCTCAATAGCCTGGGCAGAAGACACCTCAACCCCACAAATCCAATCCTCCAAATACGCCGATCTGGAAAAACAAATAACACTCCCCTCAGCAACCAAGTCCCAAATCTCTCTCATAATAGGCGCCCAGAAAGGCATGACCCGCACCCTCTTCAACCTCGCCAACGCATCCCCTTCCAAATCAATCTCCCTCCCAGGCTTCATAGAAGGCCCCTACGGCTCCCACCCAACAAACCCATCCAGCTACGGCACTGCGGTCCTCTTTTCAGCAGGCGCGGGAATAACACACCACCTCCTCTACACAAAACAACTCGTCCAAGCAGCTGCAGCAGGAACAGCAGCCACCCGCCGCGTCTACCTAGTCTGGTCCGTCCGCTCAACAGACCATTTATCATGGGTGAGCAAATTCATGGATCAAATCCTACGGTTACCAGGTCGTCGGGACATTCTTACTGTGAAATTGTTTGTCTCGAAGCCCCGCAAGGCATCTGATATAGTCAGCCCCTCTGCGTCAGTTACTATGCAGGCTGGTCGGTGTAGACCGGATGTGGTTCTTGATGAGATTTTGCCAGGGCGTGTTGGCGCTACGCTGGTTAGTGTCTGTGGGCCTGGGGCATTTGCTGATGAGGTTAGAGATGCGGCTAGGAAGAGGATTGGGAAAGGTGCTGTTGTGGATTTTGCAGAAGAGGCTTTTACTTGGTAATTGTTACTGTATATTTTATATGGAGTTGTGAGACTTAATTAAGCGTGTTATTTTTCTTTTATTTTTTGGATTTCTTTTTAATATTGGCGGGTTTAGCGTGTTTTGACTCTTTGCTAGAGCTCAGCTTCATATACATATAAAATTAATTGAAGAAACACATGGTTCCATCTACTCCGTATTATTACTGCAACCTTGGAAGGCAATGATTGTGCTGATACATGTCATAAGATTCTGACCAAGAGGCCCTATTCTAATTATCTCGAGTTTCCTGGTCTACCAGACGGTATATAAGGTGTATATGCAGCCAAAAGCTAACCAAAAACAAAGATTTGTGCAAAGCACTCAAACGTCGCAAATAAAAGATGCAAGATCGCCACGCGAAATGGAATCACAATGAGGCAAAAAGAAACAAGTAAACACAGGATGCAAAATTGCATCCACACTGCCGAAAGAATAGGTACAATATAAGGAGATGGAGAGAGTCATTTTGAGATATGAGATATACTCAGATCAAGGGAATCAGTGAATCAAAATCAGGAGATTAAGCAGTCTTCTGCTTCTTGTTCTGAGACTTGGGGACACGAGCAAGCCAGTAGATGAACACAGCAGCGAAGATATTGAAGATGATGTAGATCCACATGAATCCGAAGTTGCGCCAGGCATCCTTCCAGTAACTGCTGACACCTGCGAGGAACATGTCTGTTTCCGCGATGCTGCAGAACTGGCAGTCGGAGGTGGCCTTGGGATCAACCAGGTAGCCACCTGCCTTGGACATGTAAGCCTCCATGTATTTACCGCAGGTTTGGTTGTTGAAGGGCTGGAACTTGAGCAGCTCGATATCCTCACAGATGACGCGAGCACCGGCAGTACCGGTGGACAACATTGCGGAAACAAGGTATGTGAAGGGTGAGACGCGGTACATGAAGATCCAGAAGTGGGGCATTTTTTCGGGGGTAGCGAGGACACCACAGAAGATGAGACAGAGGGAGAAGACCAAGTTGGCAATGTTACCACCTGTTTCGGCGAGCTCAATTCCGGCAATCACCATGTGGGCAAAAGTGGAGGTGAACAGGAGGAAAGTCCAGATGAGAAGGAACATCAGGGCACCGCGCTCATGGAGGTTGTCCATCATCTCTGTGTTGCGGTACAGACCAATAGGGTAGTACCAGCAGACGAAGATGAGGACGGCCATGAGGGTGTTCCAGGGAAGTTCGACAATGATGTTGGCTGCCATGAAAGCCTTCCAGGAGTAGGACTTGGATGGGCGCTCACGAACCTCGTAGAGGGAGCGTTGAGTCACAAAGTGAGGCATGATTTGTTGCACCAAGTTACCAAAGATGGTCATCAACATGAAAATACTGAACATCTGGTTCTGGAGTCCTTGCTGACTGTTCTGGGCGTGAAAGAAGGAGAAACCGATGTACAGAGCCGTGAGAGAGCAGAGAGCAGCCTTGGAGTAGATGTAGATAGGAGTACGCCAGTATTGACTGAATACGCGAACAAGACACTCCCAGATTTGAACAGAGAATGGCGCAGCGAATTCATTGAAGGCAGTTGGGTCATTGTTTGTGGTTTCAACGGGTCTCGCAGTGAGAGTGTGCTTCAGGTGGTCGAGGTGGTTGTGGACTTCTTGGCGTTCAGGGCTGTCACGCCAGACGGCGGGCCAATCGATTTCACTGTGAGATCCGGGGGCTGCACCGATGACTTCCAACATCCATTCGGCGGGATTAGCGTCGGAGGGTAGCGTGGGGGCACCATTGCGTTCGAAGTAGCTGGCAAGAGTGTGGGACTTTTCACCAATGTCTCCGAAGTAGACGGTCTTACCACCACGGGCGAGGAAGAGCAGGCGATCGAAACGTTGGAAGAGCATAGCGGAAGGTTGGTGAATGGTGCAGAGAATGGCTTGACCGTGATCAGTGAGGGTGTCAATGAGATCCAGAATCGACCAGGAAGTTTGAGAGTCAAGACCAGAAGTAGGCTCATCCAGGAACAGAAGAAGCTGAGGCTTGGCAGCAAGTTCGACACCAATAGTCAGACGCTTACGCTGCTCGACGTTAAGACCTTCACCGGGGACACCGACGACGGCATCGGCGTAGTGTTCCATTCCAAGAAGCTTGATGCACTCCTCGACGTAGTCGAGCTTCTCCTGGTGGGAGACATGGGCGGGTTGACGGAGGACAGCACTGAAGCGAAGAGCTTCGCGGACAGTGGAGGTATGCAGGTGAAGGTCTTGTTGCTGGACGTAACCAGTCTTACGCTGGAAGGACTGGTCGCGCGGGCGACCGTCAACCAACATTTCACCGGTAACAACACCCATGGTCACACGAGTGGCAAGGACATCCAAAAGAGTGGTTTTACCAGCTCCAGAAACACCCATGAGCGCGGTGCAAGTACCAGGCTTAACCCAACCATCAACGTGATCGAGAATGCGGCGTTCCTCCTTCTTGATCTGAATATCGTAGCAGACGTCTTGCCAGTGGAAGATAGCAGTTTGTCTTTGAATGCCACCCGACTGTTCACCAGGGCCATCATCCTTCTTGCCGGCAGGGCTCATAGCAGTCATTTCGATATCGCCATCGGCGGGAGCAGACTTTCGTGGGGTTTGACCACGGCGGAACAGCAGGACTTCACCCTTGGACTTGGACTCGGAGATATACTCGGTGCCGATGAGGTAGGTGGCCATAAAGAAGATCATGAAGCAGAACATAATACCCAAGTTTCTCCACTTGTGGTCATTAGAGTATTGGAAACTGCTGGTGAAGTAGTCGTCGCCATTGATGAAGGCTTGACCAGCCTTGGCACCCTTTTGGGAACAGATCCTGTTGTAGGGACCGGCCTCCGCATAAGACCCGACGGCGGGAGGAACAAAATAGTCATCTGGGCAAGGGAAGTTGCGGTTGTGGAACTCATTAACAATCAGAGACTCGAAGCCGTACGCAATCGGGTCAATGTAGTTCATCCAGCGGGACCAGCCAAGCATGTTGCGAGTGGGAATGGTGAAACCAGTGTAGATGACCAGACCCAGGATCAGGATGGCAGCGGGCACCAGGGCCTGGGACAAGGTACGCGAGGTAGCAGCGATGGTACGGAACACCATTGACATGGTCAGGGTGGTCACAACAGAGAAGAGCAGGAAGGTGAAGAAAGCCCCAGGAGTCTGGCGGAGACGTGTCATAAAGTAAAGCGGGATATTGAAAGTGACCGCATTAGTGAGCTTGTACGGCAAATCACACAGCATGGAGGCGATGGCCTCGGCGAACGGGTGGTACATAGCATAGCGGGCTTGCTTTTCGACGATAGGGCGTTGGGCGTAAAGAGTGAGAATCTCCAGGGCACTGGAGAAGGCGTTGAGGAGAACAGCGAAGAAAAGCAAGGCACCGCGGGAGTAGAAACTCGTCACGTCGTCGGGCAGTTGGTAGAAGACAGAACCGATAATCAAAGCCATAATGAAGTTACCGATCAGGGCTGAAGTGGATAAACTGGCATCGCCCTTCAAACGCTGGAAACCGCGACGCACGCAGAGATCAACCTGTTCCACGACTGACATGGTGTAGGGGGACTTGGTGCGTGTGTTCTTAGACTGCATAGCCTTGCGAGACTCGACAAACTTGGACAAAGCCTCGCCACCCTTGGGGTACTTTTCATCGTACTCGGCGATATCCGCTTGCAACTTTCGGTATGCCTCGCTGTTCTTCCAGGCGAGGGCGAAATCGTCAGGGGTGCGGGGGACGCGCTTCTCGTAACCTTCCTTGACGATGCGCTCGGTAGGACTGGTCAATGAGGTGAGGAAATCGGCGGTGGTTTGACGCTCGGGGCACTCGAAGCCCATGTCGGTGAAGAACTCCTTGGCCTCGTCGGTGGGACCAAAGTAGATCTGTCGGCCCTCATACAGGACGGTCACCTTGTCGAAAACATCGTAGGCGCTCTGAGAGGCCTGGTAGATAGCCACGGCACAGGTGGTACCAGCATACTTAGCCATCAGGTTAAGAGTCTTACAGAATTCCAGGGCGTTGGCACTGTCCAGACCACGGGTGCTGTTATCCCAGCACTGAAGAGGACTGCCACAGAGGGTAGCTTCAGCGATACTGACACGCTTGCGCTCACCACCGGAAACACCACGAATGAAGTCGTTACCGACCTGGGTGTTGATAGTGTGGCCCAGACCCAACATGGCCATCACCACGTCGCGCATGTGCTCAGCATACTGGTCGCGAGTGACACCTGGCAACCGGTTGCGAGGGGCACGCGACAGAGCAGCAAACTTCAAGGTATCTCCCACTGAAAGCTGGGGGAAATGCACATCAGTCTCCGCGGTGTAGATAGCCTCACCACGGAACTGCGTGCGCATCTGCTCATCAGTGATACCCTGGTAGTTGAGGTATGATAATTCGTCCTTGTAGATACCATTCATCTCTCCGGCAATGGTCTTCAAGAAAGTCGAACAGCCGGAACCAGGGCGACCGAGCACAACCAGCATCTCGCCGCTCTTAACCAGACCATCGAAGTTCTGGAGAATCTGAATCTTCTGCTTTCCAGTCCCAGCCATGGAACGGAACAGTGCACCAACCTGCAACACGGAGTTTGCGACATCCTTCTGGTAATCGGTGGGACTTCCAAATCCGTGCACGCTGAGGTTTCTAAAAGCAAGGCCAGCCTCGCGCTTGAGGTCCTTATCACCGTGGCGGGAGTTGATCGCAAGGAAGTTCTTCATCCAATGCTTGGCCTTGAAGTTGCTGCTGTTCGGGTCGAGGGTTGAATCCTTGTCGACGCTTTCAAAGGTGTTTTGTTCGGCGACATCCAGGGCCATGGAGTGGCGTGTTGATTGGCGGGTGAGTTGGCGCGCTAAGCTGCGCACCTCTACTTCGACGTGCTCCTCGTCTAGGATTTCGTGGTTGTCGGGGATCATGGTACTGGCATTGGACATACTCATGCAGGCTCCGGGGTCATGGCGACGAGCCTCCATGGCGGCGATATAGCTTTCCTCCGACGCATAGGCCGAGGAAGCGTGCGGGTTCACAGTCCCTAGTAACGACATTGCCTCCAAATGGAGCGTCGAATCTTAGAAAGGGTGAAACAGTTTGGTCCCGAGGTGAAAAACAATCCGAATTAAGGGATATAGGGGGTAATAAAAGAGAGTGTGTAGATCAAGAATGCAACATGAGAAAAATGAGTGTATACCACAATAGCGAATGAAGTGGTTAAAGTATACTGAAAAAAAAAGAAAGGATTCAAGGTTGGCAAGACCAATCGGGAGGAGAGAGCGTGGTGGCTTCCGGTCAGAAAGTTCCAAATACTTAGTTATCGGGGGGGGGCGGACTAGGCGAGTTCCCGAATGATTTTTAGGAATTATTGTGCTGTATTGAGTTACGCGGTTGCTGGTATTTTGCTCCATTATCCGGTTAGGGTTCGTGTTCATCTTGACAATCGTTGCCCAGCGAGGTAAGTCCAGTGGATTATCATACTTGTGTTCAAGGGGGGTTTTACGGGTATCCTTAGCTCCGATCTGCTGAATTTTTAGCATCTGTCTGCAGATGTGTTTCGTTTCATGTTCATAAAAAAGGGGACTTCCAACCGAACCCCAGGATTCGAAGTGCCAAAATTTGAGATTGAAAATACGAACGAATAATACAGGAATCCGGAGTAATTGAACGTGAATTGCAATTCCATTCCCAAGGTTCTTTTTCCACCCGACCCAGGGTCACTGCTTCGTCCAGATCTTGGCTCGGATGCCGGGAATTCAGCATCCGGATGACTCAGCCCAGGGGTCCGCCTGAACCGGCACTTTAATTCGATGGCTTTAATCGAATCTTAATTGTCCCCACTCGGCAATGGGGAGTACTTAAGGTACTATTGTAATATAGATCTCGTATGGATCTCCTTTAAATAGATGCTATAGTACTTGTATCTCAGAATAATTCATGGACTACGAGTAGAACTATACAACCGGGAAAATACGGGTGACCACTTTCATACGAGTACACTCAATTGCTCGGATCGATCTAGCCCGCTGATGTGCATGGACGGGCTGACGGTGGGCCGATTGGTGCGTTCGTGTCCTGTATGGTCAGCGGGTGGCGTTCAGCAGACCTCATGTTTGACATGGGTCATTCGCCGGCTCGAAAAGAGTAAACGGTGTACTCCGTGCGCCGTACTCGTACTGAGAGTATGTATGTACTTACGGTGTCTCTCTCCAAAGCATCTAATTCGCCATTGGACTCAGACATGGCACAGGGGAAATTTCATTTCTGTAGTACAATGTACATAAACGAGCAAATCCGGCTACAGATTGATCCGTGCATTAGACCCATCATATCACGAAATATCGGTCACATCATCCTCGTCATCGTCTTCATCCTGAATCGGTTCCACTAACAAATTCCCACCCCGACCGATCTTCTCGCGAATCGAGCCTCCTTCATCCAGAGAATAGACCACCCGAGGCATCGGTGAGACCAGTCGAAATGCATATTCGTGCACAAACCCCTCAGGTTCCCCAGTGACGGGGGCGTCTGCATCCTGCAAGGCTTCCCAACATTCGACCGTGGCGTAGAGCTCTTCCAGATCGGCGTTAGGCGCAAACTTGCGCATAATGCGCTCGCCAGACGGTAGTCGAACACTCACACGGACAGTATCCTTGACATCCGCCCCAGGCTCGGCGCTGAGAGACTGGGCGCGCCAGATCTTCCACTGAGCGAGGTCTCGGCGCCTCCGCTCCTCTGCCGCTTGGCGCCCGGCGGCTTCTTGTTCCTCGCGCTGTCGCTCCGCCTCTGCTTCACGGCGTTGTCGGGCGCGTTCGCGGTCGATCGCCAGGGACCGCTCGTAGGCTGAGTCTTGCTCTTGGCGTAGGTTGCGGGAGGCTTGTTGGTCTGCGCGGGAGGATCGAATGCGCTCGAGTGGTTCCTGATTCGAAGTGACGGCCGCGCGGAGTTTGGTGAGGACTTCGGTGGGGGAAAGCACTCCGGCAATTCGGCCCACGACAGACATGGCAGTAGAGGAGACATTGGGCGTATGGACAACAACTGCGGCAAAGGGGAATTTGGTGACGCGCAGTGAGTTGGCGACTTGGTATGCCTCGGAGTCACGGACGTTGCCGCCCCACACGAGGAGATTGTTTTGAGGATCGTTAATGAATTCTACCACCTCGGGTGCCAGCAAGGTATCTCGGACCCAGCTGCTCGTATCGTCATGTTCGGGCGATAAGAGTACGACAAGTAGGAACTTCAGATCACGGTGGGCTTTCTCCAGCGCCATGTTGTATCCATTCTCTAAGAATGGAATCGGGTGCGACTCGAACTCTTCATCGAATTCTCGGATGAAACGAGCAGCGGTGTCTTTGGGACCAAGAGGACGGCGGCCTGTGGTATTTTGGCGGGCACCTTGGAGCGCGGGGTTTGCCGTTCGGTTGAACAATCGTGGGAGGAAAGGGAATAGGCGCCCAAACAAACGGAATGAACCACAAAGTAATCGGTAGACGAGATTGAAGGGCATAAATAGTAAGGCAATGATCAATGGGGGTCGGTAGGTAGGCTGGTCGCTGGACTGTGTGCCAATCCGCGGCGCCGGGTCTGTGACGCGAGCGATCTGCGACAGTTGCTCGGTGAAATCATCGGTCATCAGGTTCTGGGGTCGGCGATTCTGCTGAGGTGGAGGCGCGTTTTCCATGGCTGATCGAGCCTCCGCTAGAGGATCCGGACCCTCGCCATCAAAGAATTTGGATATCGCGATCTAGAAATGCGGGGATTGGGTTAGAACTAGCTGCAAGTTGCATCTAGCACAGAATCCGCGGTACCCACCTGCACATTCCATTCTGAGCGTCGCAACAGGGGAATCGCCTCTGAGGGTTCTTGACTGGTCACAGCCATGTACATTTCTAGCGCAGTTCTCTCGCTATCGGAGAGCCCATCTAGGTCCAGCTCCGAGCTCGACATGTTGCTGAAAGGCCAGGGGCCATAAACTCAAATCGGTGTATTCAGTAGAGGTCAAGGTACATAAGAAAGGTAAAAGCAGAAGGGCATTGGTACGTGTTTCAAGTGTTCAAATCAGAGGATGAACGTTGGAGCTCAAGCTGGCCTGAAAGAGTGGTCCGAAGCTCGTCCTGACCGCCTGGTCTGTGCTCACATCCCCCTTCGCTCAATCGAGTTCATCCGCCCCGCGTCTTCATCCCATCAGTTCTGTCGCAATCATTCCTAGGGATGCAAGAGGGCTTTGGTCTAATAGTTAACCATCATTTCATGTCCCGCTATTGTTACCGGTAGAGACACCACCCAACGTCCGTGGGATTTCCCGGAATTGACCCGCCGCTGATCGCCAAACACGAGGACGGTCGACAACTCCAGAGATAACGGTCCTGAAGTAGGGGAATGCGGTTTCCTCCCATCAGTATTCTTTGTTCTATTCTGAGTCTGGTTTCAATGGGGATTCTTTGGCGCTGATCCGCACAGCCAAGGGGATATCAGCTAGAACATGATGGCATCTGCCGGAAAGCCTCCACTGGAGGATGCTCGTCGGACGACAGGTTCTCCAAAAATGAAGAGTCGTGGTACGTGGTGTAAAGATCGTGACATTTACCCCGTGTCTCCGCGCTTGCTCTTTCCCCTCCACTTCTTGTCGTCGTATTCGATCTGGTCAACCTAGGACCAATGCCCAGGTATTGGCCATCGCTGACAACCATGCCTTATTTGCCAGAAAACGCGAAGGACACCTTGTGCCGCAACGTGACCATCTACGGCCGTTGCCGATACGAAGACAAGGGTATTGGCGGCTCCTCATCATGGCCCTGGGCTCAAGCTGATTTGGATGTACAGGCTGTGCTTTCAACCATGACCCATCAAAGCTCAATGCACACCAGGCAGACAGGTGAATACTCCACCCTATCTGGACTTTGAGCTGAAACCTGGATGATGAGTGCTGACAGAGTCTTTTTTGTTCAATAGCAAAAAGAGGTTCAACGTAGACTCACCCAGTTTCACCCCATCATTGCTGTCTGGCAATGGTGTGTCTGCGCCGAAGAAGTCCACCGCCCTTTCACCCAAGGCCGTTAGTGCCGCACCATTTCAACCCCGAACATCAACCAGTATGTGGCAGTGGACAAAGGTGTGGAAGGGTGTTGACATGTACTAGGATCAAACACGAGTACCCCCTCTGGGCGGTCAGAGGCAACACAGGACTGGACAGTGGCAGATGTGCAGGAGTTCATTCCTCAAAGCTTTGATGTGGTTAGTCGTTCCTGCCGTCGATCTGGATTTTGTTCGGATGTCGTGGTATTTTCCCTCCTCCTTACACCTTCCCCTCCTCTGGTCATCCCAGCCTTGTACACCACCGAGTATTTATCATACTCTTGGTGTTCACAAGATGCCAGGATGCCCTGACTCGCCTCGTGAAAATGAGGACCCCCAGCGGTTGGGCCGCAATGCTTGGGGACTGAACTACTCTGGTCAAATGAGCTTTGCCGCTGACATGCTTCAACAGGGACCTCTCCAAGGCAATGGCAATGGGGGGATTACTTCTCCGAGTGCCTTTGATCCATTTGTGACCACTCCTACTCCTATGACCCCAGGTGCCGTTGGCCCTGTTTCCGCCAATCCCTATTCCCACGATGCTACTGCTGCAATGGGAGGCGCTTTTTTCGCCAATCAAACCGGATTCCAGCAGCCGGTAAGCTGATATCCAATGGATGGCTCTTTTAAGCTGTGCATTGATTCTGACCACTTTTCAGGTCCAATATCACCTTTACGCCCCCATTGGTCCTCACAGCCAGAGCACTTTGGGATATCAACGCAATGTGCATGATCTTTTCCTTCCCAATGAAATCCGGGAAGAGCTACAAAAGAAATCTGCCGCTACCCTTCAAACTCTCCCTAGTATGTGAAACATTGGAAATAGGTCGATGCTATTGCTGACACTTCTTAGACACACAACTTCCCGCCCAAGTCGATTACTTCCACTCCCTTGTTCCCTTGGATCTGAACCACCAAAAGAATGCCGCCATCTTTGGATACCCCAGCTGGATCTACAAGGCGCAATCAAGCAAGGATGGTCATTTCTATGCTCTCCGCCGACTTGAAGGTATGACAGCGTTCAATCAATTTTCTTTGATACCAATCTAACAAGTCCAGGTTTCCGCCTTACCAATGAAAAGGCTATCCGCTCTGTCCAAGCTTGGAAGCGCGTTTGCAATGGCAGCGTGGTTACTGTGCATGATGCATTCACTAGTCGCAGCTTCCAAGACAGCTCTTTGATCTTTGTGACCGACTACCACCCTCTTTCCAAGACCCTGGCGGAGCAGCATCTTGGCGCTGGGAACATGGCTATCAGCAATCGCTTCCAGCAGCCTCGAACCAACGCCCATATCCCTGAGCAGGTTCTCTGGGGCTACATGACCCAGATCGCCAACGCTGTCAAGGCCATTCATGACAATGGTCTTGCCGCTCGGGTCCTCGAGCCTAGCAAGATTCTCATTACTGGAAAGAACCGTCTTCGCATCAATGCCTGTGCTGTACTTGACGTTGTGCAGTTTGACACTCAGCGCACTGTGCCCGATCTCCAGCGCCAGGATCTTGTCAACTTCGGCCAGCTTATTCTCACCCTGGGTGCTAACTCGCCTAGTATTATGCACAATCCTGCTAAAGCCATGGAGCATTTCACTCGCGCTTACAGCCCCCAGCTCAAGAACTCTGTTGTCTGGCTTCTGAACTCCTTGCAGCAGGAGCCTTCCCGCGACATTGACACTTTTATTCATGGCATCTCAGCTCAGTTGATGTCGACTTTTGACTCGGCCCTTCATATGGATGATCAGCTGACTTCTGACCTCTCCCGCGAGTTGGAGAATGCACGTCTTGTGCGCTTGATGACCAAGCTGAACCTAGTCAATGAACGCCCGGAATATGATCTGGACCCCCGCTGGTCTGATACCGGGGAGCGCTATTTCCTCAAGCTCTTCCGCGATTACGTTTTCCACACCGTGGACGCCCAAGGCGACCCCGTCGTCGATCTCGGCCACGTGCTTACTTGTATTAACAAACTCGATGCTGGTAGTGACGAGAAGATCACTTTGATCAGCCGTGATGAGCAGAGCTGCTTCATTGTCAGCTACAAGGAAGTGAAGAAGGCTCTTGAGTCCTCCTTCCAGGCGCTCATGAAGCCTACCCGGCGTATGCACTAATGAGTTGACAAGTTGACATTTTGCACATGGCCCTTGCTATTCTACTAGCTATTCTGGTTTGCTTTGCACCGTCAACCACCAAGTTGCACATATCTGATCCTGGTCAATTGCCAGTCAGACGATATGCTGGTATTCTTAGGGGGCTGACTCACCGTCGAGGTTACATCTGTTTCATTTCGCAAGCAACCATTTCGCCATTGTGCGTATCTCAAGGAGATTCAAACATAAGAATGAAATTTTTCAAAATTCCTTCCATCCGTAGAGTCGTAACTGGTCAAAGCTCATGCCCTCGAACACAATCGAGCCTCTCCATCAAATCCCCAATCTTGTCCTCGTTAGCCTTATTGCTAAAACTCTTACCCTTCACCTTCTGCGGCGGAAGCAAAACCCTCTCCAGCATCAAACTCGACCCATCTCTCGCCACCAGATCCGCAACAACCCTACCAAACCCATTCACCCGCATACCCTCCTCAATATCAACCCAAACCTCCCTCCCTTCAACAGTCTCCATCTCAACAACTGCATGCCCAGGACCAGAAAACTCCTTAGCCTTCCCATCCGCATACACCATATCCGAATACACCGTCCGATTAGCCACAATATGATATCCCACCAAAGCCCGCAAACAAGCCGCCCCCTCCTCCGAGAAAAGGAACTCATTCGCCCGCCGCCCAAGCCGTCTAAACGCCCTATCTGTCGGCACAAATGTCGTCCCTCCTCTCCGATGCGCCGGATCCATATACTGACTGAGCTGCGTCTGCGCCAGCGCTCGCGCGAAGATACTCTCCTCTGGAATCATCGCCCGCGTCTCAAGTGGGAGATGTAGAGGGAGGTCGATTATATGGATGACTCCATTTTTGGTACTCTGGTCAAGTCAGTAAATTTGATTTCTCATTTCCAAGAATTTTCGGAAGATTTCCTTACAATATCTGCTCGAAGAACTATACTCCTTCGATTGAGGATTGCTTCGTCGACTAGATCTATGACTAGTCGTTGTGGAAGCTTTCCCAATGATTCCTCGGTTAGTTTGGTTGGCAGTGTTTGATGCAATGCTAGCTCGTGTAGGTGGAATCGTCCGGGGACGATGTGGTAGCGCAGGAAGTTGGATAGGACATTTGCGGGCAGGTCTAGTTGACTTAGGGCGTGGTTTGTCGGTGCGAAGATGGTGTGGTTTTCTTTCTGGCTTAGCAGCTCGATTAGCTCTTTGTCGTTGGATATCAGTTCTGCTAGTCGGGTTGTTTGCTCGTTTTGCTGGATTGTTTCCCAAATTGTGTGATCTTTCGGACTTCCTGGGCCTGGGCATGGATCTTGGATTCGATGTTTCCCACCGCAGGGTCTGTCACCGGGGTATGGGTGGGGATGGGGATGGTGGAAATAGGGTGGGTGGTATCCTTCGTCTTCGTGACCCGGCCAGTCTTCAGGACCATCGGGCCCATGTCTGTGGCCTTTACCAGGCCATTCGCCGTGTTCGCCATGTCTGCCGGGGCTCTCGTGATGTCCCCTTCCCCATCCGGGTCGTTCATCGAGCCAGTCATGTCTATGGCGGCCCTCTTCAGGCCAGGATCCATGACTTCCGTCCCAAGGACAGCCTTCATACCTATCGTGGTGACCACGAGACCATTCTCTTCCATGTCCGAACCCACGGTCGACAGGCGTTGGGCTTGGAATATCCATGAACAATTGATCCTTCAGATTTCCCGCTCCCCATGAGCCTATGTCAACTTCATCTCGATTCAAGAATTGCTCCTGGGAGCGAATACCAGGGTCCTCATCTGGTATGACCAGAGCGGAGGCCAAAGAAGTAATAGTTAAGAAGAGAAGAGAGCGCATTTTTTCTGATGCTAGGCAAACAGTCCGATCGGATCCTATGGCTATATAACCACTGCTCTTGTTCATGTGTAGCAGGGTGTATGCTCGGGTTTGCACATTGGCTGGTCTTGATGGCAACTGTGCAATCTTGGACGGTCCAGCGGTGCCGGACTGGTGTCAATGCACCAATTGTCTACGTGTGACGGATTTCGGTTTACGCTGAACACATGAAAGTGAGTCGCATATGCCTGGTCCCATTTCATTGGAACTTGAAAGGGTTAGGATTTGTTGCCTGGGGACTTTTTTCTTATTTCCATGGAGACTATTAGTATGATTGTCATGGAGGAGTACGGAATACTCGAACTTCGTAAATTCATCGCTTGATTCATTATTCCCAGAAAACAGTCACATCTAGTCCAAGTCAGGGATAGGAAGACCATTAACAATCTTCACCTTCCGGCCCAACTTGTCCAACGCAATCTTAGAATTGTGAGCGCGCAATTGACTCGTCTCCTCATCAGACACCAACACAAAGTCATAAGTCAGCAGCGCATGGCCTTCAGGAACATTATACTTCTTCGCGATCTCCGCATCAGCCTTCCCAATATCCACCGTCAATGAATCTTTGACACCAAAGACTGCGTCAGAGGTCTCATACGGATCATTCCGCAGGTACAGAGCACTGCACAGGTTAGCCAGATCCCCAATATCCAGAAAAAAAGAAAAAAAACATACGTGATCAAATGGTCATAACCCTCCTTCTCGAACATGAAATGCATATGCGACGGACGGTACGGATGACGATACAATTTCTTCAACAATCGACCCACAGGCCCATCATGTGGAATGGGATACGGCACCGGAGTAATCGCCTTAAACCAAAAGACACCACTTCCATCCGACCGCATAATACACCGACCATCAGGACCCTCACGTCCCGCATACTGAACATCATAATGGCCCGTAGAATCCGTTTCCCAGATATCGATCTTCACGCCCTCAATCGGCCGGCCAGCCATATCCTTCAATGTACAAACGACCAGCAAAGGCTCGCCCTTGGGATCATGGGACATGGAGTCACCGGGTGGCATTTCCTCTGCATCGTGTGTGTGGAAGGGACCTAGGACAGTTCCTTCTGTTGAGCCTTTGGGCTTGGGGTGGTCGATTGAGTCGACGAGGATGGATAGGCCCAGGACGTCGGAGAGGAGGATGTATTCTTGTCTGACGTCTGTGCAGATTTGGCCTACTTCAGTCAAGAAGCGGAGGCCGGTCATCCATTCGTCGCTGCTGAGGCGGGTTTCGCGGGCGAAATCGTGGAGGTGGGTGACGAGGCGCTCGAGGATGTATTTCATGCGCTCGTCTTCGCAGAGTGAGTTGATGGTGATTACATTGTCGGTGATGTTGTCGACCGTTTGGTCTTTCATCGGTGGGATCTTGACTTGTGAGGGGTCCATGGTCAATTGTGGGATTGAGCTGTGAGATTGAGTGAGATTGAGCTATGGAGTACGAGTAAAGGCTAAGCAGCTAGGCTAGGTTATATCATTGACTCGGGTAGGACTCGGCAGTTCCGGGCTGAATTTCTCCAATAAGCTAAAAGCTCAATGGAGTGTGACAGGCAAATCAGAAAGCAGCAAAAGAAAAGCAATTTCTGTGAGTTTCCCCCGCAATGCCCCGCTCGGAAATACCCCTCGGCGAAGTATAGGGTTCGGCTGCTTAAACAGCGTTAAACAGCGTTGGTTAAGTGTGAGTCTCGGATTAACGGATTTATACTCCGGGTGAGAATATATCCGGTCCAGTTGAACTTCCGTTTTGGGCTTGGTCAGATTTGACTAAATCTCACTAAGCACCGCATCAATTGTTGTATACATCAGTCATGGCTGATGGATATTCTTTTCTACTGCATTAGACATATCGCCAAGAAGGTCTAATATGCATTGGCTCGAATAATCGATGAAAATCTTGAGAAAATTTATGTGGAAATACAAATGCAAAGATATATAGAGACACTAATAAAGACATGAGAAAAGACACTCAAGTTTAACAAAACAACCGTACTTCTAAAGTTAAAAACCGATGACTTCAGGACTGATCAAGATAGTACTCAAATAAGAATCACTGATGCAGTACTATCAGACAACGCAGAATCAGATTTTCATTAAAAGCGAGTGATGTGTAAGACCGGTTAAGAATGAACTGGGGGACAGCAGCTCATTCTGAACCCCGCAAAGCTCAAGTGCAGCATAAGCGTTAGAAAGCACCTACAATAATACAAATACGAAGCAATGGCTACTCAAAAGAAGCAAAAGACAGGGACACGTTCGAAATGAAACAAGCCGCCTTCTCGACCTGTGATCAAACTGGAATTGAAGATTCTTCTGATCTCGTATAAGGTTGGAATGAAGGCAATACAATCTCAAAATCGAGAAGAGTCATAGCCCCGGTCCCTCTTGAACAAAGAACTTTTCTCACCTGAGCAGACTTAGGTGACTGCCCAGGTGCTTGCTTGCTCTAGATAGACCCAGCTATCTGACTCTCTCTTCCAAGGTTCTTCCCTTTTTCCTCCTGCCCGTCAGATCGAAACGAGAGCACAAGAATGTCGCTTGGGGCTAAGCTTGGAACGCTCTTCCGTAGCGCTGTAATCAGGTTGCCGACATGGCTGACGTACTGAGGGTTAAAGACGGACGACCCTTGCGCTGGAGTACCATGGGTGGATTCACAGAGACGAAAAATGCTTGGTCTATCCACGAATGCTATCGTCGAGTTCTGCTTTAGTCGCTTCTATGTTGGCTTTCATCGTCTTTCGGGCTTCATATATCTTCTGGCTGCTAGTAAGAATTCGTGAAGGTATGTCGATTCTCCCCCACTTTGTGGGGCACTCGTTTCTTCGCGGTTGGGACAACTGGGACAATGGGTACAGAGGCGAGAGTTTCATTTCCTCGAGTTGTTTGGACATCACAGTATGATTGTGGAATGAGCTCCAATCCTCGAACGGATGTTTTCTCGACTTACTCGTTGACCTTGTGATCTCGAATTTTGTGGCCCGATGAGGCGAGGCCTGTCATTACATGGAATACAGTGAATATGATCACTGTGTAGAATAGGGTTCACCAAAACCCAATTGCTTTTGCTGCCTCCAAAAACGCGGCTAGATAGCTGTGTTGTGTGCCCACTTGTGGGGACATGGTTGGCAATATTTCATGGCTTGCGGACGGAAGAGTAGCTGGAGGGATTCGCTCGGTTGCGTACGTAGGAGTAGGGATTCGCACGGTTGACAGTAAGCCAGGAGGCGATAGTTTCATGTGATCCATTTGGTTTGACATTTTCATGGATTGTGGTAGTGTATGAGTATGTCTAGGTTGGCATTCACCTAAATAGAGGGATGTTCATGCACCTGAAGTGCAACGAGGCAAGTGCGAAGCGAAAACCAATTTGATCACTCGGGCCCCATGGAGAACATCGGATTGAGGCGCTCTTGGCCTGCCAACTCGGACCTCCCGATGGCATTCAGATAAGCCGTAAATTGGGGCAGCTTATTCAAGAACTGATTCACCTCGTTCCTAAGCGACTGATTGATTCGTGGGAAGGCAGTCGCTGCCTTAGTGTCAGGCCATCTGGCCTGCTATTGAGGTCCCCCAAGAGCTTGGCGCGGCCATCTGGTGGCAATCACTCGAGGAAAGCTCTAAGAGATGCTTGGAGTTTTTCATCGGTGGGTTTTTTTTCTTTCCGCACTTGGGGTGTACTGATCAATACGCTCATGTATTGCGGCTAGATTTGCTGCACGCGTGGTATCCGACATATCTGTTTGGACCGAGGCGTTCGTAAGAATACTGGAATTCATGAAGAGAGGGTAACATACCTCAGATTTGAGAATTTCAGAAACCAGAACCGCAGGCCATCAACGGCCAAGTCATGTCTATGCAGTTCTTCAATATCTCCTGTCGCTCATGAACTTCGACACAAGCTGCAAGGTAGCTTGATTGGCGGTGGACTCCACGGTCTCCAAGACTTCGTTGTAGAATTCCTGACTCACAAATCTACAGATTCCACTCATCATCCGATACTGCACCTAGGTATCCGCCAGTCGCTCTCCCTCACGGTGCTCCAGAACAATCTTGTTGGTTGGTCTGAAGTGACTGGAGATGGCGGAGGAAGCTGGCCCTCCCATTTTCCGGAAGGTAGGCATAGAATGCTCGTAATATTATCTGAGTGGCAGCTTGGCCTAAAAGGGAGGAAAGGTCAGCCAGGATTCATTGATAACTGACAATATGAGTTGATGGTCAGAGTATACCTATCAAACTTTCCAAGCCAGGATGTATACGGCTTCACCTTGTGTTTTCTGAAGAAGCATTACTAGTAAAGATTCAACAGATGGATCACGGGCATTGACCACAAACTGAAGACAGGTCTTCTCCGCCTCCTCGGAGTTTCTGAACTGGTCGTGGCTATTTTCGACCTCAATTCTCACAACCCTAAGATTGAACGTCGATGTGACCTTTGTTCGCAGATTAGCAAAACATTAAAGCCAGTAAGTATTTCTGAACATGGCACCATACCCGTAAGCATCTTCCATACGCCTGGGCCTCTTGGCTCCAGCTGTTTCCGGAAGCCGCGAGCGCAACCAGGCTGCACGCTTTGTGTAGATTCAGACCGAGCCGATGTCATAAGTGATGATCATAACAGAAAGGTCGCTCCTTGGATCATTACTCATCGACAAGGAGCTTTCGCTCCGTGTCGTTCATGTTTGAATTCAATGACCTCGTTCCCACGAGGGCAGTCATCAGCACAACTTCCAAGAACCATGCGTTCAATGGACAGCTCTCGAAGGTCTGTACAACCACCCCAACCGACCACACATGGTGTTCGATCAGGGGATGTAATTCCCGGTAGTTCCTGGGAATTTGTGATCAATGATAGGGCCCGGTTTTGTGACAAAAATCACAGCGGAACTAGAGTTTGCCCAAGAAAAAAGATCAGTATATTTCGAAATCCATCATATCCGATAGGGTATAGAATGCACACCTTAGGCATTTTTGATTTAAAAAATTGGGAGAATTTGTGGGAGCAGGTGCGAAAAATTTGACCGAGCCTTGCTGAAATCGGATTGTAGGTAAAAGAGATAGCCCCGATCTATTAGCGGTAGTTTGTTAGACAGCCACAGATGATAGCAGAGCAAGCATACCTGTTTTGAATCTCCAGCGAGGAACACTTGCTGACCAAGTGGCGAATTACCCATTGGATGGCGCCGAGCAGATCGATCCCAATCTGCTGTCAACAGGACTCAATACCTCGTCTTGTTAGAGGTAGGAGTGAAAGTGTTTCCAAATTTGCATACTGAAACCTCTGTCTGTGCCCCAGATCGCTCGGTTTCCTGGTGTGCTTCGCTTGAAAGGCACAAGACCCAGTAATCTTCAAGCAAAGCGATAATCTCTGGAAGAGTTAACCCTTTTGGCTGCCAGCAGGGTAGATCCTCTTCCTCCAGAGTAGGACTAGACTTGTGAATTCTTCGGACCAGCTAATGTCAGGTCCTCAACCCACACGGCATCCGTGTGCCCAACAGCCATCATCTCCTCAACAGTCAGTTGACGCTTCCTCCCATGCCGCATATCCAATACCCTGGTGAGAGAGGCAACGACTTGTCCAAAGTTGTAGTCTTCGATGGCTGTTCTTTTTCTTGGACCTTGTTGACACGTGCGGTCCCCAGTTCTGACATGCACCTATCTGTCCAGCCCTCTCTTCATGCCAGCATTCCAGACATCTCCATTGCCCTGGCTCCATCAATTCAATCTTTTGATGGGAGTTTTGAGAGCCATAACATCATTTCGATTGATGTTGTCCAGCCTCCTTTCTGCTGGTCATCCTGGCCAGGTTACATTCGGCATCGCCTTGAGCGTGCTCCAATTCTCAACCAAGACCACAGACTGTTTCTTGGGTGAAGACTTTGAGCCGATTCGCTCTGGCCGCCTCTTGAAAGAGTCGAAAGGAATTTTGCTGTGCCTCGTTGAACATATCGGTTGGGAGAATGTCCATACCGAGAGCTGTGACTCAGTGGGTTCCATTTGTGCCTGGAGGATATGTTAAAGAAGAGGAAGCAGCACTAAGACCCGCATTATCACCAGTAGCAAGAGTAGACTCGTTGCTATCATCGTTTTCGGAGCTGTCAAACGAATCCCCCATCTCCATCAGCGCCCGCTTAGCACGCGCCTGAGGGTTCAGAGCTGGCGAAGGGGGTGTGTAAAACGGAAGAGGGGAACGGGCACGTTCAGTCCGATATTGTTTGAAGGGTCGCTTGGAATGAACTATCCCCGCCAGGATTGTTGGGTCCCAGGATTTCGACATTATCGACATCGCCGGCAGTGACATGAGCCGGGAGGAGTGAAGGTAGCGTTGTCGTAATGCGGGTGATAGGACGGATACCCTGACCACGCCCTACTGCATTGTATCCCAATGAAGTAGGTCGAAATCGTCTGTCCATTTTGGTTGGTTGTGAGGAATGTGGGATGAAATGCTGATTATCGGATCCCCGATATTTGCTTGGGATATCAGCAAGTAAACCAGGGCCTCAGGGCCCCAGTAGCATAAGAGAAGGACGAAGAGGAGGATGGTTGAGGCTCGGAGTATAGCCTTTCCAGGTATGTATACAGTGGAAGTTCGCTTGGAGCAAGCGTTGCAGTCACCGATTCCGGTGTAGACTAGATATAATGAGGAGAAAGTAAGAGGGAAATGATATTCAAGTGAAAGGGGAGAGAGAGGGGATATTTGTTAGAAATGACAAGCACGAGTACAAGGCAGGAGCGTTGAATTTATCTAGTAAGGGCAACAGATTAGTAGGTAAGAATTAGGGCTAAAATTGACAGATCAATATCAAATCATGTCAAATCCTACATTATAACAACACTAGAGATAATGTCCAGGTAAGGCCAAATTGACATTCGGATAATACCAAAAGGGTAAAAAGATCAAAATTCGCTCATTGCAGGGATATCTAACACGATACGTCCATTCCACCCTTACGCCAAGAGATATACAACAAAATCATACAAAACACAACAGACTAAGCCTGCACGAGACGACGATCCCGCTCAGCCTCACTCTCACGCTCGCGCTCTCTCTCACGACCCCGTTCCCACTCGCGTTCCCGCTCCCGCTCCCGCTCATAAGGGGCAGGGCCGTGGGGAATCGGAACGGGCGCTAAAGCAGGAGGCGGAACAGGGATACCTGAATCCCGCTCCGTTCCGCGCTCTTTCTCCTGCACCGCGGCAGCGACCCGGGTATGATGATCAACCGTGTCAAGGATGGCCTGCATAAGGCGCTGATTGGCGTCTGGGTCGACGTCATCGCGGGATCCACGGGGACGGCCTTCTGTCTCGCTGACGGCGCGGCGGGGGGAATTGTCGCTGGAGGGGAGTTCCATGGGGACAGTGGAGAGGGTGGACCCTGGGTTTGGATTTGGGACGGAGGGGGCGGACTCGCGACGGCTGTAGTAGGGTTCTTCGTGGGTGCGTTCGCGTTCCGCGGAGATGGGCGGAAGGGGTCCGGTGAAGGTTGGGGGTGTGAGGGCGGTGCGGTCAGGGTAGCCCGTGGAGAGACCGGCGCGCATGGCGGAGATTTCCTCCTCTTTGACGTCGCGCCAGGAACACTTGGCGTGTTTCTTGGTGCAGCCTGCGCAGGCGGTGAGGTTCTTTAAGCAGTCCATGTGGAGGCGGCGGCAGCGGTCACAGGGGGGAATGACGCGCTCGCCGCGGTGCAGCTCTTCCATGCGGGCGATCATTTCGAGCTTGAAAGGGCCGCCGTCATCCTTTTCGGGCTGGGTGGATTTGGGGGGTGGGAGGAGAGAGGAGGGGGTGCTTGGGATTGCGACTGGGGTTGCTGTGGCCGGGTTGTAAAGGGAGTAGTCTGCTCCCTCGGCGCGGGGCAGAGGTAAGGGTTGAGGATTAATGGGGGTCGTTGCGTCGTCGTAGCCACGAGCGTGGCGGTCTGCGGTAGTGAAGAATTTCTTCATCAGGTCCGCGCGAGTGGTTGGCGAGGCGCCTTTGATGGATTGCCCGTTGATCATGGTGACATTGTCGGTATTGGTTTGGGAGAACATGAACTGGGACGATAGTGGGTTCTCTTCGGAGTGCTCACCCTCCGGGCGATGAGCGTTGACTGCGACAAACCCCGACGGAGAAGGGTGAGACGAGCCTTGGCCTTGTCCTTGGCCGTGACCGTTGACCGGGCCATGGCCATTGGCATCGCGCCAGATATCAGTGGCAGATCGGGATTGCGCATGCAGAGTAGCATCGTTTTCACGCCGGGTGACAATTGCATTCCGGCGATTCTTCAACCGATGGTTAAGCTGCCGGGCTCGGGCAGAGACTAGGTCAAGATTAGCATACGTCCCCTATGTCATGGATATCTCATATCGCTTACCTTGATCCGCCATCTGAATGATATGTTGCAAGTTCTTCTCCAAAATCTCCAGCGCACCTAGCTCCTTCTCCTCATCTTCAATGATCGGCTGAGGAGGGATCATCTTCTGGGGCATGCCCGAGGCAATCAAGACAAAGTCCTCTTCACTGATTTCCACACGACATTGCTTGGTATAGAACTGACAGACCCGCACCCCATTGCGCGATTTCTCCAGATTGAATTGTTCCGGCTTGTTCTTTGCGAATTCCACCACGTCCAACCAAGTCACCGTGGGTCCATCCTTGCCATGCGACTTCAAGACCTGCGGCGGGCCATCAAAGAGTCGCTCGAATCGCTTAATCAGAATGGGTCCCAGTGGACACGCGCCGAGGTTCCCCGCGATGCTCTCATGGCGGTGTAACACACCATCGTATTCCCCCAGCAGGTGGATGATCGCGGGCATGGTATCGTCCACGGAGACCAGTGGGAGGTTATCTGGATATTGTCGCGCGAGATAGTTGATCTGGAGATGGTTGGAGTGTGTCTTGGGGACTTTGGAGGACATCTGCTGTTCGCCCGGAGACCGAGGCCTCTTGTGGGATTCGCGAGACTCGCGAGCCTCCATGTTGGACATGATGGAAGAAAAAGATTCCCGAGTCTCGCTGTAGGCAGAGTGTGCGCGGAGAAGAACCGGCAGGGTCGCAGAATTAAAAGCGCAGCATAGAGGGATCAGGGAGGAATCCAGAAGTAGAGGAGTGGAGAGGAAAAACGTGATCTGTGTCCGCCCGGAACTGAAGGAAGCCCGTTTAGGCACACTAGTTTTAGTTGGGAATTTGGAAAAGTTATGCGGAGTCCACGGGTTCCGAGTGATTGAGTATCTTAATTTTAGTTTTTTTTTGAATATTTACTTTATTTTATATTTCCCTAGGCAAGCATGTTTGAGACCTTCCGCGAAGGCGTGGATGGGCCCAGCGGAGTCCCGCCGGAGGATTCCGCCCAGTTTACTTTGTACTGTCTATGTATGGCCTACCCAAATTGCGTAATATATGTACTTTATGGTCACTCAGCTTTCTGAAGGTCTCAATTATGAGATACTAATACTCGTATATAGTGCCGATCTCTAGAATCAAGCCTTGAGCCTTGTGGAGTGTAGTTATGCTGATGCCTGCAGAGCCAGACGTGGTTAGTCTTGAATTGCGTAACGTCTGTAAGGCTGGGAGTGGAATGTCAATACCTCCGAGGACAGAACCAGTGGTGAAGAGATAAGCAAATACACGTAATATAACAGTCCCAATACCACAGGGTAATATTACCAGAACCTCCAAAAAGGCGGACACGGTCTCCTCCCTAAAAATCCCTCATACGCACCCTTCTCGTCTCTATCCCGATCCGTGTGTTCCGTTGTTCCGGACTTTTGTGTTTCCACTCATATTATCCTTCTCATTACCCCCTCAATGTCTGAACGAGGATCATTCCGCGGTCGTGGTGGTGGCCGTGGTGGTCGCGGCGGCCAGCAGAAAAGTGGCGGTGGTGGCGGTGCACAGGAGAAGCCCAAGAAGGAAAACATCTTGGACCTCAACAAGTACATGGAGAAGGAGGTGCAAGTGAAGTTCAACGGTGGTCGTGAGGGTATGCTTTAAGCTCTTCCTTTGTTTTTATTTCCTTTTTTTGTCTTGCTTCTCGTTTCTCGCTGGCTGTCTCGTTTCATTTTATGGTTTTATATCGATCTATACGATAGCTCTATACTAACACCTCGACAGTCACTGGAACCCTCAAGGGCTATGATCAACTGATGAACCTGGTTCTCGACGATGTCAAGGAGACCATGCGTGGTAAGTTCATTCGCTTCCGCTGTCTTGTGTGGTACTAACCTCCCCGCAGATGACGAGGGCAACAAGACAACCCGCTCAATGGGTCTGATCGTCGCCCGAGGCACCCTGATCGTGCTGATTTCACCTGCAGATGGCAGTGAGGAGATCCCCAACCCCTTCCTGCAAGCAGAGGAGTAAATCCCACGGGCTACGTCATCTCAGGCCCAGGCCACTGCACTGCATTAATGTCCCACCGGCTTTTGTGTTCCGGAAAATACGCTCATCAGCAGCTACGAAGGGAATGAACACCTTTTTTTTTTCTCGTTTTTCTTTCTGACTCGGACTGTGCTACGGTCTGTCTTCATGGACAGTGGAATTGGCAACGATAGAACTTTAAAAAAAATCAAGAAGTCAACATGAAAGTAAAACTATGAACTCCGTAGGTATCGTAGATCCAAACCACAAGACTTATACATGCACTAGCACAGTTCTCACTGATCGGCCTGGCCCACTTCCCCAAATGGGTTTTATTTTGTGCCTGGAGGATGTGTTAAAAAAAGAAGTGTGGAAAGCGGAGTGGGAAGAGTAAAGATACCGTTGTCGTAATTCAAGTGACAGAGTGAAAGAGAGAGATGATATTCGCTAGAACTAACAAGCACTATTACAAGGCAGGAGCGCTGGAATTATCTAGTAAGGGCCCCACCGTCTCACCAAAGTCATCATACTCATCATCAGGCCTCGGCAGCGCATCCCTCAACCTGCGCATGCCTTCAGCTTCCTCAACCCAGGGCCCTGCCTTCTCCATACCATCAATGAAATCGGCCCCAATGCGGAGATTCAGACTCGCAGCAAGGGCGCGTTCAATACGACTCTCGCGGCTCTGTGAGGCAAGATCGCGGAAGATATGAGTGAAGAAATCATTGAGGAGATCGACGCTCCAATCCTGCGGTATGAGGTCGAGGACCTCTCGGACGTCGAACCAGGCTGCAAAGCGGGCGAGGAGATCGCCTGTGCGCTCAATACGACCGGATAGGTCTTCGATGTGCAGGAATTCGATGAAAAGGTGGCGGAAAAGAATGCATTGCAGATCGAAGTCTGCGAGTTCTGGTGTGCCGACTGAAGGGCCTCTAGGACCACCGAAGAGACAGTAGCGGATAGCGGAGTCGTAGTCACCGAGACCGTGTGTTAGGAGGCGAAGGGCGGGACCGTGATGGCCTTGTAAACCGTCCAGGATGATGCACTCGGACACGAGCTCGTCTTGGAAGGGCTCAATGCGAGCGAGAACATTTGGAATCGAGTAGCTGATTCCCGCGAGGGGCGGAGTGGAGGAGAATTGGGAACTAGAGACTCCGCCTAGTAACTGGAGGAGACGGAGTCGGGATTGCCACCAGGGTTCGGTTGGGCGGTTCTCGGTGATGAAGTTGAGGTAGGTAGGTTTGGGATCCTGTAGGGCACGATAAGCTGAATAGGATTCAGCCAGGGAAGCGCGTGCTTCAGGTGAAGACTCTAACACAGAAAGGACGGTGTCCAGGTAGTATGAGATCAGGCCATCGCCATATTGGGTGTACTTTCAAAATGTCAGTGAACTTCTCTCACACGAGAATAGGGCATGCACTCACATTCTTGACAAACACAAGGTGCTCCAAGTAGACCTGAACAGCATTCGGAGCTCGATCTTTGAGCATAGCAACGACATCCGCCGGTTCGAGTCTCACTCGGCTTGCATTATCCGCGAAGACCTGTATTCCCAGCTCGGGGTTTCGCCCAGCAAGCCAGGTGCCGTAATCTTCAACCAGCTGCACATCCTTGATTTTGACCAAATACCTGCGCATTTGCGTCTCCACACCATTCGCTGAGACTTCCCCGCCAGCATCAGTCTCTCCATCTATGATTCTCCGCCAGGTTTTGAGAACATTTCGTGACATCTTTTGGCTTTGGTACAGGCGAGATAGAACGTACAGCCTTTTGTAAGTTTCAAGAAGCATCACAGCCCGGTCAAAGTTGCCCTTCCAGTTGTCGACTAGCTTGTTCAACTCTGAGCGAGTCGGGGACGCTGCACGCTGGTCTGGCGTCAGGTAGGCATCTTGTTCCAGGGTAAGATGCAACAATGCGGCATCGGTACTGTCCAGAACGTATGCCTCATCGGTAATGCTACCATATCCCCGTTTTTGCTGCCAGGAGAGGAGGAATCGCTTCACCATGTTGAGGATTGGGCTTCGGGAGACACCTAGTCCCGAGGACTCAACGCCTATTTTGCCAACTTGTTGTAGATAATGTTCCGTCATTGTACTCAATCCGGCATGTATCCACACACCCTGCGGTCCTTGAAGAACTTCGCATCGTAGGAGGGGAATGAACAGTAAAGCCAAACGGGGATCAAGATTGCCTGCAATCAGTGCTTTCTCGGTCTCATCGATTGCTATGTCACTGATCTCATTAGGCTGCATGGAGAGAAGGTCGCCGAACAGCATAAGACCTGCCTTTTGTTTGACATAACTGAGCCCGATAAACTCAGATTCGGTCTTTGGTTCGGTGTCTTGTATTGACAGCAGCAGGTCCATCACAGCATCCCTTTGTAACACTGTGTGCTCACTGCCATCTGCTGTTTCTTGGGCTTCCTGCAAAGTATCTTCGAGTTGAATGATCAGAGGATTCTGTAGGACTCGCCAGATTTGAGAGCCAGACCACATAACAAGTCCACTTTGGACCTTGCCTAGACCATGTGCAAACTTTGCTTCTTCTGCATCACGTTGAGCCTCCTGGGTTTGGCCATCGCTCTTCTTAGAACCAGACATGTCTGATGAATCGAAAAGCTCATTCTCCTTTTGTAGATGCTCAATAGATGCCTGAGTCCGTGCGTCCGCCACTGTGACATGCGGAGGAAGCAAAGGGGTCTTCAGGCGAATCATTCGCAAAAGCTGCCCGATGGACTTGAGCTCGAGATGGCTAGCACTGAGAGTATGCCGGAGGCCCGCTTGAGTAGATTCTGCGTCTCCCGGAGAAGGTATTTCCAGCCACTTCTTATTTCGCTCAATCTCCGCTGGGTCGTCGTACCAACGCTGTATCTCTAGGCGTGTTCGAAGTTTACCGTCCTCTTCATCTTCGATGATGGCAAGAACGAACTCTTCTTTAGTATCACCACTTGTTTGGAAAATCTGGTCATCTTGGTTTGAATCGACGACAACCTGTTTCGGGAATCGGTGAAAGTTAATGGTACCACGGACAACCTCGCCGTCCATGTCAACAAACATTCCAACGCCCGGTTCGTTTTGCTCGGTTCCAGTTACAAGCAAGAACTCTGACGGAGTCGGAGAAACCACATGGGGCTGAAGACGCGTGGGGCCTTGCTTCGTCGGTGGTGGCAGGGGCGGCAGTGGTTTTGCGCTGTCATTAGAGGGAGATTGGTTTTCCGGTTCTTTATTATCGGCAGAGTCGGGGGAATCATCGGCATCACGCTCTGTCGAGCTGGATCTTCTAGGTTCTCCGGTGGAGGTGAAGGGATCTGGTGTTCCCGAGGGCGATCTATCCAGCTGGGCAGCCTGTGCCTGTGGGGATAACATACCCGCGAGCTGGTTCAAGCTTGTGCTTCTAACATGTCCCGGAGTATCACTTGGTGGCGAGTTAGGATAAGATGCAGAGGGTGAGCGTTTGAGTGGTGTTGGTGGTGCTGGATTCATGTCCTCCACATGCCCGGACTCGAAGACCTCGCTCGAAGAAGAGATGGGAAATAGGGGAATTTTTTGCTGATGCGCGACTTCGAGCAATGAATATGAATGAGTATCTGCTGCACAAGCAATCGTTCCTCGTCGCGCTGCGGTCAAGCAGCCGGGGAATTCGATCTTCTTGATTCGTCGCGCCTCATCCCCGATCTTCACTAGCATGATCCTGTTTTGCACAGCGATCATGATCGTAGGGTCTTCTTGTTCCTCTGCATCTCGATTAAGATCCAATCCACCAATCCAGCGGCAGTGATTGACCTTCGTGTTGCCAAAAGCTGGGCTGAGCTCCGGTAGCATGTAGAACGTAACCGTGCCATTGCAAAGGACACATGCTTTGTTCACCGAGGATAAGACAACTATTTGGCGAACTCCTTGCTCGCTGGCTGCCGGGGGCCTCTGGGCGAACGGGATGGGCAACCGGGATGCTAGTATGAAAGTGGGTTCGGCGGATTCGTCTGGGGAAGCTGGCGGAAGGCATACAAAGTGCAAAATCTCGGATGCAGATGTGCCAATGTACAGGTTCTCATCTATGTAGAGCCAGTGTCAGTGACTGTCAACCAGTAGTTGCCCTGTGGCAGCCAGTAAATAGAGCTTACTCCAGTATTCCACGGAGGTGATGTGGACATCGGAGCTATGCTCGGTCGCTATGGGCACATCTGTAAACAGCGAATGTAGCAGATAAGGCACAGTCCCTGGCAGGCTGGTCTTGCGCTTCTTGCGGGGACCAATTCCATCGTCCGAGGCCATCATGAGGCTGATCCTCCAGGCATCTCCCCGCAAGCTACAAGGTGCCCTGCGGGCGGTAAGAACTGGGGCCAAAGCTCAGGGGCCACTTGCGGGTATTTTGGCAGGCAGAATCGAGGTACTAATGATGACCACTTGGTGGACTGAAGGTGTGCAGCTGGTACACACATAAAATCTGGATGTTCCTGGCACAAGTATGCGTCCAGGAGATCTGAGGAAGGATAATGGAAGGCAGTAAACATCCTGTGGGCTCCAATGGGATGCATGTATGGGCGGTAGAAAAGGCGGTGACGTGGTGACGTTGAGGCTGTTATCGCCCAGGTCACGTTATCGCCGCGATGTGCTATGTGCCTCGGGCCAACCCTCATCTCTAAGGCCGGAACGACACTTTGCATCACAGAAAGGACGAATGCACTGGTAGTGCATTCTTCGCTGCTCCTCAACCCTCATCATTTTCCAGAGATTGAGCTCCAACACCTGTGGCTACTGGCAGAACTATCTAGGCAGCGCAAGTATACAGTTCGGAACAACCTCGGCCCGCACGCCGCGTGTCCTCTGTTTGCGATAACAGATCGTCTTTCCCCTTGGTGGACTGCTTTTGAATGTGGGGTGACTGCGCTGAACCCTGGGGTTAGAAGCGACAATGGATTCATTTGCCATCACAGAGAGTTTGGTCCCTCAGGAGCCACAGGGGGACCAAACACAATCACCCGTGTCTCCCAAATTAACAGAAGAGGCCAACAAATTCCAACGCGCCATTGCGGCTTGGAGAGGTAGGATTCATCATATACCTGGCTTATTACTTGGCTAATTCCACTAGGTATTGACTTGGCTAGTACCATCGCGAAACTCGACGCAACTGCCACCGATATCGTCGAACAGCAACGCGATGCCCTTGTGCAACGGAAAGACCTCGCACAGAAAACAAAAGACTACAAGAAGCTAGATGATGAAGCCAAGCTATCTGAATACAAGGCACTGCTCAAGGCATACCAGTCCTTTATCGACCTTCTAACCAATCAGGGGAAAACGTCATCGTCGTCGTTTTTACAACTGTACTCCTCATTATCGGAGGCACCGGACCCATACCCTCTCCTCGAAGCTTCTGTGGACTCTCTTGTTCTGTCTGAAGATACCGTCCCGAAACTGACCTCGGAGCGGGATCAATTGCAGAAGTCTGTTGATCGCCTCACCAGGCAGCAAGAAGAAACCGAGAAACGCCTTTCAGAGGAGCGAGCTGCGCGAAAGAAGTTGGAAGCAAATCAAGAATCCAAAGCCAAGGAGATTGAAGCATCATGGGAGGCAGTCTTGGCGGAGAAAGCGAACAACTGGGCCGCAAAGGAGAAGAGCTTAGAAGAGAAGGTGGAGAACCAGGACCGCCTCATCAAGGAGCTCAAGGCAAGCTATGAAGTTTCGCAGCGATTGGGCGAAGGCGAAGATCGAAATGACGAGGGCGAAGGCGCGCGCAGTGGTGCCACTGCGGCTGAACTTGAACTCGTCTCTGCTGATTTGGAAAAGACAAGCCTGAGACTCGCAGATGTGGAAGCGCGCAACGAGCAGATGCGACTCGAGCTGGCTCAAGCCGCTTCACAATCCGCGGGCCCAATGTCTGTTGAGGATGACCCTGATTACCTCCGCCTTCAATCCGAAAACTCCTCTTTGCTGCGGAAGCTTGATGCTGCCCGGTTTGATAAGGATTCAGCAAGTCACACCTGGGAAGCAAAGCTGCTTCAGTCCGAGCGAGCTGCATCCAAGGCATCTTTGGAGAGAGAAGAGCTGCGCGTGCGGCTAGCAAAGATGGCCGACTACGATGAGATTCGCCGAGAGCTGGAGATGATCAGGTCAGTCGAATTTGCAGGGGATGACGATGAGGCAGAGGAAGGGGTTGCCGATAGCACTGCTACTGAGAATGGTGATACGTCCAAAGCTAAGGACAAGAATTCCTTGGAGCAACTTCTTATGGGACGAAACAAGAAGTTAACAGAAGATCTCACGCTTCTACGAGTATCACATCGGGACATACAAGGTCAGCTCGAGACTCTACGAAATGAGCTCTCAACGTCAAAGGACGAACTCGAAAAGTCTCGGAGTCTGTCAAGTACCCTCGAAAATGATCTCCTTCGTGTACAGGAAGAGGCCTCCAATGCCTTCCCATCCTCGGCAATGTCTGTCGCCGGGACTTACTCTTCCAGATACCCACACTCCGCCCGACGAGGCGCATCATCCCCTACCTCCTCCATCATCTCTGGCTTTGACCAGAGCGCTGTATCAGCAAATACCATGGAGTCGATCCGGGCTGGAGAGCCAGTAGGCGGCGGTTCCGGTCTTCTGCCCATGATTCAGGCTCAACGAGATCGCTTCAAAAAGAAGAACGCAGAGCTTGAGGAGGATTTATCAAAGCTATATGCTACCGTCAAGTCTCTCCGCCAGGAGGTTGCATCTCTCCAAAAGGACAACCTGAACCTCTACGAGAAGACCCGGTACGTTTCAACGTACAGTCGTGGCCAGGGTGCCTCAACGTCTGCATCATCATATGCAAACACTCCTACCTCAAACTCCATCTACACCTCGGCAGATACACCGTCCGGTCTATCCCTCAACCGATATCAATCGGCCTACGAAGCTCAGATTTCACCATTTGCCGCGTTCCGGGGCCGAGAATCAACAAGGGCTTACAAGCGCATGAGTCTACCCGAGCGCATCGTCTTTTCCCTCACCCGCGTCATTCTTGCCAATCGAACGAGTCGCAATCTCTTCGCTACATACTGTTTTGCGCTTCATATCCTGTTATTCGTCGTGCTGTACATGATGAGCACGACACAGATCGAGCAACATAGTGCAATGAGCGCTGTTGGTAGCGCTGCCGCAGCCTATGGCGGTTCCAGCAGTGGGAGTGGGAGTGCCCAAGGTGGTCCGCTGAAAAGCGATGACTGGCAGCAAGAAGGGTTTAGCTCATGATTTTGTCTGACGTTCACACAGCGAAGGGTGGAGTTTTTACTTTCCAAGCTTTTTTTTTTTTTTTTTTCTTGACTGATCACAAGTCCTGGCGTTTGGGATTAAGTGCTCTTTTTCCCGATATGCGGGGCTACACCTGTAGATTTGAATTGTGGCAAATACTTAGTAGTATTATGTATCTGTGACTCTGTTATCATGTAGAATAGTTTTCATGTTCTACTCAGTATCAAGGGCACTGGGTATATGCATAATCAGTTGGACGGAGTTTACATTATTTGCGCCAAAGGGCCAATGGATACAACTATAGCATGGACCTGAATGCAATTTTGATATTTTGCTATACTCCTGAAATCAACTCCACTCACACAAAGTATGAGGACCAGGCAAAAATAGCAACCCCCACCTTGCTCATGCGCATTCCACTGATAGCGAAGGGCAGATCAAAAGGGCCGAGCCGTTGACATAACGTGGGTCTCAGGAATGTTCTCCAAATATAGCAAAGCAGGCGGGCTAGTCATAGTCGACCGATGGATCAATTTCACGAAGCATCTTCCCAGATTCCAAGGTTGCAATCAGCCCACTAAGCTATCGGCTCTTGTTGTCCGATCTATAGATATGACACAATGTGCAGTACTCGGAGATATTAGCGACTTAAAGTATGTGCAGCATATGCCTCAATGGCTAGCCTTAACCGGGTCTCCAGGTAAGCGAGTCTAAACCAATCTGACTCAAGCCTACAAATAGACTTCGGCTTTTAAATGAATCTCACCGAGGGGGCCTTTCTCTAGTCAGTGTAAGCAGGCGTTCTGTAGGCGCTAGCGTGCTGTAACGTCGAGCTCAAAGGGGAATTGAGGGTTTGTGGAGGGGAAGTCCCCAGCCTCCCCGCAGTCCAATACTCAATATTGCGATGTCGAAGGGCAACCAATTTCAATGGAAAAAGCAAAATCAAAGGATGAAAAAGCTGAATAGAAGTGGACATTGTAATGCCTGCAATTCCTGCAAGACTCTAGGATTAAAGAATTAGAGCAATCGGTGCAAGTCTGCAGACTAGCCTGGACCGGCAATAATGTTGCACATCTAACCGCCCGGTCAGATTTATTAATAGCCCCGGGGAATTTATAGAAATGAGAGGACTCGAACCGCCATGGGAACCCCCCGTTGTTTTGCTTAGCGCGTAGCCATCTTGATTTAGTCGAATTCGGTTGCGGGCGACAGCAAATTAGAGGCCCGAGAGGCTGGGGAAGTCAGCCCTGGGCGCGTCCACCAGCCAATGAACTCCCGTCTTCGAAGAAGATACCCTTGCTAGTACCTGCAGACTGCATCGATCGCGCTGTTTATAGAGTATTTCGTTTCGTGTTACTATCTTGGAAGCTTGAGGGTTGTACCACATAATTTTGATTGTATATCTGTCGCCCAAATGCCCATGGTCTTCTTGCCAATCGTCATTCCTTTCCTCTATCCTTCATACCCAATTACTGCATAGGCTTGCTGGACAAACCTCAACATATACGCCGTGTATATAAATTTGTTTCTTATTCCAAAAATTCCCCGCCAATCCCTCCTACCTCAGTTACAGCAATGCGTTTCGCTCTGGTCCTCTGCCTATCGGCAGTCTCGCTTGCTGCCCCAACAAACTTCCTCGATCATGCATACGACTGGTCAGACGAGCTAGCCGAATTCTACGGCAAGATTAGCCAGTACATCAACACAGCAAAGCACAACATCAGGGCACCATCCGCCTGTGATGTTTCCAAAATTGCTCTGCCATCCTATGCATCAGGCCTTACCGGCCCTGGAAGCCTCACTCCAGTATACGTCGGACTAGGACGAGGCACTCAGGTATGTAACACCATCGAATGTATCAAGATTCAAGCAAAACTAACCACAACCACAGAATTACACCTGTGCAGATTCGTCATCAAGCTCTACCCCCGTAGCAGCAGGAGCCGTCGCCAGACTCTACAATGCCACATGCATCGCAGCCAACTACCCAGGCGTACTGGAGAAACTCCCCAACCTCGCCTACAAAATCACACTCCCAACCGACGAAAACGCTGCCTTCCCTCCCTCCAATATCGATCTCATGGGCCATCATTTCTTCTACGATGCAACAACCCCCGAATTCAACCTCAATACCACGCCTGATAAACAGCATGGTATTGTGATGACCAAGAAAGGCGGTGCGATCGATGCTCCTTCAAATGCACTCTCTGGACAGTATGGTGCTGTGGCATGGCTATACTTGACTTCCACTGAGGGAACTGTGGGAAACTATAAGAGCGTGTATCGAGTAGATACTGCTGCTGGGTCCCCACCTAAGACATGTAAGGGTATGCCGGCTGCTTTCCAGATGCAGTATGCTGCGAACTATTACTTCTTTGGAGAATAATTGGATGTCTTTTTTTCCTTTCTTTTCTGGTTGTACATAGAGACTTGGAGTTCTGGGTGGATTTAGTGGTTTTATTCGGAGGGTGGGCTCTTTCCTGTTATTGAATTCTATTTTCATGACCTCATGAGAAGGCGCCCAAATTTCCAAGGCTGTCAATCTGCTTTGAAAGTAGGAACTAAGAGCTTTGATCGTTAACCGTTGATCTTTGGTTTTCTACGTATTTTTCACGCTTTGGAGGTAGACCTTGCAGAATCTGTACGTGGTGAGTGCTCATTCCGGGTTCTGAGCTCCTTACCAACATCACCTATTCCATTTCTCATACTGCGATGTTTGGCTCAAACTTCCAACTTCAACACCCACCCAAGCATGTCAAATTCGTCAACATACAGTCAAAATACGACGTTGTGAGGCATGCTCCAAGATCTGGAGATAGGGAGGGTTTGTCATACCACGTGACATCCACCTTGGCACGTGATGTCCTCACGCGGAAGAAGCGCTAGACCCCAAGGGGCATAGCGCCGTTCTGATTTTCTGAAAGTTCCCAAAGGCGCAAAAAAATCTCGACCGCATCAACGAGCAGCATCGGCTTTGACCCGCACCGACAGACAGATAGCAGCTATTTCTGTTTGACCTGCCTGATCCATTCATCTCGGATCTAACGTCAATTTTTCCTCTCTGTTTCACTCGAATCTCTTGGGACTTTTTCTTCCCATTTTCCAGTTCCATCCGGTTCGAGCATTCGCAGCTCAACCTTCCTCACTCAACCTCTCTACAACCGAGTCTTTTCTCTTTAAAACCACACAATGGGCTTTGCTCCTCGTGGCCGTGGTGGTCCCCCTCGTGGCGGACGTGGTGGTTTCGGTGGTGACCGTGGTGGCCGTGGCGGCGGTCGAGGTTAGTTAGCCCAAGTCCATTGGATGCAAGCATGCAGAGGAACGATCGTGCCGGTGGTATCACTACCTCAATGGCCCTGATCCGCTCTGCTGCTAAACTATAGTATCATTTACTGACCTGGATTTCCAATTCAGGTGGTGGTCGCGGTGGTTTCGGTGACCGTGGTGGCCGTGGCGGCGGCCGTGGTGGTCCCCGTGGTGGCCGCGGTGCTCCTCGCGGTGGTCGTGGTGCTCCCCGCGGTGGCGGTGGTGCCCGTGGTGGTGCCAAGGTTGTCATTGTGAGTATTCGACAGTTCAACCGCCGAAATCAGCTACTGATCATTTTTTTTCCTTATCAATAGGAGCCCCACCGTCACGCCGGTATCTTCGTCGCTCGTGGCGGCAAGGAGGACATGCTTGTTACCAAGAACCTGACCCCCGGCGAGGCTGTTTACGGCGAGAAGCGTATCTCCGTTGAGGGTCCTGCCAACGAGGACGGTGCTGCCACTAAGGTCGAGTACCGTGTCTGGAACCCCTTCCGTTCCAAGGTAAATTTCCCCTCCAAGAATGCTTATCAAAAGCCAAGGAACTATGTTCTACTCGTTTTTGTTCCCATTATATCGTCTCGAATTGGTCTAATATGAGTTATAGCTTGCTGCCGGTGTTCTCGGTGGTCTCGATGAGATCTACATCAAGCCCGGTGCCAAGGTTCTCTACCTGGGTTCCGCCTCCGGTACCTCCGTCTCCCACGTCGCTGATATTGTCGGCCCCACTGGTAACGTCTACGCCGTCGAGTTCTCCCACCGTTCTGGCCGTGATCTGATTGGCATGGCCACTCACCGCACCAACGTCATTCCCGTAAGTTTACCACGACATTATACACGAAATCCAAAATCACATTGGAACCCAAACTAATCGATTTTCTAGCTCGTTGACGATGCCCGTCATCCTTTGCGTTACAGAATGCTGGTCCCCCTTGTCGATGTCATCTTCGCCGATGTCGCACAACCCGATCAGGCGCGTATTGTTGGACTCAACGCCCACATGTTCCTTAAGGACGGCGGTGGTGTCATCGTCTCCGTCAAGGCCAACTGTATCGACAGCACAGCCAAGCCCGAGGTCGTTTTCGCCAAGGAGGTCCAGAAGATGCGTGAGGAGAAGATCAAGCCTAAGGAGCAGCTGACCCTTGAGCCTTTCGAGCGTGACCACTGTATCGTCGCTGGTATCTACAACCGTTCCGCATAAAGGTCTTAATCTCTGGTCATGTCCTTTCTTTTCATGTTCACCTCGGCGTCTCGTGATGTATCGAATGTTTTTCCTTTTCCGTGACAGGTTTTCGCCTATGTACTCTTGGCTGCGTCTCAAAATTTAGTTTCTTTGAATGTTACACGCTGGAATGTGTCGCTTGAGTTCTTGATCCGAGATTGGCTACCTAGTGTGGCTCTCTGCTTGTGATCCTCGTACTCGTGTATATACGTACTGGATAATGCCTGGCACTCGAGACCTTTTCCTTTCTGTTGTAGTGCCCCTTGTCACTTTTGAAAAATCACCAAAGTATTTCTGACGACTCTTTTCCATCTTCAATTCCTCATGGGCGTGAGAAACTGTCTATATCCCATAGGATAATCTGGGGCGACCGGCGCCACATTGGACGTTGCGCAGGGCATTATAGCGGCACTGGATTTACCCATATCAACTTGATGCTTGCTTTGGCCTGAACCCAAAGCACAATTTGCTACTTTTTCTTTAAGACGATTTCATTTTCTTTTATCAATATTTTCCTGACTGTATTGTAATTAGTTTGAGTCTTGGTGTACTTCAGTGTAAAGAATGAACATCGGTGTCCGTTAGTTAGGCTTAATTGATTCAATACTGCAAAAGCAAGAAATTGTGGACTGGTTCTTTTTTCGACTCCAAATGTAAGAAGTCCTGACTTCATATAATGATATATTTGCAAAATCAACAATTGAAAATGTAAAGAATCTTATTTAAATGATAACAACAATAGCAATGATTTATAGAAATGAATTGCATTTTCGATTGTTCAATTCAATTTGCAAGATCCAGGTGAGTATCTGTCCTAGGCTCTTTCCTCGGATTCCTCTTTCCCTTCTTCTCTCCTCTCACTTTATCTGCTTCTCTGGCAGCCTTGTCCCTTTGACATGTCCAGCCTCACTTCACTGGAATTCAAGCCAGGTAAGATGACTTTCTCTCTAAGGTACTTGATATGAATGCCAAGTTATAAATAGAGCCCACCTCGCGATATTGTTGAGACTGAACGGCAAGAGAAAAAGGAACCGACTGAATTCATTCTGCTCTGCCCCTGCGGGGAGAGAAAGAGAGAGAAGGGAGAAGCTAGGAAGCTGGGAACTATCTACATATGGGGGTTGGGGCGAATACCCTACACAACAGATATGGCTACCGCTTGGGAAGTTTTGTACCGGTGCTTTCCAGCACTTCGACGCCTAAGATTCAACTGGGAAGATATCAACAACCTCGAAAATGGTATAACCATGGCTTCATGGATCCATACAGACCTTGGAGAATTTCGCCTGGCATTCAAAGCAACGGTTAGCTATTCATACCTTTCAAAACAAGTGGCTAGGTACTGATTAAGAGGATATAGGAAGTCCGCGATCAATACGATGTTGAGATAATTGAAGTGGTCGGCAATGTGTATCGCAAAATGATCCGCGATTAGATCACTTTCAACCAGCCCTATACCCAAGGCGCAAGTGAGCATGGATTCACCGACGGCTAGGAAAGAACCGAAGCTCGCTGTGCTGAGCGCAAACCGCCTACAAATCCCAACCCGAAAAGACAGAGCGCATTTCAGCGAACTCGTACTGAATAGACTCGAAGCTGCGAGAGCCGACTATGACAAACCCGAAACGATCAACCCTGAGCATGTGTACGAAGGAGACGACGAAGTAGAAAGGGAGGTCGAGGCCACCATTCCAATGTTCAACAATGACGGCGAAGGGATACAACCAGCTCCGAAACTGCGGCTTTCCGATTTGCAAGTGTACACTGCGCCCAAGAACATGAACAATGCTGAACTAGCTCGGAACTGGCCATATGATTTCGACTCAAATGGGAATATCAGAAGCTTGAAAAACCGAAAGCCAAAAGACCCAGCTCCAGTCGTGTGGGCGCATGGTATTCCTTGGATCGTGGTGATTGGAAACCACGACTCAGTAAAGGACCATAAGCTTCCCAGTGCAAATCTACTGAAGTGCCATTACATTCTAACAGAAATTCTTCATGCTTCCGGTATGGCTGAGGCATTCGATCATGATTTTGATGAATGGGAGGCCGTAAAGGAATCAGTCCATAGCCTCCGCGAAGACGGGAAAAAACGGATATTGGCAGTATCTTAGGATTATCATTTTTGGGCGATGATATTGCTTGTTAGGGGGGATTACAGTGAGCTGGAGAATTCTTATTTTGTATGGTTTAAAGATACATAGCTATTTATGACAGCAAATTAAAGAGCTGTTAGGGAACTGGCCCAGTTATGCAACGTGGACGAGTTTTATTGACAAGAAGGTTTCGTTGAGAAGAGTAGTAGTACTTAACCTTCTATCTAGTTGTATGTGACTCGACTGAGGTTTACAGGTGGGTTGATGATGCAGACGCGAGCGAGTCAGTGCGGAAAACAGCGCGTGCGGCCCGAGAAACACTGGCTGCGTTGAAAGAGAGTATAGGGGCATCCCTGGCGCTCAATATATTCATCCTCTGTAACACTTGATGTTCTCTTGAGTTTCCGATCCGGAGAAGAAAGAAACATTCCCTTTGGCAAAACTGTCGAGGACCAACCATCGGCATATACCATGTGCGCATCGTTATCCATCCCGTATTCTCCCCATTCATCCATTCCATACATCAGATCTTCACAGGATTCCGCAAATCTGAACAAGCAGTCCAAGTGGACTCGGACCATTCCTTGATAGAACTCCCCAGAGTCATTTTCAGGGTCTTCGGGGTCAAAACAACTATCAATAAAGTTGACATAACCGACCATGGCTCCCGGCTTATACAGCTTATACGGAACCGACAGCAAATCAGGCTGTACACGAGCTAGCTGCATTGGCTCCGCGCTAGCCAGAATCGATCGCATACAGCGGTCATCAAGAAAAAGACAAAAATCCAGACGAGGAGCACCGCCGCCAAAATAAAGACCGTGGCTTTTAACCCATTCCAAATGTTTGGTTCGAATTGTGGCTACAGATGCTCCTCCAGGGCTGGGTCATCAAAAATCACATTCCGGTAGCCTTCTCGAATTATGCCGACATTGGTGCACCCGCGTCGAATCCATTCAATCCTCAAAGGAAGTTAGGTTATTGAGACAGGTCTGATCGAGCTTCTCGATTGCTCTAGCCCAGTCTTCATCGGATGTGTGCGTGTAAGAGATGCGGTAAATAGCCCAGCCCCATGGCCACCCGCCCAATTTCCCAGATTCATAGGATAGGAAACGGGTTGTTGATTTCCAGTCTGATCTTGCATGTTGGCGTTTGTATCGCTGGCCGATGGTTTCATTGGGCGGGAAATCGGAGGCGAAGTCGGTTGATTGCCATGGTGTAGACCATGACGGATCATGAAAGATACTGGGTTGATAGGGAACCATGCGAATGACTCAGACTGACAACAAGAATATAGAAAATTCTCGATCTCTTCTTGATGATCGACCTATTGAGATAAATGGAGAGGGGAGAGAGAAAAAGGACTGGTTGCCTAAGTCTTATGTATAGCGCTAAAAGCCTCAGGGTCACATTTCTGTTGTTGCCATAGTCGGCGGAGAGTAGAAAAGGGCAAGCTCCACGCCGGACTCTACGCCGGACTTTCTTGGTAAACTCATTGGCTTGGCACCAGGTTCAATCGAGGTCTCTTGTCATTTTGGCTGAGAGTACGCTTAGGGAGAGAAAGCTCGTTCCTTCGCAACATCTATAGCACTGCTTAAGAAGTTGGAGCCATGGACTCAGCCTCTTCTTGGGCATACTTGGCCTCGGCGCTGGCAAAAGCAGCATCTAGCTCTGTACAAAGCTCATCGCTGGCGATACCGACAACTCCGTCATTCTCGTTCTTCAGGTAGTATCCTCCATTCTCGGGGAAGAGAGAGCCGTACGGGTGGTCTTTGGCCATATCATTGAGGGCCTGTCTGTCGATGAGGACAGTTGCGTCACTCGGGGTTGTGGTCTCGTATCGGGTGAGGGATTCAGCCATGGCGGTCGAAAAGAGCAGGGAGTACACGATGGTCAAAGGGAACTTCATGTCTACTGAGGGGTATTTGCGAGATCCCTCCAGGGCTGTATATGGGTGTCTTAGTCATGTCTCCGTGAGATATCCTCAAGAGTTAGAGCCACAGGTCCATGAACATACCTTTTTCTTTAGCCTATTGGCGAGAGAAAACGCGGACACGATCGACTCAACTGAGAGGAGAGAGAGAGAGAGAGAGAGAGAGAGGGAGATTCCATCTAGAGCTAGACCGGGGGCTGGACCTCCGCCCCACACGTATGATGCAAACCACGAGAGACAATGAAAATGAAGACCTGATTGTAGTAATTGGATTTTATTGAGTTGGTCAACTGTCCTACATAAATCTATAGATGTACGCAACGATAGCTCCGTACCTAAATCGGACTTGCGCCGGTCCTCTCGGTGCTCGGGGTTCTCGCCGAGATTTACATCACAAGTGACTCGGAATTGATGCGCGACATTTGACTGAAATGATCACAGCCGTGGGACTTGGTACTTCCATTGGACGGTCTGAACGGCCCAGGACGTGGGGGTGAGAGATGCAACCCCGCAAGCAGTTGGAGTATAAAACCGGATACATTTCCAGATTTCCGCTGCACTTGGAGAAGGACATGTTATAACTGTGCGCAAAGCTGCTCTTTTGAATATTTTCCAAGATTTCATTGAGACGAAATTACTATACACCATGTCGATTCTCATTACCGGTGCGGGTGGGTATGTTGGCCAGGAATTGGCCGCTTCTCTTCTCGCAAGCACTCCAGCAACCACCACCGTGACAATTACAGATGTCGTCGAGCCTGAAGTCCCCGAATCTGCCACACAACAGGCAAGCCGTTTGAAATGTGTCAAAGCCGACCTCACCTCGACAAAGGAGGTCGATGAATTAATCACCGCGTCTCGTCCCTATGAAACAGTCTATCTGCTGCACGGAATCATGTCTGGCGGCTCGGAGGCAAACTTCGAATTGGGGGTGCGTGTCAACCTTGACTCAGTCCGTTATATCTTGGACCGTCTACGCACCACCACGCCCGGAACCAAAGTGGTTTTCACATCATCACTTGCAGTCTACGGCCCCGCCGCTCCTGGGTTCGTCATCGATGAAACAAATTTCCCACCCGTGCCTTCTTCATCATATGGATCGCAGAAGCTTATTGTCGAGACACTGCTGAACGACTATTCGCGACGAGGATTCCTAGATGGTCGATGCGTGCGATTGCCAACCGTGACTGTCAGAGCTGGGAAGCCAACACAAGCTGCCAGTAGCTTTGCAAGCGATATTATCCGCGAGCCCTTCCACGGAAAGAAGGCTATTTTGCCTGTGTCCAGGGAGACGGAGATGTGGATCTGCTCGCCACACACCGTGATTAAGAATCTGATTCATGCGCGCTCTATCCCGAAGGAGGCATTTGGAGAGTCCAGATCTGTCAATCTTCCGGGACTGAAAGTTAGTATCCAGCAGATGTTGGACGCGTTGCTGGAAGTGGGTGGTCCAGAGCGTCGGGCTTTGGTGGAGGAGAAGTATGATGCTGCCACTGATAAGATCGTTCAGTCTTGGACTCCGCAGTTCGATACTGCGCGGGCCTTCAAATTGGGCTTTGCTGCTGATATCTCCATGGAAGAGAACATCAAGCAGTTTGCAAGCAAGTTTGTATGATATCTTGGCGCTCAGGGTCATTTATATCTGTTTGCTTCAGCCATCCCTTTGATGATACCTTTCAAATATTTTTCAATGATTGTTTCAATGGTCTTTCCTGGTAGATTTGTCTGGTTAGACATTCTTGAGATACCTGTACTTCCAAGGTTTCTGTAGATACCCTTGGAGCCAATCAATAGGCGCTAAATCGGATGACCGATATCGCCCATAGTGAAGATTGAGGCGGATTGTGTCTGCAGAACCACCCCAAAGTTGAGAAATCGTACCAAAACGACCATCTTCCCAGATATTCCAATCGATACAGACCAGTTCACGGCCAAAATCGCGAGTAAAGGGCGAAGGCAGGAAGTATTCGGGATGGAAAAGGGCGGTTTGGAAAAGCGGGTTATGTAATTGGCTAAGCTGCTCCGGGCGAACAATTTCAAACTTCCGAACTTCAACCTCAGGGCGTCTCCATCAGCTCTTTTCTCCATCTCTCCCTTGTCCCCCCCTCCCTCCACCCATTAAAGTCGTTTATAATGGCTTCTCGGCGCCTCGCTCTCAACCTGAACCAGGCTCTCCGCACTCGTGCGGCCCTGAAGTCCATCCAGCCCGTGAAGCGTGGCTTTGCGTCCCCGGTTCTGCCGTCCACCACCCAGTCCACCACCCTCTCCAACGGATTCACTGTATGCTCGGCTTAAGGACATCAATTGCATCGCAATTCCACTAACCTGTTCTTAGATCGCCACTGACCACTCCCCATGGGCCCAAACCTCCACGGTCGGCGTGTGGATCGATGCCGGTAGCCGGGCAGAGACTGACAAGACCAACGGAACCGCGCACTTCCTTGAGCACCTTGCCTTCAAGGTCCGATCCCAAAAACTTGCAATCCCCAAGCGCATTTATCTGACAATCATGTTTAGGGCACCAACAAGCGCTCCCAGCACCAATTGGAACTCGAGATTGAGAACATGGGCGCTCACCTTAACGCCTACACATCGGTACGATTCGGGAAACTCTCCATCAACATCCACCAACAGAAATACTAACTCAACCCGCAGCGCGAGAACACCGTCTACTACGCCAAGGCCTTCAACAACGATGTCCCCAAGGCCGTCGATATCCTCGCTGATATCCTTCAGAACTCCAAGCTCGAGGCTAGCGCCATTGAGCGTGAGCGCGATGTGATCCTGCGCGAGCAGGAGGAGGTTGACAAGCAGCTTGAGGAGGTCGTCTTCGACCACCTGCACGCCACCGCTTACCAGGCCCAGCCCCTTGGCCGCACCATCCTCGGCCCCAAGGAGAACATCCAGACCATCACCCGGGACAACCTGACCGAATACATCAAGACCAACTACACCGCTGACCGCATGGTCCTTGTCGGTGCCGGTGGCATCCCCCACGAGCAGCTCGTTCGCCTCGCCGAGGAGCACTTCGGTGGCCTCCCCAGCAAGCCCCCTACTTCCGCCCTCGCCGCCCTCACTGCCGAGCAGAAGCGCATCCCCGAGTTCATCGGTTCCGAGGTCCGTCTTCGCGATGACACCATCCCCTCCGCCCACATCGCTCTCGCCGTCGAGGGTGTCAGCTGGAAGGACGATGACTACTTCACCGCTCTGGTCACCCAGGCCATCGTCGGTAACTGGGACCGCGCCATGGGCCAGTCCCCCTTCCTGGGCAGCAAGCTCAGCTCCCACGTCAGCCACCACAACCTCGCCAACAGCTTCATGAGCTTCTCTACCAGCTACAGCGACACCGGGTAAGTCTATCGCTCTTGCTCCTATCATTTTGATTATTTCATCGAACATATGCTAACTTATGTCCAGTCTCTGGGGTATCTACCTCGTCAGCGAGAACCTCACCCAGCTCGATGACCTGATCCACTTCACCCTCCGCGAGTGGTCTCGTCTTTGCAACAGCGTCACCTCCGCTGAGGTTGAGCGTGCCAAGGCCCAGCTCAAGGCTTCCATCCTCCTGTCCCTTGACGGCACCACCGCCGTCGCCGAGGACATCGGTCGCCAGATCATCACCACTGGCCGCCGCCTCAGCGCCGAGGACATCGAGCGTACCGTCAGCCAGATCACCGAGAAGGACGTCATGGACTTCGCCACCCGCAAGCTGTGGGATCAGGATCTTGCCATGTCCGCCGTTGGCAGCATCGAGGGCATCCTCGACTACCAGCGCATCCGTGGAGACATGTCCCGCATGATCTCTTAATTTGTTCCCGAGTATGATCGCGTGTGAAAATAGCTGCTGCATGGTTCGGGGAAACTCGGACTTACCGGCGGCTTTCGTTTGAATGTACTATCAATCATTGCCTGGGCTGTTAGATCCCAAATTCGTGTGTGAAATAGCAATTAATGGTTTGCCATAGTAGACTATATAGTTTGCTGCCTCGAGCAGGAAACCCTCAACTATCTCTTTTGTCTGTTCTAAAGTTATTTCGCCTTGCGCCTGCATGTAGTATATTGCATTTTGAAGCCTCAATGGCCCATTGAAGACCAATTCCTGGGCTCTTGGACGTCACAGCAAGCTTCGTCCTAGGACTATTAACCTGTACCTGTAGACCTCGGAGCATGAGATGTAATCCTGCTGTCTACTGAATCCGAGTATACCTTTAGAACTTTCAACGTCAGGAGGTTTTTGACCTCGGGATGCTAATGTTTTTAACAACTACTACTTAGTCGCCCAGGTCTCGTTGATCCTCTGCTCGATATTCTGGACACATTGTCTGTGGAATAGATCGGATCTAGTCTGGTATTCAAAACGATCTGAATTGGAACTATGACTCCAAGATTTAGTACCTAAGTACGCAAAAGGATCGGCGGCCTATTGCGAGCTTTTCCTTGGCATTGTGGAATGGTCTGCAAGTAATTCGTGTTATCAGCCAACTGTGTAGGTAGATATCCATTCCAGTCCTCGCTGTCCATGGATCCAGACACAACGCTCCTCCCATCAAAGGCTAGTGCAGTGTCTTCTAAAGTTGAAGTCAATAACGCAAAATACACGTAGAGCTGACGCAGCAGGAGACTGGCAGCCTATAGCCTCGATTCTGGAGATATAGATCTGCCAATCTCAGCCTCTGGGCTCATATAGAAGGCTCTCGTGGCTGTAAGGTAGTCGAATTGGCCGTGCCTGCTTTGTGAAGGCCTTGAAGGATTGGCGAGGCATTGATCGCCTGATAAATCAGGCGAATATCGAGGCTGTCTTGATATTCGAGCTTCCACCTTGCTCATCCTCTCTTCTCTGACACTTCGTTCTGCTTTTCAAACCCTTCGCTCTGCTTTTTCAAACCATTAAGCTGGCGTGTGAGCTCACTGGACGCGTCTCTTTCGCTCTCAACACATAATCCAACCCGTCTTTGAACCTCATACCATTCAACAGGTGCGTGAAAGGGCTGTCTCTCTGTGCAGTCATTCACATACTGACGGGTTGCTTCACCAGGTCTCTTTGAACCTCATATCATTCAACAGGTGCGTGGAAGAGCTGTCTCTCTGTGCAGTCATTCCCATACTGACGGGTTGCTTCACCAGGTCTCTTTGAACCTCATATCATTCAACAGGTGTGTGGAAGAGCTGTCTCTCTGCACACTGTTTCACATTCTGACGGAGGTTTGCTTTTTTCAAGACCTTCGCTCTGCTTTTTCAAATCAGTAAGCTGGCGTGTGAGCTCACTGGACGCGTCTCTTTCGCTCTCAAGACATCATCCAACCCGTCTTTGAACCTCATACCATTCAACAGGTGCGTGAAAGAGCTGTCTTTCTGTGCAGTCATTCACATACTGACGGGTTGCTTCACCAGGTCCGGACAAAATGTCTGAGCAGTTTCATTTTTTTTCCCTGCCCCTTGAGATACGCGAGATGATCTGGACTTACGCTGTCCCCGATCGGATCGTCGAGGTTGGCCAGCCAGGGGACCCCGATGTTCTGCCAGCAAGCGACCTCAAGAAAGCCTGGATTCAAAACCACAAGCCCCCAACTGTTGCCTTGATCTGCAAAGAGTCTCGGGACATTGCAATGAAGTCATCGGGTATTCCTCGGGGTGGATTTACCTCGTTTGCCAAGGACTACCAGTATTGGCTGAAGTCCACCAAGACCATCCATTTCAACGCAGAAGATGAGAGCGAGCTGGATATGCCCATGAACATGTGGCTGGAAAACGATATGCTTGATATGCTGAAGGTGGTACGCCGGGGCAAAGAGCTGTCAATCAGTGCAGATCTCATTCAACCTTTTATTCGTTTCCACAATCCTAGTTCTTGCAGTGGACTGATGCAGCATGTGTTGTTCGATGAAAGAGTGGCATGCACCATTGCGCTTCAAACCGTTATGATCAAGGCAACTCATGCACAAGCCCGTCGCTTCGGACTGTTTGGTGGTGGAGATGAAGCCGCGCAGCTGGTAGATCCGGAGGATGATGAGACTCTTAACAAGTTCAAAGATCTCTGGATCTTGTCCGATGGATCACATGACATGACGGCGGCCAAGTTCTTTGAGACCGTGGGAGGCCCCAGGTTTGACTTCCGAATTAAGAGATGGCGCGCCGAGCTGGCAGTCAAGTTCATTCAGTGGTCGCTGAGATTCAATCCTCTTGGAGCCCCCCAACTTACCCATAACGCGGCACAGGCCATTCAGTGGCTTCGCCAAAACTTTGACCTGAGACAGAACCACGCTGTCCAGGAGCTCCTCGATGATTTCCCGGAGTTCAAGCTCCGGATCATGTTTCGACTGTGCCCTCCCCGGGCACGTCGAAACATGATTATGTAATCCCGGGGAGATTTTCTGTACGATTCCTGTTTGAGTATTCTGTTCAATTTTCTTTTTTCTTTTTTGTTTTTTGTACCCTCGACCATACGACCACCATGGGCAAACGAGGAGGCAAGAAGGTAAACACATTCATTCTCACTCATCAATTCGTGCTAAATCTGACGCTCTCAGGGTTCCCGTGGAGGCCGTGGAGGCGGCGGCGCAACTCGCACGCGCTCCCAGTGGAATGACATCGCCAAGGACAATGAGAAGTTCGAGCGGTATTACAATGAGCCCGAGTTCCTCCCAGAAGAGGAGAGAGAACTTTTCTGGGCGACGATGCGCAAGGATCTCCCCAACAGTTTCCGTTTCACTGGTTCTCGAGGGTAGGTTACAATCGGAGAATTGGAATTTTGCGACTGCGCACGAGGGTCAGCCCAAAGCAATACTGACCATTGTACCCGTTGACAGACATGCTCTCGCTGTCCAGCAGCGCCTCAAGGACCATCATATCCCCGAAATCACCTCCATCAAATACGAGAACGAGTTCGTCGAGCCACCGCGCCCAGTCTCGTGGTACCCCGATCAGCTCGCATGGTCCATGACCACTCCCAAGAACGTCATTCGACGATTTGCACCCTTCTCTTCTTTCCAAAAGTTCCTCGTCGCCGAGACAGACGTTGGAAACATCAGTCGCCAAGAGGTCGTTAGCATGATCCCTCCTCTCCTCATCGACGCTAGACCTGGCATGACCGTCCTTGATATGTGTGCCGCCCCTGGTAGCAAGTCCGCGCAGCTTATGGAGTTGCTTCACGCCGGCGAAGAAGATGCTATTGCTCAGGTCACAGAGCAGGTCAACAATGGCAACGCTGGTCCCGAGCCTCTTGGTCCCGAAGGATTGAATGACGACGGTCGCAGCACCGGCTTGCTGATCGCCAACGACAGCGACTACAAGCGCGCTCACATGCTTATCCACCAAATGAAACGCTTGAGCTCACCTAATCTGATTGTTACAAACCATGACGCCACTATGTTCCCCTCCATCAAGCTTCCCGCTCTGCCTACTGAAGATGGTAGCAAGCCTAAGAACAGATATCTGAAGTTTGACCGTATCCTGGCAGACGTTCCCTGCTCCGGTGATGGTACTGCCCGCAAGAACGTCGGTGTGTGGAAGGAATGGACTCCCGGAAATGCTCTCGGTCTCTACAGCATCCAGTCTCGAATCCTGGTCCGTGCTCTGCAGATGCTCAAGGTTGGTGGCCGTGTTGTCTACTCAACCTGTAGTCTGAACCCCGTCGAGAACGAGGCCATTGTCGCTACCGCCATCGAGCGTTGCGGTGGTGCAGCCAATGTCAAGATCGTTGATTGTAGCCAAGAGCTCACCGGTCTGAAGAGAGCTGCCGGTCTCCGCAACTGGAAGGTCATGGATCGCGAGGGCCGCCTGTGGAGCGACTGGGATGAGGTCAACGCCCACCGTAACCAGGAGGGCATCAATGGTCTTGCCAGACTTGCCGAGGGCATGTTCGCACCTACTGGTGAGGCTGCCGATCTGCCTCTGGACCGCTGCATGCGTGTCTACCCCCACCAACAGGACACTGGCGGTTTCTTCATCACTGTCCTTGAAAAGACATCCGAGATCCGTGCCAAGCCCGAAAGCAGCAACGTCATCCCCAAGGCGTCTGTTGCAGCTCTTGCCGCCGAGCTTGACTCCAAGAAGAACGAGGCCGAAGGACAACCCCTTGAGAAGCTTGAGTCACTGGACGAGCTTGTCACTCCCGACCAAGAGGCCGAAGCCGAGATTGCCAAGAATGCAACCGTTGCTGAGGCCGCCCACCAACCTACCTACGCTGCTACCCTTGATGAGTCGGCTCCTGTCTCTCTCCCTAAGCGCGACGCAAGCGATCTGGACGAAGAGATCCCTGCTAAGCGCACCAAGCTTGATGATGGTAGCGAGGTTCTTGTCGGCGACCGACCTATTCACACCCCCGCACCCGCTGTAGGTACCGGCATTGAGACCCCGGTTGACAGCACACCTACTACCTCCGCAGCTCCGTCACAGCTGAAGAAGAAGGGTCCCCGTCAAGAAGAGCCCTTTAAGTACCTCGATCCTAACCACGAGGAGCTTGGCCCTATCTTTGATTTCTACAAGCTGTCAGACCGCTTCCCTCGTGACCGTTTCATGGTCCGCAACGCCGAGGGTCTTCCTACTCGTACTGTTTACTACACCAGTGCCCTGGCACGTGATATCCTTGTCTCCAACGAAGGACAGGGTATGAAGTTCGTCCACTGCGGTGTGAAGATGTTTGTCAAGCAAGACGCCCAGCGTGAGAACGTCTGCAGATGGCGTGTCCAGACTGATGGCTTGAAGATTGTTGAGCCTTGGTTGGGTTCTGAGCGCTCGGTCGTCCTGACTCAACGGGAGACCCTGCGCCGTCTCCTCGTCGAGATGTTCCCCAAGGTGTCGGATGATGGTTGGAAGTCTCTGGGCGAGATCGGTGAGCGTGTCAAGGACATCCCGATGGGCTGCAGTATTCTTCGCGTCGAGCCTACCGGAAAGGAAGACGGTGTGACGTGAGTTTCTATGATTCCTGACCAAACAATTGCTTTACTAACGTCTGACAGCGAACGCATGGTGCTGCCTCTCTGGCGCTCCCTCCACTCTCTCAACCTGATGCTACCCAAGGAAGAGCGTCGCGCCATGTTGCTGCGGATTTTCAACGACTCTACCCCGCTCATCAACACCACCTTCAAGAAGGATGCGGAGGTAGAACCGACCGCCGAGGCTGAGGAAGTGGCATTGGAGCAGGAGAACCTGGAGCTCGGGCAAGATGCCCAGGATGCGGTGGACGAGCAGGAGACCTACACCAAGGACGGTGACGAGGAGGATCGCTTCAACACCACCGTCTAGGCGGTGGTTATGTTATTAAATGTGGAGTTTTTGTACGGAGTACCAAAAGCAAATTTTCAATGTCAATTTCCCGGAGAATCATCGGTAGGACTAATTGTATGCGCCGGCTAAATTCAGCTTTTCCCCCGCCTGGGTAGCTTGATCTATTTAGTCGAATTAATATACAGATGGCGCCATATGACAGCATTTCAAGGTCCGAGGGGTTTGTCGGAAAACAGCCAATGCTTAAACCAAAGACTGGATACTTCCCCTTACCTCCAGTTAACATGATGCGATGTTAACTGACTTCACCTCAAAAGCAAGAACAGGAATGAAGATCACTCCTAACGGGGAAATATCCCCTGCCACCATACGATATGCGGAAAAATTGCGGCGGTGCCCCCGCAATAGCTGCAGGGAGTAAACTGGGGAAGGGATCATCGCTCCGGTTGGCGAGGCTTGTATGCATGCAACATCACGGAGCTCCCGGAGTCCCCCCTCAACGACAGATTCGCAAAGGGCTTCGATCCCGGCTATTGACTGTCGGGCGATCATGCCCCGACTCTGCCTATATAGCCTGCCCCTGCATCGACTTGCAGTCAAGAGAGCTACCCCGTTTTTCGCAAATTGAGCCATGAAGCTCTCATCGACGTGGGCTATCGCCTGTCTAGCAGCTCAGGCTGCTGGTGCTGCTATTAGCCATTCGCTCAATGGGTTTAGTATCACTGAACATCCGGACCCTGTTAAGAGGGCTTTGCTGCAGAAGTTTGTATGTTGTCTGTGAATTCTTGTATTGTACAGTGTATTGACGTCAGTGCAGGTCAGTTGGGATGACAAGTCTTTGTTCGTCAATGGCGAGAGGATCATGTTGTTTAGTGGTGAAATACACCCCTACCGGTGAGTTGGTATTCAATGATGCCGATGCCCTGATCTAATTCATATTCTCTGCAGTCTGCCTGTCCCATCTCTATGGATTGATGTCTTCCAGAAAGTCAAGGCTCTTGGTTTCAACTGCGTTTCTTTCTACATTGATTGGGCCCTGCTCGAAGGTAAGCCCGGCTCTTATAGTGCCGAGGGAATCTTCGAACTCGAGCCATTCTTCGACGCCGCCAAGGAGGCCGGTATCTATCTTCTCGCTCGTCCTGGCCCCTATATCAATGCTGAAGTATCTGGGGGTGGTTTCCCTGGCTGGTTGCAGCGTGTCAATGGAACACTGCGCACTAGTGATGAGGCCTTCCTCAAGTCAACAGACAAGTAGGTGACCTTTCGCCCCATTATCCGAACTTGATACGGTGTATACTGACGTGTTTGAAAAGCTACATGAAGAATGTCTGTGCAACCATTGCCAAGGGCCAAATCACCAACGGTGGTCCTATCATCCTCTTCCAGCCGGAGAATGAGTACAGTGGTGCCGTTGGCATCGATAACTTCCCCGATGGTGCCTACATGCAGTATGTCGAGGACCAGGCTCGCGACGCCGGTGTTGTCGTTCCTCTGATCAGCAACGATGCATGGGCTGGTGGCCACAATGCTCCTGGGACTGGCGAGGGAGCTGTCGATATCTACGGACATGACAGCTATCCCCTCGGCTTTGATTGCGCGAACCCTTCTACCTGGCCATCGGGCAATCTGCCCACTGACTTCTATACCACGCACATGAAACAAAGTCCTTCCACTCCCTATTCTCTGATCGAGGTATGTTGCATTTGCGAGCAATGTGAAAGTTTACTAACCTAGTATAGTTCCAAGCTGGAGCATTTGATCCTTGGGGAGGTGTTGGTTTCACGAAGTGTGCTGCTCTTCTGAACCACGAGTTCGAGAGAGTCTTCTACAAGAACAATCTTAGCTTCAAGGTTGCATTCCTGAATCTTTACATGGTATGTTAATTTCCCCCCGGCCATTGTTACAATCCTAACACTATTAGATCTTCGGTGGTACCAACTGGGGTAACCTTGGCCACCCAGGAGGCTATACTTCCTACGACTATGGCTCCCCGATCTCCGAGTCTCGCAACATCACTCGTGAGAAGTACAGCGAGCTCAAGCTGATTGGAAACTTTGCCAGAGTATCCCCAGCCTATTTGCTCTCCACCCCGGGAAGCTTGACCACTTCCAAGTACACCACGTCCTCTGACCTGGCTGTGACTCCCCTGCTCGGAGGTAACAGCACGAAGTCATCCTTCTTTGTCGTGAGACACAGTGATTACTCGAGTCAGGCATCTGTCGACTATAAGCTCAAGGTTCCTACCAGTGCCGGCCAGCTTACTATCCCCCAACTGAGCGGTAGCCTTACTCTCAGTGGACGTGATTCCAAGGTCCATGTGGTTGATTATGATGTGGCGGGTACAAACATCCTCTACTCCTCTGCCGAGGTCTTCACCTGGACCAAGTCTGGCAAATCCAAGGTTCTTGTGCTGTATGGTGGTCCTGGCGAGCACCACGAGTTGGCTGTTTCTTCCACATCCAAGCCCTCCGTCATCGAAGGTTCCTCGTCCAGCATCACCACTAAGCAGGTGGGCAAAGCTGTTGTCATTGGCTGGGATGTCTCGACCACTCGTCGCATTGTGCGAGTTGGAGACTTGAAGATTCTTCTCCTGGGTAAATACTCTGAACCCGATTCATGATTGATCAACCTTGCTAACAACGTCGCTAGACCGCAACTCAGCTTACAACTACTGGGTTCCCCAGCTTCCAAGCAAGGGCACTTCTCCCGGATACAGCTCCCAAAAGACATCTGCTTCCTCGCTCATCGTCAAGGCTGGATATCTTGTGCGCACGGCCTATGTGCAGGGAAGTGACCTTCACCTTACTGCCGATTTCAACGCCACCACACCCATCGAGGTGATTGGAGCCCCATCCAACGCCAAGAACCTGGTGATCAACGGCAAGAAGACAGATGTCAAGGTCGACAAGAACGGAATCTGGTCCAGCAGTGTTAAATACACTGCACCCAAGGTTCAGCTCCCGACTCTGAAGAACCTCAAGTGGAAGTCCATCGATACTCTACCTGAGATTCAAAACTCTTACGATGACTCTGCTTGGGTTTCTGCAGACCACACCTCCACCCCCAACACTGCCAATGAGCTGAAGACCCCGACCTCGCTGTTCGCCTCCGACTACGGTTTCCACACTGGCTATCTCCTCTTCCGCGGCCACTTCACTGCCACTGGCGAGGAGAAGTCCCTTTTCCTGCGTACCCAGGGCGGCACTGCATTCGGAAGCTCTGTATGGTTGAACGAAACCTACGTAGGATCCTGGGGCGGCATCTCCATCAACGCCGACAACAACGCCACATACACCCTGCCCACCCTGACCAAGGGCAAGTCATACGTGTTCACTGTCGTGGTTGACAACATGGGTCTGGACGAGGATTGGACCGTCGGCACGGACGACACCAAGGATCCCCGGGGAATCTTAGAGTACAAGCTCTCGGGCCGATCCGCCAGTGACATCACCTGGAAACTAACCGGCAACTTGGGCGGCGAGGACTACCTCGACACAGCTCGCGGTCCTCTCAACGAAGGAGGTCTCTACGCAGAGCGTCAAGGATTCCACCAACCCCAGCCACCCAAGGACTGGAAATCAGGAAGTCCCTTCGACGGACTCTCAGCACCAGGAATCAAGTTCTACACCACCAGCTTTGATTTGAATATCGAGAAGGGCTGGGATGTCCCACTGTACTTCAACTTTGGAAACGCCACTTCTACCGGACAAGCTGCTGCGTATCGCGCTCAGCTCTACGTCAATGGATACCAGTACGCTAAGTATGTGAACAACATTGGTCCCCAGACGAGTTTCCCTGTCCCAGAGGGTATTCTCAATTACCGGGGTACCAATTATTTGGCGCTGAGTCTTTGGGCACTTCAGAAGGATGGGGCTCAGTTGGAGAGCTTCGACTTGGTCCATACTACTCCTGTGTTGACTGCGATGAATGAGGTGGAGCCGGCTCCTCAGCCGAAGTATGAGAAGCGCAAGGGGGCTTATTAGATATACAGTATACTCTGTAAGGAAAACTCCGTATAATCTCCGTATGGAGGTATCTAGGAATAAGACATTCAATTGCAATGAAACATACATAGAGTATAAGAGTCAGAGTATAAGAGCACAGCAGTCCCACTTCTCCGCAGATCCCCAGCCACCCCCAACCTCTTTTTCGCTATTCATTATTTTCTTCGAGTACACCGTCCTTCGTATTCTATAAACATTTCCAGTCGCAATCCACTCAGTCATATGCCAACAATCTAATCCATTCGCATGCGCCACCTGCATCCAATAATCCCTAACATCTGACCACAACCCCCAACAACCAAAAATGGACCTCGCATCCAAAGCCCACACCAACCCCAATCTCCTCGACACAGCCCTCCAAAAGCGCTACACCACCATCTCCATCCCCTCAACCTACGGCCGTCTGCACGACAGCCCAGCCCCAGGCACAGTAGCCGGAATCGTCCTCGGCAGCGTCGCCGGCTTCGTACTACTAATGTACGTACTATTCCTAGCCGTGAATCCAGGGGGCGTTGCACGAGGCGCGCCATCAAGCGTGAGCATGTCGATGGACGAAGAGGAATCAGTGCGCAGTCGAAGACGGGGGTCCCGACGCAGAAGCGAAGTGGAGGTTCTGGAGGAGAGGGAGAGTTTCAGGGATAGTTATCGGCGCAGACCTGCTAGTCGGCATGATCGGATTGTTGTGGAGGAGTCTTTGGCTACGTCTACCACCGGGGATGGGGATGTGGTGGAGGTTATTGAGGAGGAGAGCTCGGTTCCTTCGGATATGTCCCCTCGTCCGCCTAGACGGTCTAGACGGGGGGTTAGGCATGTGGATCCGATGGCTTATGGGGGGGATAGTGATTATGAGAGTCGGAGGTAGGGGGTTTAATGTTGGTTTAATGTTATGTTTATGTGCTATGATTTATGTTTATGAGGGTTTTGCGATGTGTTTATAATGCCTATAATTGACAATACCCGTACACTTTCTACTTGGACAATTTCGCAATGATCAACTTAAGGACGAAGACTGAACAAAGTCAAAGGAGATGGTAATGTGATTAGGTATACTCCATAGCAATAAACCAGCGAGCCAAAAAAAGAGATAGCTGAGAATTCTCCAAGCGAAAAGACAGGACCAAAAACGCCATCCTGTGTTGCGCCAACAGGAAAAAAGGATATATACGAGACAATCTCCCCGTTTGCGACTCCAAAAAGACCAATTCGTGAAATCAGAGCGATCGTAAACAAGCATCTTTCAAAAGAGCACAGTGTATGAGCGTAGGACCTCTAGAACAGAATATCCAAGCAACAACAGCAAGCAAATGCAGCCATGATACCGGCGCAGATTCCACCAGCGCCGCCGCCGGAGGAGTGGTTCCCGCGATCATTGTTGTAGTACTGTTGCTGTGGGGGATAGCCCTGCTGTTGCGGTGGGTAGTACATGGGCTGTTGTTGCTGGGGATAGTAACCCTGCTGCTGCCCATACCCTTGTCCCTGCTGTGGGTAGTAGCCCTGCTGGGGCTGGCCGCCGCCGTAGTAGTCTGATGCGGCGCCTGGAGGGGGACCCTGTGGGGGAGGAGAATTGGGGTTGTAGGGCCCTGCGTCGTGGACTGGCGCGGGATAGGAGGGGGGTGGGCTTGTCTGATTCAGAGTTAGTTTGGAATGTTGGAGTGTTGGAGTGTTGAAATGGACGTACGGGCTTGTTGTAGGACATGGTTGAGTGGGGATGTCGATTTAGTGCCGATCTGGAGATTGAGTGGGGACGCAAGTGGTTCGCGACTTCACGATGTTCTCTGTTCAAGATAGAAAGGTGGAATAGAAGAAAAGCGCAGAGAAGAGACAAGAGAAGAAGATCAGTGGCGCAGTCCGGGCACGTCGGCGCTTAGTCAACCGGATCCGGACTTCCAAGACTTTTACGATATTTTTGGTTATTTTTGGTTATTTTGGTTAGGCATCATGATTGTTGTTGATTATTGTTGATTGCTGTTGATTGTCGCTGTTGGGCTGTGTAGAACTGGCTTCGGGCTTCAATTAAGAGACTTTTGATACTGTCCATTTATAAACCTCAGATATAATGCATATGCAAAGAGCCAAAGACAAAGACAAAAAGGTAGAGTAAGACAAAAAAAGAAACGAGAATGCTAGACAAACGCTAGACTTCATATACGTTGATGCATGGACATGTACCAGTAATCATAGGTCTATGCCTTCTCTTCGATCTCAGCCTTCTTAAGCTCATCCGAGACATCAGCCACGGCATCTTGCTCCTGAGCCAGCTCGGCCTCCGCTGAGGGAGCGCCGTTCTCTTGCGCGGGCTTCTTGGCAGCGTCAGTAGCACGGCCATTGGTCTGGGCAATGTTGGCCTCCTCCTCTTCAAGGCGGTTAATCTCCTCCTTGGCCTTGTTGATGTTCTGCGGGGTAAATTAGCAACTGATCAGCAACCAAAAAAAAAGGGAATGTTTCACGTACCTCCTCGGTCTTGCTGGCCTGGTTTTTCTTCCACTCGGTGATCTTGGCGGCCAACTTCTCCACCGCAGCAGGGACAGCCGACTGGTTCATGGGAGGGTCGATCTTGACCTTGGCAAAGTCCTCAATGATACCAACGTTCATGTTAAACTTGCTCTCGGCGGCAGCGGGGGCCTTCTTGCCACCCTTCTTGCCCTTCTTGCCTCCAGAGCCAACAAAGTAGTCTTCCTCGTCATCCTTGCGGACAACCTTCATGCCCTTAATCTCAGCAGCTTCAACAGTGCGGCCAACTCCGGCGCGGAAGTTGCTGCCCTCGTCCTTCTTCTCGTCAAGTCCGAGAACGGAGAAGTTATACGCAGGGTCGAAGTGACGGATGAGTCCCTGGGCAGTGAGGATCTCATCGGTGTAAGCGAGCTGGGAGGCCTCCTCGAGCTTCTTGTCGGCCACCTTCTTGCGCTTCTCGCGCTCAAAGGCATCACGCTCAGCCTTCTGGCGCTCACGGCGCACGCGCCACGCCTCATCCTCGTACTCCTTGTAAGCACGGCGGGCCTTGAAGTAATCATCCTTAAGGGTGCGGATAGCAGTGTACTTCTCCTGCTGGTCGTTGCGCAGCTTAGTCCGCTCGTCGCGCAGAGCGTTCAGGTTCTTAAAGACACCATCCTGCTCGGCCTTGATGGTGTCGAGCTCCTTCTGGATCTCGTTATACTTATCGCTCAGGGCCTTGGCCTCGGGGTTGTCGAGGGTCTTGCGCAGCTCTGCAATCTGGGCCTTGAGGTCGTTAATGCCCTGCTGGGCATCTTCCAGACCGGCGAAGCTCTTGCGCTGCTTGCGCAGGTTGGAGACCTCAGTCAGGGCCTTGCGCTCATCGACCAGACGGAGGGTTCCGGAGTCAACAGACTTCTCGAGGCGGGCAATCTCCTTGTCAATCTCCTCAACGCTCTTGAACGACAGGCGACCACGGTTGGCGTTCTGCTCAGCAATGCGGGCCTTGAGGTTGGCATCGAGGGCGTTGATCTTCTCCTGGGTGGAGGTGCGGCCGGACTTGAAGCCGGACTGCTTCTGGCGGATGGAGGAGAGTTCGGAGCGCAGTTCCTGCTGTCTCTTGCTGGCGGGTGAATCCTTGTTGTTGGGCTTAGCATTGTCCAACTTGGACTTGATTTGGTTCTGTTGCGCATATCAGTCACGAGTTCAGATACAAATAGACGGCCACGATGGCCACTCCATGTGGGTCAGTGGGTAATCCCCTCGAACCCATCAGAAGACTGTATCAAAGACTGCGATTAGCATACCAGTTTCTCCTGAGCAGCAGTGTGCTGCTTCTCGGCCTCAGCGAGATTGGTCTTGTAGGCGGCCTCATCGGGCTTGGTGGGCTTAACCCGCTCCGCATCGTTGGCAGCCATTGCGACGAAATGCGACGGACAGAAAAGAGTTAGAAGAGAAAGAGAAGAGTCGCAGGATTGATCAAGACGAAACCACAGGGGAATTGAAAAGGGGGACTTGGGAATAATTAAATGGGTTCGGTCGGTTTCTCCGCTTAAAGTGTCGCTGGCAGAATTCCCGCCGATTTTTCGAACTTCACCCATCTCTCCCACCGGAGCTCTCACTTGACTCTTTTACTCCGTTTCGCATTTTTCTCTTTAATCAGGTCTCCCATACTCCACCCTTTACTCTCACATCATGGACGGAGACGCGGCCCACTCCATGGAGGCCGAGCGCGAGATGACTCGTCTCTGGCGTACCTTTAGAACCGTCTACGAATTGCTCGCAGACCGGGTATGGACCTCCAGTCAGCTCTGGCATATCCCAAATGTCATCGCAAAGTGACGTCCTACTGAACTAATCTGGTACAGGGATATGAAGTTTCCGACAACGAGCTGGCGCTCCCACTAGCAGAATTCCGCGAAAAATATTCCGACTCTCTGGGCTTCGCTGAGTACGCAAAATCCCTGCGCCCACCCCCGGGGCCAAACTGCAGTCAAGACTAGCACCGTGCAGTCATGCGCAATGCAAAGCAAGCATCTCTCTAACCAATTCCTCACAGCCGCTCCAAGATGAAAATCCAAGCCCGGCCCACCGAACTCATGAAGATGAAATACACACCACTCCCCAGCAAAGCAAACCCCAACCCCCAGCCCGACTGCGGAACCATCTATGTCGACTTCTGCCCCGACGCCTCAGGTGTCGGAACCAAGCAAGTCCGCGCCTTCAACCACCTCGTCGACGAAAACAACTTCCACACTGGAATCTTCATCACCCAGACTCCTATCTCGCCATCTGCCGTCCGTCTGCTGAGTGGTGTCCCCGGCCGCATCTGCGAGCACTTCCAGGAACAAGATCTGCTGGTCAACATTACCCGTCACGAGCTTGTCCCCAAGCACGTCCTCCTCAGCCCCGAGGAAAAAGCCAAGCTCTTGGAGCGCTACCGTCTGAAGGAATCACAGCTTCCCCGCATACAGGTTTCTGACCCCGTTGCTCGGTACCTCGGTTTGCGCCGTGGTCAGGTTGTCAAGATTATTCGCAAGTCTGAGACGGCAGGTCGCTATGCCAGTTACCGCTGGGTCATTTAAGTATGTGCATTGGGATCTGCATCTGAATCTGAATCTGAATCTGGAATTGAAAATGCACTTGCGCTTGGCTTTTGTGCCAGGCTTTTTTGTTTCCAGGGGTTTTGCAGTACCCGTCGAGTCATTGTTTGTCTCGCAAATTTGCAATGCATTTTTCCACTCTAATCTCTCGAGACAATAAGGGATACTGATTGTTTCGATAAATGGACTTTTGGCAGTCCTGAAGACTGTCGATTGTCTCAACGAGAAGTGGATGGGAGTTTTTTGTTCTTTTTTCCCCTGTTCCATTCAACCTTACAACAACAAAAAAAGTTTTGGTCTACCCCTTGTATTATGGGCAGCAAGGCGTATAGGTTTGAAGTTTCTCCTATGGGGGTTGGGGGGTTTACCTGTGATTTAAATTTGATTTGTCTAGATGAATACAATCTATGTATGAATGGCTATTGTATCTGTTTTCTGGGTCAATATCTGCTTGTAGCAGAGGATTCTTCAAGGTAGAGGTCAGGCTGGGATCTGAATATGTATACAGCCCGGGGATATCCAAATCTCCGATGTCATATATCAACTAAGGGTACAACTATTAACAGCGACAAGGACAAAGAACAATAACCACACCCATCCACCAGCAACGCACAAAGGGGAATTAATAAACACAAACAAAATATATACATGAGGTATCGCAGCAAAAGGAAAGCACCTCGAATCCACCCAAGCGACCAAACCGACAAAAGAAAGCCATAAATCCATAACTCATATCACATCATAAATACCCCTACGATCGACCCGGATTGGACAATAGCCCACCAACATCCTGCAACTCAACAGGGTCAAGCTTCGTATCCGAGGATCTTGTAGATACCACCGGAGCAGCCAGACGAGGCGGCACAATGCCCCAATCCTCAAGAAAAGCCCTCCTACCAGCGCGACGATGCGACGCAACCGGCGAGACTATACCTGGCTTTACCTCGCTCTTCGGTACTGTAGCCAATAGACCACCGACGTCAGAGAAGGAGACACCACGAGAAGACGTGGGGCGTAGCGAGTCATTCATTTCCAGATCGTGCGGCGCCTTGATATCGCTATTAGATGAGTCGTCTCCAAATGACCAAGATGGATCTATGGATCCTGTCCGTGCGACAGCTAGAGGGGGCGCAATTCTGGATGGGTACATGTCTGAATCGAGTCTGATGCAAAGACCATTTGCAAGGTCTGAGTCTGAGCCCCATTGGTTCTGCATGACAGTGTTTCTCCGTAGGTGTGATTTATCCATTGATTCCGAGACAGAGGCGGAGCCCTGAGCGCGTTTGTATTTGAGTTTCTTGATTCCTCTATCTCGAACGAAAGAGCCGATGACGAGGGCGTTTGAGACGGCTGTTGCAGCGAGGATTTCTAGAGATGCGATGAGGGAGCGATATTGTTGGGAACCTTGGTGTGATATCACGGATGGGACGCGGAAGCTGGTTATGCCGACTAGGAGGAGGGAGCCGCAGAAGAGGGCTACTAAAGCGAGTTTGCGTTTGAGGGGCATGGTTGCTAGCAGGATTATGGGGACTGGGAAGGCGATGAGGAGGAGGTCGGTTATTACATCGCAGGTGCCCATTGTGATGAGGTTCACGTAGCCGGTTCGGCAGGTTGGGCCTGGGTCTGGGATTACCTGCCAGGAGTGGTGGATGGGTTGGCATTCGGCCAAGGTGGCGATGACTACTGCGACGAGTGTGGAGAAGAGGAAGACGCTGATGAAGCGGAGGAAGAAGGTTGTTGAGCGGCGCCAGGTTACGCCTGTTACTCTCTTGAGGAACTCGCAGACTGTTACTTTGGCGGTCCAGATACTGGATTTCTCGTGGGTTAGGTCGGTGTGTAGCGGAGAGGGATGATGTTCTCACAAAATTGCATAGAAGATGCGCGCAGCGAGAACTAGTTTACTTCCTAGTTCCCTGTTGCGGATGTCCTGCTCTGTTAAATCGGTCGTGGTGGTGTTGTTGGTTCCTAGGGTGAGGACAAAGTGGACCAAGACCATCCGAATCAGCAGTGGAATGACACTGATCATCATGACTTTGTCTTCGGTGAAGAAGCGCTCGACTCGTATGTAGCGGCCAAACAGACGTACGACGATGATGGCCAGGGAGAACCCCGTTGCCCACCAGCTCATCATCAGAGTCGGATTGACCTGAGCCCTGGTCTGCATGGCTGGTGGGCTATCAGGGTAGATGGACGCCATGGCCATGTCCCTCGAACGTGCTTTACATTGCTGCACGTGCCAAAGTGCGGGGAGCTATAACGGCTGGTCGATCGAGTGGATCGAAAGGGATCATCCCGTTTTAAGTAGACACGGAGTGGACTGCCAAGGCCCAGGAGAGAGGAGAAAAGAGAGAGTGAAGCGAGGGAAAGAGAGGAACATAAGAGGAGAAGAGAGCCAAACCAAACGAGATAAGCGTCAACCAGTGACAATAGACTGGCTAATCTGCGGAATAGTTTAGTATTTAGCCAAGCCATTGTCGAATCCTTTTAAGCGAGAGTATATCATTGTTATCATTGTGACTATTTACTGCTTTGGTGTTAGTATGAAGTCCTTATATCACTTAATAAGGGGCACTCTATCGATAGTGACTATATTTAGTGGAAGTGGTTAGAAATACTGGAAAGAAAGAGCGCAACACTTAAGTAAGTTAAGGAAGCTCGAAGCCTCAAATGCCCATCTCGTTACACTGCATAGGTACCTCAACGTAGTGGTTTTCCTCGAGTGGGGCTTGCCCATGGCTGCCACCGCTTTTATGAGGGCAACTCAAGGTGAAAAGCTCCCTGGTTTGCGGGCTTTGGGGACAGAGGAGGAAGCACGTGATCCATTGAACTTTAAAGATGCAAACTATGCAAACACTCATTGGTCCAGTATCATGAGCACCCGGTCAGGTGACCGTGCTTGCTCTTTGGGAACATAGATCTCCGTTTCTTCCCCTCGCTCTATTATCTTTGGGACTAAAGCTGATCGGCTCTTCCCAGCCCAAGCCTCTAGTTCCTGTCGTCTCATCTCTACTGTACTCCGTATCATGTGATAGGGATACATGGCTCCGGAGGCTTCTAAGGACGGAGCCGCCCAACTCATGCAGACCCGCCATCATGCAGCAGAGTCGCCTATCAGCATATGTGCCGGGGTAACAGCTTACCGCTCACGGTACAAAAGCTCAGTACGAGGGCCTCTCGCCGAATAGCATGATAGAAATGACATCCAGCCTTGTTGTCTTGCTTTTTGCATTGGCGCCCTGTTGCGGCCAACTTTCAGCCCCATGGCTTCCTTCAATTTACACCATATCGCAATACATATTCTCTCAATCTCCTCTCGGCGCTCCGCACGAAGTGTTGAATTCCTCTTACCATTACAAAATTCACACCAGGGCACTTGTGACCACCCACATAGTGCATAATGGGGGTCATCACCACTTGTGCACTGTTTTGCTTCGTGGTAGCAATTGCAATCGCCTCATATCGCTCCCACCGGTTCAGATCCGACGACCCAGAGCAAGATTCGAGACGGGAATCTGCACGAAGCCCACAATCTCCTCTTCGTCGGGTCCACCCTCGGGATCCAGAGATCAAGACCGACATTGATATCGTCGCCATCCATGGCTTAGATACGAAATCACCAGATACCTGGGAGTTCAAAGGAAAATATGGCAAGAAATCGGCAAACTGGCTAGAAGACAACGACATGCTCCCAAGCGAAGTCGGAAACGCTCGAATATTCACGTGCGATTGGCCTACCCACAAATTTGAATCGCCCGAGATCGCAAAATTGCACATCGAAGAACTTGCTCAACGCCTCGTCGCTCATATCAAGGCAGAACTGTTGAGCGATGAAAAAGACAGACCTCTTGTCTTTATCGCCTCTTGCTTCGGTGGAATCATATTGATGAAAGCATTAACAGATTCAATCGAAGATGATCCTCTCCGGTCATCTACACGCGCTGTCATCTTTCTTGCTACTCCATTCGATGGTACTTCATTTGGAAAGATAGCATACTGGGTAAGGCCTCTGCTGTCAGTGCAAGCCTGGTTTAGAGGTGCTATATTCAGTCCACGCCATGACTATGTCGAGGGTGGGATGTGGCAGATGTCGGAAATGACCCTTAAGTTTGGACAACTTTGCCTCGCCAAAGGCTATCTCGTCTCTGCCTTCTACGAGACTGTCGGAACAAATCTGTTGGCGAAGAATCTTCCCCGGGCACTTCAATGGATATCCAAAGAAGAACTGGTAAGTCATTTCATTGGCCGGTCTTAATTCATGAGGCTAGTTGAAGCTAATAACTTTGTAGCTCGTTGATAAAAGATCTGCAACGCCTGTGATGAAAGACAACATGATGCCTCTTGTCCGTGCTCACACGAGAATGAACAAATTTCCCAGTCCTGATGATGAGGACTATAGACTTGTTGCCAATACGGTCCGAGATTCCCTCGAGAGAATACGAGAAGGTCGGCCACTCGAAAAGATTGATCGGGAACTGAAAAGATATTACGAGGACGACAACAGACTTTACGTGGAGAGGCTTTCGACAGATCGGTTGCCGATGGAACAGTGTTATATCAACTTGGCTATCATTGAGCAGATCGCGAGTGAAGATGGAGTCTCAAGCAAATTTGGAGGTTCAAAAGAAATCTCTCCATTTTCACTGGCTCCTCGACTAGGAGTAGTAGAAGATCCAGACGACGTTCGACTCGAGCTACCCGATATTTTCAAACAGCGCGCCGGGCGACAAGCACCAAGAAAGGTGCTGATTCGTGGTCGTGCTGGGATTGGGAAGACGACATTGTGCAAAAAGATGGTCTATGATTTTATCCACGGTGATCTTTGGAACGAAACCTTTGACCGGATCTTCTGGTTACCGCTAAGAGATCTCAAGATCTTCAACTTCATGGTCAACGACATTGAGGACCTCTTTCGCAAAATATATCTCTCAGGGGAGACGGGTCTCGCTCATGCCGCATGGGTTGCACTGAATAAGTCGAACTATTCTAAAACGCTCTTTGTTCTCGATGGTTTGGATGAGGTCTTTGATGAATTACATGGTGAGCAAAAAATCATAAAGCTCCTCATGAAGTTGCCAAACATCATTGTGACCTCTCGCCCACATGTGTCACTCCCTACTTGGCTAGACGAGACACAAAAATTTCATCTTGAGTTGGAGACCATTGGGTTCTATCCGGACCAGGTTGCAAGTTATGTTCGAAATCATTTTATCCAGTCGAAAGCCACATCTGATACGAATAATCCCGACGCGATTTTATCGTTCCTCGAAACGCACCAGTTGATGAAGAGTTTGATGCGGATTCCTATTCTTCTTGATGCTCTTTGTTGGACTTGGAGTGGATTTGAATCCCAAAGCACATGGCACGACCTCGAATCAGACGAACAAACGAATCGTCCACAGACAATGACTGACATATACCAAGCTGTTGAACTTAAGCTTTGGACCAAAGATCTGGAGAAACTCGACAAAATAAAGCCAGGTCAGAGACGTTTTACCCTGCCAGATGAGTATCGCAGTCACGTTGAAGTCGAAACTGAGATGCTGGAGCATCTGGCCTTTTCTGGAATGTATAGCAACATCGTCAATTTTGAGCCAAGACATCGCAATAGGATATTGGTAGGATTCAAACTCGATAAGGCGGAGACCATTGACGAAAGACTAAGCAAGCTATCCTTTCTGAGAGCCTCCGGCATTCCCGCAAATGCCTATTCGAGTCGAGAACGCAGAACCTACCACTTCCTCCATTTGACATTTCAAGAGTATTTCGCAGCACGATACTTCTTTCGGCAATGGAAAGACAAAAAGAACCTGGAATTCTTCGACCTGGTCTCAGGAAACCAGATCTCAATGCCAACAGATGAGTTTCTTGGGAGGAACAAATACAAATCTCGTTATGATATTCCATGGCGCTTTGTTGCAGGTCTCATGTCTGACCATAATCCAAAAGAGCTGGAGAGATTCTTCAAGTCCCTCGATCGGGAACCACTTGATCGCCTGGGAGCTGTTCATCAGCGTCTTCTCATGCATTGTTTGAGCGAAACCAAGTCTGACTTTTCGCTCCGAAGTCAAATTGAAAGTCATCTGTCACAGTGGCTAATCTTCCAATGCAAGTTTATGGTGCCCGTGAAAAGGATCTACCCTGCGCGTGTCTACAAGTTTCATACCTTAGCAACTGAGATTGAATTTCCCCAGCAAGCTTTGACTGGATTGTGGGAAGAATGCGATGAGGCTAAGATGGTGGCCTACGACTCAATGAAATGGCTCATTCGCATAGCACCTCAATTCAGGGAGAACCTGATTTCGTTTCTAGACACAGAATCTGTTTATGCAGTGCCATGCTTGATCGGCTTGCTGAAACAGTCCAACGAGAAGCTACCCGAGAGTGTTTTACGCTCTATAGTCTCTCGTTTATGGACTGAATCCGGCTCAGCTGCCGCTGTCACTATCGCCGCACGCAATCCCGAGTGGGCCGAGCAAGAGGTACGCTCTAGAAGCATTCTTGCAAGGGATTATCTCCTCAGAATTATTGACCAAACTCTGCAAAGGCATGAGCCATCAGAGAAGCTTTTGCGGGAGATCCTAGACCACTTGGAGAAGATGGACGTGTTGACCCAAAAGCATGCCATCACTTTCCTAGTCAGACAGTCAACTTCGAGCAAGCAATTTCAGGATGAAATTACCGACAAGCTGTTGGGCGAGTCCTTTTGGGACGTCAGACACGCTGCTAACAAATTTCTACACCTTTTACCAACCCTGCCGCCGAAAGTGGTCGAAATGATAGAGGCAAGGATCAAGATTGATAACAACCCCAAGAACAAGCTCATCAGAAACCGGTTTTTAGCGAAGCCTTTCGCCAGGAGATCCGAACTACCCGAGCGATTGACTCGATTGTTGTCGACCATGGTAGACGAAAACATAGAAGGTTCAAACCTTGCTGTTGATATTCTATGCTGCCTTACGAATTGTCCAGATGGCTTACCGGATAGGCTTATCCTTAAGGACAACTGGCTCAAATATGCGCGTTCGTTTATTATGCTGTGCAACCGGTCAAAATTGTCGAGTGAAGCCCTTGACGCTTTACAGCATCGTTTAGTTAATCCCGTGTCCACTGCAAGGGAAATACTTTTGGTTCTCAAAATACTGAATGGAAAGCCCGGATTGTCCGACGCAATGCTTCAAGCAATAGTGAGCCACCTGAAGCATGAGGACCCTCGTGTTAGGACCATTGCTGTCAGTGCGCTAAGTGGCCAGCCATGCCTATCGCAGGAAATCGTCAGAGGAATAACTGACATACTCGATGAGCCTCTCAAGAAAGGCAATATCAAACAGGGTGCTCTTCAGGTGCTCAAGCAACAGACCACCTTACAGATAGATATCCTTGGCAAGATAGCCGATTCTATTATGAAGGATGAGAACCCGGAAATCAAGGCAGTCGCCATCGACACACTTACCGGAAATCCATATCTGTCTGAATCGCCAGATCTCCTCAAGGAACTTGCGAGCTACATTGATCCCAAGGGCTCAGGATTCAATGTAGAGGTTACAGGTCCAGTCATAGCAGCTGCCGTACAAGCATTGGGCCTCAGTGGTCCCTTGATCTTGGAGAATAATCTTGAAATCATATCCTCGCAACTTAACCACGACGACAAAATGGTTCGGAAAGTTGTTGTTCAGGTCTTGATTGACCAGTCATCTTTGTCTGAGAAACACCTCACATTGTTGGTAGACCGAACCAATGATGACGACAGAGACGTTCGAAAGGCTGTGGTTCAATTCCTTCTCGGACAGCCAAGTCATTCCGAGGAGCACTTGAGGCTTTTGATGACACGAATCAATGATGAAGACAGTGGGATTCGAAATGACATTGTTCAGTTCATCCTCCGGCAGTCACCTCTGTCCGATGATTACGTCCAGCTGTTAGCAACCCGAATCAATGATCAGGATTGGGAAGTCAGATCGAGTGTCGGCAAATTTCTCGAGGAGCAGAAAGATCTGACCGACGAGACTCTTCACATAATAGCATCTCAAATCGCTGGCTCGGATACTGTGAGATTTGCAGACCCTATGAGGAGTTTCCGGTTGGTCAACATGCTCCTAAAACATGAAAGGTTGCATTCGGAACTGCTTCTTCGAGGCTTTGCCTATCGAGTTTTGTCCCCTTTGCTATTACGAAGTTTCAAGGCGCACCTTGCGTGGTACATCCAAGATGGCGAGTCTTGCCTTGAAACGGAAAGTGAGATCAAAAGGCGAGGCCTATTTGCTGATGTGAACATCGAAGTTGAGATGAACACGGTTCGAGAAGCGGCTCAAATGCCACCTGTGGCAGTTTTGTATTCTTGAATTCTGGCTCTCTCTCTCTCTCTCTCTCTCTCTCTCTCTCTCTCTCTCTCTCTCTTTCTCTCTCTCTCTCTCTCTCTTTTGAGTGACAGAATGAATCATTACTTCTAACCTGAGCTTACAAAACCCGTAGTCCTGTCTCACACTGGTTTCATTGCCCATGAGTTCACCGAAGGAGCATATCATGGCCGCGGGTATTATCCGACGTCGGCCATCAGATCTTAGGAGCGGCAAGTTCCCGAATTACGAACTTTCGATGGCAAATTCGAATGAAAAGAACAAAGTCGAAAATAAAATCAAGGGCCTTCATTGAAAGAGTAGGGGACATTGGAATTTCTCAAAGTTATAGTCAACAAGATGAGTATGCACAGAGATTGTTGGCAGGTGCTTGCTCAGACCATCCCGCTGGAATGGAGGTTAGAACACCCCTTGCCACCTGCATCCAAATTGTCAGATTGCACAGGAATTCTTTGATGACGGCGAGAGGTCGCATATCAGGATTTGCTCTGTGAAAAGTTTCTATTTATAAATCCGGACAAGGATCCTCACACTAAACAAAAACCCCAGCAAAGGCCAATCGATTTCTTCAGAACAAACATTTCCCCCTGAATTCACCCTGGATCTCTTCCGGGTTCAGAATGAGTTGCTCAATACATGTGTGATTATTATCGAAGCCCGGTGGGCACTGAATGTCCGTCCCCATACAACGCTTTCTACTTAAGTAGATACAACGGATATCTATAGTATTACCTTTAAATCATATATCAAAAGAAAGCTTACATATGTGCTTTCAAATTCGTAGTCTCAGTGATTCCAGGTGAGTAAACTAAATTTGAAAGCAATCAATGTGAAATGGGTCGGGAATGGGTTATTGGTGGACTTTAGTAGGGCGATTGGGCTTTTACATGGGTTATTGGGTTTTGTGAGCTATTTATGGGTCTGGCCCATTTGTTATGCATAAATCAATTGAATCCCCTTTCCTGTTCGCTATGTCTCAGTCTCCCGCTTCAACGTATAGCCCCTCTAGTTACTTTCTGTGATAACTGTCCAAAGCCCAACTCAATCAATTACCTCAATCCAGGAGCCTAGCAAAATGCAGGATACCCGCAACGGACTCGCGTGGGATGACAAGGCATTTGACCTCACGCCGGTGTGGACGCGAGAGCCAACGCTGGAAGCCATCGAAAATGTGTGTCGCAACAGGCTCTCATTAGATGACAAGGAGACCTGCGATGTCACTTTCTTTGCCGAAGGCGCCTTCAACAAGCTCTACCTGGTGTGTACCAGCAACCGTCAGCTTCTGATGCGAGTCTCTCTGTCCGTTCATCCCCACAGCAAGACTCTGGGCGAAGTGACGACCTTACGATTTCTTCGTCGCTCGACGAATATCCCAGTGCCAGAGATTTTTGCATATGATGAAACAGCAAACACCGAAATCGGATACGAATGGATCTTGATGGAACGCATGTCCGGTGTCCCTGCATACAAGAAATGGAGAACCATGACCACCTTCCAAAAGGTAGCACTTGTCCAACAAATGGCTGGGTTTCAAGCACAAATGTTCCAACATACGTTCTCCGGAATTGGAACTCTTATTCCCGGCGATGAAACCACCCAGAATGAACAGCCAGGCGAGATTGTTTCGACCTCATTCTTCATGGGCCAGCGTTTTACTTTCGACATAGCTCGTGGGCCGTTCCGCTCGACCTATGATTGGCTTTCGTCTCACCTCAAATTTATCATTCAAAACTATACTTTGGAGAAAGAGGAGGCCGAAGATGAAGACGACGAGGAAGCCGCTGTCTTTGCTCTATCGGTTACCGACAGATTGATTGGATTATTGCCTAAGATATTCCCCACTCTTCAGAATCCCCCGGAACAATCCGTCCTTTGGCATCAAGATCTCAATCTCAACAATATTCTGGTGGATGAGAAAGGAAACATCACCGCTGTCATTGACTGGGAATGTGTCTCAGCCATGCCACCTTGGATGATTACTGAAATGCCGGAATTCTTGATCGGTTCAACTCGAGAACAAGAACCAAAGCGTGAAAGATATAACGATGAAACCCCCGAACAGGCTGCAGAAATTGGACCTTCTGCAGATCCCGAGCTTGACAATGAAGGAAAAAATGAACTGTACTGGGTTCACCTGATGGAATACGAGACTACTCACTTGAGGGATCTTTATACGAGATGGATGTGTCAACTTCGACCGGGCTGGGCCACCGAGGTCAAGGAAAACACACTTAAAATGATTTTTTCAACGCAGTATTGAGTTGTGAGGAGGGTTTCGCCCTCAAGAAAGTTCTCAAATGGGTCCAGGCAGTTGAGAATGATGAGTACCCCAGGCTGATGGATGTGTTGGAGGGGAGGTACAAAGTTGAGTGAACGGATATCAATTGAGGTTTGAAAGTTTCCCCTTCAACTTGAACAAGTGAGGGAGTTGTACTGGTCAAAAGTTTGAAGGCGTAGATCAAATAGTGATGCTTGATGTTGCTAGTAGTTAGTTTATTAAAAGAAGGTACAAAATAAGTCACTCGGCGGCGCCATACACCGGTCCATCATTCATGCTGCTCTGCCAATACTCTCCCACCTTAGCATTCCTTTAACCTCTTCGAACTCCTCACAACTTTAGAATTAAACTTTGGTTAATATTCGGTCTCATGGCTGAGTTTACATGGCCAGACAACGACCAATCTCTAACTTTAGAACAAATGAATGTCATCAACTCGGCCAACGCACCCGTGATTGAAATATCGGGGCTTGCTCCTCATCCTTTCTCGGCCAGCAGCTATGAAATCATGCCACGAACTCTAGATCCTGCGTTCGCATCATTTAAGCATATCTAATTCGACTACGGGTGCTCATATTGGCGGATCAGTAGCCAAAAAGCCGGAGATCTGTACAGTTCTGGTACCAAGCTTTGAATGAGAGGATTCCAGAGACATAGAAAAACAACTGGGCAATTCCTATACAATGGACCGATTTTCAGTGCATCGAATTGATGGAAGTATAATCCAAATTTCCAACCCCTCGCTCCAGGTACAGAACCCAGAGAGAAGCTCCCTTTTTGTACATAGTTTAGGGTCTTGCACTTTCTCGAAGCTACACCTTCTACACTTTAGAAGTTCCTAATGTGAAGGGCTGAAGCAAGGCTTGGATTCAATCTATCTAGTGTAGTGGGGAGGGTATATCTCGGGCAGGCGTAAGTCACGTGATATACCAGATACTTGATATCACGTGATACTGGGACATCCGGCCCAAACACCTTCTCCCTCGGGAACAGCAACGTTCTACATCGTTATAAGGCAATCAAATTGAGGGAATATTTTAAACCGACGCCCGGCTGGCGCAATGGTAGCGCATAAGACTATAAGTCTCCCCTGTCCCCCCTTTGACCAGTTCGCGAACTAACTTTCACTTACTCTACAGATCCGTGGTTGCGGCTGTCTTATCTTAAGGTCATGGGTTCGACCCCCATGTCGGGCTTCTTTTTTCCCCCTTCTATGAAGTATTTTCATAATTGACCCCTAAAATTATTTGCACACATAAGTAAAATATTGAAAGTAAAAATAAATAACTAGCCATTCGCCCACATTTTGCCACCAGGGTTCACTTAAGTGTTAGAGTATGGGGAGATTAGTGAAAACCCATAGAATACAGTAAACTTCAATGGTCACCAACAGGCAGATCTATGGATATTGTGATGAACTGGGAATTTTAGAATTGAATACTAACACCAAAGAGGAAACAACGGTTGATTGGAGTTCTTTGCATAAATGCGCGTTTGGATGAAGTTATATACTATGTGACAAGCAGCTTTTAACTTCCTGCTATGACATGCATGCTTGATATCAAGCAGTGGTGTTTGCTACATGTTTCTAAAGTTTCCATATGGCAGCAAGTAGATGATGATGGCCCCCTGCCAATACAGAGTATACAGAGTATATAGAGGGTCCTCCCTGCCTCATGTTCTAGCTCTCCATTCTAATTCTCTTTGTATATCAGGACTATTTATTAACCGTAAGCCTTACCGCAAGGATGCGATACCAGCTCCCGAGCGCAGACCCTCGAGAACAACCCGCAATTCCTGCAGGAACTTGGTAGTTTCCGCCTCTGTTCCAACAGTGATACGGAGACAACCCTCACACCCAAGTTCCTTTCCACGGAATCGAACAACAACCCCACGCTTCTCCGCCATCGCCTCATACGCCGCAAGGGCCGTAATATTACACGGTCGGCCATCCGAGTTGAGCATCTGCACAAGCAGGAAGTTCGCATCCGACCCGCCAAGGAATTGGCCCACACCCGGGATACCGGGGAGTTCACGGAGGAGACGATCGCGCTGGGCGATGATCTGCGTGCGATAGCCGTGCATGACAGCCATATTGGGGGCTGTGAGGGCTGCGGAGGCGAGTGCGCTGGTCGGGCTGGAGATGTTGTAGGGAGCCTTGAGGCTGTTGAGCAACAGGGCGATTTCAGGACTGGTGTATGCGACTCCGAGGCGGATACCTGCGAGACCGAAGGCCTTGCTGAGGGTCTGCATGACGACCAGGTTGGGCCACTCTGTGACCCATTCTGCGAGGCTGGAGCCTTCTGGGGCGAAGTCGATGTAGGCTTCGTCTACTACGACGACACCGTTCCAGGTTGGGTGCTCGAGGACTTTTTGGATGTCTTCTTTGCGGATGAGGTTCGCGGTGGGGTTTCCTGGGGAGCAGATGTAGGCTAGTTTGATGGATGGGTCTGCGGAGAGGGCGGCGTTGACTTTCTCTGGTTGCAGGTGGAAGCCGTTGGAGGCGTCGAGGGGCACTTTGACGATTTCGATGTCGTTGACTTGGGCGCTTACGCTGTACATGCCGTAGGTTGGGGGGCAGGTGAGGATTTTGTCTTTGCCTGGTACGCAGAAGCATCGGAGGAGAGCATCGATGGCTTCGTCAGAGCCTACGCCGCAGAACATGTGTTCTGGGAGGAGGGTCTTGGGGGTGTGGTGGTGGGTGTTTCGGAGGTTGCAGAAAAGCTGCTTGAGCTCAATTTGGTGACTGTCATGGTCAGACTGGGTTTCTCTCGGTGGAATGCACTCAATTGGACTCACGGATCGGGGTAGCGGTTCAGGCCCAGGAAGTCAATCTCTGGCTTGGAGGCGCCAGTGGCATTGCCCGTTTGCGAGGCTTGCAATGCACCCTCGCTGTTCAGGGCAAGTCCAGGACCGAAGGCATTCTCGTTGGCGTCGAGGAGGACGTTTGTGCCATCATCTTTGTAGTCACTGAGTCATTAGCTGGGATTCTGTGGGTTGGAGTGGGTGGCATACTCTCGGGCACATCTGTAAGGCTGCAATGCTAGGATATTCGGACGGGCACAAGTGGCCAAGTTGAATGGGGATCGTGAAGCCATTGTGGAATGTTGGAATGTTCAAATGTTCAATTCAGGCGGGGGGTGGGGGGTTTTATCTCGGGAACTTTATGACTCAATTGCCGATCTATATCGATAAGAGTCTACTATGTACTTAGTACTTACCTAGGTACCTAGGTATATTATTTCTATAACATCCAAGGCATTCGATATAATTAATTGCTGGACTAAAAACAAAAATGATTTGAAATCTAATGGTAATAGCACCCAGGCCACTACACAGCCAGGAGATCTGCATACAAACGGGCCAGTACTCCGGATCTCCGCAGCCTCATCCCCATGATCAAAGAGCGTCAAAAACCTCAACAGCAGCCTTAGCAGTCGAAGTAGCACTGGCAGGGTTCTGGCCAGTAACAAGGCGACCGTCCACAACATGGAAGTCATCCCAAATTCCAGCAGAACGTTCATCTAAGTCAAGTCAGCACCCCAACACTATGAACCCGATAGCAAGAACTTACAATGCGCGCCAAGTCTGGAAGCAAGTTCTTCAACCATTTCTCCACCCCAGCTTCTCAGATCAGCCATGATACCCATCGTATCTTCCGCTTCGGTGGTGAATCCCGTCATGCGACGACCCTTGATGACAGACTCCCCGGTCGATTTGTCAAGGACATTGGCAAAGATAGCAGGACCATGGCAGACAGAAGCCACCACACCACCATTAGCCCAGACCTGCTCTGCGATCTTCTGTAAGGAGGAGGCAGTCGGGTAATCGATCAAGGCAGCGTGGCCGGCCGAGGCATAGAAAAGACCATACTGGGATCCATCTACGTCTGCAGCCTTGGGCATATTGTCTAGCTTCTGGCGGAAGCTGCTGCTCAGATCGTTCCAGGTTTGCAAGTCTTCGCCGTTCAGAAAGTCGGGTTGCTGGGACAGCCAGTCGGGGGTGTAGCTCCCTGTCTCGGAAGCAAGGTCGACTTCAAAGCCTGCGGCTACCAGGACATTGTATGGGTGCAGGGCCTCGCTGATGAAGAGGCCTGTTGTTTCTTTGCCGTTAAAGAGAGTCGCCGAGGCGGAGGTAATGCTGATTAGGGCTTTGCGGGGAGACATGTTTGGCTTGGTTGGTTTATTGGGCTGGGTTGGGTTGTTTTTCTTGTCTTGAGAACTGGATTATTTGAATGAGATGAGGAATTGAGAGCAGCAAGAGTGCTGGTATTTATATTCATTGCTGACGATGCTGATAGTAGTTGGGGCGTATACTACTAGAGAGGTCAGTGCTTCATAGTCAACTCCGCAACTCCGCGACTCCGGCAGCTCCACCTTCTTCACCACTCCGGAGCTCCGTGAGGCTGGCCAGGCCAAATGCTTGATCAATTTTTTGATATCGAATCTCATCTCTGGCATCGTTGATTACTTCGCGCTCGAAAATTACTCCGCAACTCCGTGTCTGGTTTCGGAGGCTGACGCTATGGGTCGATTAACGAAAAGTGTGGAATTTGCCGATCGTGATCCCAATAGGCCATTATATCCCTTTGCAGAGTGTTTGAAGCAGAGCCAGACTGGCCAAATCAAGGGTGTCGCTATGCACCGCCGAAAAAGTGTCCCATTTCCCAACGATCCAGCACTGATCCAACACTAAGTGAACACAATCAAAAAAAGTCCCCTCAATAGTCGTTTTCTTCAGACAGCTTCCATCTCCTCAAGCCTCCAATGATCTTGATGCGAAACAAAATTGTCAAACTCCGGCCAAAGTGTGCCGGGATCATTCCAAAAATCAATATCAACCGCCATGTCAAAGAACTCCGACCCGAAAGAATGAATAGTGTCAGGTCCGATCGGGCTTGATCTCCCATCGTCTGGACCTGAAGCGAAACCATGAGACATAATGCCCCCAGGATGATTAGTAGAGTTATCAAACGAACCCATCACCAAAAAATCAAGCTGAAGCTGGCTGCGATCCATCAAGAAGTCAACTTTGACACATAGCTCTCGCATAATACACGCCGCATTTTTGGCAACCTCAAATTTGATACCAAAATCATCGAATACGGAGACTGCTAGATTGACAGCAGCTCGAGCTTCGGTGGTGAATGAGGCGTTTGGATAAACAACAATGAAACCTATGAGTGACATTGCAGCATTCCACTGAGAATGGAAAGCCTCGTGCCATCCGTCCAGGATGGAGGTCTCTGCGAGGATTTGCTGGGTGATTTTCGACAGCATGATTGCGTGAGAGGCGCATCGCATCGCAATCTCTTCTGCCAAGGACCCTGGCTGGGGCCTAGAGCTAAAAGAGATGAATGGCCGATATAGGTTGACGCTGAGATGATGATATGTAAGTTCGAGGAGAACCCGCTGGCGCTGTAGCCAGGGCGGTAGGAACCCCTCGATCAACAAACGTGTTCCATCTGTGGAAAGAGGAGTGCCGTTATTCTGACGATTTAATTTCAAAGCGTCGGGCACACCGTTGACCCAATCTTGGAGACCTTGGATATGCAGCGGTAGGATCTCCGCGCTGGCTTCCAATATACTGGGGTCATCCCAGACAGTTTGACCAGTTGACAATGGGAGATCTTGATCGTAATAGGAAGTGTAGGCAGCCCGAGCTTTCATATAAAGTTTGATTTGATGCAAGTTGAAACTCAACCATGTCGCATTGTCACCGATAGGAGCGAACATAGATCCAGATGTTCTCGCAGCATCGAGACCATCGTTCGGTAGAGACGGCATGGAATGAGAGTCACGCAGCATAAAAGGACGTCCGAGTTTCATGTTCGATTTGCTATCCATCACATAGACAGCCCACCACAATCTTTTTCGGAGTTCGCATTCTCGATGCGACATATCAGATGGCGGGTCTAGGTGCAGACCAAGCATATGAGCGGTGCACACAGCTGTACTGACAGCATTATTCATCATATTATGGAATGAGCCACCGCATAGATATACGGCGCAGAGTAGATGGCATTGCAATGTTGATAGGGATGGGCTTTCGAGTTCATAGCTGAGCAGGGTCTGTCCACGCCAGTAATGCCATCGACCAGCGACAAGGGCGTCTTGTCCTTCTACTAGAAGACCCTGTGCGTCTGCGGGTAAGGCTGAGATGCCGTATTGCATGCACATGGCAATGATGATGTCCACGAGGGCAGAGGGCGCCCTTTCCTTGCCGCCTGTCCAAAGGGACTGGTAATGTTCTTTGAATTGAGCTTCGTCCACGATTGGAAAAAGGGCAGTGTGGAAGGTCTGCCAGAACAGGTTGATAAAGTATTCTTCCTGTATTGGATTCAGGTAAACACCTTCTGTGGGGGGCTCTCCGGTTGGAGATATCAGCTGTTTGGTTGGATTCGCATGAGACCTCACCGTTGGTCTATTGAGCAATTGATTATCGCTAGCTGAAATGGGAAGTAGGTGCTGTGTTGAGTGTGCTTGTTGAAGATTGAAGGTTAGGAATGCGCCTAGGCGTTGAATGAAGAATTGGAGTGACGATGGCCCAAGCCATGTATCATTGGAGGCCCGAGCAGGTCGAAGCTGTGTCCCTGGCCAGTAATTTCTACTCCGGCCTCCATGATCATTTCTAGGAGTGAAAGCTAGAGAGGGAGAGGACCCTGCCGGTGTCGGTGGGTTGTGATCGGGTCTTTGCTTCAGCTCCTCTTCTAACTGCCTGACTCTTCGTCTAAGCGATTCGATCTCTTCTGTAGCTTGGGTCAGGGTCGAAACTTTCAGCGCTCCACTATTGCTGCAAGTCTGCTCTCTTGTCACGCAGTTGGAGCAAGGAGTTTGATTATCACATTTGGTGCGGCGGAGACGACATCCATCGCATGCCCTGGCCACCTGAATTCGCTTCTGGCGACGTTGGGCTTTTTGGTCATCCTGCCGAGATATACGAGCTTGAAGAGTCATAATCGCGTTTTGAATCTCATTTCCGATCGACTGAGTGTCTAGCAAGTGATCAACAGTGATGCGGAGGTGTTGCGTGAGCGGCAAAATCGGGGTTCTACGCCGCCCGAGATAAGCTCAATTGCATAAGAGGTTTCATTCCATCTATGAGCATTTCACTGTCTGAAAACTATGGAGTCTGAGAATTTCCCAAAAGTCTACCTATTTCTTCTGCGATGACCAAAATCCGCTCCTCACTGAGCCTGCGTCCAATGACCTGCAAGCCAACCGGCGCACCATCGTATACTTCGGGATCATACTCAGCCTGCACAGCGGCATCCAGCTTGTTGAGAGGGGTATAGTTAGATGGTTTCAGATCCACGCTCTTCTGAGCAAAGGTGACAGGAACCACCGCGCTCGTAAAGTCCAGCAGGCTGATCACGGAGGAATATCCATAGTACCTGAATTTACCGTGACGAATAGCTGCAGTGGCTGCAACGGGGGCAATAATGGCATCTAGCTCGGTGCCATTTTCCTCCTCAAACCTCCGCCATCTTTCCAAGTACTTGCGCTGATATTCCCATTGTTTTAGCTGTACTTCCCCAAGCTGGTTTGCGTTCAGATGACCCTTGGTAGATCTCAATAATCGCTTGTTGTATGGGAGAACTGGCTCGCCGGAAGCTTTGAGACTATTGAGTATCCCCTAGGTATCTGTTAGTTTTCGCCATGTTTTTGACGAATTGCTATTACCTACGGTATTTCCATCAGCGGTGTATATGATTCTCACGAGCCTCTGGGCGTAGCAATGCTTATAAGGTCTCCAAGGGATGAGAGTGTGACCATTCTCTCTCAGTTTTGCCACTGCTTCATCGATGCCGCGCAGAATTGGTGGGTGAGGATTGACCTATAAGTATCGCACATTAGATCCTGAGTCTCGCAGAGTCACATAAGACTCACAACACCGTCACTGTGGAAGTATCCCAGTGTCAATCTTCCGGCCACTTTGGACCTAGCGATATCTTCCTCACTAGATCTCCACGGCAGAGGGATCACTTTGGGATCATAATTCCATGGCTCCTGGGAAAGGACAGCCTTCAGAAATAATCGCAGGTCTAGCATTCTTAGCGGTCGATAATCCAGGGTTCATTCGAAGACAAACCTGCTGCTGTATGCGCTATCGGGCCAATTATACTGTGCGCCGTCTCCTGGACTCCTATGCTATTTGCCATCTTGGAATGTGGTGTTCGACCCTGACTTGGTTTGATGGCATATAGAAAGTTGAATGCCGCAGGGACACGGACCGAACCTCCTTCAGAATTGTCAGCGAAACATCCCGGCAAGATTGAACTAGGGAAGTACCTATGTCTGTTCCCACCCCAAGTACTGAACCTCGGAGTGCGATCAAAGCACCTTCACCCCCAGAACTTCCCCCGGCTGACCAGGCATTGTTTCGCGGGTTCGAGGTTCTTGCTATGATGTTATTGCAGGTCTCACCGGACAACAAAGTCTGACAGACTGAAGTCTTCGTGTACAACACAGCACCAGCCTTTCTGAGGAGCGTGACTAGCGTCGACTCTGTAGTGTCATATTTTCCAAGCCAGGCAACACGGCCCATCGAAGCCTCCTGGCCCTGTTCAGATGTCAGTATTTTTTTGCTCTCGCTCGTTCCAAGAAATGTGTCTTCACTTCAATGCGAAACTGGTCATTAATAGAGATAGGTAATCCATGTAGCGGCCCAATCGGCTTCTTATGGATCTCAAAGTACTCGTCCAGCTCTTTGGCCTGGGCAATCGCCTTCTCGGGGAAGAATGCATGAAAACATCTGATCTGCAGATCTATTAGCTTGACTCTAGGGACCAAGTCTCGAACTTCGGATATGACGGACCAGTTGATGGGCCACAGTAGTTCTCTTGCAGAATGCTACTGTGACATCCACGGCTTTGAGTTCTCCTCGAGATAGCTTCTCGACGAGATCTGACGCGGTGGAGTTGGTTATGCTGAGCTCCTCTGCGGACAACTTCCCACATTCAGTGGGGATGTTTAGGACATTGGACTCTCTTCCGTAGTACTTCCGTAGCTTCCACTCCTCTGGAATCGAATGAAACAGACGAATGCGTTTGTCAGCACCTCTCTTGCTCCAGTCGACTGACATGGAGATGAAATATCGATGAAAACGATAGGATGGGTTGAGAGGATGGGGTTGAGGTGGTTGGGGAGTAGATAGAGTATTATCAAGTTGACGTTCTATGTGGTTGACTCGCCAACCCCTCACTATCCCAGTCAATCCTTTCTAAAGCTGTCGACTCGATCAGTCAAGTTTTCGGATTCTACCGCTCATCGGCTAACCTATACTAGTTCACACTAAAACAACCTCCATTTTATGCCTGAGACTCAATAAAGAATCAATAAACCGGACATACTTAAGTATAATATGTAAAAAGCCCTCTGGTTATATTTTTATACAAAGTAGAAAACCCCATTTGATAGTGGGGCCGACTTCGGCTTCCCCGATCGCATCGTTCCCTCGTTGGATCTTCAGAGCGAAAAAGGCGACCTGCTTTCAATCAATACAGTCTACAGGCAAAGCTTCTATGCCCACAATATTACCTGTCTCACATACTCAACTTGCTGGGGTCTCACGAGATTCGCCTCAAGGCTGATTACACACAATGGCCTCAAATCAATCAATCCTGCCTGCAGACATCATGGAGTCACAATTATCTACAATCGACCTCCTAGCAGCAATGTTTCCCTCGCCAGGCGAGCTGGAAATCCCCGAATCCACAACACAATGCATTGCAAAACTCCGAGAATGGTGCGAAAACCCAAGCTCACCACCGGGGATTCCATCAAATCTCTCTCTCGCAGTCTATCTCCCAATTGAAGACGGAGAACGCACAATCCAAGTGAACATCTCTGTGCCACTGCAATACGAATCCCAAACCCAGGAAATTGACCAACCACCACCACTGGGCTATTCACTCCGACAACCAGACTGGTTATCCAGAGCCGAAGTCGCCAGCATCACCGCTTCAATACCGCAAAGCGATGATGCATTAGAGGTATTTGAATATATTCAAGCAGAGGCGCATCGCACACTTGGGAATAAAAGTCAACAAACACAGCTTGTCGCGTCGGATGCGGACCAGGGACCGATTGTGAGAGTATGGTTTTATTTCCCTTCTCTGTCGACGCGCAAGAAGAGAGACGATATGGTGAATCTTGCGCCAGCTTATTCTCTGACGGGCTTTGTGCTGGCGGGCAAACCGGGTGTCTTGTGTCTTGAGGGGGTGTCGGCGGATGTTGATTCATATATGAGTTTCATCAAGACGCATTCTTGGGGTGATATTCCAAGTCATCAGAAGAAGGTTAGCGAAAGGTTTCGGGAGGTGGAAGGTGTGGAAAGGGTTTTTCCTGGAATGGAGGAAATCACGGACTCGTTGGGTGAACGTAGTGGACAGCGCGCTAATCGGGGTGATATGCAGGCTTTGGAGGCTTGGCTGGGGAGTAGAGGTCTTCAGGAGGCTTTTGAGAAGGTGATCTTCTAAAGGCTACCCTTGTGTACATATTGAATCTGTGAATGTCGAAGGAATAGACTATCGTACCGGGGATTACCGAGTCAGTCACCGTTGGATGTGGACAGGAAAGCAAACTTGAGAGGAAAGTGTCAAATCCATATCAACTGTGGGGGGGGGGGATATATCTAGAAAATTTTGTAGATTTTGTTCTATTTGACGGAATGAAAATATTTACCTAGATGAGGTGTATGTATGTATTGGGCAGAACTATTTGCTGCCGATGTATAGATAGGGATCTCAATGCCCTGGTCACAAAAAACCACAACGCCTCTCTGTATGCCTCATATGTCTACAATGTGGAACTATTCTGTCGATAGTACCTCATTCGCCTACTCCTGCTTCTCCTTTGTCTCCGAGGGCTTCGTCTCGACTGGCTTCTTCACTTCCGCAGACTTCTCATTTGATACAGAAGCCTTGAGCTCCTGAGCCTTCTTGTGCTTGTCGCGCTTCTCTTTCAGGTAGGTCCAGCTCTTGCCAAGACCCGCAGTCAGAGGTGCCTTGATGGTCTGGACAGTGCTGGGCCAGCGGATCGTTTTCTCAATAGATTTAGCGACCTGCTCCTGGAGAGAGTCATCCCCGGCAATTCGTCTCTCGAAAGCACCACCTTGGGGACGGCGGAGTATCTCCTCGGAGTCTCTGCTCTCTTGGATCATTTTATCAAAGTCGCCGCGTGGGATTTGATAGCGAGACTGGTACTGGAAGTACAACTTTTGCCGGAATGACTCGGGCAGGCGGCGGACCATGTTTCCACGTCTCACTGGGTCCATATCCTGTGCCATGGCCAAAATAGCGTTCGGGTCATCGATCCAATCTTCTTGGCTGCATCTTGGGTCCTGGAAATCGACATTTGGGAGGTTTTCAATGAGAGGCGCATACAAGCGGCGGAAGTGTGCCATTTGCCCTGAAACAATGTTCCGTACTTTGCCGGGGTCCTCGGCTGGCAGGGCCATGCGCAAATCTCCCATATAGCTCATTCCAGCAATTGTGCTGTACAGCTCAAATTCGCTGAACCTTTCCGGAAGGAGCAGAAGTGCGACTCGCAGAGCAGATAGCAGATTCACCTGGTTCGCTAACCGAACCTTCGGGTGATCCCGCAAGATCTTGACGGGCTTGTGCAAACGACCAGCAAGATACATGGTATCCCACTGAGTGAGATCACGACAGAGTGTGTCAAGATTGACCACACCATATTTGATCATTGTTCCGTTAACGGTGATATAAGGATGGAAGTAAACACCCGCGCCAAAGCGGTCTTGTACTTGGGAAACCATGTACGACCCAAGTGAGCCCATGCCTGAATAATGATCACGGTGTTGCGTCAAGTTCAAGTCATGCCAATGCTGGGAGTATGAGACTCCGAAAATGAAATCAATCATTTTACCGGAGCCTTGTTGCATATTGTTGATAGCCGTCGGAGCCGAGGGGTGCAGTGAGCTAGATGGAGCACTACTGCTGTTCTGTGAGAACACACCAGACCCGTAGGCAAATGCATATCTAATTGGTGCCTTGAACTGCCAGAGGATCATGCGCAATGCCTCCTTGAATTCTTGGTTTATAATCATGTGCTGGTTGACACCAAAGTCCTTGGAGGGAAGTTCCGAGAAGTTGGAGATAGCCAGATTCGGATTGTGATCCCAGTCTGAGTCTGGTAATAAGGAAGATGACGATGTTGAGAATGATGACCGGTTGGTGCGAACTATGCGCAGCAATTGTTCGGTTGAAGCGCTCCGAAGTCGGCCATTGTAAGGAGTGGATTGGCGGCAATTGATGGACAACGGACGGGCTAAGGCAGGAACAAGACGAGGAGATGCAACGGTAATTCGAGTGCGACAGAGGGCGCTGGGGTTAATACCCCGCGAAGCGGCCATCTTGCGGAGAAGTGTGAGATTGGAGATCATCGGGTAGAGATGGGATCTGAGATGGGATCTGACATACTGTTACTCCCGGCATGTTTGGGAGTTGGGTAAGAGAGATCGGGGCGCGGGGCGCAGGAATTGAAAAGAGTCAAAGAGCATTGACGTCCCTCATAGAGAGCAAAGGAGTGTAGTAATGAGAGAGAATCGCCAACAGGGCTCTGACGTACTCCTGCTTTCCTCTTCGGGCGCTGAGTAACCGATCACGTGAGTGCGCGTGTTTGCATAACAACGGAAGTAAACAGACGCGATCAACAGTGCCACTTCCGACACCACACCCATTTCGCCAGCTTCGGAGATTCTGCATGTTGCAGTCTGGGTAAACTCGTCATAATTCGGTCCTATTATACGCCATGGGCTCCGAAATGGATACCTTTGCGGCCCGCCTGGCCAGTTTTGACATAGTTTTGAAGCCGGAGAAGCGCAGATCTTCTGGTACAAAATCGCCAAAGGCCGTCTCATGGCCACACCAGCGACCTTCGCCAGCTGAGGTTTGTGGCCCAAAAACCTCGAATCGGCGTTTGCATTGGTTAACAAGGCTTCTAGTTGGCGCACGCCGGATTCTACTACAAACCGTATGAGACGAATCCCGATAACACAACATGTTTCGAGTGTCATCGAGCGCTGGATGGCTGGGAGGAGGACGACAACCCCGTCACAGAACATCTCAAGCATGCACCCGACTGCGGATGGGCCATCATGATGGACATCCAGCAAAACAGCTCGAACCCCGCCTCGATCGAAGACCCAACAAGCGATCGCATTACGCAGGCACGATACTCAACTTTCGGGTCAGCATGGCCTCATGATGGCAAACGTGGCTGGGTATGCCAGTCACAGAAGGTAATGCGTTGAATCAATGTTATCCTTGGTCGCTTCGCTTACAATTGAATTAGATGGTCGAAGCAGGGTGGTACTTCTGCCCAACTGACGAGAGTAATGATCTGGCCAGTTGTGTTTACTGCAAACTATCTTTAGACGGCTGGGAGCCCAAAGATGATCCATTGTGAGTGCGAGTCGCTCTTTACAATGTTGCTTGGGCTAACTTTAACAGTGACGAACACTACCGCCGCTCTTCCGACTGCTCCTTCTTTGTTTTTGCCCAGCCCCCAGGTAAAAAGGGCAAGGGCTCCAAAGCTAAGAAACCTCGAGTCTCCAAAGCCTCTTCTCGACTTTCGACGCAATCTGTCACATCAGAAGCCCCCGAGATGGATATGGACGACTCAATGGACCAAAGTATACTGTCCCAAGCCACCACGAAATCAAAGTCCACAAAGAAAGCGACCAAAGGCAAATCAAAGGCTAGCAAGACCAAACAAGAAGAGCCAACAGAGACAGAAACCCAAGATGGGATCGATGTCGAGGAAGCTGCACAGCCAGAACCTTCGAAACCCAAGCGCGGCGCAAAAGGAAAGAAGCGAGCGAGCGAGGATATCAAGGATGAACCAGAGCCCACCTACGGAGAGGAAGAACCCTCACAACCTCCGGTGGAGCCTCCTGCGAAGAGACGAGCAACGAAAACGCGAAGTAGCAGTGTCGCTCGGAAATATGATTACGAGCACAGTGATTCTGTCATGGCAGATGCAGACCCCGTAGGTGATGTGGCCTCTGACGATGAGCCCAAACGGGGTCGAAAACCTGCCAAAAAGGCCTCGCGGTCCCGCAAGGCGTCCGATGTGTCTGCTTCATCAAAGGCTCAATCTATGCCCCAGGGACCACCTGACTCGGAAATTGATGCTCAAATTGAAGCCGGACTGCAAGAGGATATTCCTGAACCCGCTGAGGATGAGCCTGAGCAACCAAAGCCATCCTCAAAGAAGACTAAATCGAGCAAAAAGTCCAAAGCTTCGGCTAAATCACCCGAGCCAGTTGAACAGCAAGAAACAGAGGATTTCGAAGAAAGCGATGGGCGTCCAGGCCATGAGGATGTGGTGGCCATTGACGATGAACCCGAAGTGTTTGAGCCACCCGCCCCAAAGGCTAAAGCGGCTAAGGGATCCAAAAAGAAGAGTACCAAAAAGGCTAAAGCCCAAGAGACCGTGGAGCCACAATCACCGGAGGCTCGTCAGTCACCTGACGCCGCGGTCGAAGAGGATAACGGGTACGAGTCAGGACACCACGAATCCCTTGTCGCTGTTGAAATCATCAGCAAGAACCCCGACCCTAAGCCCGCCGCCGAAGAACAGGTGGCTAAGCCTGAGAAGAAAAGTTCCAAGAAAAAAGAGGCCTCAGCCAAAGAGAAGAAGTCCAAGAAATCGGAAAAGAAGGTGGAGCAGCCACCAGTGCCTCAACCCCCAGTGGAAGAGCCTCATGATGTCGAGTCTCCGATGGATGAGCAAGATGATGAGTTCGACGAGGCAGATGACTTGCCTGACCAGCTCGAGTTAGTCAACCCGCCTCGTCAGCCTTCTCCTGCCCCCCGGGAGCCTTCAATTCAACCAGAGTCTTCCCCTCAACCACAGTCCTCGCATCGCAAGAAGTCGAGTCTGCCACCTAAAACCGCGAAGCGGTACAGCGACATTCCCCAGGAAGAGCACCTTACGGAGAATTTGATCAACCAAAGCTCCCCCCAAGTACAAGAGCCTCGGCGAACCTCCCAACGATCGAACCAGGCACTCTCTCCGCCCCCACACCAAAGCACACCATCTCCTTCTCCTCAATCATCGGATGCTGAGAATCGGCCTCCTTCATCCCGGCCTTCTTCAGCAAGACCTCCAGTTCAATCAACGCCCAAACACCCTGAATTCCGTGCGGCTGTCACAGCCAGCACCCCATCGCCATCTAAACGCAACCCCAATGCTGGGTTCGGACCTTCTGGCCATCCATGGACTCCTGTCGATATCGACGAGGCACTCTTTGGAGAGGCCAGTGACAAGGAGAACGCCGATCTCTCTGATCTGTTCAAAGGCGTGAAAGGCGGATTGACCAGCCCCGAAAAGAAGATGACCGTTCAAGAATGGATCACATGGAATGCAAAGAACAGCGAAGACCGACTCAAGAGAGAATGTGAACGGCTGGTCGGTCAGTTCGAAAAAGAAGGTGCCCGAGCATTACGGCGGATCGAAGCAATTGAATGCATCGACTAAGCCGGCTCAGTCAAATAATTGTTGGATGATATGAACTTTCACGAAAGGCGTTTTATTTTGGTAGGCGTTAGGGTCATTGTTTGAGTTTCGAGTCACATCTTTAATAGAAACATCATTGCACATATCAGAAAAGAAAAAATCCAAACACCATGGGTATCAAATGTAGAATACAATCCAAGCACAACCCACTCAAGAAATAATCCCCAGTCGACCCTCCCAACTATCATCTTCAGTCTTGACCTTCCTGCGCTTCTCATTTCTAATCCTCCTCTTCTCCTCCCTCTCCTTGGCATCCGCCTCCTCCCTCTCCTTCAACCGAACCCCAAGATCAAGCTGCCAAGCCTTCCTCTCCTCCTCCTCCCTCACCCTCTTCCGATGCGAAAGCATCCTCAACCGCATCCTCACCTCCTCAACACCAGCCCTCTTCACCTCCCCACTCTGCCCAGTCGCAATCAAATGTTGCTTGCTATTCAAATGCTCCACAAGCTGCAAATTATCCTTGAACGTCAAATCACAGTCCTTGCAGTAAAATCCTGCTCCAGCCCCTCGCTTGCCCATCCCTGCTCCAGCAGGAACAAGCATCGTCTTGCCAACCATGGACGCAACATCAAGTCGCTGGTTACGTGCTGTCGTCTCTTCAAGTGCACTGTAGTCGACTGGTGCATGGTACTTTTTGCCCAGCAGCTTGGCTTCATAGCGTGCTTTGCCTTCGGCTTTGCGTTTGGCTTCGTCTTCGGCGGCTTTTTTGGTGTATTCTTCTCGATCCCAGGTTTTGCGGAAGGCTGTGTCTGACACTGGTGTGCCGTAGGCGTTTGGGTTGGACATTTTGGTATGATGTGAGGGGTTTTGTTTGGAGGGTTGCGTGGGTGACGTTGAGTTGAAGTGGTTGTTATAATTTACATTTACGGCTGGCAGTATTGGGCGGTGTATGTGGCGGTCTGGGTCGGGTACAGTATATGTCAAGGACCAGGCATTGGACCGGAGGTATGGAGTAGACTGGCGATTTCTAGGTTTGTTTTCATGTGTTTGGTTCTGATAATTTCAATTGCATTCCATCCAGTCATATTCAATCAAGTGTATGCGCAAATTTACAAAAGCTACAAAACAAAACGCCGACAATGCCATGATTAAAGTGGCTCCAGGTGGCCATGTATAATGTACTCTCCAACTCCAGGTCTGCATGCAAGTGTTGAACGTGGATATATCGCTGTCGGCAGTCTAATGCAGAATCTGACTCAAAACAGCAAGGCGGGTATCTTTGACGCAGAGAAATGCCCGGTCGATCAAATCACATCAAAATCGTACTCATAACGACCACTGTATGCTCAGGAACTCTGAGGCAATTTCGATCGGATGGGGAGAGAATTTGTTGAAAGCTCAGTTGCTTCGAGGGGTTGTTCGGTAATGGGAGAGAGTTCTTCTTCGCCGATGGCCTCCTCGGCGACGACGTCACCTTCGACGGACTCGATGATTGAGCCTGCTGGGTTGGACACGGCCACCGAGTCTTGGGACATATAGCTTGCGCCGAGGTCTTCGTCGTCACCGTCGGCTTCATCGGGATATTCACTACCCTCGCCGTCACTCAGTTCGTCGTCGTACTCATCGTCACCTTCATCCTCGTCGACGTCATCGTCCTCATCCTCATCTTCGCTGTCTGTCGTGGAGAAATCATCGAGCTCCTGAGGGGTATCTCTCCAGTATGTGAAATCGGTATATTCTTCGCCTCCAGACTGCACCAGCAGACTGGTTGGTGGGAAGAAATGATCAAGAAGTTCTTGCATCGTCACGTAGCTGCTCTTATATTTGTTGAGACTGAGCAAATCCAACGAGACTTCAGCATTTGAATTGATTGTGAAGATCCGAGTAGACGGAATATTCACGGAGCGATAGCTCAGCGCGTCAGTCAATCGATTTCCGAAGCCCGCATAGAATGGGTTCTCTTTGCCACAGAAGAGATTCAAGATATCTCGAAGGCATGCCATCTTGAAAACCTCGGGTTTCCTCAGGTAAATCTCTCGCCTGAGAGCCGCCATCGTGCGATCTGGGCTACAGATGACTGGGCCTCGTGGGAGTCTGTATCCATCTTGACAAATACCATTCAGATAGGCACGTGTGGTATCTGTTTGGCCGACGGAGCGACTAGTCAGATACATGATGTTGTATCCATTGTTGACGATATCGGTGTACAGTTTGGCGACACCTGCGTGCGTCCAGTCACGACCGATCATATTGAGAACATGGCCCAGCGCATCGGACTTGGTAATCGTTCCGTCAATATCGGAAATCACAATAGGGGTATTTCCGTTCCACAAGTACATGTTTGCGGTACAGATTGCTCGGTTGACACTGAAGGACATTGTGTTGGCTCCAGGCTTAAGCTGTAATGCCTTCAACTGATCGCTGGTCAAGCGGAGAGTCTTGGCATAATTGCGAGTTTCAACCTCGAATGAATCATGCAAAGGCGAGTGCGGGGGTGTGGGGAATCCAGGTTGGACATCTGATTTGGTCCGGTGGTGACGGGTAGTCAAGGAGGGCTCTGAAACGGGATGGGTGCCATCGCTGTGATATCCCGGGTCGGAGATAGCATCATCACTTAGCGCAGTGTTTGGACGCATAGAATTGAGAGTAGCTCTCCGGTCTGCCAACTCCTTGGATTCCTCGCTGCTGTAGATCCAGAGGTTGCCATGCTCGTCGGCTCCGATCAACGCTCCAATATCATAGCTCCCTTCAAGCTCCTCTGCGAGGATCTTACGCGCAACAACCTCCGCGCGAAGCGCATCTTCGTCGTTGCTTTTGTAGCCAGTCATATCCAGCATCAGATCACCCGTCTCGGTAACGTGGGATGGGATGTTAGAGCCAGAGAGCTTCTTTGACAACGCTTGGGCTCGTGATACTGCCTCCTCTGGAGACATAGGAGGTGGACTACGGGAGCGATCCGCTCCAGCCTCAGCTCCCGGTGTCTCCTCATCGCTGTTTGTTGATTGACCGGTTACAGAGTGCCGGGGTGAGGTGAGTGGGATCACGTTGTCTGAAAGCGAATGATCCAGCCGTGGTTTAGTACCGAGCGAGCTGTTTCTAGAGTGGGAGAGGTTGGATTCATCCGGAGATTGTGATAGTGGAGTGATCGTTCCTAGAGTCTCGGTCAGTGACGATGGACTTAAATCGGGAAAGGGACAGTAGTTTGTACCTAGATCGGTGTTTGCTCGCATCTTTGTCTGCATCGCCATCGCCGGGGGTGTCTTTGCTCCCTCTGACAATGCATCGTTCCCTTTATCCAGATCAAAGAAATCGGGTTCCTGCAGTGAAGGCGGAAGATCCGGCTCGCTCTGGGGCCTTGGACTGGCTGCAGGAGACACCAAGGGCGAGGTTTGTAGCGATGCCGGGATTTCATCGGTAGTTTCGAACACAAAGAATGCCTCGCCTCCTTCTCCCAGTTTCATGGCATATTGTTGCTGGATTCCGTTCACCTTGAACTCGACTTTCTTCTCGAAGGGCCGCAAAAGCGAAAACTTGCCAAATCGGACATGAAAGGGCGAACATGCGAGTGTACCTTTTGCGCGAGCAAATTAGTATGTGTTTTCACCGTCTCCCGTAGATCAGTAAGTACCATCTTCTTGCTCAATGACAATGACATCAATGGCCCCGCTGAGGGTGGCCGGGTTGATTGAATTCCATGTCTTGGAGACCGAGCCTCCGAGGCTGCGGACGTACTGCATCCCGAGGATGTCGAGTGAAACAAAACGCAAAGCAAAAAAGACTGCGAAAGGTGTAGGAGGGAGAGAAGTGAGACAGTGAGAAAATCGGAGGTTGAAGTGCCGCCTTCCCCATGTGACACTCCAAACTATACCCCACGGGACCTCCGACCTGCGAACGTATTAATGGTCTTTGGAAACAACTGAAAATCCAGAAGTCATGAAACAGACGATCTTTTTCTTTTCTTCACAACTTAATTCCGACCAACATTTTGGTTCAACGTCTCAACCTTCCCCAACATTCGTTATGTCAGCATGCCGAGGCACAAGTGGACCTGCGTCGATCTACAAAGTACAGAGTATTTTGTATTTTATATCGGGAACTGGAAAGTCTCCAAAGTCCATATGCCTCTGAGCCCATTCAAACCAGTCAGAGCAATTCAGATCATTTTCAACCCTATGATCCTCGCTGGTATCCGTGAAGGCCATGATCACCACTTTTGGGGTCGGAAGGCGGTGAGTTACAAGTCTGCATCGATTTGATGCTTTTGAAACCCCCTAACTTCACTCAATAATCGGCTTCTTTAGTGGTTACGGAGTACTCCGTAGTTACAGATTCAAGCGTCAGAAGTTGGTCCGGATGGTCGAATTTCTTGATGTAAAAACCAAGACGTACAAAGTAGCACTCAGATGGCTCCAAATTCCAGCTATGCTGCTTTCAGTACTCCGTACTCTGTAGTCTATAACTAGACTTCACCAGAACTACCGAGGTACGAGAACGAGAACAGGTCTTCTCTTTTCAGGGCTTGACCGTAACCGAAGTCTTTGATACTCTGTGTACCCAAAACTCCAGGATAGAGACTGTAACTTAAGGATTTGAATATCACTCGCCACCCAGTCACGAGTTGAGGTTGCCAGCAAGCAAGGCATTTATTCTCTCTTTGAAATCTCTTTGATCGATAACTTGTAGCACAAGCGGAAACAAATTAATAATCAATGGCAAGATGACCGAGTGGTTAAGGTGCTACGTTTAGGCCGTAGTGGCGTCGCCGCGTGGGTTCGAATCCCACTCTTGTCATATCTTTTTTTTTTTTGGGTTTTTGAAATTTCTTGTAATTTTAATGCAATATATTTGCCCTTGCTAGTTGTCTGATTACTTTTCCAGGTCTCAATGGTAAGGAGGAAGAAACATTGGAAGTAACCTGTGAAAATTTGATAAGAAACTACTTTAGTACAATTGAAAGTGGAATCCAGAACATATTTAACAGGGCTGATAATAACAATAATTGTGTGGTGTGGGTACACATCAAGGGACTGGGGCTGATCTTTATACACTTGAAGTTGAAAATTTAATGCTGATACTTTAGTGACGTGAATTTTGTTCTAAAACCAGCTCTATGTAACCATTGGAGATACTAGTTATCACCATCGTACCGGTCAATATTTTGAGGTTCACTGTTAAGACTTTCACATCTGCGTGGGATAATTGAAAGCGCAATGGATCATTTTATCTGTTTGCTCTGGTACGCTGTAATTCCAATGAAGATAGTAGGCTGGTTTGCAAAGTACTCATGCGTTAAGCCGCATGGTATGCATGGCTTTGGGTCTATGGTTGTTCTACCAGGGAACAGGTGTATAAGAAACGGATAAGTAGCGACGCAACTGGAATTGCAGCAACAGATCCCTTCAATTGATACTCTGTACACAGAGTTACTATCTTCCTTGTCCAAAACGCACAACTTTAGAAAGAGGGGAACCGGGGAAAGACCTCGGCAGGTGTACATCCCAATGCGGACTAGCGGATGATCTTAATCTGCACTAAGCCAATTTGGGCTAGTTCCGAATTTGGAGGTCACGTGTAGGCCATCCCGCCAAATTGAAGGCATTTGCGATCCTACAGGCTCTTTCAATCTCGTCGCCCGCGTCTATATGGGTAATTGACGCTGGGATGTATGAACCTCTTTACTTTGCATTTGACGCTTACCCAGCAGTGGTTCCCCGCGTGCGAGTACGAGGCGTCATGGCGCTCTTCCTTGCGGGTTCGATATTATGGGCCCTGATCTGGTAGGTCCTTTGTGCTGCCTGTTTTGGTGCCCAGCTAACTCACCATGACCAGGCTCCTTTACCGTGCATGGCAGGTTTGCCAAACCTCGAACGAGCTCCTGGTTGAGAAGCTCGGTCTTGACATTCCTCCGCCGCCAGAGGTCACTCTAGAGGAAATTACAGCCCGGGAGATTCGCCTTGCTTGGAAACAACCGGATTTCCACAACTCAATACACAAGCATATCATTCAGGTTAATAATGTCAAAGGTACGAAAATACATGGATTTTTGTCGGCTATCAGCGCGCTAATCATCTCCAGTTGGTGAATCCAAGCGAGCAGAAACGGCAGTGGAAATCTCCAATCTGATCCCAGGAAACATCTACCACATCTGTGTGCTATCAATCAGTGCTGCCAACTTCCAAACACCAAGCGCGATCCTCCATGTCCGAACCAAATCTCTCCCGATTTCCCAGGCCCAGCAGAATGGCAACGCAGGAGGTCCAACCATTCGCGCCTCAATCCCCCGGTCGACCGTCGGCCTACCAACCCCTTCTGCTCCGATAATGTCCCGCGAACATAGCACCGGCCAATTGCCTGGAAAAAGACCCTCGGCTGGACGAAAAATTTCTCCTGCCGCAGGAACTTTGGAGACAGCGCACGGCAATTTCGAAGAGACATCCAAGAGCAGGGCTCAGGCTGACAAGGATGAGACGCTGGAGCAATTAGCTGATCGTTTGAAGGCCCTGCAGCATGAGAATGAGAGCGTGGAGAAACAAGGGACAGAGGAAGAAGATGAGCACATTGAATTGCTAAAGGATCTGGAAAAGCAACGCAGTGAATTGAGAAAGCGTGTCCGGGAGAAGGATGAGGCCAGTGGTGATTTGAAAAAGCATGTTTACAAGCTGGAAAGTGTCAACCGCACGGTCCAGGGAGAAAAGTCCAAACGCATGAGACTTTTGCAGCAGAAAGAGGCGGAGCGCAAGAAGCGCAAGACCGACATTCTGAGATGGCAAGAGAAGATCGCGCGCATGAACTCCGACGCTGAGCAGGCAAAGGATGATCAGTCTAAGATCAAAGACGAAGGGACTGAGCGCGCGGACGAAGTACGAGAGAAGATTGCCAAAGAGCAAGCGGAGATGAAGATAATCGACGATGAGATTCAGGACAAGGGTGGTCGGGTCAAGAAGCTCGAAGAAGAGAGAATGGGGCTGCAAGAAGGCGACAGCGAGGATGGCAAGGAGCTGGATCGAATCGACAACGAACGGGCCCGGCAATGGGAACACAAGTTGGGAAATCTGCATGCACGATATGCCACCCTGGTCAACCTTCACGCGCAGGCTCAGCAGCAGTACCAAGAAGCGCAGGAACGCCTGAAATGGTTGACGGCTCAGCGCCCAGGCAGCTCCGGCGCCTTTGCTTTGCCATCGCTAGATCTTGATATGTCAAACCCCGGCACTATTCGACCCCGTCGCCATCGTAGCTCGCTCGTCAGCAATGTCTCTTCTCCTGTGAACTTCCCGGGTGTCGACACCTCGTTCCCGAATGGCCTCAGTTACAACCAGTCTACGCACTCGCCCACATTCGCTCCAAGCTCTGCATTTTTCAACATCAACAATGGCATGACCTTGCCCGGTTTAACTGACCCCCCTGAGGTCATGCGCTCAGATTCAGAAGTTAATTTCAACAACCCGCAAATGAGCCCCCGGGCGGATGCTTTGCTACCATCGAATCTTCTCGGTGACGAGGAATCAACAGACTTCCCACGATCGATGGATCGTCCGAGATTTGCGACGATGGAGACATCTACCAACCCTCTTGATAGCTTTGACCACGGGCCAGTGTCGCCTGTTTCTTCCGATAGCCGAGCTGGCAGCATCTTTGCAAGCCCACTCGAACAGAACCGACAGGACGAGTCCCAAGGGGTCCATCTATCAGCTGCGGGCGAAGCTCCAAAGAGTGCATCACGCAGACTCTCTGGAATTTTCAATTTCCATCGTCCTCGCGGTAAAACACTGGCAGACGAATCACCTATGCTGGGCACATTGAAGCCTGGTCAGAGTCAATCCTTCCCCCGGAATGTCGAAGAGCTGGACCCAATCGGTTCCCGAAGACGGCGGTCGAGCTATACCGGAAACTGGGCAAACCCCATGTCTCTCTTCCCTCGGAGTAACACGACCGGTGTTACTATGGACAGTTCTTCTGACCACGCACCTTCCAGGCGAGCCGCTTTCTCGAATATCTTCTCGTCTAGTAGGTTTGGCTTTGGCGGTACTGGCACCCGTGGAAACTCCGATATCAGTACTGGATACAATCAGTTCAGCCCTCGACATGATCCCATCGATCCCGGGTCGCTTCTCGGTGGTGTTAGAAGGGGCTCATTGTCGCCACGGCCTTCCTCTACCTCTTTCGACATGCAAAACCAGCTTCCCCACCCCTCAACAGACAATCGTCATTTCGGGTGGCCGTCCACGGACAATGGCCATCGCAATAGTCCTCTTGGTTTTGATTGGGCTTCTCCGTCGACCTGGTCCCGAGCTCCCTCCCGGCGACCTTCAATTTCATACGGATCATCCGGTCATCTTCCGTTGGGTCTAACGGGCGAACCTGATTTTGTGGAGGGCACATTTGACCGTCATCATCGACCACTCCAGGCCCCGATTGGTACTCGCCCTTCGTCTTCCCATCGGCCACTGACCCCGAGACTGAACCCTGCTGCCCCGGCTTTCACGGCCGTTTTCGCTGGCGAAAGTTCTGACAAAGAAGAACCCAGGGAGACCAGGGAGAACGGTCCTGATAGTCCGTTCGAAATGCGCGAGTATGACGGATCTCCATCTGAGCCTCGCACCTCTCGTTCACTCTCTCACTTTACCGCTGATTCTTATGAGTCATTGGAGCGCATGCCATCGGGAACCTCCGTAGACAACGCTTCCAAGGAATCTTTCATCCGCAAGATCACTCGCAAGGGCAGCTCTAGCAAATTCAGCTCATGGAAAGACCGCTCAGGGCTCTTTTCGAAGAAAGATGCTTCCTCTCAAGGTGATATTGACGAGGACGCAGCTAGCGAGGCCCAACTTGGCAAGAGTGTTGACAGCACTGTCTCAAGCGTCACATCTGCCGACCGCTCCACTCGCAGCAGCCTGGGGTTCTTTTCTCGCAAGTCTCGCCGATCTGACAAGGCTAGCGAGACCAGTGAACGCGCGAGTGAAACCGGCGACGAGGAGATCCCGGAGCTAGCTGAGACCTCATGATTTGTATCTATGGACCCTACGTCCGTCCTTTCACTGTTGATTTCCTTTCCTTATGGACTCCCTATTCACGGCGGGTTTTGTCGATTGATATGCATCTAAGCCACTTACATAGTCTTTCCACTCTATGAAAAAAAAATTCATTTTCTACATTTTACTTGTAGTTTGTAAACCAGCTAATTTCATGGCTCTCTTCGCCAGTTGCCCGTTGGGTGCGGATGCGATTTCTGCCCGCCCGCACAAATGACTCTTCCACTCTGCGAACTATTTCTCGGAATCCAGCATGGCGAACTCAAGGTATTAAAAGCTCCAATGATTCAATCTCAACTACTCACAAGATACCTAGATTTGAATACGTCAAGAATTTCGAGCAGCCAGATGTGCTGCTCCCCAATACGTGGATTGTGGTTCGCATTGATGGGCGAGGATTCCACAAGTGAGTCTTTTCTGTTGTATGCACAGCTCTATGCTGGAAGCAGCGTTCCGTGCATATATCCCCTCCGGTGCATATTGATCCGGGCCTCCACTCGATGCGATATACAATGCTAACATATCTAGACTCTCCGATCACTATGGCTTCGTGAAGCCCAATGACCGTCGCGCATTGGATCTGATGAATGCCGCCGCAGTCGAGGTCATGAAAGAACTGCCAGATCTGTGCATTGCATACGGCGTCAGCGATGAGTTCAGGTATGTCTGATTCAAGTCTTCCATTTACTTGGATTAACCAATATCGCATAGCTTCGTATTCCATCCTAACTGCCAGCTCTTTGAGCGTCGTAATGGGTGAGCTTGTCTCTATTCGTGGACCTTGTGGATCTCGACTAATAATCGCAGCAAACTGGTGACTACCATTGTCTCTACTTTTACGGCATACTATATCTACAAGTGGAGCGAGTTCTTCCCCGAGACGCCGCTGAAGCCACCCTATTTGCCGTCCTTTGATGGTCGTGCGGTGATCTACCCTAATGCTCATATTCTGCGCGATTACATGAGTTGGAGACAGGTTGACTGTGAGTACTTGCGTTCCTTCGAGGGTATCTGGCTAATCTGATTTTGCAGGCCATATCAATAATCTCTACAACACTACTTTTTGGCATATGGTCCTTGAGGGTGGCATGGGAAACACAGAGGCTGAGTTGGAACTGAAGGTAAGGCATATCATTATTCCTTCCAAGCACCGTTTACTGACACCGTCAAACCGCCAGGGTACTGTGGCCGCGGATAAGAATGAGATTCTCTTCAAGCGGTTTGGGGTGAATTACAATAACGAACTAGAGATCTACAAGAAGGGCACTGTTCTCTATCGCCAGGTATGAATCCTGTTGGACCTTTCCCATTTGCTTCAATGCTAACAGCTACAGTATGAACTGGAAGAGCCTCAGGCTACAAAGGCACTGGAAGACCAACAACCTGAGGGAAAGCAATCACGATCACAGCAGGACAAGGTCCGTAAACTGCGTCGAAAGGCCCAGGTCACAGTTGACCATGTCGATATCATCAAGGATGATTTCTGGGAGAGACGGCCTTGGATCCTATCAGGGAACCCGGGCAAGTTACCAGTTGAGAAATAGAAAGAGTCATTCGCCAAACAAAAAAAGGGTATCTTGGTTTCTATATGGCGTGAGGAATGCTTAGATATGCAACATTATATACATGGCCCTGTGCGAGTAGATTTCAACAGCACATCAGGCTTTGACCTTTTTGGACTTCTTTTTCGAGCCCTCGCCTTCTGTGCTCTTCACCTTCTCTTTTTTCGCCTTCTTCTCCCGTAGCCTGGAAGCAGCCTCATCCAAATCAACCTTAGCCTCAACCTCTTGATCAATAGACATAGGCGTAGGATAATCCTCCCCCTCAACCTCAGCCTTCTTCGCCTTCCTCGCCGCCCTCTCAGCAACCTTCTTCTCCCTCCTCTCAACCTTCGCAACCCTCTTCACCCTCCTAGCCTCCTTCCTCCCAGCCTTAAGCTCCTTCTTAACAGCCTTCTGCGCCCTCCTCGCAGCCCTCCCTTCCTTCCTAGCCTTCTTCTCCTCCCTCTCCTCCTCCTTCTTAATCCTCGCAGCCTCCTCAGCCGAAACAACAACCTCCTCCGTCTTCATCGGCTCCAAAGTCCCCGCAAGCTCAGTCCCCCTCACAAAATGCCGATAAAGCTCACTCGTAAGCGCATTCCCCTCCCGAGCAGAGTTTGCTTCATGACTATCTTGCCCAACGCCCTTGAGCGCATCTTCAAATCCACGAAGCCACCATTGGTTCGTGGCATCTTTGGTCGTCTTCTTGCCCACGCCGTGGTTGTTGGATTTGCGCGCGACGAGAATCGGTCGTGTTAGGCCTAGACCGCCGTATTGGCCGGGTCTTTCGGTCTTGAGGGGGTTGCCGGGGCCGGACCAGCCGTGCTTGATTAGGTAGGCTTGGGCGTCCATTTTGGGCCCTGCTTGGGGTTGGAGTTGAAAGAGTTGTGGGGATTGTGGTTTGATTTGGGTGGTGGAGGGCTAGGTAGTGGAGGATTGTAGCAATGAGGCTACCTGGGCCAGAATCGAGGGATAGGTAAAAGTTGTAAAGTGAAGTGCTCAGATGCGAGAAAAAAGTTCGGATAAGAAACTGAAAAAAAGTCGATAAGGATTGGTGCCTGGCAATTCAGGCAGAAATAGGAACATCCGTGGACCCAAGATCCACTCCATCCTGTTTACTCCGTGGTTTTGTAGTTCTTTTGTTGGATTTGACTGTTAATTGATATGCGTAGCCATGGAACTACTTGTTGAAACAGTTGGCTACTGACAATTGACAAGATACCTTCTTTGCCTAGCATTTCACTACGCAGGACTAAGGGTAAGTCCCCTCTTCGGTATGATCATATCAATAGGTCAGATATATCGGCAGAATTACAACTTTAGAACAAGCCAGGGAGCAAATTATCATTCTTCCACTTCTCGAGGTCCTCTGTCTTCTATGTCTTCCAATACTCGTCTTGACAGTTCTGCTTTCCCATCGTAGCAGACAAGCTTTTGCGAGATAAGTCAACTGTACACGGGATACCTTCTTTAAGCATTGATGCACGAAGGCATGATTTAGAACAGTCTATTCGAAAACGTAGCTCATCTATGTGACGAGCCTCTGTAGCTGCATATTGAGCGGAGTAGGATTCCCAGTTTTCCTGTGGAACTTTAGAATGAGCATGGGAATTTATATTTACGGATTGGGGCCGACAGTTGGGAAGATATATCACAGACTTCCGGCTGTGGGCATTTGTGCCATGGCTTCTGGCGGTGCGTACGCCAAAAGTGCCTATCATAATAGGCAATCTCCTGCTCTCTGCGCGGCTGGTTTCTTACAATCCTGCCATTTGCATGAACGGTGAGGCATTGTGGAGGGTTTGGTGCCCCGGATAGCTCTTGGGTGGCAATGAAGCTTGGCAAGGTGCTGATGTGAGTAAATTGAAGGAGCACAGCTTAGAATGCGAGTCTCTGTTTGATGTTCCTTACCGCCAGTGCGGGGGTTAGGGACAGAAAATGACCAATGCTATTCACCTATGAAGGCTGTGAATGTCTTCCAACCCGTGAAAGTGCCAGAGTCACTCCACTACCCCAGATTGTGATGTCTCTCCATAAGTTGAGGTATACAGGGACGACCAATTCATCCTGCAGGTTGCCTCGGAGGCTTAACACTACACCGCTACCGGTAGTCTCTACAATAGTATGAGATATAGCAGCTCATTCTCCCGAGGCCATACATCCTATGCCTGGACGCCTAGGTGCCTGAAATGTAAGTAAAGAATCGAAGTCCCAGAGCAGCGGAGTTGTACAACCGGCATATACGCAGACGCCTCCAATACCTGCATTCCCATGCAACCATCACCCCATGCCGGTACTCCGTAGACGCAGCCAGCAGTTGAGATCTAAAGGAAAAGAGATCCACTTAAAACTCGTGACATGCTGCATATTCTATTTTTACCATCACACAACAGCAGATGCACTCATCCGATCAATACGGTCTGTATCGATCCTTCTTCTTCTCCTTCGGCCGAGCCTTCGACTTGGATTCAGACTGGGTAACCTCCCCCTCGGGCTTCCATACCCGCACATAGCCATCCTCACCACAGGTGAAGACAGATGAGCTCTGTAAATGAATTAGTCAGGTCCGATTAACGTGAGATAGAAAAAAAGGAATTCAAACATACCTGCTCATCCAAATAAACAGACCGAACAACCTCTTCCCCATGAGCCCCAGGCAAACGCCACAGATTCTCTCGATCCAGCGACCAAGGCCCAGAAACAAGAGGAACCAAATCAAGCCGTTGTTCCCTTTCTCCCATTAGCACCAGGCAACAACCCAAAAAAAGAAAAACAACTCACATCTTATTACCAGCAGCAATGTACGGTTGAGCCCCGAGACAAAGCTGCGCAATGTACTCACAGCCCAGCGGGTCACGCAGATCGCCAAACTGCACGGGCTCAGGCTCCTCTGTTGCATCGTCCGGGTCTGTAGCTGGGTGCACGGAGAACAGCTCATCGTGACTCAGGGCGAAGATGGCGCGGTCTGACAGGAATCCGGCATGGTGGATGGACCCGTGGTTGATTACCTGGACCAGAGCTTCGTCTTCATCAATGACTGTCGTGTCATAGATGTTGGCTAGTCCGTCCGTGCTGCCAGAAAGGAGAATGTTGCTGCGGGTCGGGTGATATTGGAGCTGTGTGACAGGTACGCTGCCGTTAGTTGAGATAGGGAGGTGAGCATGGGACCATTTACCTCTGTGATGTCGTCGTTGTGACTTTCCACGTATTGCAGCTTGAAGGATTCTGGGGATCGTATGTCCCTGGCTGGGTTAGTTTAGGAACAGGTAATGTATCGAGGGGATCTTCGATGGATTCGATGGATCCTGTCATATACGTACCAGAAGGCCACGACGGCCTGGGAAGAGACCAACTCTGTGCCTGCAACGATGGTATTCGTCTCGGGAGAGCAGGCCACCGAGAGAACAGGTGCCTGCTTCGCTACAGATCTATTAGCTCTACCATAAACTCCAACATCCTTGCGCTAATTCTCCGAGAACCGAGCTGTCCATGCATCTATCCGATTCGCGACATCCCCATTAGGAAAAGATTAAATGAAAAAAAGAATTAAATGAAAAAAAAAAAGACCAATATGAAAGCTTAGCATCAAACTCACCCGTCTGCATCTCCACCACAGACTTCCCAGCCCGGACATCCCACACCTTCACCTTTCCATCTCGTCCTCCCGTGGCCAGTAGGGAGTCTCCGAACCTGGCTAGCGAAGTCACGCCGACGTGCGCGGCGGAGGATAGCACAGAGGCATTCAGGCCAGCGTCAAACAGGCGCAGGGAGTCATCGGATGAGATGGCTGCGAAAGTACCTGGGGCCGAGGGAGTCAGTGTATAGATGTAATTATCAGTAGGCAGCGACAGGGTCGACGAGGCGACCGGGTTCAGGGTGTGCATGTTGATAGTGGCGGGTGTGGCTGGGAATGTGGCTAGAATATTCAGGTGAAGGAACCCAATGCCAAGACCTGATACGAGTAATGTGGAATCTGCTCTTCACACACACACACGAGTCAATATCGGCACTTTGTATACGAGTATTCCGGACTTTGCTACCTCCTTACATTATGCTACGAGCTCACTGCACTCCTGAAGTCCGTTTCTCGCAAGGCAATGAGGCAGAGACATGCCACGTCCTAATTGTGACGAGGATCGATCGGCGCGGTCCGATCGCGCGAGTGCAAGTTTGAGAGTCGATGCAAGGGATTCGGAGTTTGGCCGAAATGGACTATTAGTGCGAAACTACTTCACCGTACCAGCACAGGCAGCCTTAGTCTCGTATTGTGTCCTTGAAGTGGACTTTGACTGGGTACCGAGAGCTGACTCGTAAAATCCCAAGGAAGCGGTAGGTTACACGTCGATTACCGGGGTTGCCGACCCAGCACCCTGGGTGTCTACTGTACTCGTACTCATGGGGAGTACTTGATATTGAAGTGGTATATTGTATGTTGTGAATTGTAGATTAGTATATACTTAAGTATGTAGAACAAAATTGAGTCCTGTCAGGCGACGGTCCGCGTCCCGCTGGAGTTGTCGATCCCTGGGATTTTGGGAATTTAGGGATTTACATCTGCAAACCCCCCTGCAACTAGTTTAGCTTATGGCCCGGGAATCTGGGATGGGCTTTTGGGAGGCAAGGACTCATTTAGTATTTAGTATTTAGTATTTAGTGAGTATTTCAGTAGAACAGGGGAAATTAAGGACTTGAACAAGTACTTGAATCAGTACGAGTAGGGTAGCGTAACTACAAGAGTACAGTAGAGAAATACTCATGACATCGGGCCTCAGAGGCGCACTATAGCTACTCCGTACTCGTAGTACTTTCCGTACTTCTGACTGCACCCGGGCTCCCCCCTCTTCTTCTCTCCTAGCCTTCTTTTTTGTTCTTCTTTCTTCAAATCCTCATGCCCGTCATTGGAAGTTAAGCTCTACCCTGGTCAAGGTTCACTCTCTGCACTCCCCGACCGTACCATTCTCTGCCCATTTGCCCTGCATTTGAGCACCCCTGCTGCGCTCCATTGGCATGACCGAGAAACGTCACGCGCGCGATTATTGATCCTCATGTCTCGCCGAGAGTATCCTGGGTTCCCTGGGCCCGACCAGATGTCACTGCCGAAGATGTACACCAACGGAGACCATCGCCTGCGACACCTGCCCCCCATGCCGTCTCCACCCCCACCCAAGCGCTATAAATCCGAATCCAACCCGCCCAGTGAAGTCGGCAGTCGCTACTACTCGCACTCCGTGGGCGCGAGCGAGCGAGCGAGGTCACGGCAACCCTCCACCGCCATGGACTTGTGCACCATGATCGATCGGGATCCGGTCGATACAGATCCCAGGAGGAATGCCCGTTTCATGAGCAATGGGTCGGTAGCGACGCAGGCGTCCGTTGTGTCTAACGCCTCGCAGCTCTCACGATCATCCCCCATTATCTACTCGGACCAAAAGTAGGTCGCATCCTGTTCGCAACCTCAAATCCCAACTAACTCCAAACCAATTCAGAATCCCCGAAAAGTATCCTAGTTACAGAGAAAACGGTCGAATGTACCACGGTTATCGCAAGGGCGTGTACCCACTCCCGTGCGACGAAGAAGAGCAGGATCGCCTCGATATCTTTCACAAATTGTTCACGGTGGCTCGCGCTGGGGATGGCTTGATCTACGCACCCCTCCCACCAAAGCCCCGGATTTTGGATCTGGGCTGCGGTACAGGGATCTGGAGCATTGAAGTGGCCAACAAGCACCCCGACGCCTTTGTGGTGGGCTGCGACCTCGCCCCAATCCAACCGGCCAACTCCCCCAAGAATTGCGATTTCTATGCTCCCTTCGACTTCGAATCCCCGTGGACCCTAGGCGATGATTCCTGGGATCTCATTCATATGCAGATGGGTGCTGGCAGTGTCGCCAGCTGGCCCAGCCTCTACCGTCGCGTCCACCAGCACCTTCGACCGGGCGCTTGGTTCGAGCAGATCGAGATCGACCTCCGACCGCGCTGCGAGGATAAAGACCCCGGGCGGGCTTTGTCCAGCTGGTATTCCACGCTGCGACATGCGACGGAATCTGCCATGCGACCAATGGCGCACAGCACAAGCGAGACGATTCGAAATCTGCAGAGCGCAGGCTTCACCGAGATCGACCACCAGATTGTGGGACTGCCGTTGAATCCTTGGCACAAGGATGAGCATGAGCAAAAAGTGGCCCGTTGGTATAACCTGGCTATCTCAGAGAGTGTTCTTCCTCTGAGCTTGGCGCCTTTCAGCCGCGTTCTTGGCTGGACCAGGGAGCAGATCGATCGTATTGCTGCGGATGTGAAGCAGGAGGCATTCGACAAGAAAACCCACACCTTCAACCTGCTGCACATTTATCAGGCACGGAAGCCAGTCGTACCCGTGCCTGTGGATTGAGGTCTACGCTTTACATCCTGGAGATGTCCTTTAAACAACCTTTGAACAAATGAGGCAAATAGACCCTCCCACACACCTGCATGGCTCGGGTCCCCGCAGACTTTGGCTGGCCCAGAATGCGCAGAATGCGCATCGCATTGCAAATTAAAACAATATCCTTGCGCTGCATGGCCCGAGGCCATGATTATCTGGTAATCTACCCAGCGCTACCTTGGATTGGATGTTCGGGGATTATGGTTGACGATGTGTATGTTTGTTTTCTTGAGATCGACTATTGTTGATCATGACTTTTTTTTTTTTTTCTCTTTCTTTGCATGCTGAGCTTTGCATCCCTTGGCGTTCATGGGCCGAGTGTTTTTACCCAACAAGGTTGTTCGATAGATACCCTTATTACTCCGTACTTCCGTTGAACTGGTCAACTGCAGGGTCTGAAAATGACTCGATTTATTTTCATATTGTTTATTTTCCATTCCGGGGGTGGTTAGCTAGATATTATGACATGCTTGGATATATCCATGGATATATTGTTGGTGCCTTGACCACAGGTCATCCCAGGGCTTGGTTGTAAATACTCTTCTGAGATTTCAGATGTTTATACATTCCTGACTATGCATGGCTACATGCACATGGAGCAGTCGAGAATTGTGAAAACCACTGGGCATTTGCATGAAGCGAAGCTGGGAAGCTCCAGCTCGCAAGCCCAATCTATATATTGACAACAGAAGCTGAAATTTCAGTAACTTAGAACCACCCAGGGACAGATGATATGTGTGGCACCGCGACTGATTGCAGCCAGAAACCCCCAAAATATACCCTAACGCCAGGCCACCTTCCAAGGTTGAAAACCATACCCCCAAAACAAAAACACCAATGCAATGCCATAAATGCAAGTCCCTACCTCCGCCTCTTCCTCCCATTCGTCACCTTCTCCTTCTCTTCAGTCTCCCTAGCACCAGGCGTGCGTTTCCTCATCGTCCCCGGCCCAACAGCAACAACATCCTCCCCACTATCACTATCCTCCACATCAAGAAGAACAGGAACATCAAATGGCTCGACACCATCGACATCCTCCCCCTTCACCGAATCCATAGTCACAACGTCAGGCTCTTCATCTTCCAGATCGAGCCGTCGCTGATGAACCTGTTCAGCAGGATGAACGTCGAATTCATCCTCCGCTTCCATGTACTCGACATTCTCCTCGACCTCGCCGAAATCAGGAGCCAACGCAGACCATTTCTGCGGACTCACTATCGACCATGTGTAGATGCAGCCTGATTCAAGTCCACAGGCTACCACCATTGGTCTGGAGGGATGCCATTCCACAACACCGAGTTCTTCCTTCGGACCTTCCAGGATCTTCACTAGAGATCCGTGACTGCGTTCCCAGACGTAGATATCGGGATTCATGAATGTAGTTGCCGTGACAAATTCACCAGTCGAAGAGAAAGTAACATGGTTCCAAGATAGACGGTTAACGACATCTTGGAATTTATGCTCAACGTGCAGTTTTATGGATGCTGGTTCGAGGTCGATTCCTAATTGCGATAGGTCGGGCATTAGCACTGTGCGGATTACGCGGTCTGAACTGTTGACTAGCAGGTCGCGGCCATTTGAGGCTAGGTGGAGGAGGATGACGACTCCATTGCAGAGGCGCATTGAGTGGATTGTTGTGCATGTTTGTGTTTCGATGATGTTGATCCACCCCTTCGAAGTGCCGGCTATGATGTGGTTGCCGAAAGCTGTGAAGATAGTGACGCAGGTAGAGTGTTTGGCGTCTTGGGCTGCTTGTTTTGCTGCTGTGGCGGGGTCGATGTCTTCTGTTGCGCGGAGGGGTGCGGAGGGGAGGATTCGTTTTATGGGTTTTGGGCTGGAGACGTCGACTAGGACGGGTTGGTCTTCGAAGAGAGAGGCGACGAAGAGGAGACTGGGTTTGTCAGTTTTGAGTTTTGGGGTTTGGGATTTGATTTGGGTCTCGTACTGGTTGAATGGGTGTAGTTGGGCAATGTAGACTGGGGCTTCGAATCGGACGGTTCGTATTCGTGAGCCATCTTGGAGGTCCCAGAGGATGCATTTCCAGTCTTGGGATGAGGTGAGGAGATATCGGCCATCGCGAGACCAGCTGGAATTGTGTCAGTGAATGCGCTTGTGTATGGGGTTCTGGGTGATGTTACCTGATAGATTGGATTTGTCGCGTGTGACCTTGGAGTTTGCGCGCCACGCCGTTGGTTTCAATGTCGAAGATTACCACTGTGCCGTCCACCTGGGGTTTGTTTTAGCATTTTGAATCCATGTATGGGCATTGTCGCCCGGTGTTGGGGTCTACGAACTCGTCCAGAGGCAAGGTAGTCACCTTTGTGGTTGAAGCTTAAACATGTCGCATGGCCGCTGCCTTGACAATAATAGGTTAGTTCATGGGTTTCTGTTTCTGGGAAGTTGCGCGCATACTCAGCTTCTCGGTTAGAGTATCAGGGTACTCTTGGGCCAAGACGAATGGGTCCACGAGTGACAGGTTCATGGCGGCAGGTGGGTATCACAGAGAAGGGTTTGTTGGAGAAGTTGAGAGCGTTTAGCCTGGGTATGAGGCCAATATAGGCCTGGTGGATGAATGCTGCAAAATCATCCAGTGAGGACCAAAGTATCACGGACTGCTGGGAGTTTGGTACATCAATTAATGCAGTAATGGAGGCACGGTGACTTCTGCCAATCTGATATTCTTAGTGTAGGCACTCCCAGGGCGGTGTAGATACCTATATAAAATGTGGACTAGTTGATGCCTGTTATTGAGGGCCATAGGCTTCACCGCCTTCTACATAGTGAGGAAAGGTACTTGGAAACTGCGGTGGTTAGCACTTTGGGGAAGGTACCCGCAATTCTGCCAAAGCGGTGAGTGCTTCTTTAGACGGCTCCTTCAGTGCAGGGAAAACTCAAGCCCCATCACAGTGAGGCAACCTCAGAACATCTCCCTTTCAACTTCCCGACATCCCCATCAACCATCACCCCCCCCACAGCAAAGGAGTTCGCGCTTAGCATCGCGATACTTCTTTAGGACCTTGACGTGCTCTTCGTTGCTGCGCGCATCTTTTCCCTCTCTTTTCTGCTCCGTGACGTTCGGGACCACCAGGTCGCCGGCGCCCTCGTGGCAAGGGCTGCCAAAGGCCTCAGCCGGCCAGCTGCTTCCACACCACCTTCTTTTCATCGTCGCTACGTGTAAATTCGACTTTTGACCCGGAATCACGTCTGTCTCTCCAGTTTTCGCGACGTTTACGAATCGAGCTCCCTCGTTAATCCCGGTTTCAACGAGACACCCGCTTGACCGGTTATCTCCGCTTTGTCCAATTCATCTTCAATAATCACAACCTTGCCAATATGTCGAACGTTTTCTTCCCGTATTCGAAGGCGCCTTTGCGCACCATCAAAGAGATTCAGTTTGGTCTGTTTGCTCCCGAGGAGATTAAGCGCATGAGTGTGGTTCACATTGAGTACCCAGAAACATTGGTGAGTGAGAAATGTGTTTCTCCGGTCGCATACTCGTGTCTTCGACGACTATTGCTACATTTGCGATACCGATCGGCTTACTGACGACGCGACAGGATGACCAACGCCAACGGCCTCGGACAAAGGGTATCAATGATCCTCGACTCGGCACAATCGACCGTCAATACAACTGTGAGACTTGTGAAGAGGGACCTAAAGAATGCCCTGGGCACTTTGGTCACATTGAACTTGCTTGCCCAGTTTATCACATTGGTACGTGTCGTTTCCCGTCAAGCTTCTACCAACCCTCCCATACTGACTTTTCATCCTACTTCAGGTTTCTTGACCAAAATTAAGAAGCTACTGGAGACTGTCTGCCACAACTGCGGCAAGATCAAGGCCAACACGGTTAGTCATCCCTATCGGGATGGCAAATCTTTGGTAATTTTTGCTAACATGAAATGAATCTTCAGACCGACTCCAAGTTCATCGAAGCACTCCGATACCGTGACCCCAAGCGACGATTCGACGCCATCTGGCGACTGTCTAAGGACGTTTTGATTTGTGAGGCCGATCAGCCTGCCGATGACGAAGAGTTTTCCAAGGAATCATCCAAGGGCCGCAACCACGGTGGCTGTGGTAATGCACAACCCACCGTTCGGAAGGAAGGAATCTGCTTGGTCGGAACATGGAAGCCCAGCAAGGCTATGATGGAGGAAGAAATGGCCCAGCCTGAGAAGAAGGTCATCACTCCTGCGATGGCTTTGAACATCTTCCGTAACATCTCTATTGAAGATGTGCGAATCATGGGACTCAGTAACGATTACGCCCGCCCAGAATGGATGGTTCTCACTGTCCTGCCGGTTCCTCCTCCCACAGTCCGCCCCAGCGTTGTTATGGGAGCCACCAGCGGTGCTCGCGGAGAAGATGATCTGACCTATAAGCTTGCCGAAATTGTTCGTGCAAACCAGAATGTTCAACGATGTGAACAAGAGGGTGCACCCGAGCACGTCATTCGTGAATTCGAGTCTCTACTCCAGTATCACATCGCCACTTACATGGATAACGATATCGCAGGACAGCCAACTGCGATGCAAAAAGGAAACCGTCCTGTGAAGGCTCTCCGTAGCCGTTTGAAGGGCAAGGAGGGTCGTCTCCGTCAGAATTTGATGGGCAAGCGTGTGGACTTCTCCGCTCGTACTGTCATTACTGGTGACCCTAACCTGTCACTGGACGAAGTTGGTGTGCCCTACTCGACTGCCCGTATTCTGACATACCCCGAAGTTGTGACGCCTTACAACATCGAGAAGCTTCAGAGACTGGTCGCGAATGGGCCCAACATTCACCCTGGTGCGCGTTACATTGTCCGTGATAACGGCGAGCGCATCGATCTTCGTCACGCCAAGCGTGCAGGTGCTCAGCAGCTACTGTATGGTTGGAAGGTCGAGCGCCATCTCGACAACGGTGATTACATTCTGTTCAACCGTCAGCCCTCTTTGCACAAGGAATCCATGATGGGTCACCGCGTCCGCGTCATGCCTTTCTCCACCTTCCGAATGAACTTGTCTGTGACCAGTCCTTACAACGCCGATTTCGATGGTGACGAAATGAACTTGCACGTCCCTCAGGGCGAAGAGGCTCGTGCTGAACTTGCGGAGCTGACTTTGGTCCCGAAGAACATTGTCTCTCCTCAGCGCAACGGTCCCCTCATGGGTATCGTGCAGGACACCCTGTGCGGTATCTATAAGATTTGTCGTCGTGATAGTTTCCTTACCAAGGACCAAGTCATGAACCTTATGCTCTGGGTTCCCGACTGGGATGGTGCTATTCCCCCACCCGCCATCATCAAGCCCCGACCCCGTTGGACTGGAAAGCAGATCATCAGTATGGCTTTCCCATCCGGACTCAACCTCCTGCGTGTTGACAAGGATGGTTCGCCAATGGCTGAGAAGTTCAGTCCTCTTAATGACGGCGGTTTGCTGATCCACGGCGGTCAGTTGATGTACGGCATGCTTTCTAAGAAGACTGTCGGTGCCAGCGGTGGTGGTGTCATCCACACCATCTTTAACGAATACGGTCCTGATACTTGTGTCAAGTTCTTCAATGGTGCCCAGTCCATTGTTGGTTACTGGCTCCTCCACCACGGTTTCAGTATTGGTATTGGTGACACGATTCCCGATCAAATGACCATCAATAAGATTGAGGAAGCCGTCCGGAACCGAAAACAGGAAGTCGAGCAAATCACGGCCAGCGCCACTGAGAATACTCTTGAGGCTCTTCCCGGTATGAACGTTCGTGAGACTTTCGAGAGCAAGGTTTCTCGTGCTCTGAACAACGCTCGTGATGAAGCTGGTGACGCCACTGAGAAGAGTTTGAAGGATTTGAACAACGCCATTCAGATGGCCCGTTCGGGTTCCAAGGGTTCCGCGATTAACATTTCCCAGATGACCGCCCTCGTCGGACAGCAGTCCGTCGAAGGAAAGCGTATTCCCTTTGGTTTCAAGTACCGTACCTTGCCGCACTTTACTAAGGACGATTACTCTCCGGAGTCTCGTGGTTTCGTTGAGAACTCTTACCTCCGTGGTCTGACCCCCACTGAGTTCTTCTTCCACGCCATGGCTGGTCGTGAGGGTCTGATTGATACTGCTGTCAAGACTGCCGAAACTGGTTACATCCAGCGTAAGCTGGTCAAGGCCCTGGAAGAAGTCATGGTGAAGTACGATGGTACTGTTCGTAACTCTATGAACGATATCATTCAATTCATCTATGGAGAGGATGGTCTTGATGGTGCCCACATCGAGAACCAGCGCGTTGATCACATCAAGTGTGACGACGAAACTCTCAGGAGGCGCTTCCGCGTTGATGTCATGGACCCTGAACAAACAATCGGCCCTGAGGTTTTGGAGCAAGCCACTGAGATTGCTGGTGACATGGAAGTCCAGAGGTACTTCGATGAAGAATGGGAGGCCATTCTTAAGGATCGTGAGTTCCTTCGCACCGTGGTGAAGGAGGATGAAGAAATGATGCAACTTCCCATCAACATTCAGCGTATTCTCGAGATGGCTCGAACTACCTTCCACATTCGCGAGGGCACAATCAGTGACTTGCATCCCGCTGAGGTTATTCCTCAAGTCCAGCAGCTGCTGGACAAGTTGGTGATTGTTCGTGGTGAAGATCCCATCTCTCGCGAGGCCCAGGTGAACGCGACCTTGTTGTTCAAGGCACAGCTCCGCAGTCGTCTTGCCTTCCGCCGTCTTGTCACAGACTACTCGCTCAACAAGTTGGCGTTCCAGCACGTCTTGGGTGCTATTGAAAGTCGTTTCGCTCGCGCTGCGGCCAACCCTGGTGAGATGGTCGGTGTTCTTGCGGCCCAGTCTATTGGAGAGCCCGCTACACAGATGACGCTGAACACTTTCCACTTTGCTGGTGTGTCTTCTAAGAACGTTACTCTTGGTGTGCCTCGTCTTAAGGAAATTCTGAACGTTGCCACCAACATCAAGACTCCGTCCATGACTGTCTACCAGGAGGGCATGATGACCCACAACAAGGATGGTGCCAAGACCCTTCGTAGTCTTGTCGAGCACACCAGTCTCCGGTCCGTGACTGAATCTACCGAGATCTACTATGACCCCGACATTCAGTCTACTGTCATTGAGAACGATCGGGATATGGTTGAGTCATACTTCATCATTCCCGAGGACACTGACGACGACTCCGGCTCGCAGTCCAAGTGGCTGCTCCGTATTGTTCTCAGCCGTCCTTCTCTTCTTGATAAGGGCTTGACTGTTCAGGATGTCGCCACGAGAATCAAGCAGGCCTACCCACGTGATATTGCAGTTATCTTCAGTGATAACAACGCCGACGAACAGGTCATTCGTATCCGCCAGGTTCAAGATTACAAGGATGATGATGATGAAGACGTTGAATATGATGTGACTCTCAAGAAGCTTGAGCAGCACTTGTTGGACACCTTGACACTTCGTGGTGTTACCGGTGTTGATCGTGCCTTCATTAACGAGAAGCCTCGAGTTCGCGTTCACGACGATGGCCGTCTCTTCTCAGACAAGACTGACCCTCTTTGCAAGGAGTGGGTTCTCGAAACCAGTGGTTCATCTTTGGCTGCAGTCCTCTCGATTCCTGGTGTTGATGCTTCTCGCACATACTCCAACCAGTTTATCGAGATTTTCGAGGTCTTCGGTATCGAGGCTGCCCGTACTGCTGTGCTTCGCGAGTTGACCCTTGTGCTGGCTTTCGACGGCTCCTACGTTAACCATCGTCACTTGGCGCTGCTTGTTGATGTCATGACCGTTCGTGGTTACCTGACTCCTGTTACCCGTCACGGTATCAACCGTGCCGACAACGGTGCTCTCATGCGTTGTTCGTTCGAAGAGACCGTCGAGATCTTGCTCGAAGCTGCTGCCTTCGGAGAACTTGATGACTGCCGTGGTGTCTCCGAAAACTTGATCCTTGGACAGATGGCGCCCGCTGGAACGGGAGAGTTTGATGTTTACTTGGATCAGAGTTTGCTCAACACGGTCGTGTCGAACAATGCTCGCTACGGCCTCATGGGTGCAGTTGGTGCCAAGGATGCCATCATTCCAGATGGTGCTGCTACCCAGTATGATACTGGATCGCCCATGGCCAGCACACATTTCATGACTGATAGCGACCCTGATGCTTCATTCTCTCCTATTCACCAGAACCTCCAGGACACCAGCGGAAGCTTCACTGACTACGGTGGCTCTGGATTCAGTACTGGTAGCTTGAGCCCTGCAGCTCGCAGCCCCGGCTACTCTCCCACGAGTCCTTTCAACACGAGTCCCACATCTCCTGGGTACTCGCCGTCTTCAAGCTACTCGCCAACCTCTCCTGGCATGAGCATGACCAGCCCACGGTTCAATCCGACATCTCCTGGATTCTCACCTGCCAGCCCATCGTTTGCCCCGACGTCTCCGGCCTATTCGCCGACCTCGCCTGCGTACGGTCAAGCGTCACCCACCTCGCCGTCGTACTCTCCTACGTCGCCTGGGTTCTCTCCAACTTCACCCAACTACAGCCCTACGTCGCCCAGCTTCAGTCCGGCCTCGCCGGCCTTTAGCCCGACATCCCCCAGCTACAGCCCCACCAGCCCTGCGATTGGCGGAGCTCGGCACCTGTCCCCAACCTCTCCCACTTCTCCTAAGTACACACCTACTTCCCCTGGGTGGTCTCCCACGAGCCCCCAGTCCTACTCGCCTACTTCGCCCAACTTCTCTGGCTCGCCAACTTCTCCGGCTTACAGCCCAACTTCCCCGGCCTACAGCCCTACGTCGCCGCGTCAGTGAACTACGGATGAACATGGCGTGCCTTCTCACAGGCTCGTGCTGTACAACTGTACCATCATCGAACACAAGTTCACATAAACAACAAAAAAGATCTTCTCGCGTCACACATGGGAATTGATTGATAATTTTTCACGATATCAGGGACTGCTTTTCCCTTTCAATTGTATCTGTTTTTTTTTTTTCCACCATTTTTTTTTAAAAACCCCAAATCGTACCGTATTTGGTACCCGCCCTCATTGTTTGCTTCCAGATTGTTTAGTTTCGCAGGTGGCCTGGATTTCTCTCCGCTGTGTATGCGAGGGCCTTCGGATCCGAGTGCTTGCGCAGCTCAAGAAGAATATCTCGATTACCAGCAGGAGATCTTCGACTGCCCAATTTTATTGCATGGAGAGCGCGCAGAGGGATGTACTTTTGCTTTTTTTTCGTTCTGTACACAGCCAAGGGGACGAGTAGATTCCAACGTTATTGACATTTTCAAGTGCTTTTAGTAGAACGTAGATTTCTATCGTAATATTGAAGAATAACCAAGCATATACGGAGTAACAATGTAAGAAGTACAAGGTGGTGATTCGCCCTCGGCAAAATGAAGCTCCGTCAAGCCAAGTGGCCCGTACCTACATCATCACAATACCCCAGCTTTCCCTCTGAGAGTCGCGATGTGCCTACGAACTCACATTCAGACATAGCAGGCATTATGAGGTTGCTATCTCAGCTTCTACCGGCGCTGCGTAAGCTCCGCCCGCATCTCCATACCTAATTGGCAAGCTGACTCTCCTATCTAGTGCTGCTACAGACATGCGCAGCTGGGCCTGGTCAACCACTCACCGACCAAACATCCTCATCGGTCCTCGGAAGTGAGGATCATGAATCTCCATTCGCGGAGGAAACACATCCCCGGCCCATGACCCGTGAGTAGAGAGCATCGGCGCATTCTATCCCCCACCCCACAGGACTCGATGCTAACTCTATCGCTTCGTTATAGAACGGGTTGAACGTGCCTGGGATACGCTTCGCAAAACGAAACCAACAACCCCACATACCGAGAAGACAACCAGTCTGCTCAGCACAGCTGTTTACTACGGCCGCCAAACCTTCCGAACATTATTCTTAAACGGGCCAAAGACCGAAAAGGCCGAGCCGAAGCTGAATACCCAAGTCGCAGCCGCAGTGGCAGAGTTGAAAGCGGCAGCAGAAGAAGACAGAGACCCGGACGCGTTATTCCTGTTAGCGGAGATGAACTTCTATGGCAACTTCTCCCATCCTCGCGACCTCAAAGCTGCTTTCCAATGGTACCATGAGTTAGCTTGGTTAGATGGAAACAACACAGCACAGAACATGGTTGGGTTCATGTATGCGACTGGGATTGGTGGTGCTGTTGAACGCGATCAGGCCAAGGCTCTGATGTATCATGAGTTCGCTGCGGAGACGGGAAATACACGCTCTGAGATGACTCTCGCGTACCGCTATCACTCTGGTATTGGGACGCCGAAGAACTGCGACAGTGCCATTCACTACTACAAGAAGGTGGCGGACAAGGCTGTTCAGTATTACCGTTCTGGTCCACCGGGCGGGAGTGCATTGGTTCGGGAATCTTATCGCTGGGCCGATGAAGAAGGAGGAGTCTACGGCCCTGGAGCTAGTGTGTCTAGTTCTGGGCAGAATGCGCGAGATGCCGCGAATGCGGGCCCTGAAGCCAGCGTGGAAGATATCCTCGAGTACTTGGACCTCATGTCCCGTAAGGGTGAGCTGAAAGCGACTTATACCCTGGGTAAGATGAATTTCGAGGGTGCTCGTGGATTGCCTCGTAATTTCCGACGTGCCATGAGATATTTCAAGGTCGTTACCAAGAAGTACTGGAACAAAGATGGCTCCACCAACTCAAATGCTCAAGCAGGCCTTGACAAGTTGGCTTCCAAAGCCGCAGGACACATTGGTTTGATGTACCTCCGTGGCGAGGGTGTTGACCAGCACTTCCCAACTGCCCTCACATGGTTCCGACGTGGTGTTGAGAACGGTGACTCTCTATGCCAGCATTGGATGGGTCTGGTGTATCTTAACGGATATGGAGTTCCACAGGATGGCTATAGAGCTTCTGAATACTTCAAAGCGGCAGCCGAACAAGACCTCCCGGCATCGGAATCGCGATTAGGTGCCCTCTTTTTGGACCAAGGCGACGTGGCGACTGCCACTCGCTACTTTGAGCTTGCGGCCCGGTGGGGATGGATGGAGGCATACTATTACCTCGCAGAGATGGCCAATTTTGGCATTGGAAGACAGCGACACTGTGGTGTGGCTACCGCCTATTACAAAATGGTTGCTGAGAAAGCCGAGATTGTGCACTCAGCCTTTGTGGAGGCGAATGATGCCTATGAGTCTGGCGACAAAGAAGGTGCCCTTATTGCAGCCATGATGGCCGCCGAACAAGGCTACGAGAATGCACAGGCAAATGTAGCATATCTGCTCGACGAGCACCGCTCTGTGCTATCATTAAGCTCTGTTCTTCCATGGGCCGAAAAGCCCAGGCCCTCTTTGTTGAAAAACGCGGCACTGGCGTTGATCTACTGGACACGGTCTTCCAAGCAGGCCAACATCGATTCCTTGCTCAAAATGGGCGACTACTACTTGTCTGGCATTGGTTCTGCCGGTGACGCCGACAAGGCTTCCACTTGCTATCACAACGCCGCTGAAGCTCACCATAGTGCACAGGGCTATTGGAACTTAGGTTGGATGCACGAGAATGGCGTGGCGGTGGACCAAGACTTCCATATGGCAAAGCGGTACTATGATCTGGCGCTTGATCTCAGCCCCGAGGCGTACCTACCCGTCAAGATGAGCTTACTCAAGCTCCGCATTCGTGGCTACTGGAACCGTATCACCAACGGGAACATTAACAACATCCGTGACGAGGAGGGTAAGCAGCCCTCATTAATATCTTTTTCGACTGATACTAACATGTCACTTCAGAACCGAGGCCCCGTCGAACCTTCAGGGAGTGGATCACCGCTTTCGTCGACAACGATGAAGAGAGTTATTACGAAGACCTTTATGAACGCCAGGGAGACGATGATGAATACCGTGGCTTGGATTCGGAAAGCCACGAAGATGGATACTATGATGACCTGGATCTTGATATTGACGAGGGAATGCTAGAGGGTCTACTTATTGTCGGTCTGGCTGCTACCTTGCTAGTGTTGGTATATTTCCGACAGCAGCAGCAGCAGCGGAATCGACAAAACGAGAATGGCAATCAGAACAACGCCAATGTCAATGCCAATGCCAACGAGCGAGGATTCTTCCCTCAGCCGGGGGATCCTGAGTTTGCGCAGTGGGTAGCCGGCGGCGTCGGACATTAGATAGCGCTTATCGATAAGCTTGCATTTCGTCATTTCTTTTCTCCTTGAACACTCGAACTCTTTCTTCAACTTCTTCTAATATTCCGTACATGGCTCAACCTACCAAGCGCCGTCGCATTGATCCTGCGGCCGCTCTATCTAAACCCTTCAAGTCCCCGCTGCGCCGGCCCGCCAACACAGAGGTTCCACCCTCCACGCCCACTCCGAAGGCCCAAATATCAACTCCAACTATACCAGAGGCCACAGATGTAGCCTCCTCTACCCCAAATGCCATACCGGCTACACCAGTCCCAACTGAGCGCAAACCAATAAAGTACCCGCCGTCCACCCCAAAGCCGTTCCAACCACCAGACCCCGAGATAATCGCGCTCCAAAAACAGCAACGCGTCATCCAATCCCGGCTGGCCACCCTGCGCTCAGAAATAGACCAAGCAAAACAGGCCCTAAGACTCGAGACTTCTAACAAAGATACCGAGCTGGAAGCCTTGATTGTCAAATGGCGTCTCATCAGCCAAAATGCCGCGGATGAAGCTTTCATCGGCGCACAAGAAAGAGTCAAGCGTATGGGTGGAATGGCGGCTTGGAAAGAGAATTCAAAGCGCGATGCGACGCGGTGGGAGTTCGACGAGGAGAGACGCGAGGTGGAGCATGTTGATGAGGAGGAGGTTGATTCGGGCGAGATTGAAGATCTGAAGAATGGCCCTGGGGATAGCGATGATGTCGAAGAGGTAAGTGGGATTGCTTTGGATATTGAAATATATATGCTGACTTTGCTAGGAGTTTACTATGGAGTTCATGTTAAAGACCCTCCACGTTGAACCCGAATTGATTGGGTATGATACCAAGGCGCAGCGATGGATCAAGACTTGAATGACAGAGAGGTGTTTGAAGCGTTATACTTAATTACTTAGTGATATACCCTGATAGTTCTCAATATCTCAATATCTGTATACAATATCTGTATACTTTAAGTGCGGAATACGTGAACTCTCGTCGCATCGACCTTCCTATTCGGGCCATTCATTAAGATCATCACCTCCGTCCCCGCATTCACCTTCTACATGTCGCGCCCAACACATAGAGATATAGCCTGCGCTCGCTGTTTCCGACTCAAGCGGAAATGCGACCATGCAAAGCCATCCTGCAGTGAATGCCGCCGCAAGGGCGCCGAATGCCTACCCGCGAGGTCTCGAAAAGCGGGTGACAGCATCACAATCCCGCTCAGCTACCTGAAGCAACTAGAAACGCAAGTTGCAGAACTAGAGGCTCGCAAGAATATTGCGCAGACAGATAATTGCGATGCGGGAGTCCAAACGGACTTCAATTTGGACTTTGAGTCTCGGCAGTTGGCCAGTCCGGACATTGTCGCGCACAACTCTCCTTACGAGTGGCAACTCTCTAACCCTAAAGCATGGCAATTGCCTATATCTTGGTCACCAGATGCATTCTCTTTACTTCCAGAGTCTCCGTTTGATCTACCATGGCTTGACATGACACCATTATACACACTCGGCAGTGACGATACGCCATGGCTGAATGAACTATACGCAAATATGTACTTCTCAGTGACCCACCGCGAGTGGCCGTTCCTAGATGAAGCTATTTGGAAATCCTGGCATAGCCAAGGAATCCCAGCCGGGCAAGATGAATGGAGAGTCTTCTTCTTGCAGATGGTATATGCGATCGGAGCATCGCTCTCCAGTACCCTGCAACGTGACCCTTCGCATTCTGCGCGTTCAAAGGACTTTTATACCATGGCAATGAGATTCTATCCACACGTGGTAGGGCATCCGTCCATGTTGCTGCAGATACAAGCATCGCTGCTGATGATCTTGTATGCGTTGCATTCTCCTTCTTCTGAGGAAATTACGACCAGTGTTGGCTCTGTTTTGCCTTTCTGTGTGGCTACAATGGCGGAGATTCGAAAACATGCATCTATATCCCGGGAGAATGGATCGGTGACTGGGATTGATGATGTTCTCTTGGAGAAAATGTTCATCACTTGTTACATGCTGAATGAGGTTATTGTATCTGGCTGGGATAGGCCAGTGTCGGCTGCATATCGGGTTGTGGACGATGATGTGAGTATCTTCGTAATTACCATCTGTCTCCTGCATATACTAATCCTAGTGCTAGATGCGTACTCTTGGAGATAACCTGCAGCCGGCTCTAGATATTGACCCGGCTCTAAGCCACCTCTTTAGATTGCGCAAGATTCAGGCAAATATGAGGAGATCTCGAGAAATTCAGTCCTGCGAGGATCTCGTGGATATCAAGAGTCGTCGATCGTTGTTCAAACCAGCTCTGGACAGCTGGAGGCAGGACATTCCACAGAATGCATTGACCAATGTCCAATGCGGTTACCTTCACCCGGTGTGGATGCAGAAGCTATACGACTACAGTCTTTTGATCTTAGCAGAAGAGACAAAGGCTTTCGAGGAAATGGATGAAATTAAAGATACGCTTTTGGCGATTGTGGATGTCTGCCACAACTTCCGGATGCTACAGGAGGAAGGCCAAGTTATGTGCTATACCTGGTCCGCAGTAAGTGAATCAATCCTTGCGTTCTACCTTTCGGAAATGGATTACTGATAAATGCACAGCTTGTATTCCAATTCCGCGCAGGAATCATGCTCCTCTATATTGTCTGGATGACAAAAAGCACGGCTGATAGTAGAGATCAACAAGCTCAGCAGACTGCACAAGAAGCCATCTCTACTTGTGAAACCAACCTGAATGCATTTTTCCATCGCTGGCCGGATGCGATGCCTTATATGCGTGTGTTTGAGTTCTTACAACAAATGGTTGGGCGGGCTGAGGGTGGAATTGAGCTGGAATCCACTACCTCGGTTCTGCTTGCAGAGGCCGAGTTGCATCTGGAGCAATTGAAGAAGAAATACCTCCATCGAGCTGTGCTTGCAATGATAGAGGAGATTATGTACAGGGGACGTGTACAAGAAGAGCTTCTGGGAAGTGACTTTATGGGACTAGTAGAAGGCGAGCGGGCTTAGCCGGAATTGTCTGTATATCAAAAGAATGAGTTCATGTGTTGTATGGAGTATATTCAGAATCTATCTACAACAATATCAACTTTCCAGTTGTGAAGCCCGACTTTGTACGCGCGGTTATGACCACAATGGTTTGGGTCAAACCAGGACTGGACCATCTCTCCCAGGTTTGATCACGATCAGAAACAGGATAAGATGCAACAACAAACCATCGATCACCATCAGAGACAGCATTGAAAGGTTCACCATTGACAAAGCAGGACAATGAATCCAGCTCGACATCATCAGGCACGACAGAACCCTCGATCTGAATCACAACCTTCGAGTCTTCAATCTTCTTCGACTGAGTCTGCACCATCAATTCAGCCACCGGCATATCCAATGAGCGAGATCCACGAGCAGCCACAAAATCAGAGTCAAGTGCAGGTACAGAAGAAGGCTGGACACGGCCCTTCATCGCCTCCTCAAAGGCAAATCCATACTTCAGCAGACTGTTATCATCATAAGCCTTGCCAGCAAAAGTCAGATTAACAGGCATCCCAATATCCTCCATCAAACCCATCGGCACTGAAACAGTAGGCACACCCAAATGACGAATAGGCCTATTGCCATTAGAGTATTTCACCCCATTACTCCACGCAAAGCGCGAAGCAACCTCATTACAATCCGAGTCCGCAGCACCGACATCCCCATTCGCCGGGAAAACCACAGCATCAAGTCCCAGCCCATCCATCCACTTCTCAAATGTCTCCACACGCGCATTTTCCAATGCCCGAATCCCCTGCCCCAGACCCGGAATATCAAAGATAGAATCCGGCCTCTGAAGCGGATATTGAACCATCTCATCCCACCGCAGGGCATTCGCTGCATCAGGCGCGCCTTTCAAAGACCCAGGCGCAAGTGGGAAAATGGTAGATGGATCGACTTGTGAAAGAGAATTGAGACCTTCCTGTCCGTTGGAAATTAGGAAATCATCCCAGATGTGCGCGACTAGCTCGCTTCGCTCCATTGATGACCAGCCTTCTGGTAGACCTGCTATGGTTACCAGTTGGCCGGTGTGTGCGTTTGATTCGTATGTCGTCACGAGTGGGAAGTCTGTTTCCACGACTTTGGCACCGAGGGACTCGAGGATTGATCGGGCTTGTTGCCAGAGGCTGATGATTGAAGGTCTGGTTTTCAATTGACTGGCGGTGTTGAGGGAGGACTGGTCGCCACCGATGTACATGGATGGTACGGCGATACGCTTCCCGCGTAGAGAATTGCTGTCGCGGAGTGAGGCGAATGACTTTGGTCGGATTGTGTCGATTGAAGGGAGAGAGACAAGTTTCTGCTCTTGATAGAAATCGCCTTTTGGGGTGGGATCAGACACAGCCAGGACATCTAGGATATGGAGCAGATCCCCGACGGTTCTGGTATGCGGGACCAAGACATCACAAGTAGCATAGAGAGGCCAAACACCCCGGAGAGGAAGTAGACCCTTGGAAGGCGTGTAAGCCACGACCGAATTATTCGATGCTGGCGAACGACCCGACGAAACAGTCTCGCTGCCTAGTGAAAAAGCACAGAAATTGGCAGCTGTCGCCACCGCCGACCCATTCGATGATCCAGACGCATACGCAGCAGCCAAGTAGTCGGCATTATAGGGACTTTCGGCACGGCCATAACAGCCGCGCTGCATCCCACCGTAGGCCATTGCAGGCATATTGGTGCGGCCGAGAAGAATGGCACCTGCGTCCCGGAGAATCTGGATACATGCTGCGTCCTCGTTTGCAATGAGGGTTTCGAATGCTGGTGATCCGCTTGCGACAGTCATTCCTTTGACTTTGATACTGTCTTTCGCGAGGTATGGGATGCCTTCTAAGGGCCTTGGTGGTAGACCTGCTGCGCGTCTTGCGTCTGAGGCTGCTGCATCATCGATTGCGGATGGATTGAGTATTGGGATTGAGCTTAGTTTGAGACCACTTGCGTCGTAGTAGCTGATTCTTCGGAGGTATTTGAATACCAACTCGACGCTGGACAGTGAGCCTGCTGTGAGAGCGGATTGGAGCTCTGGGATGCTTGCGTCGAGCAGTGAGAAAGATTGATGTTGAGCCATGTTTGAGTTTGAGAAATAGCGACAGTTTGAAAGAGATAGGCAAATAGAGAAAGAGAGAGGTATCGAGATATCGCGATATCTGTAACCTAGGTGAGCGGACTAAAGTCCGCCACCGAATTAGGGCAAGTCGAGCCGGGCCAAGACCTGGGGTATCTGTCAACTCCCCCAGGGCCACTCACTTCTTGACGATCTATCAATTATCTCCAGCTTCTATCAATAGGCTTATCTCCTTGGCAAAGATAGCAAAGAATGCGTCTTAAAAGCTCCAGAATCCTCGAGAGGGGTTGAGACCACTTTCATCTTCAACTCTTCACAATGAACCAAGACAAAGACAAGCACGTCCAAGTGGACCCTGAATCCACAGTGGAGAAGGATGTTGCACTCGGCACAGCTCATGATATTGGCGCCGACTTGTACCTCGAGGCAGAGCAGTTGTCCCCGCAGGAACTGGAGACCGAGGGGCCAAAAGTACTCCGCATTATCGACTGGCGAATTATGCCAATGGTGAGTGCCTCGGACCTATTATTATGGGTCGATCGCTCATCTTCTAGCTTTATGTCACCTATGTGATTCAATTTCTTGGTAGGAATTCTACATTGCTTGCTTTGTTTTTTTTTTTTTTTTTTTTTTCGGCTGCAATACTGATTCTAGTCAGACAAATTGTCGCTCAATTATGCATCTGCATACTCCCTAATCCCCGACCTGGGTCTGGAGGGCCAGCGATACTCATGGGTCGCGGCGATATTCAACTTCGGCTATTTATTCTGGGCCCTGCCGGCTAGTTTACTGATCCAGCGACTACCGATTGCTAAATATATGGGCGGAATGCTACTGATCTGGAGTGTGCTGGTTATCGCTCATATCGGAGCAACTAACTACGGGGGAATCCTGGTGTTGAGATTCCTACTGGGTATGGCAGAAGCTGGAGTTAGTCCCTGCAGTAAGTACATGGAACCGCGACTCGAAACGGGGTATGGGATACTAACATCAGGAACTCAGTGATGAACCTCACAGCAATGTTTTACAAACGGTCCGAACAGCCAATACGCATGGCAATCTGGCTAAGCGCCAATGGCATGGCCACTATGGTCGGAGCCCTATTGGGATTCGGCCTTGGCCATTCGCACAACACAGCCCTTCACAGCTGGCAATTAATTTTTTTGACAATCGGTCTTCTCAACTTCGTCTCCGGGTGTCTTTTCCTATGGCTCATGCCCGACTCACCCAGTACCGCACGCTTCCTAACACACCGACAGCGCGTGATAGCCGTCCAACGCGTGGCCGAGAACATGATTGGCGTGAAAACGCGAGAAATCAAACCCAGCCAAGCTCTCGAAAATCTATGGGATATCAAAGTCCTCTGCTGTGCCGGAATCGGCATCGCATGTGGTGTAATCAATGGCGGTGTTTCGAATTTTGCATCCTCACTCATTAAAGGGTTTGGATTTGATGGAATCTACGCTACATTATTGCAGCTTCCCACCGGTGCCATTGAGGCTGTTGTCGTTCCAATCTGCGGTATTGTCGCAACATACGTCAAAGACTCGCGCTGTATCGTGCTGGCTATTGTCTGTCTTATTCCATTTGGTGGTCTTTTGGGAATCCGTTTCACGGATCTAGATCACCGTTGGACTTTGGTCGGATGTACCTGGCTACAATACATAATTGGGGCACCGGTGATCGTGTCGTGGAATTTACTCGCGACTAATGTGGGTGGACATACGAAGCGTTCGGTCGCGAATGGTATGTGGTTCTCGCTGTATGCTGCTGGGAATGTGGCGGGGGCCAATATATTCTTTTCGCGTGAAGCTCCTCGCTATCACTCGGCTTTGGCTGGGCTTTTGATTTGCTACGCTGGTATTATTGTCTTGTCGGCTGTGGCGTATGTTGCTATGAAATGGGAGAATACAAGGAGAGATGCTGCGGTTGGCGACATGACACAGGAGGATATTTCTGCCCAGGCTGTTGTGGATGGCTTTAAGGATATGACAGATATCGAGTCTAAGCATTTTAGATATGCTCTTTGAAGATTAAATCTAACCTGAGAGTTTATGAGTCCATTACATCTTCATGAACAAGGAATTGATCGGGATCAGAGTAGCGGAATGAATAGCAAGGCGAAACTCTGAGTGAGCAATCGAAAAAGTTGGATGAAGAGGAATTTGCAATTCAATCAGATTTCCATCCATTCTGTGGATATAAGGGGCATTGTTGGATTGAGGATCGTTGAAAAGAGGGTGTCGATTCGGCTCAAATCGAGCTCGCTTTGGAACCCGTCAAAGATGTGATCAAGTTCTGAGAAGAACAGGTCAAGGGAAACATCAAAGCCGTCATCGTTATCTTGATAAGAGCCATCCAAGCCATCGGTCCGTGAATGAAGGGGGTCGTTGAGGTTCGGACTGGCTGAACGATTCGCTGTATCTAGACAAGGTCCTCGTTGGGCGTCCTCCGTCGCAGTTTGCTCATGACTATCCCCCGATGCATGACCTCGGAACTTGTTTGCTCCCTTGAGAGTATTATGAAATAGACGCGTCATCGTCCTAGCTGACACGAATGTCTCGCTCAGCCTCTCCAGGATTTTGCGGCTCTGACGAAATTGTTGCCGGGCTCGATTTCGGATATGAGAGATTTTGCTATTTCGTAGAGTCTGGTATTCGACTGATGATGCCAGGGACACAGCATACGGCAAAGCCACCCAGTGGGTTAGTGAAGATTTGAACTCTTCAGAGAGCGTTAGAATGCTGACCGCAGAAGCAAATTGGGCATCTGAGCTGGTGAATTGGCTTGGTCCGTTTGACTGGACCTGAGGTCGAGATCCAAGGATTCGAACAGAAAGGTAAAATATCTCTAGTGAAGCTAGAGCGTTGGTGAAAATCAGCAATGCAGGAAACTAGAGACCGGAGAATATGCACCGAGACTCATCTACTTACACATTAATTGACTGGATAATTCAGCTGCATTGACTTCGCAAACAAGACTCTCAAAATCGGGTATAACCCTTGACAAGTCAAGGTGGAACTTCGGGCGAGGTCGATACTGAGATATAACCTCATCGAGGAGCTTGCATATGCGAAGGAACAGTCTGAAAGGTGGCAAATCAGGTACAAAGCTTAGCAGTTGCTCGCCGGTGTCTTGCTCATTGATGAGTGTCGGCCTGCCGTTCATAACTGCATTCAGTCGATCCAGTGCCCAAATGCACCAGAAAAGACGATGGGACTTTTCCAATCCTTGACTCTCACGCGAGTATGGAGCGTGCAGACCCAGTGTTTGGGAGATTTCCACAGCCTGTGCACAGTAGTGTGATGAGATCTCACTAGAGCTGGGTTCGTCGACGTGAAAGGCCAATAGACTGGTTATCTGAAGCAGTATCATCTTATTCCGAATGGTATCCGTTTGTAGAACAGACTTCAAAGCCTCGGCAAGACGAGAGCGGAACTGCATCGGGGACATGATCCTCTCAGAGTCAGCAAGTTTGAGATGGGGCTTCATAGATGGGTCGAGAGATGCTACCAAGCAGATGCACTGCTTAATAGCCGTAGCTTCGGCATCTTTACGATCATCAATGTTTTCGCCATATATTATGGGAAATATGGGGTCAAATTTAGTGAAGTAAAGTGTTGACATGGCGTCAAGGTCGCCATCTGAAGGAAGAACAGACATCCACGCCTTTTGGAGCGGAAGAGAAACACTTTGCAGGTCGTGGGAATCTGAAATTGGTAGAACGGCAGCATTTTGACCTCGGTCTGTATCAAAGGTTGCATGCTGAAGGCGGAGTAATAGAGGCTGGCTAGGGACAAGCCAGAAATTGATGCTGGTGCTAGGGCCTTCGTTATCCGTGGCATAACTCTCAGTCGCAAAAAATGACGCTTCTAGGCTCAGGTTTCCAACGAAACGAATATCACTCCCGGTAAATGTTTGATCCTTTGATGGAGACGAGAGAGAGGGCTGATTTTCTGGAGGTGGACGTGTTTCAGGGATCGAGACATGACCATCGTCGGCATCTCCTGCTTGCCCATGAGGGATTTGCTCATTTGATCCACACAAAGGTGAGAGTTGACTCTCTGAATGGGAGGGGTTCGATGTTTCGTGGAGCGAGCCCTGGGGATCGCCAGCATCCTCTACTTTCCCATTGACGGTATTATCCAGTGTGGTAATTCTGGAAGCTATCTCAGTCGAATGCTCGTCGGTGAGTCGGTCGAGATATGGGGTTCTTCGGTTATGGAGACATCGTTTCTGGAGCCTTAAGGTCAGTGGGCTGGACATGAAGACGATTTTGTGTATAATTCACATGGCGACTCCTGCAAAAGTCACACGATTTGTGAGAATGTTTCCGCTTCGACCCAACACCAACATTGTCGGAAATATTTTTGGGCATGCTACCAGGCTGTGTGCCAACTCAGAGAAAATCGATATTTCTGTGATGTGGGTATCAAGATCGGCCCAGGGAAGAAATCAGAGTCCAATGATGCGGAACTTGTCGGGGAGTGGAAGAGGTTGCAGAAGGCAAGCCTCAAAGGGCAAACAGTAGGGGTTTTGACTATCTAAAAACCATCCCATCCTTGTCAACAAACGCACCTTATTTAGGGTGGAGAATCACCCAAAAGCAAAAAAAGTGAAAGGGAGAGAGGCAGAGGAAGCTTGAAGGGTGTGGAGGTTCTACCAAAGCAGTAGAACTTGAGTCAATTCACCGCTATCTGGATTACTGAATCGATGCCTGTACCTGTGAACTTAGAGTGCACTGCATTGGTGCAGTGTCGCCTTGAGTGAGTATTCTGTGGCACTCAAAGAGAGTAAATGGTAATCAAAATTCCATTGGAACACAGTCGTGCACCGTCACCCATGCATCAGAGTCAACATCATATCTAAGTCGTCGAAACGATATGAAAAGTTGCTCAGGACCACGATTCCACTTCGCAACATTCGCTTCCAACACATCAGGTGGGATGCCATTTTGGGGTCTAAAGACCCCAGCATCACATATACGGGCTTCTTCGGGGATGGGTGCTGCGAGATCCAACACACTATCGGTGTCATCGCCGACATAGATAACGTTTGAGTGCTGGGAGACGCTGTTTTGGTTCATAGTTTGAGCTAGCTGAGTACTGTAGGTTTCCTCAAGGGTCATGAGGTGCCCAGCCAGGGCGATTCCCGGTAGGCATTTATAGAACCCTTGTACAAGGGGCCCCTGCCTTGATAGTTGTAAGGCCTTTCGCCGTAGAACTGGATGACGACATTTCAGCGCAGTCAAATACAAGGGAAGGCCGACTCCCATTTCAAATGTGAATGGGGGAGGAATGCCATTTGGTCTGGCTAATGCGTTCAAGGCCAGACTGGACTGGTCTACTATGGTCTGGAAATGGCTCAGATGAGCATCGTATACGGATTGGTGTCGTGTCAGGCATGTCGCAACGTAAACAAATGAAGCCGCGTGGTAAGTGAGGAGGGTTGGCTCGAAGTCGGCGGGCTTTCCGGGGCCAGTGGAAAGCCTGTGCTGTGGTCTTTGGCAAAGTTCGGTATATGCATGTAGCCAGCTTTCAAGTCGATGGATTAGGTCTTGTTGTGTGACGCGAAGTTGTGGATTAACGTCTGCTTCATCGGCGACATCTCGGAGATGCAGCTCCGCCTCGCGTTGGAAGATCATGCACTCGGCTGCTAGTGCAGTAATTTCTTGTCTGGCCGAGTCAAGAGACACAAATTCGTTCTTCGCGGATCTTGAAAAGGAAAATATTGTACTCGGGGGTGTGCCAGATATGGTGAGGGCGACAGTATTCAGTCTCAGAAATAAAGGGATGATCGTGTTTTCCAAAAGATCAACTTTGGTGAACGAGACGGAAGTGTGGCAAGCCTTCGCGCGGAGGTCATGAATCAAACTAAATCCTTATTGTAGAAGTCTGAGAGCCTCTTCCATGCGTCCTTGGAGGGTCTCCACGCATATGAACAACACACAGCTGACCAGAGACACATAAGGATCTGCGCTCCCACGATCAATCTGAGAATGAATACCCGATATTGACCGGGAATACCATGTCAAAGCCTCTTTCTGAGCTTGATTAAGGGCCGAAGTCTGCCTTCCGGGCCCCAAGAATGTGAAATGAGATGCTTGTTCTGGATACTCAAACAAACTGCTGATGGCGATTATGGCATCCCACACGGCGGGCTCAGTGCGACAAATTTGCGGAACAACGCCAGTCCAAAAATCGATATTCATACCCCCGGATAAATATCGGGCAGCATGTTGGAAGTAATACTCGAATGCACGGCGCTCTCGTTGTCCAGAATTCGGGGATGATGAGAGGGCGTAGCCTGGAACTAGGGATACTGGAGTCAAGGGCGCTGCGGAAGAGACATCACTCTCAAAATCGCATTTGCGCCCAGTACTTGTGCAGCGGTGGCACTTGGGTCTTTCCTCTCCACATTTGACTCTCCGGATTCTATCATCGTTAGTCTTCAATGCTGGCGGCTGTGCCTGAACACTCACTTGCAGGTTTTACAGCCAGACCGAGATTTTGATGCGCCTATGCGACCCCTAGGGGGTGGAGTACTGGTGTTGGCCATGACTGACACCATTCATTGCCACCATCTCTGATGGAGACATTGAGGCTATGACTTGGGATCTTTGACGCTGACCCCCACATTTTGGCCTGCAATCGACACCTGAAATATCAGGTTCCAACCCTCGCTACTTCAAATGTCATGGTTCAAGTTGGTTTATACCAATATCAAAATGCATATGTACATACAATTCCAACATAAGACACAAAATTTTGGCATGGAATCATGACTTCCTCGCAACGACCATAATCTCATAGGGGGTTAACCCAATATTATCTGGAAAAATCAAATCCGAGAACAATGACTGAGTAAACTGAGTCTCATAATCCGGCCAATCCACCCGAGGCCCCAACCACACAATCAACTCAATGGACAGATGACCATAAGTATCAATGTACTTTTTAATAAGTCTTGGATCACGCGGGTACACAAATATCCACGCCGAAGCCTGCTGAGCAGCAGGGCAGAGGCCCCAACCTCCAGTAACGACATGCATGTCTTCTTCGGCAATGTATCGATTGACACTTGAGCCGATCTCCACGCCATGCACGGATACGTCTCCACGGTTCACGATCAGAGCTTCTAATAGGCCAGACCCACTGCCCACGGACACGGTGAATGTTGGTTTTTGGGGGAGGATGGAAATGAGATGGTCGAGTAAGGTGCTGGATATCCCCAGGCAGCAATCGGGGAATCTTTGGGGGGATGGTGAAAGCTGATTTGATTGGGGGATTTCCATTTTGGGTGGAATGTGTACAGCTTGGATACTCCTGAGGTCGTGAATACTTGCGATGGGATTTTTGGTCGCGGGGTCGGATTTACTTATCTCCCTGATCTATATTTTTGTCGTGATTATACTGTTGAAACCTGAGGTTTACGGGAAATTCAAATGGTTCAGTGTGTAATATGTTGGGCTGCATGCCTTACTAAATACCTCCTTGAGTAGTAGCCAACACAGAGCAGCTTAGCTTCCAAGGTTGGATAGAAGTCCAGGAAATCATTGACATTTGCACATTCTAGTTCATAATAATTGCTAACTCCCATCACTACTTAAGTATCCATTCAAGCTTTCTCAATCAACCGACCAAAGATCTGGCCAATCTCCTTGGCGCTCTTTTTCGGGATTCGCTTCTGTCCATTTTCGTAGTCAACAAAGGTGACGCCGAACCGAGTCTCGTAGCCTTCGGCCCATTCGAAGTTACTAAAGATGAAAATTAGCTTCAACATAATGACGAAGAGTGATCAAATACGCACTCCATAAGACTCCAAGCCATGTAAGCGCGCACATTGACGCCATCCAACGTATAAGCATCAGCCATGGCGCTAATATAGTCCCGGAAATATTGAACCCGGAACTCATCATTGAGCAGCTCATCCAGCTCCATATCATTCTCACCAAGCACACTGGTTCCGTTCTCCGTGACGTAAATCTTGGGGTAACCGTATCGCTCACTGAGCCATTTGAGCAACTTGCGGAATCCAATAGCAGAAGGTCGTAGCCAGGGCGACTGTGTGATAGGGCCAACACTAACACCGTTCTTGTCCTCAAGCAGAAGCTCCAGATTGCCCGCGATGTCGTCCAATTCTGGCTCCCCTGTCTTGGCGCGGATGAAGTTCGCGCAGTAATGGTTCATCCCGTAGAAGTCGTTACTGCCATGCACTAGCGCAATGTCCTCTGCGCTCCAGGATGGCAAGCGAGAACCCAGTTGCTTGACCATACTGTCAGGATACTTGCCATGGTATATTGGGTCTGCAAACCACGAGATGGCGAATTCGATTTTTCGATCGCAGGCTTCCACGTCTGCTGGGTTTTCCGGGTCCCACGGCTCAGCCCAGTCGCCTGTCTTTTGTTAATGGGAGGCTCATGTTCTGGGAACAATTTCATACCATTGAGCGTGATGCCAATTTCACCTCCATCTCGTTCTTTGAACTCATCACGATATATCTTCACCGCAGCTCCATGCGCAACGAGCAGGCTATGGCCAACTATCCATGGTTCTGTCGATCCATCTCCCACCGGGCTCTTGGTGCGATCGCTCGTGTGACCAGGAGCAAAGGATCCCGTGTTATATCCCAACACGCTGCTACACCAGGGCTCATTGAAAGTGATCCAGTATTTAACCTTGGAACCAAATGCTTCAAAGACCACCCGGGCATAGTTTGCGAAATCGGCAACGAATTCCTCCTTATTCAGGAGTCCACCGTACCTCTTATCGAGTTCGTCGGGAAGATCCCAATGGAACAGTGTGACCATTGGGGTAATCCCTGCTGCGATCAAATCATCGACAAACTTGGTATAGAACTGCAAGCCTTTCTCGTTGATCGGGTCGTTGCGACCACCGAGAGGAATGATGCGGGACCTATTTTGTTTTACCAAAATCAATGATCGAAAATTAACAGGGGTTTCGCAATGATTTTCTTACCATGATAGAGAGAATCGATAGGCGGAAGCACCGCATTCTTTCAACAGGGCAATATCCTCGTGGGTTCGATGGTACGAGTCGCAGGCCACCTCCCCAGAACCCCCACCAGCGATCTTGCCGGGGATCTTGCAAAAGGTATCCCAAATTGACGGACCACGGCCATCTTCGTTGACGGCTCCTTCAATTTGATATGCGGCTGTGGCGAATCCCCACACAAAATCGGGAGGCAAGGTAGATTTCTCGACGGAACCCATGATGGAGAGATGTTGACCAAGAATATTGTATCAGAGTGGGCCGTAGAGACGACATTTATGTCTCTAAACTCATCTGAAACCCCCAAACCCCCAAGAGCAAATCACAAAGCATCCTTATCGTGAGAGGAATGATCTCCGCGATCCGGAGGAGTCGCCGCGCCCAGAGCGGAGGGTCCACCTCGTGTTTTCCTTAGCGCGGCTGGCCGGTCCGCTCACCGTTAATGTACTACGGGTAGACAGGTACAGATTCAACTCTATATTCAAAACTCATGCTAGATTCAAAAATGCCCCAAGTACTCCGGAAGATAATGCGTGCCCCATTCGTTTATTCATGAAAGTTCCATACCCTCGTCGTCTGCCTCCAATTCAGACAGCTCGTCCGCAGTCGAGCCTAGCCGGAGTCGAGATCCCTTGTCTCGGTCCCCGAGACCATCAGCCCCTAACGTGACCATCTCTAACTCAGGCCCTGCGATGATGCGACCCTCCGTATCCACTACTTCACAGAGCTGGATCAAACTTTGGTGGCTCAGGGACTTGAAGCCCTCGGTACGAACCACGCGACCCCAATAGGTCAGACAGAACTGTGCGGCTCGTCGCATGAGCCAGTGCTCATTGGTTCGACCGGCACGCTCCCATACTATGGCCGCATTGTCTACGTCGAGCTCCCGGCTCAGCCGATTGACACAAAGTAATCGCAGTTTGGGCATGTCATAGAGATTAGCCATGACGAGCATACCTGCGACATCGACGGCATTGGAGGAGCAGTCTGGGGGGCCGGATATGCTATCTGTGTAGAGATAGTAAAGAAACGCGCGTACGACAGAGTAAGGTTCGGGGATGTGCATCCGTTTGGTGTGGTACTCAGCCATCTGGGCCGAGTACAAGCGCTTGAAATGTGGCCACCGCAGCTGCAAGAGGATTCGGTGGACATGGATGGGCTCCGAGGTCCAGGGGCTTGGTTCCACAAAGGTTGGCTTAGTCTCAGATGGGGAGACGTCCGGCAGGTCATCCGCATCCCCCAGGACCGAGCCTTCGTGATCATCACGGACTGCTGTTATGGTGAAATCGGCGCCGCTGATCGACCCAGGTTGATCGAAAACAGCCGCTAGATCAGCCCCCAGCCCTGTTACCGCAGAGGGGCCTGTTTGATCATATGGCCATGAGGAATCCAGCTCGGGAGATTCAGCCGACAAACCGTTCCCTAGCAGGCCATATTTTTCTAAATCAACGGTGAGAACTTCGCTCATGTGATTGTCGTCACTGCCACCAGGTATATTGGTGACATCGAGGCTACATCCCAAGAGCCATGCTTTGGTCCCTGTATCGTTGACTGTGCAGTAATGCCACCGGTAGCCGGGCCGGAAGATTTCCTGGCCATCAGCCATCCGCTGCCACCGCAGCGAATTGAGGTCCAAGGCCGATAGATTACAGTCATGAGACCTTACAGTCTCAGATGGGGTGATAAGATCCAGTAAAACACCGGATGCGAAAGAATGAAAATGTGTGCCGGAGAAAAGGGAGGGGACGTGGGGACCGGAGCTGAAGCGAAGACATGAGATGGCACCAGGGGCAAGTTGCTTGCGTCGACCTAGATTGCGCACCTGCACACTTCCTGAGTTCGCAGCATAGACTCCGGATCGGGGAGACATTGGATGGGGGCTACTAGATACGGAGTCTGGGAAATGAGTGGAGGATATATTGACATCCAGGGAGTCGACACTACCTTGGGGAGTGATGTTTCCAGCCAACGATGGGGACCCTTTCAGATCCAGCCACCAAATGTCAGTCGTTCGTTCCATGTTAGGGCCTAGTCCACCGAATATCCAGAGGCGGGTGCCCCAGACCCAGGCCGTGTGATCAAAACGTGCGGTGAAACTCCATGTCCTGGACCAGGTCCAGGTTTGTAGATCCAGATATGTCAAATCGTCCAAGATGTCGTTCTTCTCGCCCGTCACTCCCCCTACGATGAACAGTTTGTCCTCATGGATGACCGCGGCATGACGTGCCCTGCCACGCGGGATCGATCCACGGATCTCAGGGAGCGTCCAGGTAAAGGTATTGAGATCGAGGATGACGACGTCGGATAGGTAGTCGCGATGTTCGTTTTCTCCACCAAAGACAATCAATTTATCACCTTGGTAGAGTGTCGCGGTATGTCCTGTCACGGATAATGTAGCGAATTAGAGTGGTGCGATCAAGGAAAGTGTGACGGGCGAATGAGGGAAGAGGATAGTTACCCATGCGCACTCCGGGGATATCGCCGTAGTTATCCACGAGTTCCCATTGCAGAGTCTCGAGGTCTAACCTGAGCACGTGGTTGTAGACTGAGAATGAATTAGTGGGCCGTTTTTCAGAGGCAAAGAAAAAGTCCGACCTTCGTCGGTGTACTGGTCAAATCCTCCAAAGGCATAAATGCGATCATTGTTGCAGTACGTCACCGAGGCATTGACCAAGCAGGCGGGGACATGACCTTGAGCTTTCTTGATGCTAGGACGGTAATCCGCGCTGGTCCGGCGACCCCCCGCCGGACTGGCGGGCATCAAGTAAGCCTCCTGCATTGTCTTGAAAACGTCAAGATATGTTCAGAGCCTCGAAGATCACAAGGGAGACGTCGTGCGAGTGGGTCGGGTGGAACTAGGAGGAAGAAGTCTTGGTGGGGATTAAAAGAGATGCGCCATCCCAGTGGCAAGCAAAGGTCTCGAAATGAGCCACTTGCACATACAATTCACCATACCCTGTCCAAGACTCAAGGGAGTATCCCGTACTCCGTACAAATTGGCAATTTCCTTTGTTGCCCGACTTCGAAGGCCATTCGCGAGGGGGCTAACGCCAAGACGATCATCGTCAAAAGAGGTAAGCGCCTGGCATGATGTGTCAGCACACGCTAGTCCCAATGGGGTAGGATGTTACCCAGGTGACCGTTGCTGGGGGGAAACGGAGAGCTTTTAGGTACTATACCTTCTATTTATTCCTTCCATTGACTCTCCTTTCTCTCTCTCTATCAATCCGACCTTCAGAATTATTGCAGTATACTATTTCATTGTTTGACCTTGTATCAACCACATCGATTAGTATTCTGCATCTACTAGCAGGGCTAGTCCCCATCCTATCTACCTTGAACCATATATCACTATGACTTCTGTCACGGTGTCTACTCCGGTGAAGAGCCACCACGGTCTCTTCTCCACCAAGACGGCGGGAGGTCGTATTCCTCTCAGCCCCTCGCCAAACCCCCGAGCAGGTGGCCAAGAGTCGCCCTTCACTCCTCCTCCTCGCCAGTCCGACTCGAGCCGTGGACAAACCAAGTCAGTATACGGTGGAAACTTGTCCGCCCACTTTGCCAAGTCATCAGTCTCTACAAAATCCTCGGCTTCCACAAAGACCTCTGCGTCCGCCAAGTCTTCAGCACCCACCAAGTCCTCCGTTTCCACTAGGTCCTCTGTGTCCAAGGCAGCTCGCCCCACATACCGTGAATCACCCAAGTCGAACATTGCTCGCACCCGCAAGTCCCCAAAGCACCTGGAGCTTGGAGTGTCTGACTGGACTTTGACCGGTACAAGCGCCACATCAGCCAACACACCCTCTAAGGAGCGAGTGCGTAGAGAGACTGCTCCTCGCACCCGGTCCAGCAAAACCACCGTCCGCATCTCCCACAATGCAGGTGATCGTTTCATCCCAAACCGATCTGCAAGCGAAGGTCTTGCCACAACTGGGGCTGCGAAGCCTGAAGAGGGACAACGCCCCAAGAGCGGTGGAAATGGAAGTGATGGCACCTCCGTCATCGCTTCAGCAGCCAGTGCCAGTGCTTTTGACATCGGTGCTCGCGGATTCGATGATGACCTGGCTTCGGCTTTGGAGAACATGGGCCTCGAAGACAACGAGCCCTCCACCTACACACGCCCAGCACCAGAGGCGACTGCTTATAAGTCTTCCCTCGCTGAAGCCTGTGGGGTGAGCATGAACACTCGCATTCTTGCATTCAAGCCTCCTCCTCCTGAGTCTTCCAAGCCCATTGATCTTCGTGCTCAGTACAACCGTCCCCTGCGTCCCGCCAAGTCTACAGCTGCTCAGTTCCGTCGCCGCGTACAAACTGCCCCAGAGCGTGTTTTGGATGCTCCCGGTCTCTTGGATGACTACTACCTGAACTTGCTCGATTGGAGCTCGGGTAATCAGGTTGCTATTGGTCTTGAGCGGAATGTCTATGTTTGGTCTGCGGAATCTGGAACAGTCAACTGCCTGTTGGAAACATCTCCTGACACCTACGTCAGCAGCGTTAAGTGGAGTGGCGACGGTGCCTATGTTGGAGTTGGCCTGGGTACTGGTGAAGTCCAGATCTGGGATGTCGAGGAGGGCTCCAAGCTGCGTAGCATGTATGGCCACGACTCCCGCGTCGGTGTCATGGGCTGGAACAAGCACACTCTGTCTACTGGAGCTCGCAGCGGTCTCGTCTACAACCACGATGTTCGCATCGCCGACCACAAGATCGCCGAGTTGGTCTCTCACACCTCCGAAGTTTGCGGTCTCGAATGGCGCGCCGACGGGGCTCAATTGGCCACAGGTGGAAACGACAACCTTGTCAACATCTGGGATGCCCGTTCTCTTACAGCCCCCAAGTTCACCAAGACCAACCACCGCGCCGCCGTCAAGGCTCTCAGCTGGTGCCCTTGGCAATCCAACCTCCTCGCCACCGGTGGTGGTTCTTACGACCGTCACATCCACTTCTGGAACACTACCACTGGTGCCCGCACCAACAGCATTGACACTGGTTCTCAGGTCACCTCCCTGCGCTGGAGCAACCACTACCGCGAGATTGTCAGCTCCAGTGGATTCCCTGACAACTCTCTCAGCATTTGGAGCTACCCTACCTTGGTCCGCAACGTGGAAATCCCTGCTCACGAGACCCGTGTTCTTCACAGTGCGATCAGCCCCGATGGCCAGATGCTTGCCACCACTGCTGCCGATGAGAGCTTGAAGTTTTGGAAGATCTTCGAGCGCAAGCCTGGCACCACTGCCTCCGCTTCTCGCGAGGGTGGTGTTGGCAGCAAGGCCCAGATGACCAAGTCCATGACCATCCGTTAAGCGGATCTCTTTTGCACATTTTTTTCTCTTTGGTTTGCTCGATACCCGGTTCACATTTGAAAGCATTGATGGGCTGGGACATAATACGGTGTAGAGGCTGCTTTTTTCTTTCTTTTGGCCCGGATGATCTTGGTGTCTCGGAAGGCGTTTTGTTCGTTGTATCTATTTGGCCGTATGGTGGGCGTTCAGATTGTACAAAAGCCATTCATATGGCGTGGTTAATACATTGCTCTTTTATTTATCATTGTGGTATTTAAGTATATGTTAAGTCAACCCAGAAGAGTATTGATACCTATAGATGCTATATATTCTGAGTTTGGTGACAAACTACCTGATGACATAAGCATCCGCGGATCCAGAGCGATCTCCACCGCATTGCGGTATCTTTCACCTTTCAGCAACCCATCGGGAAACTCGCCATTTCAGTTTTAGGATCGTTTGGTGATTTGTGATCTACTGACAGCCCGATTCGATCTGCAGTGTGAGAGCAATACTCTATCACCGCTGTTCACTCGATATTGCGTCACTGGTGTTCCAACCTCTCGGCAACATCATTGCGACAGCGCGCTTTCTGGGAGTTCCCCTTCCTAGGCTCTCTCTTCTCTTGCCTTTTGCTCTTCTCTCCGCTCTTTTTTAGCCTCGCCTGCACCTCGCCACCTTCCCTTATCGCACCAACAGCCACGATGTCAAACCAGCAAGTGGTAAGTGGGAATATAGCCTTCTGCTCAAGTCCACAGCCTCCAGGGCTCTCCAACTCCTACCTTCTTCAAGAACAGCTGTTGCTGAGCTCCCGTATTGCCTATGCTGAGTCTTTGATCGAAATGAGAGCTAACACTGGTGATCCACATAGGGTGTGGTCTTTGAGAAGGTCATCCAGGAGGTCTGTGACTCCTCCCAGGTGGACTTCGAAGAAAGTGGTGTCGATCAACAGACCCTGCACGATTTGCGAGAGGTTAGTACTTCATCTTTTAATATTAGCCACTGTCTTGTGGTGTGGTTGATTTGGGTCCAAAAGCGGGGGAATCCGAGGTGCGGGAGGCGGTGCTTATGGGGGAACACCGACTTATGAGTCTCCCTTTATATGTGCCGCTGTTACCCGCTTAGGCGTTAGACTGCCAAGCCTCCGTCCTAGCCATTATCTCATTCGTCCACTTGCTTCATACTAACGTTGGACAGACCTGGCAAAAGAAGCTCTCCTCCGTCAACGTCGCTCACTTCCCCTGGGACCCGGCCCCAGTGCCGACTACCCAGACTAACATCCACCCTCCTGCTACTGTGCCCTCCAACGCCCCCCGCCCACCACCTCAGCAACAACAATACAACCCTCCCATCTCAATCCCTCAACATGCTCCCGTGCAAATGCAAGCTCCCATGTCCATGGGCGCACCCCGTATCAAGACCGAACCCGGTACCAACGGTCAACCCCAAATGCCTCAGATGCCACCTCAGATGCCACCCCAGATGCCCCCGCACGGCATGAACCCCCAGTCAGCTCGCGACCGTGCCGCGAATGCTCTTCAGCAAAGATACGGCGCTGCCGCGGCGTCTTCTGTCAGCCAAATGCAAGCTCAGGCCCAAGTTGGACAAGGATATCCCCAGATGCATCCAAATGCCCATGGGCAGATGCCACACATCAAGCAAGAACACGGATACCCTCCCATGGGAGGGCAGACCGATGGTGGAGATGATCCTTTGACCGACTGGAAAGCCGAGGTTGCACGTCGCAGAGCCGCCGCGGAGAGTGGAGAAGGTGACCGCATGCTGCGCGAGTACCTCAAGCAACGTATGAGCCAGTACGAGGCCGGAGGTGTCATGCGTCCTCTGGATGAACACGAGCCATCTGCTAAGGTTGCCCGACGCGCAGCTCTCACTTCTTCACTCGGTCAAGATAATGGGGTATCCTCGACTCCTCGGATTCCTGGTCAAGTCGATGGTGCAGACGGTGAAGTCAAGGAAGAAGATGAGGATGCCATCAATTCTGACCTTGACGATCCTGATGACCTTGTGGCTGATGACCAGGACGCCGACGAGTCAGAAGGTCAAGTCATGCTTTGCACATATGACAAGGTTCAACGTGTCAAGAACAAGTGGAAGTGCACCCTGAAGGACGGCATTTTGACCAGTGGTGGAAAAGAGTAAGTTTCAAATTTCTCCTCTGGTACAGCCCTTGCTCACATCACTAGATACGTCTTCCACAAGGGTCAAGGCGAGTTCGAATGGTAATCACCACGACCCATCAGATCCACCAGCATCCATTTGACGACTTTATCTTTTTCTCGTTCTGTAACAAATTTCCCACATGTGTTCGCAACACAAACGAAAACAAATCTCTACGTCTATCCAATTACGCCATCGAAACGGTTTGTGCAAGCGAAATATTCCTCTCATGATTTCCACTACCCAGATATCAACATCTCCGTCCAGGGTTTCCCGTGTTTTGCTTTTTGAGCTCACGGCTCACGGCGCTTACTAGTCAGAATGGATGGGTTTGGCCTTTTTCTTTTATCTTTATGTCCCATCTTGCGCTTGGTCTGCCCCGACGGGTATGGCATTGTACTAGAACGAAATGCCAATATGGCTACGTCTAATAAAAAACATCGAATGATCTGAATCTGGTCGATAGTATACATAAGTATGCGCTGGGCAATGCATGGAACAAATCTGTAAGGATATGATTCCCAACTACCACGCTCTTCACCAATGATTCGAATAAATCGTGCTTAATACCCGTAGACCAACTAGATACTTTGGCAATTTACCATAGCCAAGAACGTGTTTGGACTACAACTTTAGAACAGCCTGGGCAATTTCAAGCAATACTTAAGTATAGCTTTCAGGTCGGAAATTAGAACCAGCCAAAATGATGTTCGTTCAAGCGAAGAATTGAATAGCAAAAATGACAAGTAAAAGAAACAAAAAACCAAAGTGTATCAAGAATCCATATCTACATCCAACGCCAAAACCACACTTTTTATAATTTCCATTTCCCATCACACCATCCCAGATCCAGTTTCCAACTCGGAAGCAAACATGCAGAGGGCTCTTTGCCCTCCTCGAGTACTGCAAATAAATTCCATCCAGACCGCAACTCGACTGCCGCCAATGGCTTTGAAATTGCGGGATGGATATACCCCCGGTAATGAATCAAGGTCGTTTGCCTCGAGAGTATTGAATGCACGTGCGGGCATGGAAGGTAGAATCACAATCAAAATACAGATCGCCACACCTTGACAATGACGAACGTGAAAGAAAAGCCAAATAAAGGCGTGGGACACTGCTGATGTCTCTGTCGCAGGAGGGTTGAGTCGAGTCGAATAACCAAGCATTTGTGCTAAATAGTCCTTGGTCATTGATCAGAGTCCCGATCAAGGCAAGCTCTATTACCAAGCCGATACAGAATGTGTAGGCGAGGGAGATCATTGCAAAAAGCAGTCATGATAGTTGGAAGGTATCCAAGTAGCAAATGCCCAAAAAAGCCAGAACAAATTTTTTCCAAAAAAGAAAAGGGAAAAAGATTCGAGAAAAAAGATAACTCCAAGACCGGACCCAAATCAAAATCCAAAATCATGACATCGTGTGGAGTGCTCCCGAAGGCCGTGGTCGTTCGCATTAGCTGAGAATTATGTATGGACATAGGACATTTGTTCAGTTCACATGAGACCCTCTTCGCCAATTCCGGGGAGACCAGCTCCAGCAACGTTGATGTTCTGCCCTTGCATGACTCCACCGCCCATGGCGAGATTGCGACCACCAAGTTGGAAGTCGGGGTTGCAGGGCGGGGAATGGGACTTGTGGTATTTCAGTCCGTTCAAGTTCTTATAGCGCTTGCCGCATACTTCGCAGCGGTAGGGCTTCTCTTTCTCCATGCCAAGAGTGCCGGGGTAAGGCGCTGATGTTTCCGGGTTGACAATTGAGAAAGTGCCATCGGCATTGTCGTGAAGTTGTTGGTTGTTATGGCCATGCTACAAGTTGAGAATGAGGTCAGTATTGAGGGATTCCCAAAGGGATGCCAAAGGGATGCCAGATTGAAACTTACAGCTTTGTGGTATTTGAGTCCATTTTGATTCTTGTATGCCTTTTCACAACCGATAACGGGACACCGGAATGGCTTGGGTTCCTCATTGGGGAGGATAACGGTCGTATCAGGGACACCAGCCAGAAGCTGCTGTTCGCGGATGCGTCGTGCAATATCGCTATTTGGACCGTATTGAGCTCCACTGAGCTTGAAGTGGGCATTGGGGGAGCCCATGCCACCGCTGGGGCTGAAGAGGCGCTTGGCGGGTTCGTCGATACAGAGGTCGACCATGTCATTATTGTTACCGTTGAAGCGGCCAAACTGGTTTTGGTTTTGGCCCATGGTGTTATTTTGCATGCTGAGGTCACCAAAGCCACCCATCATGCTTTCATCTATTTCTGCAGGGGTCCCTGGTCCGGACGAATCGGGTGTGTTTCGGAACTGTGAGTTTTGAAGAGGGTTGGCCATCAAAGTTGGGGTGTTGACGGACGAAACAGTCGGATTGTTCTGCAGAGAAAGAGGCCGCCCAGATCCGATCGGTGTGCCGGGTTGCGAGGGAGTGCTGAATCCTTGGTGGCTTGGCAACATGCCCAGATTTAATTGCGAGACTTGGTTGGAGCTTCCAAATCCGCCTTGTCCATCATGCATCTGGGGGGCGAACAGCTGCGAGGTTGAGCCGTCGCCGTCGCCAAGCGCGTCGTCCAACTCCATGTCGTCAATTGTGTCCAGATCTGCATGCTGTAACGGGGATGGGTTCTGTCCGAGTTTACGCTGCATGTCCAGGGTCCGGTCGGGCTGCAGGCCACGTCCTTGATTGCCATGCTGTTGGCTCTGTTGCTGTGCGATTGCCGCAGCAGCCAAGGCAGCTCGGTTCTCACCCTGACTCGGCCGATGTCCTTGGTTGGGCGATTTGGTCGCATGGGCTTCTTCGTAGTGTTGTAATAGGTCGTGGAGTGTTGGTAACGTCACACCGCAGCACGAAAAGTCACGCATAAAGTTTGCCTCTAACTTCGGGAGATACGATGAGGAGTGGAAAGACGGCGACTGGAAGGTAAATGGTGAGGTGCCAGTCATTATAATACTGCGGGGATTTTTCCGTGGTCAGTCTTTGATGCAGTGCAACAGCAGCGGCAGCAGTCAGGGCGTTTTTTTTTTTTTTTTTTTTTTTTTTTTTTTTTTCTTTTCCCCTTCCTTTTCTTTTTTTTAAAAATTTTTTTCTTCCTTGTCTCCCTCCCCCCCCGGACACCCCCCCCAC